AGCCGGTAGGGGTGGTCTTCTAGAAGAACCACTAGAATATCATGCAGTACTAACCCAGCTAGGAACTCCTGGTCATAGTATGCATATGCGGGACTGCTTACACCGACGAGACGGTGCTCACCTATTATTAACCAGTTTCTTCGACCCACTTGTCGCGTGTCGGCCTAGGCCGGGGGTGCGACAATTAAATTTCAAAAGGGAACAATTCCTTCGTCTTTTTTTTTTTTTGATCGTACCACGGATGGGGTTATTATTATCCCCCGATAGACTTTCAGCGATACGACTCAACCCAGTCGTTGAACTAGCTATTAGGCACTATCCATTAGCCATTAGCTATTTGTTGAAGAGCTAGCTTTTGCTGTCCGGATCGTATTTAGGGCCACTCAGGTATTACGTATGCGATCCAAGTTTGCCGATCGCGTTTGGATGAGCCGGGATAGATCTCGGTCGAACTCTGAGCTCTTGGCACGACAAAGATACTTCAATAAAATGGGGGCAAAGGATTTTACCGACAAGTTGAAACTCGAAGGCCTGACTCGAAATGTCCAGATCTAAAGAACATGTGAAGAAGGTAAACTCGAGTTAAATTATATGTCCCAACACTAACTATGCAGAACGACCGGACAGAAGATAATTATTATAACATACCTAGGTACTTATCTGTTAGTATGATTCATATGCTAGCAAGAGCCGGGTATTTCCAAGACGAGGTATCGACGAAAAAAAAAAGCTCACATGTGTAGATATTACCTATACACTAGACAAAATTACAAACACAGGGAATATCATCGGGTGTCGCATCACTAGTATCCACTAACATTATAACCATTAGATATGATTGGCTAATTCATCCCAGTAGTCGGATATCATCTCCTACATAGTACGTCTAAAATCCAGGAAGAGCGCCAACATAACGAGTACTCTACTAACTATACCAAAATTATACATAGTTAACCTAAAACCTAACTATGGTAGAATCCGGGGGTCGTTGTGTCGGAGTAACACCCTGTCCACGACAGGGAATTCGGAGTCAAGGTTAACTGTTAAACCCCTTAAAGAGGAAAACTACCTAAACAAACCAACTCCGGATCACGGTTGAAGATAGTCATTTACTACTACTCGTCGGAGCTTACCCCAAGAATACCATCATAGGGATCGTAGTCAAACACATATCCTCATCTCAGGAAAACCATCAAACATGTTTGGCGAATCGGAAAGGATTCCCTATCTCAGGTGAGACACCCATAGATGTCAGCACTCCAAGTAAGGCATGGGGCAAGCTTGGTAAGAGTTTCCGAACTACTTTGCACAAACTGACGGCTCAGCTGTCGTGCTACGATTAGGTACACGCGCAACTCGTGCTATGTAAGCACACGTACGAGTTTAGATATATTATATGTATGGCAGCGGGATATTACAGAAACGAGCTGTCATCACGCTCCTCGACTTCCACTATCATTACATCACTTCCGTCTAGACTCCAACTAATCTAATAAGCGAGTCTCCTGCCTAGCAGCCCAGCAGCCCAGATGGACACCTACATATACCTACATAGGTATACATTAGTCCATGCATGTCAGTCTCTTCACATGCTTCCAGCTTTCTATATTCGGCAGCATATGGCCAATTAATTATCCATGCATCTTAGAGAGATCTTAACTACCGTTATTACCACTACTACCACTACTACCACACAGCATCCCATAATGACCCAGCAACCATTTTCATGTGGCAGCATGCCCGAGACTCTGACATACGTGAACAGGTACGCCATATCTAGAAATCCTTATTTCCACATTTAGCTATATATCCCATCGCGACCAATAGCTTGGCTGATTCCAGCTCTCGGAACGTTCGGGAATGTCACGCAGCCTACATACTCATAAGCAATCAATTCCCCCATTTTTCGTTCTCTCTTTTCCGTTTTGTTGTTCTCATCTCCCTGCCGCATCCATGTGATTTCATACTCTCCACCAAAATAAAATAAAAGAATAGCGCTAAGCAAGGTCCCAGGTCCGAAGGAGTGTTTCTGCTCCGCTTAGAATATTGTTATCTATCAAGCAAACGAACAAATCATCCTAATAACTTATTAATCAAGTTATTTCCATTGGTTTAGCTTTCCCACCGCTCCTTTGAGTATCATATGTATCATATGTATTATATGTAGGATCCAGCCAGCAAGTTAGGTTAGTGCATAGTGTTTGAGGCGTTTTTCCATTTTCCGTATCTCCACAACGACCCGTTCACCGGTCTTGATGGCGTTAGCGATAAGAAGTCCGACGCTACTCTTTGATTATCAATGTTACTTCACCGGGTGGGCGTGACCGTGCATTCCCAGATCGGCGTATGGCCCCTCAAGGATCCGGGGTTACCAATCTCGTAACGCTGTCTTTCTTGCATACAGCCCTGACGACCGAACCGCTGAACCCAGAGAGCCTTAACTTTGGGTGCTACTAGGCACATTGCATCTAATACAAAATAGCCGGCTCATCACTACAACTCTAAGGGTCGTTAGACAGTACCACAACCTCATACATGAGATTAGGTTTAGGTATAATGCCTTCGACTCGGTTAATCACCTTTGCCTCAAGTTCGTCTGATCACGACCTAGTCGTCCCGCTATTACGTGGTCCGGGGTACGTCAAGCGGCGCACACGTGCGGAGACGGGACAGAATGTAACCATAAGGTCCGAAATGTAGGGTTTCAGAGAACTATATGCTTGTCTTTAATTTGAGGATTGCTTATTTTTCCACTGTGTACTCCCGCTGGGTTCCTATTGAATGCTTATGTGGTACAAGACTGACTTGCATCGCGAGCCGTTCCGCTCCGTATGACCTCTCGTTCGTCCCCGGCTAGGCGCAGAGGAAATCCGATGACATCTGACTTTACGTCCGTATATAAAGAGTCTAAATTGCACTGCGGCTCGATGCATTCGTCTATGCACGTCTCCCGTCAGCACTCCACGTCTAAGCGTAAGCTCTTGTCATCACTCATCGTCCATCACTTGCTAAAGATGGGGTGATTTTCGAGTTTCATTAAAAGAGGCACCTGCTATTCCAGGTTTTTGGGATTCCTTTCTCCGGCCCGTTTGTTCAGTCCCCCCTGGACGATCAACCTCAGCCGATTCGGCTCCTTGTCCCGCGATCTCCGTCCGCTTTGATATCCGACCCACGGTTCTCAGACTCATACGAAGATCCGATGAACCATTATTATTAGACCTGGCTGTGCGGTCTCGTCCAATGACGTCGCCCCTATTTAGATCGTCGCATCACTAACGTTGCTTCGAATGGAGGCCTCGAACACCTACTAGATTCCTTGCTGTTTCTTACCTTTTAGCCTAAACAAGACCCTGCCCTATAGAATAACGGATTCGGAAACACCCATGTATTATGTCGCCCGCGTCGGTCCAATAGAGGAGAATATAGGCCTCATTACATGAACTGATAAAGGCATAATTACGTACCAAATTACGACAAGTAATATACTCCCGTCCTTATTAGGACATGGCATGACGAATTAGGAACAACGTTCCTGACTAGAACATGTTTAGCTTTTTATACAACTGTCAGATGACGCACAAGTATAGATAACTGATGTTCGATTTATAGTCCCTTTCTAGATCTCGATGCCAGGTATTTAGTCTTAGTAATGTTACAGTTCCAAACTTCGCTCAGATACGATTGTCTCCAACTGGGTATGATCACAAGGGAATCATATTTACTTCTTTTCCCCTCTACGCTTAAATCGATCCATGGAACTGTATTGAGTAATTAGTTGCGATCTTCCTGCCGTGAGTTCCGTTGCCATAACCTCCCAGTTGAGCATCTATATGATTACGTGCCAAGGCCTCGTCATCTTCTTTGTTGTTCAGTTTGCGTATACAAAAACGTAACACCAATATAGTTATGGCGGGCAAAGTGCTCCGAGCAGGAGTTTAGGAAATGGGGTAACTAGTTTGAAAGTTGACTGGTTTAGGCATAGACAAGGCCGGTCTCGGGTTTGTCTGATGTTTTTGATGAATCAAGGAATCTAGTACTGCACATGCTATACTCAATGTCACCAATAGCATCTACTACATAGTCTTTGTGGCTATTAAGGAGCTTTGATATTCCGTAGGATTCGTGATCAGGCATCGAGTTTTGAGTACTATAACTGGGCTATACTGGATTTACGTAACAGCATTTTAAGCTTATGAACTTCGATAATAATGGGCTAATTAATTGTGCTCTTAGAGTAACCCCTGAGTCTTGCCTATACAAGGAACTTTTCTCGTAGAACAGACTAACATTTGGTAGCTTATAATAGACGTATATTCAGGGAAGGAATTTTATGGCAAACCCTTGTCAAAAACAAAAAGCAGAGACAGCTCTTCACGTAAACGTGTTATATTGCTACTAGGATGTAAAGCATTTGTAGGTTAGTTATCTATTTATATAGTAACTACATGTTATACCTCATATAATTCTGTTCGCCATTGCCAAGTACTCATAGTTACCTAGGTAGTTAATAATGAAATGTTGCTGAAGTATGGCACTTCTCTAGTATTCATTTAGCTTTATCTTTGAATTTCTAGCAATTAATAATTCCTAACAGTATGTCATTTCACGTTAAGCTTAACTCTATTATATTCTCATACCAAAATCCAGTAATATCATCAAACCCTTTTTGCCCTAATAAACTTGGAAATATCTGCCTACCTACTTAGATGCCTTTTAATTCTAGAGAAAGGCAGATATACTAGCCACTCCTATACTATTACTGTAAACTAACTTCTTACTCTCAAGCTAGCCATTGGTTTATCGAAAAGTATACTTATTAGTATGAATTATATAACTCACCATATATATAATTAGGGGGTTTCCATTCAGGATATCCAAGCGCAAATTGATAGCATTCTGCAACTCTTCGTCCTTTTATTTAGTATATTTCAATACCTTCCAACAGCTTGAATTATGATCCATTCCATTAACCATAAATCCAAAACGTCCAGAAATCACATTCACGACCAATGCGTCTTCGGCCGCTGCAGCACCTCTCCGTCAAGCTTAACCTCAACCCCATCCTTCTCATGATAGAAGCACAAACACCCCGCAATACTCGCACACTCAAGCGTCGGGGTTTTATAATACCAGACCAGATCATCGTACCTCCGTTCTCCCCCTTCGCCACCCCCAAGGTCTACATGATAATAATTCGCCACCCCTTTATACGGACACGCAGTCGTAGTCTCGCTCTCCCTCAGCGTATCCCGCGCCGCCGCCGTCGCCGGCACGTAGAACCGGCACGGCAGTCCCGTCTCGTAGAGATGATACGAAGAGTTCGTCTGCGCAACCAGATGTCCGTCGACACGGATCTCCAGGGGCCGTGAAGAATGCAGTACGTCGACCCGTCGGAACGGGTCTTTCGGGTGTACGTAAATCGGGACGTCCTCCTCGAACCAGACATCCGCAGCCGCGAACTCGACTCGCACCATTTTCTCCAGTGGCTTACAGGATGGACTTAGCGCATCCCCGAAGACGAGGATCCGGTCCGTAGTCCGGCTCCCAACATGGAGTGCTGCTGTCCAGTACTGAGGATTCCCGTTACCAGGCAAACTACGCAGGTTGGATGTAAACGACTCTATTGGTAGGTAATAGTACGGGTAGTATTCATGCTCCCAGACATAGACCGCAGACGTCGTGTCGGCCACATATACGTTGTTGAACAGGATCCGTACTCGGCGGGGCGTGGCAAGCGTCTTAACGGGGCCGTTTTCTAGTAACGACTTTCCAAGCTTGAGGAGATCTGATTTCGCAGATGGGCTTGTCATATTGGAGTCTGATTTTCTAGTTTTCCTTAATAATAAAAGTAATAGAAGGTCTTAATATGAAAAATTTAAACAAGAGCTCTCATATCACCTTAGCAAAGTTCGGAGAAGACAAGTTAGAGTTCATGAATTATTTCTTGGTTATTATTACTTTTTTAACCACCGTACTAACTTAACGTACGTGTAGGTTATTTGACTGTTAATGATTGGGATCAGTCAAGGCGGGGTAGCTACCCCAGCTGCGAGTCCAACCAGATATATGGCTTTTAATGTCCTTATATCATGAACCTGCATGATAGGTTGTGACCTTCATGATGTATCATTATCTGAGGACGTGAAAGACTTGCACCGCGTAACCCACTCTTGCGGTTGTACGCCACAATCTGTGCCTCTGAAAACCAACTATGGCCACAGTGAATCCGTCCTAAAACCGCAAATTGTACAAACCAATGCGGCGACTATCTGATATCAGCTAATTTAATATAAAGGGTATCTCTTAAATGACAACGTCTCCCGAATCCAGAGGCCTTGTAGAAGCTTTTCCTCCTATGCATATCTTTTATTGCTCCTGAAAGACGGCCCAATTCCTCAAATCCTCTCGTGTGCCGTTGATGTTAGGGACGCCTTTCCATGCATAATACTTCCAATGCACCCGTATGCCTTCCTATGATCCTGTGCCCGTTGTTATGCTAGACCATAGTGTAATATAAAAATCTGATGGGTGAAGAGAAGTGCCGAAAACCAAATATAGCCCCCCCTAACGCCATCGCGATGCCGTACAAAATGGTGAATGGTATGATACGAATACCGCCGCGTGGTTCATCTTCATCGTGTTAACTTCTTCAATCATCAAGAAAAGGATCGAAATCAACCTCCAACCTCTTAGCTGCGGGCTCCTCCCGGATATCTTGCTCGGTAAGCCCATGCTTGTCTAGCCAGAGCTTGCGCAGCACCTGATAAATGAATAGGTACTGAGACTCGGCTTGGACCATCTGCTTGCGCTGCTCCCTGAGCGCGTCGACCGTCTTATAGACTATATCCTCCCCACCCCTGGTGGCATTCATCTCAAGACGATCCACATCGCCTGAATCTATCTCTCGCATGAGATGCTCAAGGGCCATGAATGTTCCGCTTCTTCCTACACCCGCCGAACAGTGGATAATTCGTGGGTTGTCCTCGCTCGCATTTTTCTCTCGTGAAAGGCGCATGAGCTCGAAAAAGCTGTCAATATCCTCAAGAGCCGGGACACCGAAGTCGGGCCACTTGCGGTAAAGCAGGTGCCACACAATCATATCATCCTCCCGGTCCTCGACGTGAATACTGAGTTTTCGAACCTCAATTGCACCGTTCGCGTGCTCTTCGATATCAACACACTTGATCTCGGCATGGAAACCGTCTCCGAATTCGTCGTCCTCGCCTATTACCCATGGCTCTTCCTCGACGAACCGAGGAAAATATGGGTAGCACTTCTCCATTCCACCCTCGTGCGTCTCGGTCAGCATCACAATTACAGCTGGGCTTTGTAGCTGCTCCACTACCATTCGCCAAACATGATCCATAGTCCCGGATTTGGGTCCTTGCATGGCGATGTAATGATGCGGCGGCTTGGACTGAGGATCTAGAAGGGAACGAAGAGTAATGGGCGACGCATTGATATAATCGAGCTGACCGTCTGGCACCTGTAGCTTGACGCGGTTATTGGCCCATGGTTGGATGTTCGCGTACCGGTCGAGAATCTTAGTCTCGGGTGTCGTAACGCGTGCAAATTTGAAATTCGGGGATGGGTTGTGCAAGGACTCCTGGAGTCGAAAACGCTCCGTCCAGTTAAGATCGTGGAACTTAGCCTCGATATCTGTAATTAGAGTAAGAATTGTTAGCATCTCAATACTATAAACAAATACAAACAGAATATTGCGCTTTTGGCGTGGTATAGACATACCTTGCTGGGACTGACACAGGAAGGCTGGAATCCTGGGTTTGGGGGTTTCCTTGATCATCTCCTTCTCACTTTTATCTTCAATACCACTAACTGGTGTTGATCTACCAAGTTCGACTGCGCTATCCTGACTAGCTATGGCGGGTGAAGCAGACATAGGTAACGAAGCCGGAGTGGGGGATCGGGCGCGCTTATGCGAATGTCGAAAATGGAAACCTCGACGAAAAGGTGATTTTGAAGGTAGATCATTCCGAGAAGCATGGTTGGTTGGAATTGTCAAAGTCGGCGGTGGTTCACGGCAGCCCACAGGGCCAAGTTTGCTTTCGGACGATGATTTGTCGGGAGGTGATCCAGATAGGATTCCAGCGGGGGGAGTCGTAGGAGAAGCCCTCTTAGTGCGCCGGAAACGCGAGGATATCGAATCCATTATGGTTGGACGACCCGTAGAAAAATGGTATAAAATGGTAGCGAGAATGACGACGAGAAGACGATGGTGGAGTAGTGAGGGCCACGTAGACTTCGCAACGGCTGGTCGTGAGAGTGAGGGGACCAATGTGATGGAGCGTTTCCCTGACAGAATTTTAGAGGAGGCGAATATTCAATTAAAGAAGAGGAAGAGGCGGAGCTTTTCCACGAGCTTGAAGTAATTGGCACGTGGTAATTGATATGCAATTCCAATGAGACAAGGCGAGGCAATGAGATGCGATGTGGTGCGAGGCTAGGCCTACGTAGTGGGGAAGAGGAAGAAGAAGAAGAAGAAGAAGAAGAAGATGTTATATTAAGTTACCAGTAAGAATCAAGACAAGGCTACCTCTGGTCATGGGCAACTTGGAATGAAGCGTTGGTTTTTGTTTGGAATAATAAGTTAAAAGTGTAAGAAGAAAAAGAAAAAGAAAATTAAGAAGTGAAAAGAACTGAGGTTATTTTCGGTGTTGCTTCCAATAATTTACCTAGTAGGTAGGTAGTTAGGTAAGGTAGTTAGTGAATACCGTCAACCTGGATTGGGAAGATGGCAAGGATGAGGGAAGCAGCGTAGCAGGGGAATTAAATAAGAATGTGGGTCGTCATTGGCAGGTCTCGGATGCCAGATGGTCAGGTAGTACAATCGGTACCGCATAGTTACATAGTAACAATAGGTTAGTTAGGTAGGTAATAGGTAAGAGAGAAACAATGAATGATCTGGAAGTCACGGTCCGTTCACATGTGCTTAACCAGCTGAGGTGGGTTTTTTTATTATAGTATAGCGGGGATGCATTATAGGTAGGGTACGGGTACGGGTACGTACCGATGCAGTAATTCGCAATGAGCTAGGGTTGCCCCATGAACATGACAACTTTAGGCTAGGTACTTACGTGTAGGTACCTACATAGGTAGGATTAGAAGCTATCAGTTGTACAGTGTATCCACACCTAAGGCCTATCATGTTTCAGGGAGAATGTTGAAAATGGTAACGGATCAGTCTGACAATTATATTTAGCATACCTACCTGAGGTATTTGGCTACAAATCATTCCAACTTGTGGGATTAGGATTGAAGGGATGACGTTTTGGGAGAGTTACAGACTGCACGGTACGTGACTACCTAATGTATTTAAACAAGCAAACGGTACAGAATACCTAGAGCGCTTAAAGATGGCCCGAGCTTAACCCTAATGGCCGCCATTTTCTGCAGCATAGACAAGCGTCACATTGTTATCCTCAGCAAGCAGTTTGAAGATTTCTAACATAATCTCTGGTGTAACTAAAGAAATCCGAAATGGGCCTCTGGGGAAAAAGGGAGAGATTGTTGTATTGGTGAAAAGAGGAAAATACCCATAAAAGCGCAGCCAGTATTAATTCCGAATAAATGCATACCTATAAATACACAAATATACAAATACCTAACTATCCTATGTAAGGTAATCTTCCTGACAAGTAAAATAACACATAAAGCATCTACATAAATTAACTTTAATTCTACTACATTTTCTCTACGACTATGTGGATTAATTGACTTTTAGGGAGACTATAACTAGTGTACCAGGCTTCTTGATAGGTATAATCTTATGAGACTTATTTTGAATATAGGTAGTTAATAGATGATTATTTACATCAACTTGCCGCGTTTTGTTGTAATAGTTAAGAGAAATACATATTTTCGCCCTACCTAAACAACTGACTGCTAGTCCTTTAACTATCCTCTTGGTGAATACTCTCTTGGCTTATATATGCTACATTTGGATATATCATAGTGCGACAGTGACTAACAGAGGTTGCTGCTTCACCATTATACGTAATACAAGCAAGGTAGTACCATTACTTTAAAAAGATAAGATATTTAAACAGCGTAGTTACACCTAATTTAGGCAATTTCTTCTGAAGTAAAACTCGCTAGTAGATAATATACGTGTAAGTAGATTCCCACGATGTGTCAAGACTATCTTCATTAATTCACTGTGAGTCAAACGACCATCATATCTGTACTTAAACTATAACCTACCTAAGCTATCTACATAAATCACATTATCTCATCACATACACTCATCTAACTAGACACTATGAAAATCTATGCGTAGGTAACTTTATCTACAAGATTATTTAAACACATAGAGAACTCTCTGTTTGACCTTCCTCAAAACAAACCCTAGAGAACAATCTTTTCACATATTATGAAAGAAATTTGCAGCCGGACAACTACCAGAACAATAATCTCAACATGTCCTCTCAAGACAACAGTCCCGATAGCGACTTAGACGTTGCGATAAGCTACCTAATGACACGAAGCACCACACCCACACCAAACAACACAAACGGCACCAACAATACGAAGACAGACTCTAGTTCTGGCAACAGCTCTCAGGATCAACACCGCAGCGAGAGTTCTAAAACCGTGAGATGGGCCGAACCAATTGAGTCAGAGATTCCGAACACTTCTTCTGATGACTCTGCTCCGAAGTCAGGATAAATCTATTCTTAGAAGCGATATTTAGATGAGTACCTTGGTAGCCATCCTAATGAGTTTCAGGGTAGCATATAATATCTGGTTTAGTAGCTTCGTCTTTACTTCTTTTAAAGTCATTTCATAAGAAGTATTGTCACGATGTCACCTTTACTTACCTAGGTATTTTAGATCATCTATAATATTAACTTCTCTTATTTATTGCTTGGTCTCTTGGCGATATTAGTATTCTTCTCTCGATCGACAGATACATCGGATCCTATTATATCTCTAATAATTCAGTATTTTATACAATACATTAAGGTACTTTACTTCAAGCCATAAGTGAACCCACTTTCCTAAGTCTTACTAGTTTTGGTAATTTTTTCTCGGTTTTTTTTAACCCAAGGCTAAGTCTCCAGAACCCAAGTTTGAATGCAAAAAGTTTGATATATTTTAGACTGTAAGCCAGATCTCACCAATCAGAACACAAATCACGACAAGTTCTCATAACCGGGTCCCATAGCTCAGCCGGTTAGAGCGTCGTACTAATATAATTACATTGAAGTTATATCAAGTGAATGCGAAGGCCGGCGGTTCGAGCCCGCCTGGGACCAATATTTTTTGGTGGACTCGGAGTTGTCCGCATATAGTGGCACATAATATGGTACATAATAGTTGCGATTTGTGGATATCTTAGGGTTAACGTCAAATGGAGATATTTTAGCTTAACAGCTATCTAACCCTTAACTCTTTTTGTTTTTTTTTTAGGTTAGTAATCAGCGCTTCTTAGTAAGCATAGTGTCCTTTCTAAGCAGCGGGTAGTTTTTCCCGCGAAGGGTCGGGAAGTATCGACGTGATATTACTATAGAATCCGATCTGGGCAAGACGGCGGCGCTTATATCTTTCCGATTTGACCATCTACCCCTAGCACCAGTCGAATTGGGCCGATGATTAATTTTAAATGTAGGCGTAATCGCTAAATGCCATTGTCAAAATACGTGTTATTACACTCTTCGGGGGGCTGACAATTAGAGCTGAGATATCATGTTAGTGAAAACTACCCGAGAATCTAGAAACAAGTTTATGATGTATGTAATTGAAAATATAGTATAAATCCATGTGTCCGTCTCAGACAGGAATATGTTTAATTACACTACCCTGAGAATTATTTTGTGACAAGACAAGATAGAAATCAAACGTTAAACTTATCTCACACTTACATTCCAATATGTCTAATCCCACAATATTGATCGTTGGGGGCTCATTCGCGCCACCTGAGATATACGATAATATCGTCGATGCTATTGCGGCAAAAGGCTATGATATTAAAGCTTTGCATTACCCAAGTGTTGGCTTGAGGGCTGGGCCAAGACCGGAAAAGCTACCAACCATGTACGACGATGCTGCCTTTGTCGCCAAGGAGATATCTAAACTTGCGGACGATGGGAAGGACAGTAAGTATTATAGAGCTCTTAAAACCCAATTTATATAATAGATAGAAAAGGCGAAATATTAACACTATGCTGCAGTCGTTCTAGTCGCCCATTCCTACGGAGGTGTGCCAGCTACCGAAAGTACTAAGGGTCTCACGAAGAAAGAGAGGCAGAGTCAAGGAAAAAGGGGAGGAATTGTTAGGCTTGCGTATATGACATCATTGGTACCGCCTGTAGGACGCTCCTCGCGGAGTCTTCTCGCAGAGATCCCTAGCGAAAATCGTATCGAGTTTAAAAATGATGTTAGTTACTTTCGATCTCTTGAACTTTTCCCGCTGCTTATTCGTTTGCCGCCATCTAATACCATCATAACAGGAACAAGGTTGGATGGATTACGTCGATCTACCTGCAGCCGCTGCATTGATAATCTCAGATCTTCCCGACGAGAAAGAGAGAGTAGCAACTGTTGAAAAATTCCAAACTCATTCGTCTGCTAGTTTTGCTACTGAGTTGACGCACCCCGGCTACAAGGACCTCCCAGTGTCGTACTTGCTGTGTGAGGAGGACGCCATTCTTCCACCCAAGTATCAGAGAGAATGGATCGAGTTGATTGAGAAAGAGAGCGGGAACAAGGTCGATGTCACGTCTCTGCAGGTAGGTCACTGTCCTAGTTACACCAAGCCGCAGGAAGTGATCAACTGGATTGTGAATGCAGCAGCAAAGGGTGAAAACAATTAGGTCACGATAAATATGAGCGAGATCGATAATTACCTACAAGAAGAATCATTTGAGATTGCATTATGTAACCTAGCTACCTAGATAGGTGAATGAGATACCATGAATAGAGCTCTTAGTTTGAGGCCAAGAATACTGAGTTAGCTAATAGTTAGGTTGGTTAATGCAAAATAGTTACCACCCGGAGATAATGCAAGGCTCCACTATTCCTTCTGACGATGTCTAAAAACCGAGAGGAGAATATTAAATAAAGTTATAGGTATTCTGACTTCTAAACGGTAAATTAAAACTGTATGTAAAATTCAAAGTACCTAGGTCAGTAGGTAATTATATAAAATCTAAAAGAGCCGAAATGTCGAAATACAGCGAAGCATGTTGCAAGTACGAATTTTCTCCTTTTCTGGCGGTTAATCCTATATTTAACTCAGTATACTCACCAGCCGCAACTTATAGAATCCCTCCTATTGTTGACGAGGGCTACGAACCCAAAGGCAGGTATATTGAACTAAACGGAACTAAAACCTGTAAGTGCTTAAAACAATGGATAGTAAATTCAGAAATAATGATACCTAATACTGACACTTTTTTACTACAAAGATGTGACGGGGCCAGCAGATTCAGATAGGGGAATTTTAGCAGTTTACGATATCTTCGGCTTTTTCCCTCAGACGATTCAGGGAGCAGACATCCTAGCGTATGGCGACGCGGACAGGAAGTATCAAGTGTTTATGCCTGATTTCTTCGAGGGTAACACGGCTGAACTGGAATGGTATCCGCCAACAGATGACGACAAGAAGGCAAAGATAGGCAAGTGGTTCCAAGAGGTTGCTGTGGTACGGGTCTCCCATAACTCTTTATATTTTTATTTCATTATTTCTAGAACTACTCAGATTCTCCCACCCGAGAAGAGTCGTAAAAGAACTGCAAATGCATATTAGGGCAAGTACTAACCCTTGGTATTTGTAGTGGTCGAACCATATGCATAAGGTCCGAGATTTTCTGGGGGCAGCCGAAGTACACAATAATAACATCAAATCATGGGGTATTATGGGCTACTGCTGGGGAGGTAAGATGGCTAGTATACTTGCTGGCACCGGTAGGGTCCCTTTTAGGGTTGCGGTTCAGACGTCCCCTGGAACGATTGACGCAGGGGACGCCGCAAATGTTAAGATCCCAACAATGGTGCTTGCATCCGGGGACGAGGACGTTGAAGATGTTAGGAAGTATGAGGAGAATCTTAAGGTCCCGAAACACGTCGAGATTTTCAAGGACCAGACACACGGTTTCATGAGTACCCGCGCAAATCTCAAAGATGTGAGGGTGAGAGCCGAATATGAAAGGGGCTATAAACTTGCGTTAGGGTTCTTCCATGATCATTTCTGAGAGGGCATTCTCGTCTTCTTTCATGTTCATAAATATGACATGCTGCTTTCAACAGCTCCTATACATAGTGTATGGCTACTGTGTTAAGTGTATCTAATCTACCTAAGGCGAGATCTTTGGACAATACAATTCTAATCTACCTAGGTACCTATAGTGTCAATAGCGCTGGGTAGTACTAAACAGATAGTATGAACACATTTATCAAATAATTCATTCCGACACTCCAACCCATGGCAATATTTATTGTCGTTTTTCTATATTTTTCTATACCTTACCTTAAACATGATCGCCCCCCTATTTTGAATAATGTGCTTATAGTGATGGGGTTGAATGAAACCACGTGATATTACGTTAATTGAAAATAAATTGGATATTGAGGTCATATGCATAGGTTAGGTAGGTTAGATACTTCGGTACATGTAGCTATTAGGTTTTCGTTTGTGGGTCTTATCTCTAAACACGCTTTCAACGCGTCAAGCTCCCGGCGCCCAATTCTCCCCACTCACACATCCTCCCCCCCCAAACTTTCCATAACAATATATCCAGTCCAAATTATAATTTTTATACCGTTTTCAACCATGAACTGACAGATTGTTAAGTTTGAAATATTTGATTTCTCAATAAATAGCATATCACACCCAATAATTCTCAATTGTCATCAACCATGCCGCGACCTAAGAGAACACGCGTCGCGCCGACTCGAACAGTCGCAAAAGCTACAAGCCCCGAACCTGTTGTGGTACCGAAACAACCTACCGAAACCAGCTCTGATATATACGATGTGAGTGACCGGGAAAAGGAAAAGGCAAAACAGAGACGTGAGTCGATACGCGATGCGAATACTATTACGCGCACGCGATCTACATCTTCACACCAATTGAAGGCATTAGAAGTCGCGCGACAGCAACGCGACTCCGCCATGGACAGACTAGAAAACATGACTTCTACTTCGAGCAATAGGGCAGATGAGCCCGGAGAACCCTCAGAGTCTCCAGTCGAATTAGGGCGCAAAGTGGCCGGAACCCCGCAACAGAGGAGAGTGGCGGACATGTCAGGGCTGGACTTGGATGATTCAGATTTTGACGACTTAAATACAACATTTGCTACTGCCGGTCCAGCAAGTGCGCAACGATCAGCCGACACGTCTAGTATGTCCGCTAGTGTTTTTAAACGACGGCCCCGCGCGGGAAGTTTTCTAAGCAGGGAGGATGGTTATATTCGTCCTAGCAGTCGGACTGGTCCCAACACACCTGGTTTTAGCTCGACATTTAACATCGGCATGTTTAAGAGGAGAGTACGAGAGCCTAGTATCCTCGGTACTGCCCAAAAGCCGCGTCCTCAAAGATTAGAGCCCGAGCCTGAGCCGGAATCTGACCAGGATGAAGATGAAGATGAAGAAGCAGTTGATGAAGAAGGGTTTGCCCCTGAAGCCGAATCAACCCCACTTAAGCCTTCTAAGAGACGCTCCGGGGAGATTGAGGCTGGACCAGCGTCGCCGCAGGATTTACCACGCGCAAATTCGCGTAAGCGAAAATCCTCAGAAGGTCATGAACGCCGCGCAAGATCGTCCCAATTTGAAGACAATGAACCCGTCGAAGATCCCGTAGTACAGGGATCAGATTCAGAGTTATCATCTCCCCCATCTACTCCTCCACCTCGACAACAGAGTAGTAGGCCCGTAACACCTATTATGGACGAGGAGCTTATGGCGCCTCCATTAAGTAGCGGCTCCTCCGAGGGAGACCCAGAGATCTGGCCGCCTCTCCAATCGCTCACGCGAGCTCGCCTGAGACGGCCGGCCTCAGTCCTCCGAAGAACCCCAGTTGCAAACGATAATATCTCCGATATCTCTTCGCCGCCCTCCCTCACCTACTCTCCAAATTACCGCGAGCCTTCTCCGCCGCCGCGGCAGGCCGCCAAGACCAAGCGCAAGGGTGCCTCCAAGCCGGAGCCTAAAGTCACGACTGCAGATTTAGCGGGCTTGCTACCACGTCGGCGTCGTAGAAATGCTAGAGCTGATGATGAGGATTCAGAAGCCGAAGTTGACATCTCCGGCCTGGGTGATGATGACGACGAACTCTCTTACCTTGACGTTCGAGCCCGACGACACCCGGTGCGGCCGGGTTCCCGAGCAGGACAGTCCAAGAACCAGAATGCTGGACGGGCACGTCCTACTTCGCGCGGTAAAACCGCAAAGCAGACTCCCAGCACTAACAGACGTACTACAATTACGTATGGCCGGATATCAGATAAAGAGAACCGAGGGGAGTCCGAGGATGACGAAGCAGAAGAAGGCGAGGCCGACGAGGAGCAGGATGGGGATGAAAGCAGCCAGGTTATGGTCTCGCGAGTAGGCGAGGAGCTAAAGAATGCAGCGCGCAAATTCCAGGAGGTGGATAAATGGCAGCTCGACTACGAGGAGATGACTCAGAGTAGTTCACCACGAGACGCTCGCTAAATTCGAAAAGTATATTGTTGTTATTCAAGGGAAGCATATAAAAAAGGATTTGGGAGACTAGGGGTTGGGGTTGGGGTTGGGGTTGAAGGTTGTCCGGTCATGATGCATGATGCTTAGCATGGGTCTTCATCAAGTTGCTAGGTTAGCGTTTTATTGTCAGCTATGCTTATCGTTTTGGAAGGGCTAAGGGAATCGAATGGCATGAAGATCGCATACTATTTGAGTGATATGATAGCTCGATACCTCAATCAATACCAGCCATCCATCTGCATTTGCTATGCACCATATTTTTATATCATGTTATCCCTTAAGAGCATATGATCGTGTACCAAACCGTCCAGTTGCGAACGTATACCTCTCGGGGGCCAAAGCTCTACTCTTGTCCAACTCCGCGAACGCCAAACCATGCATTTCGTAGAATTCATAAACTTGCCTGTCTGCTCATTACTCTTATAGTCCCCAACTAGCCAAATCCGACGCTTAGAAATAAGCTCTCGAGATTCGAAATAATCCCGTTCATATCTAAAGTCTTATGATCTCAGCGAAACGCTTTCCAAAGTCTGCTCCACCGTAGGAAGCAAGTCTGCGATTTTATTGGCGTCGCGCAACGCTATCGTCACAGCGTCAGGCACCAGGCCTGTCATGAGCAGTTTCTACACGAAGTCAAGTCAGCCTTTTTATCTTTTCCTTTACCCAATCTTCCTAATTCCTCTCTCCCTTTCCGCTTCGATAGTTTCGAGCAACAGCTGGGGGGAGAAAAGAAGGAGGGGTTGGGTTTTCTTTCATCGTAAACTTACCCGCTTAACATCTTCGAACCCTAACTCCTTCACCGTATACTCGCGCGTGACCTCCTCGGTCGCGAAATCAACGTACACGCGCGTATCGCGGATGCGCACGACGACGTTATCCAGACGCATGAAGAGCCTCGCTAGTAGCAGCATGCGCCGCTCGTGCACGCGCAGCTTGACACTGAAGACGCTGATCCCGTTGTCGTCGAGCTCGCTCTCGTACATCATGACCTCGTCGAAGAAGAGGATCGGGTCCCGCCTTTTTAGGAGTTCGATCGGGATGGGGTTTTGTGAAGGCTTGAAGTCGAATTTGCTGTTTGGGGTTATTTCTGCTACCTGCTCGGTTGGTTTCTTGGATTCCTCCGTGTTAGCGTCAGTCTCGGTAGCTGCCGGACCTAGCGGCGGCGGGGGAGCTCGAGACGAGGGCGGGACGACGGTGCCCCGGTACGTGGTGCTGTAACTCCAATCATAAGGCCTAACTACGTCTTTAATGCCAGCGCTGGTCTGCTCGCGGCTAGCAGACCAACTCTTTGCGTAAGCGACCTGAAGCATGTTCCGATCGGTCTTGTCCACCGCATCTAAAGCATCACGAGCGTTGAACTCGACAGACCAGCCGGAGGGCGCGTGGCGCACGGAAACGAGGTTGTCGCCGAAGATCATCTCGGGCACAGGAATGCCTAGCTCTTGCTCCAAAGCTTCGATAGGACCGGCTTTAGAAATGGGTAGTTTCCGCGTTGAAATTATGAATGAGCCTTGTCGGTGTGATGTTGTCGCTTGCGCGATGTCGTCCGGCCGTGGAAATGGCTCGTTAGGTGAAGTTATGTGTGCTGCCATAGTTGAAGTTTATTAGTGTTAGGTGTTGGGGGAATGGAGGAAAAAGTATCGGTTTGGATGTTCAAAAATGATAGTCAATGTTGAAGTTTGTCAAGCTCTAATAGGTAGTTAGTTAACTAATAAGAATGAAGTAGAGCTTAGTTTTAGCATAGAGGGGCAGCGTTTCGTCACAGCGGGGTTGCTTTCCCAGAGATTGGAGTTGGGACCTGACGGTAAAGTTCAATAGTACATAGTACTATGTACCTAAGAGGTACCTAAGCTTAATCCGTGAAGGCTCACCTGCAGCTATCAAGTATCAAGTCTCTAACTTAGTCTCTAACTTGGTACCTGACTCTAAGGCTTCCCGGCTTCCTAATAATACATTCCAACCCTACCCGTATAACAAATTTAGAGAGGCATACTATATGCAGGTGCCGTATTGGATATTGACTTCAGTTAGTAGAGCACTATCGCTACCTTACCCAATAGTATTTTCTACCACCGGCCTTCTACTCTAACACAATAACTTCATTGGTTAAAGCGACACGATTCTTATATACCTTACCCAGCCCCTCGTTGCCCAATATCCTCAGCCTAAGCAATATAACCATACGCTCGAAGTAATGTGAAGAGATGATCCCATTCCCAGGTCTCTTAAACACGGCCAGCAACTCTCGCCCTTCTTGCTTCTTCGTCTCGATTAGCCGCAACACGAGCCAAGAAGTCTTGCCGGTTGACATAAGACTCTTTTGACTTCCCAGCCAATTCGAGTTCGTCTTTGATACCCTCCTTGTCGACAAATCCCGCCCAGTCCATACGACTCTTTTCGACCACGTTAAGTTTCTTGGCCTTTGCCTGCTCGCGCAATTGTAATCTTGCATCCATGCCGAGATTCAAGTCTGCGCGCTGTGTCAACCCTTCGATGACGGGCTCGAATATAGATCGGAATGCTTTTCGAGGTTTCCGTCTAGGCTGACTGTCCTCGGCTTCCACGTCTTCGACTGACGTGGGATCTTGAGATGCTAGGTATAACTTTGCTTCCGCTGAATCTCGAGGCACCAGCTTTTCTTCGACGTGTACCTTACCAGCGAAATTGTAGGTACGCTTTATTTTTATCATTGATGCCAGCCCTTCTCCGTCTAGTTTATCTGCCTGTGATCTGTCCTTTGTACCTTTAGATTGCCCATCCGATCCTTGTTCCTGGACTGGCTTTGGGGTTTCTGTTTCCGTTTCTATATCTGCTTTAGATGGTATTAAGGGAGCGGCGGTCATTTTAGCCCATATATCGTCCACATCAATCGTTACTGGGCCGGTGGCTGTGCGCGACTTCTTTTCGACTTTCTCCGCTGCTCGCATACTCCGGGTCTTAATTAGCCCACCCTCGCCACCTTCATCATCCTCGACGTTGCCATCCTTTCGCTTTTCTTTCTTTCGTCTCTTCTTGCCCCTTTGTATTATCGCTTCGTCGCCTGAGTTCTCGAATCCATCGTTTGTATCTGCATCGGCGCCGCGCTTCTTACTCGGTACCGCGACTAGTTGGACTTCGTCATCTTCAGATTCTGAAGCCTCGGCGTCGATATCTAATGGTGCTGCGTCGGGCGCGAAATCCGAATCTTCTTCAGATGCATATTCTTCGTCTATGAGTGGCTCCTCGGCCATATTTTAATAAAATTGTTGTGAGCTTTCTACTTTAGATGGCGTCTATACGGGAAAATGTAATCTAGGTATTAGGTATTAGGTTATAGGTTGGAAGATGTTTGGCGCATGATTCGCGATTGTTAAAGAGCTTGGGGGATTTTTGGAGCTTATGTCCTTTATCTTATCGAGCCTACCAAGATGCATTGTGGGTCCATAATGTCTCCACTGAAGTGCAGGTATGTATAAGTCTATGTACTAAGTTGCTGTTTAAACTTCAAGTCTACCTACCTAAGGTAATTAACTTAAAAGTGCTTATAAATACATGTATGAATATTAACTTAGTTCTATTTATATAATAAAACCAAGCATCGAATATACATTAGGAGGTAGTTATGCTGATAATGCCTCTCAAATTCTTAGAACCCCCAGTACCCCTTCGCAAGATACGCAGCATACCCGCCCAACCACAAAGTCGTAGTCATGGTCCCCCAATAGCCAATTGGTCGACCCAAGCCCAATCCATTAATAAGACCCAGCTCCGCGTGTAGAACTCGGAAGGTCAAGAGGGCGGTGAGGGCGTTGCTGAGAGTCCTCTGATTTGCGCCGTTCAGTTCAGCGAAGGCTGCAATGATAAGAGCCATCGGTACATTTTCGATAAAATTTTGATGGCAGCGGCTAGCCAGATACAACTTGTTATTCGGGTCACCATTCTTGGAAGAATTGTCGCCGACATAAAACCGGTCCTTGAGACGGTGGTATACAACCCGACAGCTTAAAAAAACAAAGTATGCCGAGAATGGCATAGCAAAAGTACCAGTAACAGCTATCGTTAAGAGAATAGCTGTTAGTATTATCTTTATAACTAGGCCTAGCTTAAGTATAGATATAAAAGTAGAGATATAACTTACGCAAGAGGGGCGCAAGTGCCGAGGTCGTAATCCCAATTGTAGACGACATATTGATCGGTATTGGTTCACAACCTAGGTATTTATGAGTTGTTACTTAGGGATATAAGGAAAATGGAAGAGAAATTCTTTGATATAGAAGTCAATGGGATTCTCAAGCAGATGAAGCCGTTATATAGACTTGCCTTTTAGCGCCAACATCACCATTCGCGTGTATCCGCTCATTAGCATCCTTTGAAACGCCCGTACGAGATAATCCTTGCAACATGACTCATATCTCGTACGGGTAGCTATATTTATAATACATATTTATTGTTCACCCAGTATACGTATATTAACCCACACCGGAGCTTAAATGCTTCAGAGACGCTGCATTATTTACTACATCTTTCCTACTCAATGCATCAAAAGCCTCCACTCCGAGTTTTATAAGACGAGTAAAAGAATACCTTTATAATATTACCTTCCATTTTGGATCAGCTAGAGAGGTTCGATTGGCTGCATGGATTTTCGATGCCAAGACCCTTGCCGTCCTCAACAATATCCTCAGATCTTCCCCAGATTCTTAAATGCCCCCACAGTTTTAAGGTAAGATATTCTCGTGTGTAACCCAATTGTGTCATGAATGTCATAAAATCCATTGACGTCACTAACTTGAGCAGACGTAAGTAAAAATCGAGTAAGCACCTCTTATAAAGTCAGTGTCTTTCATCATTTCTAGCAAATTTCATATTTACTTTTCTATATCTTCTTCGTACCAATCACCAGTCATTATACATTCCAGCAAATCAAAACCATATCCCAACTTAAACACAATGTCTTCACAAAACAACAATCAGCAGCCCTCTCTTATTGGCGGCCACGTCGAATACGTCAAGGGAGCCACAGAAGTTAGTCTAATAAAATTACCTTATTATATCCACCAAATATACTAACAACAAATCAGTCAGCTATTGGCAGCGTTACTGGCTCACAGGCTTGGACTACCTCCGGAGAGCAAGCCAAGGCCCATGCCGTAGATACCATGAAGACGGCTGGCGAGAACCGCGATTCATCTCAAGGATTCGGCAAGGTCGAACAGAAGTTGGGTCAAGCTACAGGCTGTGAAGGTATGGTCAAAGAGGGGGCAGCTAGTAAGAAATCTGAATAAATGAAAAGAATCATTCACATGTAATAAACACTATATTGACACAATATCCAACTAACCTAAGTGACCTTGTAATATCATGTATATTATCATAGCTCACGGATTGAATACCTAGGTACCTAAGGTACCTTGTCTGTAATTGGCATCTCAACTACGCTCATTTTCAAGCGCACGCAATTGGTGAGGCATAAGATTACATTGTCAGTTCTATTAAGGTTTATGTTTTTATCATCGGGTATCGCGGTGACAGTCAAAAGGGTAGCATTGCATTTTCGGAAGACTGGGATTTATCATCCGCGTTGTATTATGTATACGTCTGTATTAAAATGTAGATAAGTTCTTGAGGTACCCAAAGGTGTCTCCGGCAAGGTTCCCTTTTAAATTATTAATAAGGGCGTCTTTAAACACGATATATATTGAAACTTCGGTTCACATGTTAAGTACCTAGACCTAATATTTATTGTACATATTGTTATAACCGCCGCAGTAAGTTGATTAGAAATAATAGTTCATGGCCTATTAGCTCAATTAGAAGGACCTTTAATACGTGAGCAATCCGAAGCTTCAATTTCAGGCTCTTATGCATTCTCAATTTGTAGTTAACTTAAGAAATACTTCTGGAAAACAAAAGGTTGCAAGAAAATGTCGGGTAGTAGTTAATACCACCATATGTCGCATTAAAGACTCACTTTAAAACAAAAAAAAAACAAAACAAAAGTTATATTTCTAGTGTGACATAACGGATCAAATAGATGTTCAATATGCCCCCCCTTACTTAATTTTCCCCTCCTTTTTCTTATCCATCTTTTACTTGGTGATATTTTCATCTATACTCCCTATGAATTTAAATTATAAGTATTTTTATTACAAGGTACCTAAGGTAATTTTTACTTTGGCATTGAGCTAAATCAGTATACTTCTATAAGCTGCTTAAATTTTTCACAACCATTTAGGCACATTAGAGCCTCACGATAAGAGGACAGAGGGGCACAGCGAGTGTGGGGCCCAGTACCTAATCAATGTCGTAAAGGTATAAAGTTACATTGCAGCAAGGTTCCGCAGTAGCTTGAATCACATCATATAGCGTACCTATATTTTCGATAAGGCCCGGTCTGATAAATCATCGGAATGACCGGAGAAAAATCCATTATTACTTTAGGTAAGTTTGCTGTTTTTATATTTTTTGAATTCTCGATTTATTTAAGTACCATTCAAGATATTATAAACATGTAAATAATATAAATTCAATATTTATAATACGATTGAACCATTAAGCATGGGAACAAACCAAGAAAAAAAAAAAAAGTAAGCTATCGAAATTCCGGTCAAGATATTGGATATGCATATTCTTAGACTTGGAATCACTTTTCGAGTCATAAATTGCATACCTTAGGTACATAAGTACCTCTAAAACATACTAAACATGGATGTATGCTGCCTTGGGTCCACTGCATCATGCTTGTAACCCCGCAGGCCAGCCCCGCTAGTACGTACCTAAATCAACAAATCCATATGTACGACCTGGCCAAAAATTGGAAGCTGGTCCCCTGTGGACCCTGGATTTAGAGGCAACCCTTAAAGGCTTGAAGGACTCTTTGGAAGCACCAAGGGTCTTTTTCTGGGCTGATCGTCCCATCCAGATTTTCCAACATTACTCCACCTAAGGGTCGTGCCACATTCTGCACATTCTAACTCACATCCACATAGTAACCCACACAGTAACCCACATAGCTTGGGCACACACTTTGGAGGGGACCGTCGGACTTATATAACTTTTTACGCTTGCGAGAATATTCTAACATCCTCAGACGGGTTTATAGGCTTTTTATTTTTTTTTTTCGGTTTAAATTTTTTTATTTTTTTACTCAACCCTACCGGTTTTTAAGCCCCCCACCCAACTCCATCTCAGAACAATACAATCTCTGAATAAAACATCATATCCATCGGTATTACTACTCTACTAGAGATCGTCTACTCGAGATCGCCTCGATTAGTTCGATCGATCGCAACCGAGAAACGCGGGACGGGAACTAAACCTGGAACGAAAAGCGTGCGCCGACGATCATCAGACATCTTACACAACCACCCCTTTCTAAAATCTTGATTCTAGGTTCAAATAAGCGTAGCACCTTGTACCCGCCACGCTGATCTGTGGCTAGCTTCCTACTTGCTAGGGTATCTACAAGGCGTCAAAGGACGATACACGACGTACGAGGAAGATCTATAGACAACTAAGCGATGACGTGCCCCTGATCAGAAGTGCGGTTCAACCCCCACCCAACCGTTACCGAGCTTCCCCTACGGTACCCCATATCGATTCCCGTATAAAAAGAGCACTAACGAGTGTTTGAGTGATGGACGAGTCCGAGGAAGAGGTTGACCCTCGTATCGAGTCGCTTCTACACCAGCGCCAATCATTGACCAATGACCTACTGGAGAATCCATACGACCTAATACTTTACATACAGCGCGCATTGGTCTATTCCGACTTAGCTTATCCCGACTTAGCGGCTGGTGACGCTTACCGCGCTCTGTTATTAACCGACGAAGTTCGCGATGAAAGTTTCGAATACCATACCCAAGCCTTTGAAGCCCTGACAGATTACGCCAATGGTCCTTTTCTAGAGGTATTAGACCATGGCTCTCTATCAGGAACTCAGGCTAGTTTGCCTCTGTTAGATGACGGCGAAAAGGATATTCCTGCCTTCGCTTCGTTGGCGTCTATTCGCTGTTATCAAATATTGTCCTTGAATCTTCTGCTATGCGGTTGTCTAAGGAGTGCTTACAACTTTTGCGAGCGCGGTCTTGCCATATCGCCGAATAACCAGGAGCTCCTAAACACGCGTGATTATATACATACTGTCAGCCAGCGTAGAATACGCAAGACGGTCTCTACTGCGAGTGATCTTCCGGACTGGGGCATGGTGCGTAGAGAAGTATATCCTTGGAATAGCTACGAACCAGATCGATTTTCGGACGAATCCTTGGCCGTCCTCAACGCTGGATTGACTGAGATAGCACCTAAATGTACTGTCCAAGTTGCAAAGCTACCTATACTGCTCGGATGTCCAAGCCGCACGGATGCGTACGATATTATTCCAACATGTAACCAACTCGGCGTATTTGCTAAGGAATACATCGCCCCGGGAGAAGACGTACTTGTGGAGTATTCCTTGGTTACGGCCAATAATCGTCTGAAAGAGTCTGTCTGTGATGCTTGCAGTGGGGAACTCCCACCTCTAGGAAGCGATTCGACTGCTGTCAACTGTCCAGAATGCTATGATACTGTGTTTTGTACCCAGTATTGCTTTGAGCAGGCCCAGAAGCTCTACCATCCAGCAGTTTGCGACAAGGATACGGATTCGATCGCCAGGGATCCAGATGCCAAAGAGGCTGATGCAACTTTACATCTTTTGCTGCTCGCGCGGGTTTTAGCCATGGCAGCTCACCAAGGAATTCATCCACTTGACGTCAACCAAATCAAATATATATGGGGGGACTTCATCTCCTCCCAGACCAATGAGATTGATTTATCGCCTAATGCCGGCCCACCACCGGATTGGACGCTTCCGTTCTCCTTTTCTTATAATATCGAGACGCCTCTTCACATTCTTGAGAAAATGGATATCGACATCTACGCCACCATTGCTGATTATGATATATGGGTATTTAATACCTTGTATAGTAAATTTCGTGGCACTGCTTCGGCTCGAAAGAACCCTAGAGATGGGCGACCTGATGTCGCTGCAGTGCACCCTTACTGGTGCCTTGCCAATCATGATTGCAACCCAAATGTTACGTGGGAATGGGGTGGTCGGATGGTGCTGAAGGCACGGGAGACGCGAGTTGTTGGGAATGCACCAGGAGGTATAGAAGTCGGAGAGGAGATTCTCAATCACTACTGTGATGTAAATCTACCTGTGAAAGAACGTAGGGAGTGGGCGAGCGGCAGTCTCGGTGGCTGGTGCATGTGCACTAGATGTCGCGACGAAGCTTCTAACTCCCAGAACAATACCCCTGGATAACTACTCGAGACACTCCTTAGAATCCATCTCTCGGGCAACACGTACACTACGGCAACGGGTCTGGCTCTTTCATGATTATACACGTGTCATGACTGCCGACTCGGAGATTCTCACCATTCCGCTTCTAAGTGCTCTGCTTCCCTTGATAATCATACCTTTTATCTCGCACACCAAGTTTCCATTATGGCCAACAATCGGATAGGAGGATAGACGGTGGAGATAATCGAGATTGGACAGGTTAACCTGCCTCGCTGCTCTCTAGAATAGGGCCGGTGTCCGGGGCATGTGCGTACTTTCTATGCTTACAGGACGTTATAGCGCAGCATTTCGAAGTCGGATGTGAAATGAGGATCCCCGCGGACGCCATCTATTTTTCGAATCTCTGCTCCTTTTTTTTTCAGCTTCTAACTCTTTTCCTTTCGCACACGACTGTATCTGAGTAGTTTGAAACCGCCCTCAACTAGCGAACTATCATATAGAAGGGCAAATTATCGAGAATCGTAAACGAAGAAAGGCCTGGATTGTTTTCTGAAGACTAAACGTAATATAGTCGCACCTTTTGAATCAGTAAACGAATGATACCAACAAGAATAGAATAGGGATGCTTCCCGATATACTATGGGAATACGCGGGTGCCTGTTCCTTTGTTGATTGTGTAGAGCGACTAGGTGACTTATGTTTGTAAGAAACCGATGTAATCGTGAGTTAGGTTGCTAGATTGGTTGATCGTTCCATCTAACAGCGACTAACTTGACACCACTATATTTAGGTTCTTTTACAGGTCAAAAACAAGCGTATATCTATCAACTAAGTCTTGACTGCTAAAATAAAATAAAATAAAGACGGCAGAAGAGCTAACTTAAAATTAGAGAAACCCATCTCTCACCCCTTTAATCTGCAAAATAAAAACTATTGCGTAGCCTAAGGCTTTAATGATAATAAACTAGGGAAACACAAAAATCACAATTCTACATAACTACCTATCTACTCCCTTAGCCCCTATTCATAACTCCGTGTTTAGAATCAATGTTTATTATTGCAAACTCAACAGCTAATTATATACTACATTAGCTACTCGCTAACTGCGTACGAGACACGGGGATTTACCTACCTATTGTTCACATCAGATAGGAATAACGAACCATCGTATCAACCAAAGTTAGTACTTGGTATCCATGGCACTATTCATTACTATAAGGTATAGTTTGTTCATAACTACCTGCCTTAAGTACTTAACTTGACCTAACCTAACCTAACATAACTACCAGTGAGTAGCGAATGCATTCATTCATTCCCCTATTCGTCTTCGTCTTCGTTTTCGTATCATGTCCACTCCATTCATCGCAACATAACTAAATTAACTAAACATACCATTAAGGGCATCTCCCTCTCATGGCAGAAAAGATAATTCCGATGCGTTGAAGAAAAATAAGCCCGACTGACTGATCGATAATAATAACTGCTTTTGAAGGGGGAAAAAACACGCGAGAAAAGAAGAGACAGAAAAAAAAAAGGTGCCGCGTGCTCAGTCGACATCAACAGACTTCGTACATCTCATCAAACGCCATGGTCCCTATGTACATCCTTCACCCACCCTATATTTGTTTACTGTTTACTCATATTCACATCATCCCTTCTACCTCACTCTCACCCACACTACAACGGTAGCGCGGGATACGCCGGCTGACTTGGCGGTCTCGTAGGCGAGTCGACATCCATCTCGCTTCCGCCTGACGCAGCCGATGCGGGCGACTCAGCGTCGTAGTCCTTGCGCTTGATGCGATCGATGACGTACTCGCGGAGGTACTCGATGACGCGGACGTTCTCGAGCCACGCCTCGTAGGCCTGATCCTCGCGGGCCTCGGCGCTGGCTTCTGATTCTGCGGAAGGCGAGCTGACGGCCGAGATAGCGGACTCGGACGCGCGAGGGGTGGTAGAGGGCTCGCGGTCGAGGTGAGGTCTGGTACCGGCGCTGGCACGCTGCAACATGCCGCCCGAGTAACGGCGGCGAGGATCGGGGTCAAATGTGGGACCGAGGGTTGATGTTGCAGATTGGCCGGGGTAGCCGGATGTGACGGCAGGAAGAGTCGGGTATAACGCCGATGTGGTCGAGCTATGGCGCGTTGAGGGCGATAGACCGGTAGAAGAGGCACTAGGGGAATGTCCGGAAGTATAGGACATGGAACTCGACGGGGGCGTCACGGCAGGAGTGCCGTTGGAATGGGTCGAAGAAACGGCGGTCAAAGGCGAAGCTACGTGAGCGGCCGAGTACGCATTATTGGCCATGGCGGACTGGTGCGGCACTGCAGAGTGCGGCGGGGACTGGCTGTGACGGAAGTTCAAGGGGAGGTAGTGCGAACCGGGTTGGTGGACTCCGGCGGCGGCGGCAGTGTTAGAGCTTTCATACACCGTACTCTGCATCTGCTCGAGGAGCTGGTCGATCTGAACGAGGTCGCTCTTAGTGCGGACGTTCGGCATAGGGGGTAACGAATAGTGCTGTTGGTACGGACCATGGCCAGCGGGTCCATCGACAGTCATGACACCTGGACTAGGGAGATACTCTGCTCCGAGGGAACCGGAATGAATAGGGAGGACTCCGTGTAAGGGCAAGAGTCTCTGTCCAACCTGAGCGTACGAGTTCGGGTCAAGGTGCCTACGCTTGGCATCGCCGAAAAACTCATTAAGCACATCGTAGGTACGTTTGCGATTGTCATATTCGGCGGCAGAGGCCTGGTAGCCCATGTGATCACCGCGACCGCCCATGGGTTGGTAATACATGGGACCTCCAAAGGAGGTTTGAGGGTGGTGCTGATAGTAACTACTTGGATGGCCGGCAGGATGAGGCGGCTGACCAAAGGCGGCCGAGTTAGTACGGATTTGACCATTGTGATCGTAATAGCTAGACGGAGCTATGAGGCAAATTAGCCTCCAAATGAGGAATTAGGAGGGGGGGGGGGTTCGAACTGAAGAGGGGATACATACCTTTTCCTGGAGCTCGATAACCTCCGTTCATTGGACCATGCTGGTCTGGTGAGCGGGCAAGGACAGAATCGTCCGCATGTGTCTACAATCGAAGTTAGTAGCCGAAGGAGAAGTAATATTCATTAACTGAGTAGGAAAACATATTACATACCTTAACATGTTTCTTTAAATCCTGGGGACGCTTGAATGACTTGCCACAGAAGTCACATTTGTGTGGCTTCAAGGGAACATGGACTCGGATATGTGATGTGATATGATCTCGCTTGACAGTGGTAGTCTTGCACTGATTCCACTGGCAAGTCAAGTTAAGATTATTTGTAGATTTGCGACCAACATGCTTTTCGCAAATGTGCTCCTAAATTACCGTTAGTTAAAGTCTATAAGGAAATAATAATAAAAATAAAAAACTTACGTAGAGAGTTTCGGCTGAGCCAAACTTATCGCTGCAACCAGTCCAGCGACATTGAAGGGAGTCATCTTGGGCCGGGGCGCTAGATTGCGAAGTTGCGGTTGTAGCTGTTGATGGTGCTGGGGTAGTGCCGTTGGAGGCCGAGCTTTCACCACCCGATTGGATCGGGTTGCTCTCGGGTGCCGCCGACATGGCTTCAACTTTCAATCCTTCAAATACAATTTAAATAAAGGATATGTCTTTCACGTGATAACAGAGATACACGTGATAAAACGGAACAACTTCGGAGGTATTCGGAACAACTATGGTAAATTTTTATTTTTCTTTCTGGACTTTGCTTTGGCTGTACCTATGGAAGTTCGGTGTGTTGGTCTTAGTCTTGGCAGTCCAAGCTCACCGGCATGTGATGCGACTAACGGATGCGGTAATGTCTAAATCGGGAAATGGTTATTTCGATAGTTGAATAAAATAAAATAAAAGCATAGAACAAACACTGGATAGAAAAGAGTAATTGAAGATTCGATGGTTTTTCCTTTTTTTTTTCGAATCCAAGTAGCAAACAATAATACTAAGATTCAATTCCCAAAGGAGCAAAGGGAAGAAAAGCCAGTATTGTCTGGGGGGAGAGGAACGTCGAGTTTATGTAAATCGAGCGTCGTGCTTGCTCCTTATTATGGACGTTTGACCTTGGCGATATCGAGGCGGAAAGTCTTGGCAATGGGTCTTGGGTGTAGCGGGTGACCGTTAGTGATTGGTTTAAGGGAAATGGGGGCAAACAAGTCAGGTACCTTATGCCGAAAGTGACTCGATCTATAGTGGGTAGTGACTGCTAAATTTGAGTCACCCCTCCTCAATAGTGACTTCCGTGCCAAGATAAAGCCAAGCTCTTGGCGCGTCTTGGCATTTGATGATTGTCTCGACATATCTGCCCAGAAATGTACCAAAAATGCTTATGGATGCTTGAAAAAAAGCTTGGAAATCCCTTGGCCGCCGGTTCCTCCTGCGCCGAGACTTGACTGCGCCCACCTTCTTCTCATTTTCCTAGTAACTTTTGGCAATGTCTACCAATGTTTTACTATTTTACTATTCTCCTACTCTATTCCGTATTCCGTACCCCTTTTGCATAATATCCCATTTCTTAAGTATGTACCTAACATACATGTATAAGAAACACATGCTTTATTTAGGTAGGTTAAAAGCTATCATCACTGATCATTACCTTATTACGTATCAAAGTATTACATACGATGACATTTTTATCTAATAAATAGCTAATAACTTGCTAGAATCGTCTTAGAAAGCACATCTATCGTATTCAGTTGCCAATTCCGTTACCTTTTTGGCTTTCGTAGTAATTTATTTTAATCGGCATCTTACATCCGTGAACCGTTGTTTGATCTCAAGTTTGGGATAGATAATACCTAACTACCACTTATACATATCACTTATAAAGTATACTTGCTCTTCTCTTTGCCTTGCTCCCTTTCCCCCTTTCCCTTTAATCATCTGACCTTTTTCACTTTTAAAAGGCCGTCCATTCGTTTTTACATCTCTATAATAGCCTAGAGGTTTGCATCACGTTACGATACAACGTGGTTTACACCCTCTTGCCGATTTTCCACATCCGTTTTTCCGGTATTGTAAACCACCTCTTGATAACATTGTCATTGTTGACGGCTATGACGGCGGACAGAAAGTCTTGGTATCTCTTGGTATTCTGGACATGGTGTTCACTTTAAAAGGGGTGGTTTACGCTCCGCCGGTGGCCAAGCCTTGGTCTTCCTCTCCGCCCGCCAAGTTCTTGGCCATGCACTTGTTAACTGCCTTTTACTTGTATCGGCAACGAGAGTACGGAGTACGGATAAACGACATGTCGATTACCTGTTTAGTCTGCATCTTGAGAAGTATCTATAGCCAACACTCGGCTTGTTTAAACGCCTGCTTAAAAGTTGGACGATCTAGGATGATCCCTTAGAAAGTTCAAGAAGCTTACAACTTCTATAGTAGCACAGCCTTGTCCCGGACGCCCAGATGCAATTAGCTAGCTCAGCAAAGACAAGAAGCGGAAGATGAGCTTGTCTCTTACCGCGTTTAGTATTGGAGCAGTATAATGCCGCACTCAACAGACCCAAGAAATTTGCCTCATATTTAACCAATCTCTGTTCGGTAAAGACGTGATATAAAGTAGTATTAATTATCGTCGCCTTTTCATTGGCACCTTGATTAGTTTTTACTAATTGCAACTTAATGTTTTCTTTCTTTGGTTTCACTCGGCCATCAGATCTGACTCAGCTGTGTACTTATAAGCCATACCGGTGAAATCTCTTATATGGCATGCGTCTTCCTAATATTGCGATCGGACGCCTCTTGCAGATGATGGTGTTAGCTGAGCTGAATTGTCATCTGCCATCAGCCAATTTGCTAGTAGCTAGTACTTTACTAACTTATCAGTTACTTTCTACCGTATATTAGCTTATCCTACAAACGGTAAGCGTCAAGGAGATTAAGTTCTCTCCTACGAGGATATATCCCAGCTCTGTTTACACTTAAACCTGGTCGCATTATATATTTCGTAGATCTCTGCAAGTTTACAGGAGGACTATAGATTAGTTTCACAGCCTAGTCTACGCAAAACGTCAATAATATAAAGTCATAACTTGGCAAGATAAACGCAATGGAACCAAATTGGGCGAGAACCATACGCCAAGCATTTCTCGGTGAAGAGTCTTAGCTGATCATGATACGACTTAGAGTAGGTTTTATTATATACTTTGCTCATTATGTCATAATATCAAACAAGCCTCACTCAACTTAATCAAGCCAGTTTTATTTGCTTAGGTATCTATATGCAAGAAATATGAGAGTTGAGGGGCCATATTTATATTTGTTCTAATATACTAAACTAACCCGAAAGAAATAGTTAGTTAACTATAACTAAAGTAAACAAAACTGGAGGCTCCTTCGCCGATTATCTTCACATTCAAACTAGCCCATCTGCTTATAACTATTAGTAACTACTAAAGACTCGACAGTAAGCTTTCATGTTAAGATCATGTATATTACTAGTGTGCTATATGATGAAAATCGATTCCCATGTCGTCGCTAGTTTCCGCGTAGAATATATCCACCCGTCAAGGACATCGAGATCAATTATCAAGACCACCTACGTCATCGAGTCCAAATATATTTATCAAAAAGCTTGCCCATGAGAAATTCTTATTGCCATACCTCCACCCATATTTGAGGAATCTACATCTTTTCGCAGGACACATCCTGATTATCAGCCCTATGAACTAGGTGCATATAAATACTACTATAGTTACGATAACCTCACAACTGGACACTACGTATCGAGATCTCATCAGCTCTTACGACTAGCAGACACAAGATGCAAATATGGGTTGGACGATTGGTGCTCTCATTCATTGTTGAGTGGCGATAAACGTAGAGCTAGAAGGCTGCTAATCCAACTATCCTTCAAAAAGGAGGCTCTTGTCTTTTTCCTTCTCTTTGCACTGCCTAGTGCGTCTCCGTATGTCTTCGACAACATAACACTATCATTGTTCGTTTGTCGATAATATATATGTTGCGCGACGAACCACTTTTTGCAAATGTTCAACTCGGCTCTATTCTTCACACGACCAATTTGCTGCCAATTTGGCTATGCCCGTCTATCCAGGTAAACAATATCAATAACCCTATCCCTATCCCTCTCCTACCATCTTTTTTCGCGTACGGTAGTACCCGTTAATTAAAATGTGTTAATCCAGGCTCTTGCAAGTATATGAAGCAAGTGTAGTTGTTATATCTGCCTGCCAACCATAGAACGAGTCGTGTTCTGCTCCTTCGTGGGTGCTGTTGAAGCAGGGGTATTTTCTGCCAGCGGAAAATAAGGTGATTAAAATCGAATATTTACGTCGCAATGGGGTATAAGTTTTAAACGAAAATACTGTCGAAGGCATCTGACACCGAGCGCACGAGGACTAACCACTGGCTCAAGGCAGCCATATTCCTCTAGGTCGATGCCGGCAAGCTCCGATAACATATATCAGGCAAATTTGCCGCAAGATTCGTGAATCGCGTAGCAACTAAAAAAAAAAAAAAGGAAGACGAAAACAAAACTCCGAACCGCTCGCAACCGCGGAGATGCGACCCCTAGGGTTGAGATTATCCATGCAATATGCCGCCGACAAGGACAATGTTCCAAAACCATGACATCCTTATGATGGGGTGTTCCCTGATTGTCCTTAGAAATCAGAGACGCCGGATGTTGGAAATATGCCGGATAATAAAATAATGTTGATCAAGGTGAATTATCCACCATGATGAAGAAATGACACAGAGCTAACCAGTCTGGCCAGCCCGGTCAATAAAACAAACCAGGTCCACCCGAGCCGATATGTCACCTAAAAACGCCGCCCATGCTGGATTATTATACAGAACCGAGTTGTAAAAGCGCCTGGATTGCTTCGCGCTCCTGCGCATCTGACGAAGCCGCCAATGCATCCAAGTCGATATTATCGAGACGCGGCTCCCGAAGCATGCCTGTGTTGCCAGAGAAGGATCGGAAACCATGAGAGTTATATACATGGGAAGGATAGTTTGCACCTTGGCGAGCCTCAGCCGGATTCGAATACGATGCGGCCCGTAGTGCAGCAGCTCCTACAGCTGCCCAATCTTCGTCGTCTGTGGCATCCTCCGGATCGTCATTCATGATCATGTCTTCATCGTCGGGTGCCAAAGAGCAGGAAGCTGAAGCGGGACCATCTAGAGAGTCGAGGGACATTTTATCGGCCTCGTTCTCCGTCATGGTCACATCCCGGTCGTCATGAGAAAAGGCTGCCGAATTCCCGTTACTAACTGCTCGTACGTTCAAGCGGGATCGGTCAGCATTCCATCCAGCACCTTTCGAGATTGGTATACTGGTAGGAGGGATTCTAGAGTCGCCTTGGCTAACGGATTGTCGAGACACCGCATCTCGAGCAGCTTGACCCCGTCGCCTAGCATCCCACCGACCCCATCCAACCTTTTGAAATTCCACGTCACCATCGACTCCACCGCCTTCGACGCCGTGTCCTTGTCCACGTCCTTCCAGTGCTGCCACAACTAACCTTCGTGCCTTCGGCGGGGGGATTCCTGCGAAGCCGGGAACCGAGGTAGTCAAGTAGCCCATGATATAGCGAATGGCCAAGGGGCCGTGGTTCAACAGAATCTCGGGAAGATGATACTTGGCAAGTAAGGCCGGGGTAATAGTCCCTGTGGATTCGAAGGATGGTGAACCGATAGGGCTATGTTCGACGCCTTCGTGAAGGTCGAGATCCGAGTCGATACAATCGAGCTTAGCCTTGTGTAGCTGTGCCTTTAGGCCATGAGGCGGCAGCGTAGGTGATATGGAGTTGGGGGGAGTCGGAAGAGAATGAGTTCGTGTCACAGGGACGCTCCGAGCAGCCGCTACAGCAGTTAAGTTGTCTCGGCTGAGAAGGGAGGTCTTAAGGATATCGCGAGCAGCAGAAGCCGATGCCATAGTTGCCATTTTTCGGTAATTAAATACTTCGAGTTGTATCTATAATGTGAAGCGATACAGAATTAGATTATGTTTATGTTATATATAGATAGAATATTTAGGCTAGGTGAGCCTTGAAAGAATGGAAAAGAGAATATGCTCAATGATGACTGTAGGCTGAGTAGGCCAAGTAGGCTGCGGGTGAGTCACTTACAAAAACAAGCCCGAAGTAAAAAAAGAGTTGCGGTATGGCGATAGAATTGTTTTGTTTTATTTTCTATCTGATGGAAAGAAAATAAAAAAAAATCAAATTTAAATTTAGGCGAAATGGCAACGCTGACGCGATTCTCTTGACTGCGACAAAAGATAACTCTTGGGGGGTGCAAAATGATGCGGTGATGTTAATTTGTTGTGTTGTTGATGTTTCCTTAACGAAAGGAAAGATCAACGTAAAGAGCGAACGACGGCTGCGACCTACTAATGTAATCCTCAATTGCTCATACAATGAACAGGAAACAACAGAAGGTTCTAACTGGCGTGTATACCGTCAGGGGGGTGTTGTCCAGCAGGGTCAGCAGGTGTCGCATGGCGCACAGGGCGCAATGCACGCAGCTGATTGCTCAAGAATAGTAGCCAAGATGTGGTCCTAACAAAAAGGAGTAGTGTATTTAATGAAAAGTTATGTTTGTATTTATGATGTACATAATTTACCCTACTACATATGGTACGTACCTTGTACCTGACAGCACCTGCAACAAAAACATTCAACCATTAGTGGACCTAAACATGGGATCCTACATACACTAAGGTATCTAAGGTATTCCCTCTTGTCTGACACTTTAGGTACACTTAGGTATGTATTTAAGATATTTAATCCACTAATGCAATTTTGACAGTACTTTCATCCGGATAGCCTTTGAAAAAGGTAAGAAACTTATATGGTACCTAGTTACATTTACCGCAACCAGCCTTTTTAAGTCCTAAGCTCCATACAAAGGAGTCTTACGTATTCCGTATAACCGCAACAACAGCACTACATACAGCCCAGCCACCACAGCACAACAGTTTTAAACCTTGGATGTATGTATACATAACCATTTCATTCCTCTAAGCTATATGTACGTAGTAATATCTAACGTAACGGCCTGAGTGTGGTCAACGTTGTACCGTGGCGAGTATTGTGTATGTGTGGTCTTATATGGTCTTATCATCCAGATGTTGACTAACAGGGCACAGCCAAGGGTTGCGCTAAATCTAAGAAGGCCTGCCACTCTTTGACATGGCATTTGGGCACTTGGGCACTTGACTCAAGGTAGTTGTCATTGAATAGATTAAATCTGTCAAGCATGTACTTACCTAAAAGCGAGGTATAAAAAAAAACACTCTTTGTAGGTAGTTTATCTTTCTTTAAGTACATACATATCTAGGAATATGCCGCAAATGGAACCTTCGGTGCATTCTAACTACCTAATAAGTACCTATATACTACTTCGTACCTAGGTAATCAATTATGACGTGGGTCACATATCTCACATATCTTCGCTTTCGGCCTGCCTTGACGGCTTGAGCCTGCTTACCCGTACCATGTACGCGCAATACGTAAGCACTATAATATACCAGATTCCCGTGACAGGCAGGAATATGTAGGTACAGTAATAAGACGAGGAAGATAAAAATGGAATTTCTTGGATAATCCGCATCCCCTTCTATATTCTCTTATATATGAAGAATATCTAGGGGTGTCCCACGAAAAAAAACTCGTGGGGCGTGTGTATGCCCGCTCTGGGGACAGCTCTGATACAAAAAAAACCGCCATTGAGCCGAGAGGATCAAAGCCATCTATCATAGTAGTATGTATTTGAACCCCCCTCCACCCCGGCTATCTCGCATATCAAGGGATGGAATGCCGCTATCTCTATCCAAGAAGTCATTGGGTTCCACGTCTGGAGAAAGCCCTGTAGCCAAGCCGAGAACAGAAATCCTCGTTATCAACGTGCAGGAAATCTCCGGCAGCATGAGTATATGTGTACATAGTATAGATGTACATAGTATCGGGGACACTTTTCGTCACACGCTTTGCAGTCTAATTGAAATGCATCCGGCTTTGGTAGGATAAGAAGGTAGGGTGCGGATCTCATCCCCGTCAATTGAATTGGGAGACAATACACCAAATGTTGGCATGTGCAGCCTCAACCTGGCCTGTCCATCGGCTATGCTGGTCGTTCTGTGTGTACCTACATATTAGTCTACTAATTTATCTGGTTCCTCGCTAGCTAACTTGCTGATTAGCAAGGGCACACGCATCTTGTAAAATCAATTGAGTTCGAGACTGCGTAATTAAGTAGGTCGAATTCGGTAACACATGATTCCCGAATTTCGACGGTCATAGACCCAGGAATGCCTCACGTTGCACAAGTGCGGTACTGTGATTGGTTCAAAACAACCATCGTGATGCGCGAACTTGCCCCCATTTCACCAACCTTTAGCTAGCCGCAGCGGGTGCCAACCGGTGACGAAAGGACGCACCGGAATAACGGGGCTAGAAGCGCTTTAATGGCTTGCGTCCAGAGTTGTAAATGCTAGAACATAGTAGCTTTGCCATTAATAACGACCCGTCGCTGAAACGGTCAGACGTAAGTCGGTTAACTAACTAGTTAGCCAGCAACCTAATCTTGATAGTGTAGGTTATAGTGTAGGTCCAAGTGTAGGTCCAAGGACGGTTACCCGGTAGCCGACGAATGTGTTAGGTTAGGATATGGAGAGGGTATAGTCAAGTCGTACACGATCGTGAATGGTCGTATCCGAAGAGGGGTTTGTGTTTTCCATCTGCATCTCGACTTTGTAGAGTTCGACTAACCCCACCAGGAAGTTTCGCGAGAATAGCCCATCATCCAGTATGATTCCCCCACGTTCTGGGATAACGCGATCCGACGACATGTTTTTAGGTCGGTACTTAGGTCGGTGGAGATGCGCGGGTGTCACATCTACATACGTATATGTATGTAGTATGTATGTAAGTATGTCTTGCTCTAGTTATACCTAAGGTATGTATCTAGTTTCGCGACACCCCATGGCCTATGGCCTAGGTTGACCATATGGGTGCAACTCGAGGAATCGGGTCGTTGGGTACTGCATTTGCGTTTTATCCAATTCGAGAATGAATACTTCGCACGCACGTTTGCCTCAACAAAGTTCAGCCCATCGCTGAAGCCCATTTTGCCGGAAGCACTTCATCAGGCTGAGAGTCATCTTCTGAATCTTGCAGGGCCGATATTCGGAGTAGGCCACGGTTATACAGTATGTTGCTTCCATCAACCACCATCTTTTTTAGCAAGGATTCGGTCCGCGAGAATCTTGTGCTGTATGCGTATGTGTTACTATTGAGCGGGTAGGACTCAAGCAAGCTTTCACATTCTTTACGATTCCTTCGCGAGTTTCAATGGAACCTTAATCATACCTATTGGCACAACCGAGCCAACAATCTCTTTCAGCCGCCATTTTGTTGGAGGACATACTGCCGGCATGCCTGTATGACTTTTGATTAGTTCTTGCTCACACCTATACGAGACTAAGATATAGAACCAAGATATAGACTTACCGCTTTAAGGATGTTCAATTTCTCCTTTGATTGTAAGTAGACCTGGCGGTATTGCTGAATGCTCTCGTTTAGAACTACCTCTTTTGTTGTACGGCCTTCGCAAATGGCTTTCATCTTCAACTCCATTTCCTTTCGTAAAAATGGTTTGCCAAGGCTGGTATCAAACTCCATCCTATCAAACCCTTCAATCAAAGCTACACCCAGTTTGGTCGGGATGAATTCTTTTACACCTCCCCTCCCACTAGCCGCAGATCCCCCACCTCGACCTCGACCGCCGCGACTGCCGCGACTACCTCGCCCTCCTCGTGCAGCTGGGGCATCTTCATCTTCATCCTCACCGTCTGCTGCTCGTGTGGTCCGGGATACAGCACAAACATACTCTCTATCTTGAATCTTCTGAATATGCTCCGCCATCGTAGCGTCTGTCCCAATCCCGTTGGCATCCATGAGAGCAATCAGGTCAGCTTCAGTAAGATAATTAGGAGGCGCAGTCTTGCCCTCCGTCATGAGAGCTTCAGTAGGCTCAAAAAGCTCTCCAACTGTAAATTTTGGTAGTTGTCCAGTCCCGGTCCACTTATCATACACGTAGACATCTAGATAATTTCGCTCTAGGACAACGACGCCATGAGCGTGGAAAGATTCCTCGCCGTATAAAATGTCGACGTCTGTAGCAGCACCTTTAGCATCCTCCGAGCAGCATGCTAAGAATCGTCTAACGACAAATTCGTAAACCCTCTTTTCTTTATCGCCGAGGATTGTAGGTGCCGCGTAAGTGATGGGGTGTATCGGGGGATGCGCTTTATCATCATTTCGTCCCTGCCGCGGTTGCTGAAATCCACCATTGACTAGATTCTGTGCGAACTCGCCCCACGAATTAGATGGCGTTTGCTTCTGTACTAATGCGCGTAAGTTCATACCAGAATCAAAACGGTCGGTTTCCGTTCTGGGATAGCTGATAAATCCCTTGTTGTAAAGGCTTTCTGCAGCTTCCATCGCCTGCTGACCCGTCATATGCAAAAACCTAGTAGCCATCTTTTGCAGTTCTACTGTGGTCAGCGGCAGAGGTTTCCATTTCTTCGTTGGCTTCTCCTGGACCTTGGTCACTTTGACCGTTTTCGCCGCAAGGCATCTTTCGTAGAGAACGATAGTCGATGCTCTATCAAAAAGGCGATTGCGTGACCAACCGAAATTGACATTCATGCCTTCCCGTTTGTGCATGACTTTGATGCTCCAGAATGGTTCTGGCTTGAAATTCCTCACTCTGAAGTACCGGTCTACTACGAATCCCAATGTTGGGAATTGGCAGGACCCTATATCGTTAGAACTAGATTATCCGATAAATCTTAGAATGCACTACAAACCATAGCTTAATACAAGTTTTTCGAAGGGCCCTCCTAAAGTCCTTAGATTTGTGGTTAGAAACCGAGTAAAGGCGTACCCTATCCTAAGATCCAGTTCGATTCGAGAAGATACGGCATTGACTTGCTTGTGATCGAGATCTATAAGGCTTCGGGCTGCGTTCAAGATATGCCTAAATTTCGTCTTTAGCTAGAAATTCAACGAGGGTTTAACGGAATGGTAGACAGACGCTCTCTCGATGTTACTGAACTTGGCCCTCTTAATATCCAGAGTCCTGTTGCCCTTTCTAGCGGCCTCGCATATTTCATAGCCTATGTGCTCGCCTTCACGATCACAATCCGTCCAGATGCATAGAGCATTGGCGTAGCGTGCCTGCTTCTCGATATTGTCCGCCACCTTAGTTTTATCCTGTGAGATATGTTAAACTCTACTCGGCATATAACCTGAGTAGCTATAACGCATACCTCGGAAATGATTATGTTCACAGGCGCGTCAAATAAGCGCTCGGGAGGCGGGTTTTCCCATCTTTTATATTCGGCAGGAAATACAGCCGAGGTGAGATGACCAAGGACAGAAGTCATGGTAACATGGCAACGACCCCAGGGGTGTCCGAAGTCGTAGTCAAAAACATAGTTCTTGATGTACTTTTCGGGCGTGTTATGCTAGACATGCGTTAGCAGGCAAATATTGTGCAGACTGACTATATCATGTAAGATATCATCTGGAACTAACGCTTTGAACCTGACCACCTGAGAGATGGCCTGCAACAGCTTTCGCGATGGAGGGTTTCTCAGCGACGCAGAGGACTCTCATGGTTGATTTGAGTCGCGTAAGAAATGTAGCAGAGTAAAATGTTAATAATACCGATACTCGACGTGCCCTTTCTACACGACACGAAGAGCTAAGCAAGCATCTCATGGGTAACGATTGTTCCTTGAAGTCGGGAACGGTAAATGATTAAATAGATCACATCCATGTCAATCCATTTTTTTTTTGAAAATGGGTTCTAAAGAGTTGTTCAAGTTAGGTTAAGCATCGAGAACTGTGTGGATCAGTTTTATCGTGTACTTTATTGTGTGTAGGTACTAGGTAATATATTCATCGTGTGCCTTCCCGACTTTTTATTTTTATTTTTGCAGTTTTATTTTATTCGATACTTCTCAGCCAATACCCTGAAATAATTTAAACAGGTACATTATCTGATTGGTGTTTAGGTAAGGCTTTAAGGTTACCCCAGTAGCCCCAGTCGCTACCCTACCTATGATGCCGTTTACCCCTGCTCCTGTTCCAATAGTGAGGTAAACAGTTAAAGTGGCCCAAAGTGGCACAAAGTGGCTCGTGCTATTATTTAGGTTAGGTTAGGTACTTTAGAGCTTTAGCTAAATGTCGACTTTCTTAAGCAAAGTCATGACGTGGTCCAACAATTGGAAGTACAATAGATAATAGGCAATATAATATTTCATCACCATCTCTTATAACCCTCCCGAAACGTCCGAATACGTCTCGAATTGAAAAAATGGCTTTACCTTGGGTAAAGAAGCTCGAAGATTGCGCCGACTACTCTCAAGTAATTGAGCCATATCTACCACAACTCTACGATCTCCCTGGGAAGATAATCCATGCCACGTCGAGTCACGGATCCTTCGTCGAATTATATAAAAATACTAACCCGTTCATATCGGGGCTTGGTTTTTCTATATTCCTCGGTGCTGTCTTCTTAATTGTATCCGAAATCAATCGTAATTACTCCCAGGTTGATCGCATGTGGAGTTTATTGCCAACAATATACAATGCACATTTTGCTGTTTGGTCTCATCTGAATGACCTTCCAAGCCAAAGGCTTGACCTTGTGCTATTATGGAGTGCAACATGGAGCGTGTGTGAACACATAAGTAAATCTCTATTATTGACTGTGTAGCTAATATTTATAAGGCTCGGTTGACGTACAATTACTTCCGGAAAGGTGGTTATAATGTTGGTTCAGAGGACTATAGATGGTGTGTCATTCTACTGTATTATCCTCCGTCCAGTTGTCTAATTTAATCTATAGGGAAATAATTCGGAGCAAAGTACACCCGGCGTTATTTTTCTTATTAAATATCACTTTCATCTCCTTCATTCAAAGCATATTGCTCTTCTTACTAGCAGCGCCGACATATATTATCCTACTATCGTCAAACTTTGAACGAGAGGTTACAGCGGCAGATATTGCTTTCACGGGAATTCAGCTCGGACTCATACTCTCCGAATGGTTCAGCGACCAGCAACAATGGGGTATGTAGTGTTCTTCCTACTCTGTATACCTCCACTAACAATGGGATATTTAAGACTACCAGCTAGCCAAAAAGGAGTACCAACAAACGGCCAAGGTACCACGGGGCTACGGTTTTACCCAGGAGGACCTTGATCGAGGTTTCATCACTTCCGGGTTATGGGCTTACTGCAGACATCCTAACTTCGCAGCCGAGCAGACTATCTGGTTCATTTTATACCAATGGAGCTGTTACGCAAGCAAGACCCTCTACAGCTGGGCAAGTCTAGGCCCTTTGTTTCTAATCATGATCTTTCAGGGATCGACCTGGCTCACGGAACTGATCAGCTCCGGAAAGTACGCTGAGTACAAATTTTACCAACGACAAATCGGGGCTCATATACCCAGCTTGACTCCGTATAAAACTCCGACGCCGAAAGTTATTCGGACAAGCGAGTTAGCAAAACGACTGGAGGCAAAGCAAAAATAAAAGGCACTCCAATATGTAATCACCGGTAGACGGTGTAGGCTGGGTGCGCTCACATGTGCATACAAGAATGGTCTCACGACTGCATAAGTTTGTAGTCTACTGCAGTATGACGCCAACATACGACCCCATTTGGAAGATTGAAGCTTCATCACGATAATCTATTTGTCCTTGTAAGATGCGGGGGACGTAATGCATGAGAGTAGGTAGTTGATATTAAATAGTCCAGTTATTTTACAGAGTACCGATTGTCTTGTTCAACAAAATAACCCACAGACGGTCAACAATTTCCTCTTCAAATACTTTGCAGGTGATGGGCATGCGCCTCTTATGTGTGATGCCGAAAGAGACCAGGTTTGCTACGCAGGCTACGATCCTTCAGGCCCACAATTGTCGGACGCCCGATAAGACTCAATACGGATGGTGATGGCGGACAGCAGCATATGGAAACGCTTCCTCGCATACCTAGGTAGGTAGGTAGATACCTAAGGTATATACTTTAGGTATAACTAACCTACAACGAGCAAAGTTACATCTATGCGTCTATGTCACCTGCTATGTCATCCCCTAAATCTTCTATTCTAGAAAGTGAGAAGACGATCCCTTCAGGTTACCCCAGATCGGCTTATTTGGTCGAATATCCCCCCACGAAAAGGTTACATTCAAAGTAGTAGTGTGGCCAAGCGTAATACGTCTTTACGGTATTGTAATTCGTAGACATAGGTAACTCGGCTTTAAGCAACCGACGACCGAATTAAATAATAAGTACTAATAATTGCTAATAATTGCTAATACATACATCCATGGATAGCTGCTTCGCTTAGATGGACCCCGTGCTGTTGTGGTAGTCCTTCGTCAAATTGGCTATTGGCTACCGTCTACTGTCTATCGTCTATCGTCTCCCATCTCGTCTACATACCATCTACCGAATAAATTGATCACGTGCCAATATATACTTGCGACAATGCCTTTGGGAAAATAACATATCATTCTTCCCTGCTAAGGTAAGAGATCGTCAGACCAACGTCGACTTGCATTTGGTATGCTAACTTACATATGCTGTACATATGAAATGGTGAGAAAGATCAGAGCGATCCAACCTCGAAGGTTCCACCGCTGACTGCCACCCTACCACCCCATTCACACCAACTACTTTCACGATAGTACGCACCGTATCATGCCCAGGTGCTTAGGAAAGTGGGGCCGAAGACCCTGACTGACCCTGACTGACCCTGATTGCAGCTAGTGAGTAAACTAATATGCTAATCTAGTATAATAATTCAACGCTGACGATACCCTTGCTTGCATCTGTTGGTAAAACTCGGCGGTGAGAAATGCTGTTCGACCCAAGATGCATGCAGCATGCAGCATAACATGTTAGTGTAGTAGATCCATCTCCCGAGCCTGGAAGAGAGTGGGGGTTCCATTAGATGAAGACTCAATATTCTCTCTTTCTGCTTACACGTAGTTACTCACTCATTCAAGTGAGACGTATACATAAGTCTCGTGCCCTCCTCGAAATCTTACTCCCCTTTCCTTTGTCTCCTCAATTATCTCCGTATTCCGAGGTTTAAATATAAACCCTTTACCCACTAGAGCGGGACGAAGACGTTTTCTAGAAAGACTACCTATATATAATATATCCAACTACCACTGACTTTCACTCCCACTCCTTACTACGTAGCAAATAGTCTCAATTATTAAAACGTCCGACTGTTGTCTCTACCCCCTTTCTACTTTGTACAGAACTATCAGCCAGCTTAAAATATCTATTTACATTATCACCATGTCTGGCACTTGGGAAGCACTTATGCACATGATGCGAAACCGCGTCTCATTCTTCGACGGCTCCACGCCAGCCTCAGCGCAGTCCCCGGCGAAGGGATGGAGGGTGTCCAAGCAGCCATCCGAAGCCGCCGACAGCTACTTTCCCGAGCGAACGCCGTCGCCTACATCATCTATCTCGGAGGCAGAGGACGACGGTCCCACGCCCGTCACCAAAGCAAACCGCATGATCGGTTCCGAATATCCCATCCCGCCACTAGAGCGGGAATACAGCCGTCCCACCGAGGAGCTCGACGTCGCGCAACAACTAGCCAAGAAGCCACTGCCGCGATCGCTACACAGCTCCCTCCAGCGCGCGGCCTCGAACACCGCGCAGAGGCCCGTAGACGACGAGGAGACGAGACGACAGAAGCTCGCTGCTGCTAAGAAGGAGATACTCGCCCTGGCCGGCCAGATCTAATTTCGGGTACCAGTCTAGAAGCTTGAGATTTTTCTACGTAGGGTTATCGTCTAGAATGGTAGAGTGGAGAAAAGGGGAGGGGAGGGGAAAGGAGGGGGGGAATACTAAGGCAAACCGACATCGCATTGGGCGAGCTTCCCTTTGTATGCATTATACCCAGGGATCGGTGCGTATTGGATACGCTTACTGTTTCGGAATGTTTTAAACCGGCGTACTGTTGTGTTGGGACAGCGGAGATTGAGGGCAAATTGTACTGGGATTCCTAGCAATTTGGCGCTCGTGCTTTTTTTATTTATTTATTTACGGAAGGACTGGGACTTATTCAGTAGTCGAATATTTATATTATAATAAATTGATAAATTAACAGTCTGGTCCCCTAATATCGTATGTACCTCGTATCGTATTTATTGGCAGTGATGAATTTATGTCTCATCCCTTTTTCATATACACATAATTCATTAAATATCATCCATTTATTAGCCCCGTTTATACGAGTCGGGAAGATAGGTTAATGCCGTAGGCGACTGTTGCAATTACCGTGATGAGATTAGCAAGCGAAGAGATGCCGTGGAGTTGTCCGAACTTCTTGTTCAGCGCAGTCATCTCCTCTGAGTGAGAACCTTTCTCGTAACTTGCTTTGCCATCTTTCTTTTCTAAGTCACGGAGCCTTGTTAGTCGAAAACTGCTCGATTGTTCCTGGTCCCTCTCTGGCTTACCTTGCTCTCGCCTCAAGGCGGTTATCTTGTTCGTCTCGGGAAGTAGATATACCAAATTAACAAGCCCTGTTACGAGTATGGTGCCAAGCGGCGCGAGTACACCCCAGCGGTTTGACGGGTGGAACACACCAGCGAGGCTCGAGGCAACGCCTAGGGGGTTCTTACTCCCAGGATATGTCAAAGCGAGAAGCACGGGGGCGGCAGACTGGATGCCGAAGTATGCGGGGAAGACGGCACGTTGTAGGATTGCGAATTGGGGTCGCTCGAGAACTTTGAAGGAGAGTATTGAGTTTATAAAGGTCTGGGGTTTTTTTTCGTTGTTAATTGATAGATTCCGTTTATCGATAGAATTGAAGCGTCGAACTACTTACATGGAAAACCTGCGTTCCAAGTAATGTACCGTAGCTGTATAAGAGTTAGCATAGTTCGTTAATTATACCTATCATAGAGCTATGAACTGACGATAAGACCTGGTAGGGAGCTAAGGTAAGGAGGATGTGTGACATATTGGAGCTTGACTTTAATATTTTCTTTTTTTAATAATGCTATATTCCGTAAGGGAAATTGAGATATATCAAAGCTAAAGAAGAGATATCCGAGACTTTGTAAACCGTTAAAAAGTAAAAAGTGATTTTTAGCGATTTTATCAAGGTAAATATAGCCAATTGACAATAATGACGTTTGAATGTTGGTGGTATGTTGTCCTGGCCCCTCGTAGCCTCAATCGTGCCATTCGGAGTTCCTCGGCCGAGGAGCTTGGGCCATTGGCTGATTGATTGGTCCAGGGCCATTAGGCGCATAGGCACACAGTCAGGTGCTCGCGCGATTGTCTGTGGAGACAGGAACGCGCCTTACACGTAAATTTATAGTAGGTGCCCAGCCTGCAAGCCCACTAACCCACTAACCCACCAGCCCACCTTAGCTCAAGGTACCTCCCATATACAATATACAAAGATACTTGTCACTTCTAGGCAGATGTCGTGCCTCATAGATCATTTCTAATGCCATCTTAAGGAAACTTCCTAGTATGAGTCTTCTCATAAAAAGAATATCAAGGTTAATGGCCTAATAATTAACTTCTATAATTAACTTCTATTCATCCTCTTTTCTCATCTCATTTATTTCGACTAATAATCTACAGTATCACTGCGACAATGGCGGACAAGGAGGCTACAGTGTATATCATCGACCTCGGGTCATCAATGGGCGACTGTCATAATGGTAGGATCGAATCCGATCTTGACTGGGGTATGCGCTACGTGTGGGACAAGATCACAACAACTGTCGCTGCATCACGAAAGACATGGACGGTCGGGGTTGTTGGTGTAAGAACCGACGAGACCGTCAACCCTTTACAGGAACAAGTAGGAGAAGGTTATGAGAATATTTCTATCTTACAGGAGCTTGGACCTATGAACTTAACTAGTCTTCGCGATTTGCAAGGTCTTATAAAACCTAATGATACCGATACTGGCGATTCTATCTCAGCTATAATAGTAGCCGTGGACATGATCGAGAAGTTCACCAAGAAGCTAAAATATAAACGCAAAGTCATCCTTGTCACAGATGGCGAGGGCCCTGTTGATCCCGACGATCTTGACGACATATCATCAAAGATCAAGGAATGCGGTATTGAGCTTATCGTCTTGTAAGTTGAAGTTGTAGTGAGGTCACGGACCCTACTAATTCTTTTTGGTTAGAGGTATAGATTTCGATGATGTCGAGTTTGGCTTCAAGGAAGAGGATAAGTCAAGTCAAAAGCGAATAAATGAGAGGCTTCTGAAATCCCTCGTTGATAAATGCGACGGGTTATATGGTACCATGGCAGAGGCCGTTACTGAATTAGAGATGCCGAGATTAAAACCTGTTAGGCCATATAAGACGTACGATGGGGAACTCACCCTTGGAAATCCCCAGGAACACCCAGATGCTATGAGCATTAGCGTGGAGCGGTACTTCAAAACTCACAAGGCGACGGTGCCGCCGGCCAGTCGAGTAGTACTCAAGACGGAGCCTAGTCCGTCTCAAGCTGCCGAGGGTGACCAAATGGAAGGTGTGGAATTTACAAGCGGATTTTCTGCGGTAAAAAATGCTCGGACGTATAAGGTCAACGATCCCGATGCGCCAGGAGGTAAACGGGATGTCGAGTTCGAATCATTAGCAAGGGGGTATGAATATGGGAGGACGGCCGTTCATATCAGCGAATCCGAACACAATATTACCAAGCTTGAGACCACGAAATGTTTCACCATCCTAGGATTTATACATCAAGAGAAGGTAAATAAATCCAGCTTCTCGAGACTATTCATATGCTTACACCTCCAGTATGAGCCATTCTTCAATATGGGTGAGACGGGTCAGACGATTCCTCAGAAATTCAATGACACAGCCGCGCTCAAACTCTCGTCATTCATACATTCCCTTCAAGAACTTGAGTCTTATGCAGTAGCACGGATCGTAACGAAGGACGGAAAGGAGCCATCTCTCATTCTACTTGCGCCTCACATTGAACCTGACTTTGAGTGCTTATACGACGTGCCCTTGCCGTTTGCCGAAGATGTCAGAAACTACCAGTTCCCCCCGCTTGATAAAGTGGTTACAGTCACTGGAAATATCAAGCGCGAAGATCATCGGCTTCTGCCTAGTCAGGAGCTATCAGATGCCATGGATGACTACGTGGACGCTATGGATATTTCAAGTTGGGCTAAAGATGACGACGGGTGAGTACTATAAATCAATAGGGAGGGTACAAAAGCTAATAATGCCAAGTAACCGCACTATGGAATACGCTCCCGTCGAGGATGTATTTTGTCCTCCGCTTCATCGTATTAATCAGGTCGTCCGACATCGAGCAATCTATGTAGACCAGCCGCTTCCCCCAGTTGCTCCCATTCTACTCAAATATTCAAACCCGCCTGAAGATTTAATGGTCAAGGCTAAATCAAAACTTGAAGATCTCATAGCTGAAGCTAATGTCAAGAAAGGTATTATTTATTTTGGTTTGAACTATTGGTGCCTTTTTACTAACGTTCGTGAAGTACCACCCAAAGCGAAAGGCAGGCGAGAAAAGGGAGCCAAACCAGAGCCAATCTCAGGTCTCGATATCGATGCACTCCTTAATCAGCCTCAAAATAAGCGTAAGAAGATTGATTCCGATAACGCCATTCCAGAGTTCAAGCAGATGGTTGAATACGCCAACGAGGAGTCCGATATCGAGAGTGCTGCAAAGCAGATGGGTACTATCATTCGCTCACTTATCACAAACAGCTTGGGAGATAGCGGGTACGATCGCGCTATAGAAAACCTTGGTGTGTTCAGGGATACGATGGTCAAGTGGGAAATGCCGGCCCTGTACAACTCGTTCTTGAAAGATTTGAAGAATCGTCTGCTCTCGGGTGAGCTTGGCGGTGATAGAAGAGAGCTCTGGTGGCAAATGAAAGGGGCTAAAGCCTCACTGGGCCTGATCGACCAGAGCCTGTCTGAGCCGTCTAACGTAACCCCTAAGGAAGCCGCAGAGGTATGTGACATTTTTCGCACACATTTATTCAGCCCCTTTGCTAATTCTCTCACTAGTTTTTCAAGAAGTGATGCTCGTTATAACATTTGAATTGCATAATATAGCTAAACATGTACGAGAGCCTGAGGCTTTTGCTTGTAAGAAATAGGCATTTACATGTCAGCAGTGTGATATGAAGACGAGGGAATGTGGTAGTAGCCAAGGCTTTGTAGCTAACAAAGAGCTCTTCGATAATTATAAAATAGTATCCTACATGTGCTAAAGGAAATGTAGGGAAAATACCCTATCCAACATGTCATACCTAAAAATTCGGTAGTGATATTGGAGTTCAGCACAAGAAAAGTGGTAGGTAATTAGGGGCTGCAAGGCCAAATATAAGGTATCTCCCAAGGCAGCATAAGATGATATATATAGGTACCTAGGTATATATATAGACTTACTACTTGGAAGTTACAGCAGGCATGCAAAATTGAAATACCTTGTCTACCTTAATAGCCTTAGATAGGTAGTGGTAAATCATCGACCTGGCTACTTCGACGTGCTCGTGCCTTACCATTGCGATCTTTACGGCCGATTTCTCGTGAATTCCCTCGTACCTTCCTTCTTTTTTTTCTCTACTACCGCTACTATCATCACCTTTCCCTCCGTCTGGATCTTACCTTTTCTTTACTCTCTTTCTTCTACCCCCTTCTACCCACCACAACAACTCACCCAATTCTTATCTTACTTCATACACCAGTACCGTGGTAATGAAGAGGGTTACGCTACTCATTCGTGATCGAACCCAGGTCCGTACTTACTACTAGGTTAGGGATTTACTCATCTCTATTTGGCGCGTCACTTCCATATCATTTTCGAGGGTATTGGTTATATTTCATCAAGCAACCCTTGTCTACAACCTCACTCTTGTTATTTGGCACCATCCAACAGTGGTGTTCCCCACAGGTAGTCACCCAAAAGAAAGGATCTAATATTAGCTTCTTGCCTAAGTACAATCGTTGACGTTCAAGTCTCTAATCCCTCGTGAGTATCTTCATATAATATATTCTAGGCAAGTAGATCTTTCATAACTGACATCTACATACTTTAGCAGGACTTAGCTATTAGTATATCAGCATTTCTAATCTAAATCGTCAACGTGCATTTCCTCGTGGTGGTAATTCAGCACCCTCAGGATTTCCACATGGCCAACTTCCCGCAGCAGTCACATCAGTTCCCAAATTCCAGATAAGATAATCGCACAGATCCTTTTAGGGACTTTAACCAGTGATTATCTCGGTCGGTTCTCAGGGATAGCTGCCTTCCCAAGTTCAGCACATTCCTAATTTAAGAATCTATCATACTTAAGACGTACCTGAGTCACTCCCTCAGGATTTGATTGCACTGGGTCTAAAAGTTCGTTTGCTGCCTTAAATGTTTAGTCAAGCTTGGACCCGGGCTTTGGTATCTTTGTCGCCTTCCTATACGGCCTCGTTCCTTTCAGTAACCATTATTATCCACGCGGTCCACTGACCTTGATTATCATCATGCCTCCCCCATGCGAACGAGGGCTATACACCCCCAATCCTAGGTACTTATTTGTCATTATAATTTTGGCTTCTCATGCTAACACCTTTCTTAGCGAAGACACACACGTTACTGGTATCATGTTAGATGGCTTGATGAAAGTCACAGTCCACACGCACTTACTTGCCCACCATTCCAAGTGTTTCCGGGAGCTAAACAACCAACCCAGCCGGGAATACTTCTGCGTGGATTACTGTCCATATGCCACTGACCAGACTATTTACTTCTTCGTCCAATGGATCTATGGAAGAAGCCTCGGTACCTATATTCGCAACGAGGGCCTACGAAAATTATGCCGTGGCGAGCAGTATGAAACCTTGATAAAGTCTTGGCTCTTTGGTGAAAAGATAGAAGCCACGGAGTTCCAAAAGGATATTATGCGATGCATTACAGAAAACATTGACTGCGTCGATCTGGCGGTATCAGTTGATATATGGATTGACATAGATGTGATGGCTCCCAGCAGTAGGTTGCGTCCCTTCCTAGTCGACGTGTGCTGCGCAAAGCTTCGTGGCTGCGATGCAGGTCATGTGGATGTATTTCTAAAAGATCTTCCACGAAGTATGCTAGAAGAAATCTCTCAGCGCATGATCGCTGGGCCTTGCAGACCTCAAACGGATATGGATTTGAGCAAGTACCTGGCGTAGAAGGGGGACGTATTCGGGTTTACTTAATTTAGCAAGACGTTTCTCGTTGCCTTATGATTCTTACGACTATTGAGCCATTACGCCTTGGTGGATGCAAATATAATTTTAAGCAATGCTAGATAGCATGCATTATAAAATTACATTATATAGGTAGTTGATCGTCTAAAATAATACGCGATGATTAACAAACAAGCGTTCTACCTGTGTTATGAGTTTAAACGAGTTCGAATATTTTGACTGCTTCCTGATACGACATGCGCTTACGTAACATATGTACCTACTAATTTTTACTACCTGCAACCATCTAACAAACAACATGTTAATTATTATAGGGCAGGTACGATTTGAATACATGCACCTGGATGTATTTGCGGATGTGGTCACGCTTCTATTCAACATGCGCAAGCAATTACATCGGAAAACAGGTAAGAGGTACCTAATGGTGTAAAGGTGTAAAGGAAAGAATACCTCAACTTATTTGATCCTTCCGCTCTTTGCAAACACCCATAAGACGTGCACCCACACAATCTGCCCAAACTTATCTAACACTACCTAATACCTAGGAGCCATGCAAAACATGGAGACAAGCCTCCCCAAATTTAACAGTAAAAGTTAGTAATAGCCATTTACTAAAGTCGTTCGTGAAAAAGTTACGCCGAAGCGAAGAAATCAAGTTCCCTACTCTATATCCAGATAATCTACATCTCTTTCAAGCTAACGAAGTATCCCTCAACCATAGGCGAACAAGATGGATGCCAAGATGGACACCTTTCAAGACATGACTATGGGGGACCAATCTTTAAAGGGTGAGAAGTTTTGTCCCTGGAAGCTCGTCCAAGCTTATCCCTACCGGTTTATCGATCAGTATAAGCAAGAAAAGGTAAGAGTGTTACTTGTATGTTACCAGAGAAGTAGCTCATTTAGATCCAGGTGCAAAAGCTCTTTGCCTCGACACTATTCAAAAACCGCACCTGGGATTTGTATGTGCCCCCCTTTATTACCACACCGTATACAGGAAGAGCACTTGAATATGCTAACATTTCTGTAGGTTCTGTCTGCTGGACCCTGGTAAAACTGGTAGAAATCCCCTTCTGCTGGTCCCTAGCGCCCAGTTCATGGAACATCTCAAGTATGTTAACTCCCATCTGAACTTACAACTCGGTATTCCAAAGGGTGAGGCTGGTGAGAACTTCTTCGCCACTTTCGGAGATTTGGACACGCCTCTTCCTCGCTTCCTAGGCCGCGCTAGTACTTCTGCTGCTGTCCCCGAGCTTAAGCTCCGCATTCACAGACTACCGATAGATGATTTGGCTCATCTTAGCACCGCTGCCCTGAAAAATTACAGGGTGAAGATGGATAAGTTGTATGAATCATTAAAGGATAGAGCAGCAATAAAGGCAGCAACGGCCCGGAAAAAGATGGAGCGCCAGAAGAGTTATGGACGGATGATCAAGAGAGCACAGATATACCTCGGGCTTCGAGGCCGTCTAGGAGATCCACCTAGCTCAGGTTAGTTACTCCTATCACACAAGCAACCGTTCAGCGGAGCTAACTATTTAGACATTACGGCCACGGATTGGAACGTGGACATGCCAGTCCCCTTTAAAGCAGAAGGCTCTATACGATTTGTCTCTATTGATATCGAGGCATGGGAGCACTCGATGAACGTAATCACAGAAGTAGGCTTAGCAATCCTCGACACTCAAGACACTATAACTGTTCCTCCTGGTAGAGGTGGCTACGGATGGTTCCCATTGATCAAGTCACAGCACTTCATAATTGAAGAGCATAAGGATAAGATAAACTATAGATATATCCAAGGGTGTCCTGGGCAATTCAACTTCGGGTATGATCTCTTAACCTAGAACGGAGAATTAAGCTTACATGTTATAGCCGTTCCGAATTTGTTGGTGAAAATGAAACCGGTAAGGTAATTAGCAAGATTATCGGAGACAATGAGTCTCCGGATCAAAGACCAGTTATCATAGTAGGACACGCCGTCAGCCAAGACCTAAGTTACCTCAAAAAACTCGGATATAATATCTGGCAGGCGCCACAATTTATAGACGAGATGGATACGAGATCGATGTTTCAGTATTTAGAAAAAACGACTGACGGTCGCGGTCTCAAGACTATTTGCGAAAGGTTAGGGTTACTATGTAGGGATTTCCACAACGCGGGCAACGATGCAACATATACACTGCGCGCTATGATTGGTATCGTGTTCAGGCAGATGATGAGTAACTCTAAGGGGCAGAAAAAAGAAAGCTCTACTCCATTAGAGTAAGTTTATATTCATTCCGAATTCGCTTATCGCGCTATTGCTAACTCCTCAACCATTATATAGGGAAGATGAATGGAGCGATGGTATAATGGACGACGGAGGTCCGCCTCAAAAGTCAGCTGAATAGCTCCTGAAACCAAAAGAGTATGATACAGAAGTATATGATGAACTGATATCCACGGCCCCGCCAGACTCTTAAGAAACGATCTGTTCATAGGTGCCTATAGAAAAATTCACAACAGCCATCAGTCCATTTCGAAAGTTGCCGCAAGAAAGTAGTTGAGAAGAGACTTCGCTCCGAGATAGACCAGTATTAACACTAGATAGAATACAATTGATGCGCAGCCCAATGCAATAAACCCCCTTCTAAGTCATGCCGTAAACGCCCTCGCTCCGTGGATGCTACGGTATTATACATTTTGTAATAGAGACACAATCATGGCCACCGTATAAGTCATATGTCTCGTTAAATTAGTTCGGTGCTAACTATTCTTTTCCAAGAATTCTTTTGCTTCGTTGACTTTGGTAGCTAAATAAGGGCTTCCGCCTCGATCGGGATGGTTGAGAAGCATGAGCGTCCGGTGGGCTTTTCGGACTTTTTCCTTCGTGATGGCTCGTTCACTAACACACAAATTTATTAGATAAGGCTGATATTGTCATATAAGTAAGGGTAACAGTTCGTACTTGAGAGATAGTATTAGAGTAGCTTCTTTCTTGGTCATGCGCGGCTCAAAACCGCCTTTGTAAAATGCTTTGCCCAGCGCTCCGACGCCTCCCCGAGAGCGCCGCCATGCGACGAGTCCTGCGCGGCCCTAGTTTTCTCTATGTTAGCTTATATATAGAAGAAGAAGATATAGTATATGCGTACAAGAAAGGCAGCGGCCGCAACACCTGTTCCGATAGCGAGGGCTGAGGCCATATTGACAATTGATCGTGCGAACGAGTGGAAAAGTAAAATATGATGCCGATCTGTAGAATGTCGCAATGATTCTTTTCGATATGCACGGACCTCAGGATAGATTTGCCGTGGGATACCTATCGATAAGAACACCGAATGCCGGGAAGGCAAGTTCCACCTGATGCCCAGAAGGCAAAATGCAGCGTTATAGTTAATCCATTGCCTATCAACCTGATAAAGGCCAGGAGGACCCACCAAAATTTCGGTGTGAAGTTTTCGGAGGGGCGCCACGAAATACTTCTCTATCCCGATTCATACCTACACCATCCAACAACGTCAACGAAGTCTGTTCCCTAAGCTCGAGACTCGTCCGCCGCCAAGATGAGGTTAGTACTGACAGATTTTAATTTTGGAAATTCATATGTGGCTCTATAGTTATTCAAGCACTTCATAGCCCGTATCGGGTTACCGAAATCTTTAATTACCATTGCGAGCTCGAAACCCAATTCTCGGTTCATATACGAAATACAAAGATCGTGTTTACTAACTAGACGTTATACAGGATCGAGACGTGCTATTTCTGCAGTAGACCTGCCTACCCAAGCAAGGGAATCGTAAGTTCTCTCTCCCAACCCCATCTTTCCTCCCATACTCTCTTCCTCAAACCAGAATTATATCCTAACATCTTCTTTCCTCGTCCTAGACATTCTGCCGCAACGACGCCAAGCAGTTCCGCTTCTGCCGTAGCAAATGCCACAAGAACTTCGTCATGAAGCGTAACCCGCGCAAGCTGAAGTGGACCAAGGCGTTCCGGCGCGCGGCCGGCAAGGAGATGACGGTGGACTCGACGCTGCAGTTCGCGGCGCGGCGCAACGTGCCCGTGCGCTACGACCGCGAGCTCGTGCAGAAGACCCTGCGCGCCATGGACCGCGTCTCCGAGATCCGGGCTAAGCGCGAGCGCGTCTTCGCCAAGCGCCGCCGCGCCGGCAAGCGCGCCCAGGACCTCGCCACCGACCGCAAGCTCGTCCAGTCCCACGGCCACCTGCTGCCGCGCCTGCGCGCCAGCGAGAAGAGGAGGCTCGCCGAGGAGCAAGGGCTGCAGCCCGAGGAGATCGAGGAGCTGGAGCGCAATGCGGCGGGCATCGCCGAGAAGAAGAGCGCGAGGGTCTTTGGCAAGGAGAAGATACGCCAGAGGGTGCGTGTCGATGGAGGCGTGGAGGTCATGGGAGAGGACGACGGCGGGATGGATGTGGATTCCGAGTAAGCGAGCTGATTGCCATGTTCGCGATCATATTTGCAACTCGCACGAAAGGAGGTGTATCTACGATGGGGGGGTACCCAAAAAAAGAAATCACGGACAGTGGCGTTCATGTGTATGGGTTGTTTCGTTTCTTCTGCATGCCCTGGCGTTGGTGGATTATAGGATTCTGATTCCTTTCCTTTCCACGAAATGAAACCCTTTTGACCTGCACGGTTCGCTATGAGAAGATGATGTATCAGTGCTAGAATATATGTCCTACTTTCTTGTTAATTGTTTATTATATTGCGTATTATGATTATGATTACTGGTAATGTATAGATGTTCTAGATGGTACGTAAGCTCTTAATAGTATCCATCTTATTCGCGAGTGATAACCATAGTCAACTCTGAGACTTTAGATAGAATAGTTTATCCCGTCCATGTCGCAATTATTAACGACACCTATATTATTCAACCCGGCTAGACAGGCAGATCCGGCTTCCGTCCCCGACCCGGGCCATGCATATAGTGGATCTTGGGCGGCTGCGGCAGCGAGTCTCGTATATCCTGTAAGATGTGGGCATCGAGAGCCTCGCGGCGTTTACGCTCCTGTTCTTGGTTGTACGGCTCGAATTCTCCATGCTCAGACGTCCAGTTTCCTGCGCCCCCACGGCCCGAGAGCGCACCCCCGCGGCGCGGTGATGCCGGCGGAGACTGGGTATGCGGCTGGTCTTGGGGGTTTGAAGTATGAGTAGTAGATTTAGTAGTGGGAGCGGCGGTTGTGGCTATAGATGATGAAGAGACATCGACGAAGTTTCCAGCGCCGCCCCTGCCGGTCCGTACGCCGCTGGTAGTAGAGCCCACGATGGGGACCGCAACGGGTTGCGCTGGGCCATCGGCTGGATCGGTCAGCGGTTCGTCATCGGCAAGCGGTTGCGATTTCTGCGCCTCGAGATCCTACGGATGGCTTTCTTAGTCAAGGCCACTCGCTCGCTCACTTCTTTACCTTGCGTGAAACTTTAGGAGATTTGGCGTACCTCGGATTTCCTCCCAGTTGCCTCTTCGATATCCTTTTGCGAGTAGAAGTTGCCGGCGCCACCCCGTCCGCTACGACGATATACAGTATCTGCCATCGTGCGAAGATGCAGATAGGTAGGTGTGTAGTTGGCGTATATGCTTATTTGGGAACTTTGCTCCGTCTACTAGTAATCAAACAGCTACTTTAGGTGGTATTCGAGATCTGTCGTCAAATCGGCGTATGTACGAAGATGGCTAATAGACGCTGAGGTATGTAGGTATGTATGTATGTCCATATGTATGCATGTATGTGTATGAGCAAGTAATTAAAATCGACCGCGCGCCTAAATGGATGCGGGGTGATAGCAATTAAAAAACCTGCGCGCTTAAAGAGTATTGCTCGCGATCGTAAAACGGCAAATGTTAGGTTGTTGTTACTGTTGTAGGAGTGAAAATGAATGTATGATGATAATGTTGATGATGATGGAGAATATCAAAGTACATAATTCAATGTTCCAACTTGCTGGGTGCGGCTGCCTACGTTGTGTGACCACTGCTTTGTGCAACCTACCTTAACCTAATGGAATTTCCGATAGAAAACGACGTCATGGAGGGGCATTACATCGAACTAACATGACCTTCCTCTTCCAAGTTCGTATTAGACGATTTTATATACTTAATCCAGGGTTTGGGTAGTTATCAAGTTTGTTCGTAGGTTTTAAAACTAAAATAAGTATAAAAAGACTCGATAGGTTATCACTATTATTTATCTGTTATTTGTAATAACTAGTAAGACTATCTTAGTAAAAAGTCGGCCTTGTTTGAAAGTGGGTTTAAGTAAGAGTTCTATCAGGATTATAAATGATATATCAATCTATAGGCACACAAGGCACCAGCGCACACCTTCTGGTGGACCAAATCCAGGCACCAAGCCTTATGGGTTCCGCCGGGGCGTTCGTAGTATGCTCGTACCTGCATCTGGTCGAATAGAGCGACGACAACATGTAATGTATATATGTATCTATATATGTATCTATGCATGCTGGCCCGTATGTAGGTACGTACTATGATCAAGGATCCCGAACCCAGGCATCCGGGTTCTTTTTGAACGGGTTCGATTATGTTTGGCTGAGCAAACTTGGAATCAGTCATTTTTTATATGTGGTTCCGAGCGCCGTCAATCTTAGTGAAGTGATGCGCAGCCGGGTATGGCGGGTAAGGCGGGCGTTGATCCTTTGATCGACAGTTCTCTAAATTATTAGCTTTTGAATTTATTAAATATAGCTCGTATTATCCTCGTTAACATTGTTGGCTTCTAGGTCTTTTTTTCAAGGTTTGATTCAAACTAACAAGTTTGGCAAGTTGACAAGCAGACAAGTTGGAACAGCGAAATAACCGAAAGTATCTCCTTACTCGCGAGCTGTTGTCAGCTGCTGCTTTGGCGTCATCCCAATACGGTATAGTATGGGTTTTTAGAGTCACTTGATATTCGAAGTCTGCGATATGATATATCATACGGAAGTATAATCATGCTTAGCTGATACTTTTGAATAGTGTCAAAAAATTATTCAAGCCATTTTTCTCTTTTGAAGCAAACATTCGATGTAGCAAGCGAATTATAGACCAATAGTAGGCTACGAAACTCGGGAGTCGTTAGCCCTAAAGCCTTTCCTTCATCACTGAGTTGACTCATAGTGGCAAACGGAATACGGAATTGACACTAAAACGATCAAGTCGGTGGCCTCCGTTTTGCCAGACGCACTAGCTGTACCAACTATCATTCGAGATATTAATCTCGTCGTCCGTTGTGTGTGAATTAGGGTTTGATAGATTCTAAGACTCTAAATTGAAAGGGCCTTGTGTAGTATGGCGAGCTTACCCATTCAACCGCGTCTGTGCCTAGTATATCAAATCGGGATAGAGATAGGAGCCCAATTAGATGGCCCGACTAACAATAAATTTCGAGACTTTGAAAAGTATAGTACGTAGCACCATGTCCTATCGCTGGCCGTGGAGTATGACACACCCCTATTGGCTAATGATGAGATTATCGTAGACTATGAATGAAAATAAAGATAACGAATCAAGCGGATCGAAGCATATAGCAAGGGGGAAAAGGCTATAATGCCGATGCCTTAGTTCTGTGACTCTACTAAGATACCCTTTCAATGCCTAGTCCGTGGCAAGAGAGCTCAGATAGAAGACCCCGCGCCAGCTGGTTCGAGTCGAAAATGAATGGACTGTTACGGTGGCGGGCGCTACAGTTCACTTAGGAAGGAGAAGACGAACCGTGATCTAGAAACCAGAGAATATTTTTTTTTTCATCTCAACGAAGATTATACCGCGATGTAAGTAGATGTTTGGTATGCATCTCTAGTGGTCTAGACCACTGAATTCCTTGGCCACTTTTGTGTCGAAGGAGCTGGACTCAAAATCAAAAAATCCGAATCTACATTAAGTACTCTGGATCTCTCTGGTTAGACTTTAAATATAGTCTCCCTTGCTTTATCTGTGTTGGAGAGTAGAATACCGTCCAGTCGTATTGCTGAGTAGTGTCTCATTCAAAGAGCATGCTCGAAGTCCGTAGAAGAGCTTGGGTAAATTTAATAGCGTTGATTTGATAGACACGTACTTGCTGCTTCTTGCATAAGCCACTGGTACCGTAGATTAGGTATTCTAATGCGCATCTGTGTATGTAGGTAGGTAGTATGTGTATGTATATGTAGTATGTACATCATCACTATCCAATGAAACGGACTTGGGAAGAATGGCGTAAAAAGACATGACCGAGGCGTGAGAATAGTAAACCATCTTCTATTTCTCCAAATTCCACCACCTACCGGCACGAGAACCCCATGCACGAAAGTACCTGCATCCGGAAAGGTCAAAAGGTCTCGCTGATCTCGTGGATTATATTTTTTTTCTTAACAAATATATCCATCCAACGAAGTATAAATGAAGATCTATTATTGCTAAGGCGGCTAGATTCGTAACCGCAGGGAACTATTTAAATTCGTCTTTGTCTTTAATATCGAATTGGTACTTCTTATTGGTGTAAATACAATATTGTTAAGTAAGTAGTATGTAGTTCGAAGTAATGTTTTCGATACCCGTACGTTACCTATGTTATGGCTGAAGTTATAGCCTACTGTAAAGAGGATGCTATAATACTGTGTTTTAACACGCTTAGCGTAGACCTTAGTTTCATGCTGCGTAACCGGTACTAATGTATGTTGGGCTGACCCCTCCTTTTAGGTAACGTCCATAATTATTTGAAGCTTTTATGACGGGACCGCATCTCAAACGTCTATTAGATCCGTAGACTTTATGTGATTATGCATTTGTATATTTTCTTCATGGCGCTTACTAAACGGAGATAAGCAATGTAAGATCAGACTTGTTTGACAGCCGAAGAAAAAAGGATTCTTTGAAACTAAACAGGCAGAATACGAAATACCGCACACATAGCCAGATATTCTTAGCAGCTTAATTATGGAGGTGTTAGGAATCGTCAGGGGGTAAACCCTACCCGCCAGGTGACGCGCCTACGATCGTAGCGCTGATCCGCGCAGTCCGGGGTTGAAGTCTATGTATGGTCCTTGGTCAATTTATCCCCTTGGCTGGCATAAGACAGCAACTCCATAACTTTCAGTATTAGTACATAAAGCTTAACGTCATTCATTAACATAATAGGAAAAGGCCTTATGATTAGTCTCTAAAACCGCAACTCACAAATATTATTGGTCGATTCAGTACCGTATAAGCATTTCTTTCTTTTCTAGCCAATCCGTATGTATTGATACTGAAAATTATGGAGTTGCTGTCTTATGCCAGCCAAGGGGATAGACCCGGACCGGTCACAAGGAGTCCAAGGTTGTTACCAACCGTAAGGAGTACTTCGTATATTTATCTTTATCGAAGGAGATATCTTTTGCCAATTCCTTTTCAAGACATCAATTTTTATTCTACGCTCAAGTATAAAGTATATTGACTATCTATTCGAATAACTGATTCAGCTTGCACGAATCCATAGCGTCTGTACGCTAGCAGCTCCAGTTTAGATATGTAATAGTTAGGTTAGGTAGGTATACCTACATAGAAACACATCCTTAGGGGGTGTGTTTATGAGTACCCCCTTGTTTCCCTCCTCCTTTTCATTGCGCGTACCCCCTCGTTGGACTAAACCTCTTGTAGGGTGTTACTCCAACAATATTATTATCTAATTCCGACGGGCGAATGATAAATCATCAACTATGTACACACATATGTATATGCTCTACATCTCTGCATCTTCGTAGAGTTGTTCGCGAATAACAAGTATGATATGCCACGTTATACTGCCACTTGTTAATAAATATGTGCACGGCGGATTATTGCCGTCACTTTATGATAGGCAAATTCCGCATATGCAGTGTAGAGGTACGCAACTACATATTGCTCGTAATTGTAAGATAAACTTGTCTCTCTTGAAGACTGAGGTCCGATGGGAGTTGGAAAGCCGCGTGTTATGTATTTGTCCGGCTCCGCTATCTTTTACCAGACATAGGAATATGCAGGGCACCAGAACCAGGGAGCAGTACACCAGCTGCTATTCGAACATTGGAACTATCCACGTGCGAATAGGAATGTACAAAGTAGGCAGTTGAATTCCTACTTCCGTCCTATTTCAGACATCTATCCTAGCGTGGGTTACCTTTCGAAATCGACCATTTCCATCTCTGAATATGTAAAGAGGTAGTCACTAATTCAAAAAGGGGACTCTATTAATTGATTTATGTTGAGCAGCGTCTACGTCCCCCATGTCCGTCCATTCACTTGACTGTTATTCGCTCGGCTGGCAGATACAAACTTGATCGTAATGATTTGGTTAGTTTCCCACCTGTCATTACAGCTCAGATGTATTCAGATAGAATTGCTCATCTTCTCTTGTCCAATACAATGATATCTACTATGCCGCCTTGACTAACAATTCGTCAAGCAGGTTTGTGGTTTGTGGTTTGTACCCTTTTTTATGCCGCTCCGACTTGTTTCCAAGTTTGAAGTTGTGCCTGACAGAACCCTGACCTGGATTTGAAGCTTGTCCAACTAGTACAGGGGCCGCGCTAACTGCATGTATGTACCTAACTTATCGTGCAGCGTGTGCGTAATGTTGTATGGATACCTCATATATACTAGGCAAGTACTATGTAGGTACATAGTATCTTTCCAAACTTCTAATATGCTCTTGTGGATTCCACTTAGAAAGATAGGACGGGGAAAGAGATGGGGGGGCCGAACGATGAATGGGGGAGGGGAGGGGGGGAATTGAATAACTTGAAGCCCATTTGAACCCACCATAATCACTACCACACACCATTCAACATACCACATGGCACACGCCCAACTTTTAATACACTTTTCTCTAACGTACCTAGCATAATTAATAGCTTTCTTCTATATACCTTAGGTAGCGTACCTACAATAATACATATGTAATAATATGTACAATAATACCATAATACTTTGAAGGAGCATAATCTATTAGGCCAGAGAAGGTAATAAGCATTTAAACGAAGGCGCAGTTTTCTAAGCCCATTTCCTAATATTATTTAATTCGGTCTGCTCGGTTTGACCACCTGACGAACCGCCCGATGTATCTTGGTATCTTGGTATCTTAGTATCTCTGTAGCTGTGTACTGTAGGTACTGTCTAGTTCGTACCTGCCTAAACGTTCCTACATTATTATCTATCCGTACTTCAAATCCATAAAAATTATTTTTTGTGCAATGGACTGATCTTTGTTCCTTCTTCAATTCTCAAGGGGTTAAAGAAAAAAAAATATTATTACAGATCATCAGACGGCTTTTTTCTTTTCCCAGCGTCCGCCCTCCACCATCAGTTCCTAATCCAACCAATACCTCTCCTGATCCACCCACCATTACCGACGAACACCTCTTGCTTTGCTTTTTGCTCCCTCTTTCTTGTCCATTTTTGTATCATTCTTCACCTGGTAAGACAAGAGCTATACCAAGAAAAAAAAGATAAATCAATACTCGAGACGATTATTTTGTTGTTCTACTCTCTACATGGTCGGCAATGGCCTCTTCCAAGGTAACCAATAAGTTGCACTAACCTACTTCACTTTGCCTTTTTACCTACCTTGCCCGCTTAGCCCGCCCCCGACACTAGGATAGCCATGCTGATCACTTGTGTCTATCACTCTAGGAAATGCAAACACCAACGAGGCCATTGAACCAGCACCGTCAATCAATTTCTTCTGCCTCAGCGTCTTCCTTAGGCGCTTCGAGACCATTGTCCCATTCACGCAACAATTCCCACACATACTCCACTTTGTCCGGCGCCCTCAATGCCACCCACCGCGTAACACGTCGGAAGAGCATGACTGGCACTGCTGCCAACGTCGCGGCTGTCGCGGCCGCCCTCGAAGAAGCAGGGGATAAAGTTGGGCCATTACCTATTGCTGTTAATTCCCGCCGCGGTACCATGTCCAAGCCTGCCACCGCTCGACCTGCCATCGTGGGCAGCTTACCTTCTCCGCCTGCTAGCTTGCCAACCCATAGATTCTCGATGAATATGAAATCCGAGGGCCCAGAAAACGCTATCGACGACTCCTCGAACGACATGTCCGCCGATGAGGGAGAAGATGGTCCCCAGAAAGCTCGCATGCGACGGGCGAGCGATGGTCAGCCGCTAACAAAAGAGGGTAGGAAGAGCAACCGAATTGAACTCCGCTGCGACAAGTGCGGGAAAGGATACAAGCATAGCAGCTGCTTGACCAAGCATTTGTTGGTGCCCATTTTCTTGCCCACTGCCTCCCTTATGCATTCACTTGCCCAGGCCTGCGGATAGAGTATCTCCCTGCCCCCCCGGGGCAAGCATGGACTGGCCGAGACCCTTAAACCCTGAGTAAATGAACATGGACTTTTGTTGACGAATTGGTTGCCAGGTGGGAACATACTCCCGAGTGGTCTCTCACGTCCAAGCTGCTTATATCCAAGCACCAACAAGTTCAACTGCTCGAGGCGGCCTCGGTTCTTGTCGCCATGAACACGGAGGCAACCACTCCTCCAGACTCTACCAAAGACTTTGCCAGCGACCCCGAATCCGCTTCTCCTACCGCCTCTGGGTACTCAGACCTCCACGATGGTCGTAGTTCAGCCGACACCACCCCACCTCCGCATTTGGACGCTTTTAGTGCCATGAATTCTTTTGCTTACCGTACGGCTTCTAAGAGGGATAGCAACGGAAGTAGCTTTGCGCGATCATACCAGTCGGCCGTTTCGGGTTCGTTCTTTTCAGGTAGCGTACCAAACGGGAATGGATTCGGTCACGCTCGTCATGCTAGTTCGGACCGGCGCCCCCCTTCTTCAGGAATGAACAGCACTGGCCAAGATGATCGCGACCTTGCGACAGCCATCGAGTTACTCAGCTGCAGCTTCGGTAGTAACGGAGGGACCCGAGATTCTAGGCTCCCTGACGATGCTCCTCCCGTACCACCGCTACCCGCCCAGTATCTCGATCACGCAGCTTTTACCAGCACGAGTTTTATCAACAGCTTTCCATCAGGGCAGATGCCGGAAAGTTTTACCCGGGGTGAGCTCCGGCATACCGAGGACGTGAAGATGGAAGATAGTGAGAGTAGCATAATGGATGAAGACGAAGGTGAAGGACGGTTTAGGGCGCGCAGCAGCGAGGAAGACGATGATATGATGTTTGGCCGTATGGAGGATTAAACTTGAGATCGCTCTCTCGCTCGCTCATTAGAGAGACGGCACGAGACGATAAATGGCTCTGGTTGTTTCCTTTGTGTCACATATATCAACTTCTGTAAACGAGGTGGTTCCGCTCCGCTACCGAAATCTCAGCACCGAAGAATGGGGGGCTCTAGGTACGAATACTCTAAGGCATGCTCCAAGAGGTTAAAGTGAGGATCGGAGAAAAGCGTCGAGCGAACACCCAACCTATCGAAACCGTAGGGAAAGTGTGGATTTCATTAGGCAAATCGTGTGATGTCTATTAACAGGGCTGATGACACCCATTTGTTTACCATGAATGAATACCAATTCAAACGAAAACTTTGACTTACTAGAATATACTTGACTAAGAATATAGTTGGGCGCTTTTAATTGATAAATAGTATTTTGAGATTTACTATTGTTGAACCTGGTTATCCTTTAGGTAGTAGAGCTGCGGAGTCATGATGCTAGTAATTTTGATGATCTGCATGTGAATGCAGGTTGGTGTATGAGGTTGTAAACGGAACCAGCCAAGCAACAGAAAACATCAGAAGTTTAGCGATGGTTGCCTAACGATGCATACGGAATAAGTTCAAAAAGAGGAGAGACCGAGAATAAGAGAAGAAAATGTCAAAGATGGAAGATCGAGGACCTAGGTTCCTTTTGAGAAGCGAGGTTTGTTGTCGATCAACCAGGTTGTGGGGTTATTAGTATGAATAAATTAGTAGGGAGACTCGACGACCTAAGAGTCTTTCGGAGACGTCACTGGTGTTAGGTACATGAGGTAGTTACCCCCACCATTTGTAGTATTATTGTGTACATAACATAAACTTTTAAGCCTACTACTACCTCGAATCAGGTACATTACCTACTTCCTAACCTACACTCGTAAATAATCGCGACAATTTCTGGTCAGCTTCAATTGTTTTTTATACCTACATAGCACGTGAGCGCATCAAGCTTGGATCTCTGCAAGACGCGAACTTTTTTTTTCTTTTTCTTTCTGGAGAATTTTCTTCATATTTTTTCCCCTTCTGATAGTAGATAAATAGTTGCAAAATCTTTACGGTGCAAACAGACAAATAAGGCAAAATGCGGACCAGGAAACAGACTCGTGAGGAAGAAAATGCGGCTGAGGCAAAGCCAACGGTGGTGTCTATCACCAAGATCGAGACTCCGACAATCTCGCCTTCGAAGCGCGAAACTACTCGACCCAGTAGCACACCGTCTAAGCTGCCTAAGCTGATTCAGTTCCCACTAGTCACTATTCTGAGCTTGTCGCTCGCGGCGGTAGGCTACTCGTTAACTTGGCGATATACCAAGGGTCCGATCGCGCCTCACGCAAGGCTTTTGACTACTTGGGATGATGTCGGAATTGTTACGGGATGGCGAGTGTGAGTAGTATTTTTACTAATATCCCAACTTACAACGGCGCGTATTTGGCTTTAAATTTTGTTAGTGACGTAATTCTAATAACACTCTTTACTCATCGTTTTTTCTCATAGGTTTGAACTCGCGCTTAGTTGGTTCGGTAACTACGACGGCTACGATATTACAGCATTGAACCTCCTATCCCACGGTCCTCTCGTAAGTAGATTGAATCACCAACACGACAAAATATACATATGAGTCTAACGGTGACAACAGCTCTACCTCTTAAATACCTTCTACGAGGTGCCTACCAGCGCCCTTCTTCTAACACTCGCCATCGAGACCCTCGCGACATACATCCCCTTCCGTCTTCTACGTCCGCTTTCCACGGTCCACGCCGACCCCAGCCATGCGCCTAACGCAGACATCGTCACGGATCGGCCTATTGTGCTGCTCACTACACTCCTGGCAGGCGCTATATATAGCGTGACGCTGTTCTTCGCATATGCCATGTACCTACCGTCATACCTAGTCGTATACTTCACTAGCCTGCCGTCTATCGCGCCCGCACATGAAACCACCTACGTCGGCCTGCTCCCCGTAACGCTCGTTCTAGGATTTGCAGCACGCGCCTTCATATTCACACCCGCCGAGGCGACGGCTTCAGCTAAGGACAAGCCGTTCGACCCAGTCAGTGCGAGTCTTCGCGAGACGGTGTGGTGGAATTTCTGGGGCTGGAGCGCGCAGACCAAGGTCCTAATCCAGCGCACGGCGCTGCTGATGCTAATTACGGGCGCGGATACGTTCGTCCAGACACGTTTCACGATTAAGGGTGTCGAGACGCCTGGTGCGGCGGCTTGGAGCAGCGTGTGGGTGGTTTCTGCAGCGATTACCGGGCTTGCGCTTGGTGCCGTTGCCGGTGTTTAGATTTACGTATCTGGTTGAGGAAGTAGGGGAAAGCAGTGTAGGATAAAAACAAATAGTCGCGGTAGTGGCAGTAACAAGCTAAATCATTTCGAGGTGTTGGACGGGAGGCAGTAAGCACATTTGATTATAAAATGGACAAAGGAATGTATCTGATAAGGCGTATCGTGTCGGCGGTGGAATCAAACATGTCATTAAGAGTTTCTGCTTTGTTAATGTTTATTTTACATTCTTCAAACGTACCACCTGAGGCTACCCTAGATAATAGGAGGTTTATATTACTACAATTGGTAATTCTTCTATGTCATGATTGGCTCTTCTTTCTACGCTTGCTTCATAAAGGGATAAGTATCTAAGACAAGACCCGCTGACAAGATGATCTCCAAGCTTTAGGTACCTACCTATACTCATGCTTTAAGTTCTTTATGTAGAAGGCACTTTATCGGGTACAAACGGGCTAGTTAGTTAATATCAACAGGAAGTTGCCTCTCACATGTATTATTATTGCTAGGTTACATGTATTTAGAGGCTTCTACATGTTTGAGGTACTACTAATGTACCGCAGTTTCACTATTTAAAACAGTTTCCTAGGCACCTACCTCTACCCTACCTACGCACTTACCTTGCATATAATTTTCAAAGTTAAATCCTGAGGTTATATGAGGATTATTTATTCCGTTTAGGTAAAGGCGGGTATAAATACTTAGACTAAATTTCAAATTCCTCGTCCAACACAACTACATCTACACGCGTCTAAACTAATCCAGCAAGACTTCTAATTACTTAACCAATATGCAGGACTCTCTACCTTGGTAAAGTCCTTCAATAATTTTCTACAACGGAAAGACGAAGTTCATTATGGTGATGACGTCTAGTGCCAGACCGTGTCTCTTAACCTCCTATGGACTTCGCTCACATTAGCCCGGAACAAAATATCGCAGAAATATATTATCTCTAGCTCTAGCTAAAGCTATATATTTAACCATCAGGCCCGGAGAGTCCCATCCCGGGAAGAATCTACGAGTCAAAAAGTCCTCGACCATCCAGATAGAAAAGCATATCTTTGGAACGAGCAAGGGTTTCTAGTGGCGGCACAAACCACAATACAAACACCGTGCCCGGTTGAAGACCAAACTATGGTTAGAGAGAGGAGCATACGATAAGAGTATGTTGGCTCCTCTTTGCCTACGATTTTAAGGTCGAAGTAGGAGTGTTATTTTTATTATCTGCGAAATGGGCCTAAAATATATCGGTAGCCTCAGCGTTATTGTTGAGTCACAAAGACATTCTCGGGCCCGTTTATTCGGCGGAATAGCAACCCAGACAATTCTCCAATATTGTTGATCCATAATTGGGATACAGTATGGGGATTGGAATAGAGCAATACAAATAGCCTGGCTCTACCTGAAACGCTGTTATACAAAAAGTCTTGGGTATGCAACATCCTACAAAATTGGAAAGCTTATAACTGCGATGTCGGAAGATTGATGGACCCTTCACTGGTGGCAGTACGCCCTTTAACAAAAAAATACTACGCCTCCTGAAGCCAGGGGAATATCCTAGAATCATTTCAACGACGCATTAAATGAGAATATAGTACTGCTCTGCACTATTGGCGCGCGGGGGGGCCGCCTCCTAAATTGCGAGCCGCTCTGGTCACCAGGGCAAGAAGAGTAAATTAAAGGACAAACTTATTAAATGGAACATGAGAAAAATGTGATAAATCATCACATGATCGTGAAAGATTCGCGGGTTGACGAGGCGATACGATCTGCGACTTGGGCAAAATAGACTCTTTGGACACAAATAGGAAAATATACTGACGATATCAAACCCATTAATTAATACGGGATACCATTAAAAACGATAATAACAGGTAGCCAAATGCTCCAACGTGAGATGCCTATCAGGTGAAGACCGTCCCTTTCATTCATTAAGAATAAATAATAATAGTATAATGATAGTAAAACAGTATCGTCGCCTTGACTTACTAGTACGGCTAAGCCTGAGGCATTGATGGATGGTTCAATGAAACTTACTGTGCTTCTACTAGGTACTTTAACTCATGTCTAAATATCTTAGGATTGATAGGACACCTGCAGCCGAAAATTTCACTGTATAACTACCATTACTCTTGAATCACATTGCTGACACTTTCGGTCTTATCTTGGTAAGCGTCGAGATCATGCTCTTCGAGAAAATCATCTAGAAGATCGGCCACTTCGTCGTTGTTCATATCCGCAAACGCGATATGGGTATTTCCACTAAGTCCCCCATCTTTGGGTAGGAGGAAGACCTTGGCATTTCCACCATAAAGGTTGATGAGCTTGGCTGCCCGCCTCGTTTGCTGAAGAAAAGGAAATGCTTCTTTCCTATGGTCTCCCCATACGAACTGAATAGCCTCGAGCTTTGCCAGCTTCTTGAAGTCTTCGAGGGGCACAACCATCGGTCCGAAAGGCTCGCCAGCTGTAATGTTGACGTTGTCGGGAAATACGCAACCATAGCTTTCGTAGGCGACTATGCCCTTGATATTTGTCAAGTTGCTTTTTGCAACTGTCATCTGAGCACGTAGACCGGCTGCTGAGTTGGTGAGGTACACGATGCTGTCACCAACTTTGCCCGAGTCTGCTGCGACGGCCGCGGCTTGTGACTGTAGATGTATATTTGCGTTCGAGTCGAACTCGAGGTAACGAGAGCTTGTTGCTTGATGCCATGCCTCTTCGTCCTTAGTTGGAAACTGGACCCCCGGCCAAAAGTTAGGGTAGGAGGGCCCGAAGTTCCAAGCTACGAAATTGCCTTTGTCTTGATACAATGGCGTATAGCGGTACGGCTCGCAAGCCCAGTTAGCCCGACCAACCCGAGGCCCGTCCCAGAGGTAGACGGGGTAGCCGCGGCGTAAGAACATGTCCTTGTAGCCTTCGCCACCGTCCCAACGGTTCTGCCATACTTGCGTGGTGGAACTGTGCCACATGACGAGACTTGTTTTCCGAGACCTCCATGGGATGAAGTATTCCATATACCCATGGTCACAGGAGAGGGTCTGATTTGGGAAGATTGGGCTTTCGATGATTCTTCCTCCTGTAGTGAATCCACCGGATTTTTCTAAGATGATTGGTCGTCTCTCATATTGCCGTTTGCCATGGATCATGCCACTTACTAGCGACAGGAGCGGTCCGAGCAGGGTGAAAGTAACTAACATCTTGGGAGGTTACTTGATGTCTATAAACTATGGTATGTACGTACGCATGTGAATAAGCTGCGAATACGACATGCCGTTTGTCAGTATAAGACAGTCTCAAGCCTTGTTATTTCAACATTTTGTAGGGCTCGTATTCACAATCACTTTCATAATTGCCGGCGCGTCGAAATGCATTTGAGCCATTCATAGGTAGTTCACATTTTCAATTGTTAATAGGGCGAGCCGTAAAGTAATTCTAGGCGTATGTGAATCGATTCAGCCGAGATTTGCAACCCCATCTTCCTAGAATTCGGGGAATCAAAACCGATTTCCTCGATTTTACAGAATATCTCCCATCCGACATGATGCGATCTCTTACCCTAATTGGAAAGCTTGACCAAGCCTATATCGATGCATCAGCTACTGTGAATGACCTTACTACCGCATGGGCAAAACTACCGACACTCGCAGCCGACCAACGTCCTGCACCGGTCCAGCTACGAAAAGATATATCCGAGAATCTGAATCGCGCTGTTAGTTCGCGCGTATTCTCCCACGCCGAGGCCGTCCGTATTCACGAGAACGTGATTAGACACTATAACCGAGCTAAGACTATACACGCGAAACTACTGGCAATGCGCGACAACTATCCTACCGCCGAGGAACAAAAGAGTCCCTCCCAGGTTAAGTCCCCACAAACAGTTCGCACCCCTAAGATCACACTTCGGCTTGACAGCAACGGGCAAAAGATCCAGAGGCCACCTCGAATCACTGTTCCGGGAGAGGTGCTTGCGCCTTACGAAATAGACTTCAACTCTTACAGCTCCTTGAGCGATGAGAGCTCTGAAGAAGAGGAGGAGGATATACCCATGTCACCTCCTAGGCGAGTTGCAACTCCGTCGACACGTATTAAGGTGGTCAAGCTCCCAAAGTCTCCTAAGCCCCCCAAGCAGAAGCTTCCGAAGCCACCGCGACCACCTCGAACTCCAGCTAATCGATCTGATAATGCGGTTCCCATGATGTCTACAAGTACTGCATTGGCGCAACTTCAGCCGCCCCCCGAGAACGCTGTTCCCGGCAGCGCCGACGCCCCATGGCTCCAACTAACTCCGTATGAACTTGCTAAGTTACGCAAGAGGATGAAGAAAAATGCTGTATGGAATCCCAGCGATACCATGATAGCTCGAGAGCTGAAAAATTTGGGTCGTGGCGTCGAAGCATATAGGGCTGCCCAAAAACAAGCTGAGGAGGAGGGAAAACCGTTTGAAGCTACCCTTCCTACTCCGGTGGTTGACGCCGAGTCCGGGGCAAAGCACCCCCCCGAAGGTGCTATTAGTGCCGAGGCTTTGACAGCAGACGAGGTACAGTTAAGCAACCGCGGTATGAAATTAAATGAGGCCAAGAAGCTGAAACGTGAATCAATGGCAAGGATCGCTGCCGAGGAAGCAGAAGAATCAGCTAGGAAAATGGTAGAAGCTGCTCGCATGTTCCTTAGCCACGAAGATTCCCCGCCTGTAAACGGTAGTGCGCAGGATAAAGCCCCTGAGACGAGCCAAAATCAAGGCAAGGCCAATAAGCCCAAGACTAGGAAGCGAAAGCGTAACTCGATGTCGGAAACTCCCGTTGCAGAGAAACCCGAGGGAGCTCAGAGCTTACCGGTGAATCAGCCGCCTAGCCAGACGCCCAGCCAGCCCGAGAGACCCCCACTAAAGCGGACCAAAACTGAGACGCCTGTTCCGTTGCCCCAGTTAACTCCTCGGCCGCCCTCTGTGCCGCCTCCGCTACCCGCGCCTACTGTATCTACCGCGCCAACAGAGACTCCGGTCCCGGTCCCTGTCCCGCAGCTCGGCAAGATTCCCCAGGTGGCTGCTACGTCAAAGACGCCGGTACCAGTACCTGTTCCAGTTTCTTCTGATACATCTATTATGACTACTCGGTCTGCTGCTTCCTCGGCAGCGACGAGTCCAGCTCCGCCATCTAATATTGCTACGACGATACCCGTCAAGCCACCGGCGGAGACTCCTATTCCACCTCCTATCAAGACCTCGACCACGCCTATTCCCCCTCCGATTCGGGAAATGCCCAAACGGGAAACTAGACAGAATATTCAACCAGCTCCGGCTCCGGTTTCAGCTAACCATAGGCAGTCGAGTTCTCAAAATAATACGCCTGCAACCACGCCTGCTCCCGAGTCCCAGCCTATCCCCGTACGTCGGCCTACTTCACGCGGGAAAGCTGCGAGCCAGGAGCCTCCTCCAACCTTTGCGGCCGAACGGCCTCGCCGTACGAGCACCGCTAGAAACACCCCTGCTCCAGAATTGCGTCAGCCTAGCAAACGTACTAAGCGACCTGCTCCAGGCGTCGTGACTACGAACTCGGGCGGCACTAGCGCTATAGGAAAGCGCAAGGCAGCGCCACGTAAGAAGGCTCGCGGCGGTAATCCTAAGAAGGAGAGGGGTGCAAGCCAGCAGGCCGAGCAGGAAGTAGAGGTAGAGGTGGACGACGATGGCAATGTCATCGACCCCGACGAACCCAGATACTGCCTCTGCAACAGAGTCAGCTTCGGCACTATGATACAGTGCGATAACGTAGATGTGAGCGCAACAAAGACTACTGCAACCCCAGCACGTGGTGACGAGAAAGCACGCAAAAAGAAACTAACCAACCCCCACCTACAGAATTGCAAGCAAGAATGGTTCCACCTTGAGTGCGTGGGACTGTCTGAGATACCAGCACGCACGACGAAGTGGTACTGCCCTGAGTGTCGTAAACTGCTAAATATCGGAGGAAGGGGAGAAGTGACTTCGCGAGGTGTTAAGATGTAATGCTTGATCCTCACCGCTAATCTACTTATAACAATTCGAGCATTACGGCTCACGCCCCTACAATTCTCGTCATCTTTGTTTCCATTCGGCATGCGTTCCTCTTTACTGATACCCGATGTCGTTTATCTGACTTTTAATTCAGTCCTTGTCTACTACTCAGCAGACTGTCGAATGCCCAGCCTTGATTAGTTTTAGCATGTGCTAATCTAGCGACCCGCGGATCTGGGATATCATGCTAACACATATACCATTCAAGAGGGCAAAGTTCTGGATGGTTCGGCAGATTCAAAGGGCCAGAGTATTTTGTACAAATCAAGAGCGTTGAGATTCTTATATACACGTTATAGCATCACGTTCGTGGTTTACTCGTACCGTCGCCAACATGGAGTATCCAATTTCTATTTGTGTCTACTACTATCACACGTTTCTTTAGCCTATCCACTTAAGAGCATAATATTCTCGAGACTGCCTGAACTTGGAAGTTCTAAAATGCCTTAAGAACTAGCAAAGCCTCATGTTGTGGATGATACCGGTCGAATTGCTCAGTTGCAGCCGGCCTGCAGACATCCGGGGCTATGATGTTGGCTTATAACTCCAAATGCTAGGTATTTGCAAAAATTTCTGTCGGAGAACTGGTTGCTTTAACCTTGCATGATTACACAGAGAAATATTTCTCGTTTACGATAAATAGATAGTTGTCCAGAGGTTAGGGTGGTTTGGTCGATGCTTCGAGGATAGTTCGAGAATAGTAATTGAAACCCAGAATACTCCTATACCCGATATACTTCTGTCGGGAATATGAATCCCGACGATGAAGTGCTTAGTAAATACCCCTCATGCAAGATAAAAGCTACCTCGTTTGAATATCATTGATAGCTATCTAGGTTAGGTTACTTGGTTCTCATGATTAAAACAAACGTTTTAAGTTTCTCTTGATCTATCATCCTAAATTATTTCTCTCAAATTTTGTCGCCTAAGTAGGTACTTACGCTCACTTCTCGAAACCTCTCTTCATAATGGCGGCTTCCGATGACTATACGCCGTTATTTCCAATCGATCACCCGGTTGATGAGAAAGTCAAGAACTTCATATCGCAGTTCTACGCTATATCTGACGACAGATCAAAGGATGAGGATTGGGTAAAATCCTTCCTCTCCGATGGTATCGTTATCATAGGTGATAAGATGGCGGTGGGAACTGAGAGTAGGCAAGATCTAGTGAAAATATAATTTTTATTTTATTTTTTATTTTTAGGAACATACCTGGAAGCTAATACGGAGGCTACTGGCATAGATATTCGTCAAATGCGTAAGGGAATGTGGGAAGGAGTGCAGGCGCGAAAACATAGACCTTTGGCGGTGTATCCAGCAACGTTCTATCCAGAGACGGCTTACAACGAAGGCGAAAAACCGGCCGTTCAATATATGATCGAAGGAACGTTAATTTCGAACGGGGAGAAGCTCGAGACCCATGAGATAACGTGGGCGGCGCGCGCGATCCTAAAAGAGGAACAGGGAGAACTGAAGTATAAGCTCTATCAAGTCTATCTGCATAAGAAACTCGATACCCACGACGGATAGCTCGGAGTGCGCAGGCTCATTCGCATCTGGTCTGTATTATTTCTTCTGATTGCTGCTCTTGGTATCCTATATAATAAATCATACATGTATTCCTGGTAGGCTCTAGGTACGTGGGTACTCGGATGGTATAATTGCGCGGGTTGGTAGGTAGGGAATCCCGTCTGATCCGTCTATTGCTAGGCGCCGGGATGATGCAATAATATGAGTTTTGTCATGATGGACGCTTTGAGTTTATTGAAATTGCGAAACCTACCTGCTGCGCCCTGAGTGCCTGACTTGAGTCTTATGTGTTATATACTTGACCCAGGCGGATGTTCAGCACACCAGACTTTTAACGAGAAACTACTTCGTAACTGTTCTAGAAATAGCAGAATACATACATAGTCTTGTGCCTAGCGCGCATATGGTTCTTCAGCTAGGTGTCAGCTGATCTTGCTTGTACACCCCACGGAAGACGCCTTGATCACGATGGCGGGTTGGGTCGGGAAGAGAGCGGTGGGAGAAGCTTGAATCTACCTAAGATAGTAAGATAGGTGGCTGGCAGGGGGCTATGGATGATGGATGACGACGAAGTCCCGTGATGAAATCATTCGGAGCAAATAGTGTATCATCATTATTTAAATTGTTGGTCCGTGACCTTGAATGTGCCCCTTTTACGAATTGTCTTCTTTTGATTCTTTAATGATGTATTTACATGACTTGGGTATTTCCAGCGTCTTACCCCCTTTTTGTTTTCTTTTGAAGGAAGTCCTTTTTCGGAGTTTCACGTTGTAAAGAACCGATGACGTAGTATTGGAGCTGCTGATAAGGGAAATTCACATGAATGCATCGAGGCATCATTCACTGATATTCCGTATTCCATACATAGATTATTGTTCATATGTAAGACAAGGGTAAGCTCTGTCAGTTGAAGGCCCCTCCCCAGCTGTATTGTCTTATTTTGATCCACTTGAGCATTCCCATGCTGCCACGGCTGCCAGGCTGGGCATAGTGAGGGGCTTCTCGCAGCTGGGTTGTGCTTGTGCATGTGCATCTTTTGGACAATGGGGAAGTGGAAGAGCTGGATCCCCTTTATCATCCGTCTTTATCAACCATGTACCTTGTTAGCATTCTAACCGGTCTTGAATTATGCGAATTATGCGCTGTAGTGTTCTGCATTGTACCATTTTATGATACATGTAGGTAGGTACAATGTAACCTAAAGGGTACCTAATGCATACAGGGTACATATTACATATCTAACAATATACACATTTATCCTTGTTCCTTGCTTCTAACAACCCCCAAACCCCAGCATACCCTCCACATGGTGCCTATCGCGCCTATTTACAGGCTAGAATTTACCGGATTAGTAACTTATACGTATACTTACCCCTGTTGATTATTAGTATCAGTTCCCCTCTCCAGGCATCTTGATTGTATGTACACATTCAGATACATACCTACCGTTTAATGCCGTTGCCGCTTGTGTTATCAGTCACATGCCTTGACTCATAATAATTACTTATAAATGATAATACGTGAGAACGGATAGCAAAAAACGGTCTAGATCGGTAAGCTAACGGTTGGGAGTGTTTGTTGAGAAGTGATAGTTTCTCTTAGCCGACATTAGTTAACAGGCTAGCTCTTATGAGAATGGGAACCCCACGATGATAGCTTCGAATGAATATAGAACAATATTAGCCCTAGAAATATTCTATACCCAAGGCAAGATGTCCGAGCGGTCTATGGAGCTTCGCTCAAGTTTACCAAACTTAACCTTGTAAAAAGGGGATCGAAGTGTTGCAAAACGCGTGGGTTCGAATCCCACTCTTGTCATAACTCCTGATATCCGTAATTGGATATATCTTTTTGCTATTTGGTAAAGATTATGTACATCGTCGATTTTTATAACTTATCATGTAAAAATATCGTATAGATGTTAACGGAATATGTAAGTCTCTGTTTCCGAGCTGCAGTTTGCCGGAACGAGTTGCTCGTTGGTCTTTCAGCGGACCTGAGTCACTTGCCGAGAGCATGTAGACCATCTGGTTAATTCATCGAGCCCGTCGGAATGCCTGGCACTGGCACTGATGACATGGCTCTGGTGACGTAGATTGAATATGCAACGCAAGATGAAGTAGCCTTAATAGCAACATACATACATAAGTCAAGTAGGTTAGATAGTCAATGGAGTAGGTAATTGATCAGCTATTTATGAAGGACTTACATAGAAAGATATGATAGTTACCTGCTAGTTAACTACCTATTATAAAAGAAACGGAGATAACATATTTCACGTCAGAGCCAAAACGGAAAGAGATGGTACTGTTTTATGCAATCTATGCAATGTACTTCCTGTTAAAGCGGCACTGATTCGGTACTTACATAACATATATACTGGTATCAATTGATTCAGGTGCTTTTATCACGTACATGCGTACACGTCTACATTTAGGTCTCGTTCCTGAGGAAGTACCTTATGTACATAGTATCTTACAAGGTTCCTGACCTCAATTCTCCCCCCCCTCCCCTCGGTTCGGTTCTCCCTCTATACATACCTTACCTACATCTACATACTCAGCAACTCAGTATCTCAGCAACTAATGATACCCTTTCTTCTGACAACTACATGACATATTTGGACAAATACTCTGATAGATTCGATACCCTTCTTTCTAAATACGTACATACTATACAGCAGCGCTGACAATAATCTTTTGATAACATCGTCTATGAAAGACCTTACAAAATAGTAATAATTCCCTGCCGTCTTGTTCGGCTGCCTGCGTCTTCTTCTCCTTTGTGCTTCCCCCTCCTAAACCTAGCCTCGGTGTCGATCGCGTACAACGCGCTTGTGTGTCTTTGTCCCTCCGACGAGTCGTCGAATCAACATTGAACTCTTCGACGTATTAACCTAAACCGACGCTCAACTTATTTGCGATACTGCCTTGACTCTTCTTTTTCCCTTTTTTGACCTACTCCGCTCGCGATATTCGTTGCGACCCCTGCATTCTGAGTTGAGCTCCTTATCGAGCTCCTCCGCTGGCGAGCAGGAAACTGCCCCGGCTGTCCTGCTAGCACCACCCTATGCCCGGTTCGTCTACCCGCGATACCTCTCCGACCTCGTCCTCCTCCGTGGGGAAAAAGAGTCGTAATAAACGATCCCAAAAACTTACCGGAAGTGATATCTCAGGTTCAAAGAAGAAGGATAAGAATGTTAAAGAAAGTGGCGGGGTTGTCGCAGCGGTGACGAGACATGGGGCTAAATTCTCGTACGTACCCCGTACCTCCTATCCAGTCGTTATCGAGCAAGCTGTCGATTCGTTGGTCTCTTGGGATGTAATCCGGCTGTAAATGGAACTTGGTGTGTTAACTGTAACTTAGTAGCAGCAATAATGCCAGCGATGCATCTCCGCCCTTTGACTCCCCTCTGGCGTCTCCGGAGCTGAAACCTACAGTTCCCGCATCCATACCCACGAACGGCAATGCAGCGTTCTCCCCGATGTTGGATGCGGCTTCAACAACCTCTGTATCTGCTAGTACGGCCCCGAGTGCTAATGACTGGGCGCGCGCGATGGGGCCCTTGGCTGGTTCGCCGTCAAACTTGATAAGTATCATGGGCGACTCTCCACCAACCCAACCTTCTTCGTACGAGGATCCGCGGTCCTTACCATATGCCTGGAGTGCGCAGCAACAACGACAACACTTCGTAAATGGTCATGCTTATTCTGCTTCCCCCCCTACTGGCATTAGGCGACCTTTGAGCTTCCAGCTAGATGCACATTATCCCACGAATGACATCCGGTCTCAGGCGTCATCGCCCCCTGGAGTGCGAAGAAGTTCGATGCATTCACCATATCTGCCACCTCGGATTGGGTCTCATCCGCCGTTACCTCACCAGCCTCAAGCTCACTTCTACGGTGCTCCTGATATCGACTTTGATTTGAATGGCAAAGCTGGCTTGAAACCGGGCGAGAGGGGCTTTTATTTCGGATTTGACACTCTTCCCAACCCAAGCGGGGCTCAGACGTCGGGCAGCGATAATGTTGTTCTTGCGGGCTACGAAGGTGGCATCGATATTTACAGTGCTACAAAGCATGCCGTAGAACCACTTGCTAGTTTGAAAGGACTGCGGGGTGGTGTTTATAATGCAAAGATTTTACCCTGGAATGGCATGTCGGATCCGTACGGCATATTTCCTTTAATTGCTCTTGTCATTCATGGACCGGTGGTACCATTGGCGATCCCCGAGATAGCTGTTGACCACCACTCTAATGAGTCGTCCAGTCCCCGGCTGGATGGTATTCATACGCCCCAGTCGGATAGCAACCAGCGACAAATCAGCATTGGAAAGACGCTACCAATAATAGACGCCTATCAGACTACCGTCGAGATATATTCTCTAACAACCAACAGGCTTGTTGATGTACTCCTGCAGGCACCAAAAACGCCCATCAAGACTCTAGTGACAAACCCTGTCTTCAGAAGTCCGCCACCAGCTGGTGCTTTTCAACTTCGCGCCGATGCTGGGAGCGTTCTGATTTCTTCAGGGGTCACGGGTGAGTGCTGGATATACCGGCAGACAAAATGCGAGCAAGACCCCGGGTGTCAATTTTGCTGCGTGGGTAAGGTATGGACAAGTTTGAGCGGAGGTTCAACCCCTGAGAAGGATGGTAGCCAAAGCCCGCTCCCCGCTGGAAAACGCCCGCAGATGCCTATCGTTGCAATCAACGGTAGGTGGCTGGCATATTGTCCACCAGCGCCTTCACCTCAGAAATCACTCAACCCGTACATTCCGGTACCGCTAGAAGGCAAAGCGCCCGGCTTAGCGACCCTTGCTCCTCCCATCTTGCCAAATGAGAGTTCGGATGTCGATCAGCCCGTTCCCGATGGCGTCATGAACCGTATAATGAGAGAAACCACCCAGGATTTCATCCAAGGAGCTCGGTGGGTTACGAAGCAGTCGGCTCAGTTATGGAAAAACTACTGGTCCAAGCCTGGCCAGCAAGCACAATCTCGCCAGTCTCAGATGGGCTCACCGCCTTGGAATGGGGGGTACTCGGGAAGACAAGATGCATCACAATTCCCTCCAACTTACGGCATTCCCGGTCAGGCGGTGTCTAAGGAACCGGGCCTAGTATCGATTTTAGACCTACAGGGCTTGTCGAACTCAGCCGCACTTCACCACGTTACTACATTCAAAGCACCACTTGGTTGTAGCTTTTTGTCGTTCTCTCCGGCTGGTCTATCCATATTCACTGCGAGCAGCAAAGGAGATGTGCAGACAGTGTGGGATCTGATGCGTATTCAGTACACGAAATCTTCGGCCTTGCAAAATCCGCAATTGGTTAATGGCCACACGACACGAGTAAGGCAGGTCGCGCAGTTTTCACGGATGACTGTCGCTCGTATCGTTGATGTAGCGTGGGCGAGGCCAAACGGAGAGCGAGCCGCGATGGTGACCGAGAGAGGCACAGTACACTTGCTCGATATGCCTCCGAGTGCGTTCACCTGGCCTCCTCCTCGTCGCCGGGTTAGAGTCGAGGATGGATTACCCGCGGGTCCTGAAAATGCACCCTCGGCAGTTTCGCTGGCATCAAATGCACTTAGTTCTGCTTATGGTGCCACTCGGACTTTGACTTCCCGCCATCGGCGTACGAGCTCAAACTCGCAAACGCCGGCTACTATCATGGACCGCGCTGGATATGGAGGTAAGGTACTTGCTGCAGGAATTAGCCATTCCTTGGGGAACGCGGGGACCGCCATCAGCCAGCTACGCCACACAGGCGAGAACCGTGTCAGCTTACCACCGGGTAGCATGTTGCCTGGCCCGTTTTGCGCGACGTGGATTACTGGCAAGAAGTATCACACCCTGTTCGTATTAGGGGATGGTTTAGTTAGGACTTTTCCAGGAAAAAGCAGAAGGCCAACGGCCGGAAAGGACAAATCTCGTTTCCAGCGTGGTAATCAGTACAGGGATTTCAAATTGAACCACTTGCCTGATGATTTGATTGCGCCGTCTATCAAGCAGATTATCGACCCTATCGAGGATCTTGACCCCATTAACCAAGAACATGATGGTGGCAACACTTTGGTTTTCAACCCCCGACCACAACTTACCGACGCCGAATATAGTCCCGAGACTTTCATCCCGCAAGCTGAGATAGAGTCTAGTGCGCCCTATCAGCCGTTCCATACTGATAGGCGGGTGGGGCTATATTTATATGGTGACGGGTCTGCAACTTCTGCATCTGAACTTCTCCAGGCTACAACCCTGGAGGATACGACGAGGGGCGGCAAAGCTCGGCGGTCCTGGACACCTCCGAAACAGCCATGGGCTTTCGGAGAAGCCTTAAACGTGGACAGGATGAACGTAGGAATAGTACACTTCGTTGAAGAGGATATCAGTACCAGCGTCGATGACCACCGTGCCCTACCCGCCTCGGCAATGGAGCGGGTCCTGCAGGTTGGCGAGAACGATGAGCAAATCGTAGTTACGACCCGACGGCGTAGAGGCGGTAATAGATCTACGGACGCCGACGAAGACGGATTCTTTGAAGATGATTGCGAAGTACTTGATTTTGCGGACCAGAGAGTTTGAGGTAGATGCCGAATTTGGAGGAATTGACCTTGTTACTTGTATAGGCGTCTCGGTTCAACACGGGAGTTTGATTCTCAGACTGCGCAAACATGTGCGAGAGGCAATAGACGAAGCTATCTCTGCGAATACATCCTGTTAGACCCTCGCTTATCTGGTTTGGATTCTGAAGGCACGGAACGGTGGGATTGGCTTCTATTGCATACCTAAAGTCATATTGCATTGCAGACACGAAATATATAGCCCCATCAATACGGAGTTGAGAACACAACTCAATTAGATACCGTCAAATCACCTCTGGCATTCATCTTCCAGGACGTGAACTGTATTGATTATTGTTCATTTTTACCATTAGGAGTTTATTATGTAGATTTAGCAACATAGATCAGCCAATTGGCTCAGAGGCAACGCTTGCAACGGCATAACTAGGTAGAGTTCAATTAAGACCAACTTTGCCCAATTTCTCCATGTATATCAAGTACATGTTTTCCGATTTTCGAAGCCAAATACCATCTACGCCTTCTTCTTAGATGCTGCGGCCTTAGCCTTAGCAGCCTTCTTCCTGTTGCTACGGATCATGACGACGCTCAGGAACGAGCCAACAACGGCGCATCCGAGTAGGATGAGGATAACAGGTAAACGAATAGCCCAGACCCGCGGCGGGAAGAAGTTGTGGAGGGGGTGGTCTGAATCGACGAAGGGCTATACGTAAATGTGTTAGACTGCGGTTTGAGATGGAAAAGGGGGAAATAATATTTCCGTACCATAGCCAACGTCCAGATCGAATAGTAGAGAAAGACGACGGAGGCGGCCACCAGCATGGCTAAACCGACGAGAGTGCCGAGCTGTAAATTGATTAAATATTAGTAAGGGGTTATATTATGGTATGGTACGCACAGCGCAGGGCGCATGAAGTCAAAGATGAAAGAGGGGATATTAGACGTACCATTGTCGATTATAAGATAGTAAACGAATAGATTTTAGGTTTAGGTAAGGAACGTGGTGAATTAATAAGTAGATAGTTGGTATTGGCTTCGTCTGAGTCCTATTGCTGTTTAGATGATGACCTGGCTAAAAATCGAAATCTCCCATGGACTGGAACGAAACGAGACGCGACACGAATAGCGAATTGGAATAGTGGAACAATTAGAACTTTTAGGTACCTAGGTGGTCTAAGGTCCGGGGGCTTGATTATGTGGCTTGTATGTATGTATAATACTGCCAAGCTACCTAAATGCAGGTGTGTTACCAGTGGTCCCACTTTCCCAATAGCTATCCAGCCTCGTCCAAACTTTCGTCACGTTCACATTTGCCCTTGTCTACTTCAACTTTTTTCCATCATCGCCAACTTTATCCTTTTCAACGACAACTTTCCCGACAGCGGGGATAACTAACTAGTTAGTTATAGCTCGGCCCCCGGGTCATCAATTTGCTACTCTAGCATATATAATTTATTCTACTAGGGTAGTAAGAGACGATGGCCGAAGTCGAGACGCGCCACCTAGGCGAACGATCGCCGAACGAAGTTCCCGTTCCTCGCTCTCCCCGTCGCGATCCTGATCGTGGTCAACGTCGCGATGGTGGTGATACGTATAGACCTGCGCGCGACCGCGGCCGTCGCTCACCTCCCCGACAACGTTCGCCACCTCGTCAGCGCACGCCGCCCAAGATGCCCACCGAGGAGGAGAAGCAGGCGGCAGCAAAGGCCGGATACCAGAAGCTTTTAGGTATGCGATCGGGAGGAACATATATCCCTCCTGCACGTCTGCGAGCGCTACAGGCCCAGATCACGGATAAGACAAGCAAGGAATATCAGCGGATGGCTTGGGAGGCGTTAAAGAAGAGTATTAACGGCCTTATCAATAAGGTCAACGTCTCCAACATTAAGCATATCGTTCCGGAATTGTTCCAGGAGAATTTAGTCAGGGGACGGGGACTCTTTTGCAGAAGCATCATGAAGGCGCAAGCGGCAAGTTTGCCATTTACCCCGGTTCTGGCAGCCATGGCGGCTATCGTCAACACGAAGTTACCGCAGGTTGGTGAACTGCTTGTTAAGAGATTGGTCGTACAATTCAGGAAAGCGTTCAAGCGGAATGATAAGGCGGTGTGCTTATCATCGACTACGTTCATTGCGCATCTGGTCAACCAACAGGTAGTTCACGAAATGTTGGCTGCTCAGATGCTAATATTGCTATTACAAAAACCGACGGATGACAGCGTAGAAATTGCCGTTGGTCTAACGAAGGAAGTGGGACAGCATCTGGAAGACATGAACCCGGCCATTGCAGGTATCGTCTTTGACCAATTCAGAAATATCCTTCACGAGGCGGATATCGATAAGCGGGTGCAATTCATGATTGAGGTTTTATTCCAAGTGCGAAAGGACAAGTTCAAGGACAACCCTGCGATCAAAGAGGAGCTAGACTTAATCGAGGAGGAAGACCAAATTACACATAAGATCGACCTAGGCGCGGACCTGGACGTCCAAGATGGGCTCAACATCTTCAAATTTGATCCGGAATGGGAGGAAAATGAAGCAGCTTATAAGAGGCTACGAGCTGAGATCCTTGGGGAGGGAAGCGACGACGAAGAAGATGATGAAGAGGATGAGAGCTCCGAGGAAGAAGACGAGGAGCAAAAAGCCATGGAGATCAAGGATCAGTCTAACACTGATCTTGTTAATCTCCGTAAAACCATCTACCTTACTATTATGAGCAGCATGGACCCCGAAGAATGCGTCCATAAGCTTATGAAGATTAACCTACCAACTGGTCAGGAGCCAGAGCTACCTTCTATGGTGGTGGAATGCTGTAGTCAGGAAAAGACGTATTCAAAGTTTTTCGGCTTGATTGGGGAGAGGTTTGCCAAGATCAACCGTCTATGGTGCGACCTTTTCACTCAGAGCTTTGAAAAATATTATGAAACAATTCACCGGTACGAGACAAATCGGCTACGAAATATTGCAAGATTCTTTGGTCATATGTTTGGTTCGGACGCCATCGGATGGCACGCCATGTCTGTCATACATCTAAACGAAGAGGAGACGACCTCTGCTAGCAGAATTTTCATCAAGATCCTATTCCAAGAAATCTCAGAAGAGCTCGGTATGACGAAGTTACAGGCACGAATGCGAGAGGATATGTTGCAAGAAAGCTTTATGGGCCTGTTCCCACGCGACAACCCCCGTAACGTACGATTCTCGATCAACTACTTTACTAGTATCGGTATGGGCGCCTTGACAGAGGAGATGAGAGAGTACTTGGCCAATATGCCGAAGCCAACTCTCCCCGCACCTCCTGCCGCCGATGATTCCGACTCAGATTCCGTGTCTAGTTATTCATCATATACTGGTTCCTCCTATTCGTCTAGGTCTAGATCTCGTACACCGCCACGAAGGGCTCTTGATAGAGGCCGATCGATATCTAAAACACCGCCCAGACGAGCCAGATCGGCATCATATAGCAGGAGTAGGAGCCCATCCCGCTCACGATCGTATTCGTATAGTTCGTCTCGGAGCCCGTCTCCGCAGCGGACCAACAAGAGATATTCTGCCTCCCCCAGCCCGCCCCGTGGTCGTCGTGACTCCAATTATTCGCGGTACAGATCGGTAACCCCACCGCCGGCACGGGGAGCTGGTAAGCCTCGTTCGTATAGCCGTAACCGCGGCTCCACACGATCTCGTTCATACACGCCTTCACGGAGCCGTAGCTCGCTTCCTCGCAAAGCAGCAGTAAGACCACCATCATCGAGTCGGAGTCCACCACCGCGTAGGGCACCAGCGAGACGAGGATCATACTCGGTCAGTCCTCCTCGTCGAGCACGCCGTGGCTCGAGCTACTCCCGATCTCGATCCCCACCTCCGCAGCGGGGCCGTTCCAGATCACCATCATCACCCCCGAGGCGACGTAGAAATACTAGCTCTATCAGCAGTGCTCCCAAGAAGAGGCCGCGATACGATAGCCGGTCACCTACCCCAGTCGATAAAAAGAGAAGAAGGTACAGCTACAGCGCTAGCAGATCTCGGACAGGGTCGCCGCCACCCCGCGCCAAGCAAGATAGTAGGGTTAGAGGATAGGTACTGCACATATTGAAGCGAAGGGTATTTAACCCTGCAAGGGGTCGTTTCTGTTAAGGTGGGGAGTATAGCGTAGGGTGGGTGTAAAGTAATGAAGAATGGACTACGGAATCCATAGCTGTGTTTCGGCGTTGACCTTTTTGAACTTACTCTTGCACTTGCACCGACTGGGTTTACTTCGATGTAAAATATATCGCAGACTGGAGTTACCGCAACAGCAGATTAGATATCAAAGCATTGGTCGTAATTTTACAAGAATGTCTCACCGGTTAATGATGATATTGCTCCTATAACAATTGACTAATGTCTTAGTCCTACATGTGAATATTTATCTATAAGCCAATGAAATTTCCAGCTTAACCAGGGTGTATCACCCATCTTATCGACACTATTGGCCTCGTGGCGCCCGATGGCGTTCACATTCGGACCCGAGTGGCCAAAAATTATCGAACTCGAAGAGGCGTATGCATAAGTCGACTCCTTTCAACCTACCTCGATGATATATATTAGCTACCCCCTCGGCATATGTCTGACGAGTAGTGTGAAGGCCTGTTGTACTATCTTTATAACCATATACAGAGACATCATCATACTACTATGCCATCACCTATTAAAGAATCAGGTGGCGCCGACGTGCGCCCTCTAAGCTGGCTGTTTGGTCTTCGTGAAGTCCCGCAGCAATCAGGCTCTTCCATATTCCAAGGGGCGGGTCCGGCATCTCAACCGTTGCCTCCTAGTAAAGACCCGTGGTACAAGGCCCCGAACGGGTTTGAAACCAAAGATCCCGGTACTATCCTCAGGATACGTCCTGCACCAGGTATTCTTACTTTTATTGGTAACAGCTCGGCTTCGTATAATATACTCTACCGCACTACTGATTCACGCTACCGGCCTTCTTGGGCCGTTACTACGTTACTCGTTCCTAAATCTTTCTATGTCTCCCCTTCGGGAAAGACGGCTATGCTGTCTTACCAATTCGCCTACAATACGGTCCATCTTGACTCCAGCCCGTCATACACCTTGAACCAGGAACAGTTGCAGTCAAATGTTGATCTCGGCATTCAGTCGAATACCTCGCTGCTTACCGAATTGCTTGGGCAAGGCTGGATTATCAATACTCCCGATTTCGAAGGCCCCAACGCGGCCTTCGGTGCCAGTGTCCTGGCTGGACACGCTACACTTGACTCAATTCGTGCGGTTCTCAACTTGGCGCGGTTGACTGGTGATGCCAGCATCACTACCACTATGTGGGGCTACAGCGGCGGCAGTATCGCCACCGAGGCCGCCGCAGAACTTCAGGTTCAATACGCCCCCGAGCTCGATATCTCCGGGGTAGTGGTAGGAGGCCTAGTAGACCCTCTCTTAGATAGCATAGACATGATAAACAAGAGCCCTATCGCTGTTTCCCTAGTAGCCGCCCTGCTCGGGACCACGTCGCAATATCCCGAAGCCGCGGCGTACGTCCGCAGCCGGCTCCGTCCGGAGACTGCAGACGAGTTCCTCAGCGCCAAGGACATTGATTTTAGCACTTCATTACGGGCTTTTGCGATGAAGGATATTTATGGCTATTTCATAGGCGGGGCCGCGGATCTGAAAGACCCGGTGTTGCGCAAGGTGTTTAATGTGGAGGGCAGACGCGGGTTTCGTGGGGTGCCGGCTATGCCTATGTTTATATACAAAGCTATCGGGGATGAATTTTGCCCGATAGATATGACAGATCAGCTGGTGGAGAGGTTCTGCGGTAGGGGGGCGGATATCACGTATGAGAGGAATACTGTGGGCGGACATGTGTCCGAGATCGCGAACGGGAAAGGTAGAGCGGTTAAGTGGCTTTGGAGTATTTTTAATGAATCTTACGCCCCGGCTGCGGAAGGGGGTGTAATCCGAGATGTTGCAGTAGACATATCTTCCCTAGATACGTAGGAACCTGTTTGCTTCTTATTTATTAATGCTTGCTTCCCTTTTTGTCTGGAGAACCTATCGTTGACAAGCGATAGTGGTAGCTTGGTAGCTAGAGTGCCATATATATTAGTTTTTACCATTTAGTATTACTCATCTTTACATAGAGTAATCTGCAATAATTACAACATGGTCAGGTAGTTAAGTATCTACTGCCGTACTTTAGAGTATATGACGGTTATCGTAAATATGCTAGTTCGATGGGATAGCATATCCAGTCCCAGGTGCGCTTCTACCTCTGCTATATATGCCTTATGGGCTATTTACCTACACGTAGAATGTGCTACTACACTATCCAGATACGGGAAACCCTCAAACTACCGTAGATACATGATATTTCATGTTTACATGGTTGAGTTATATAGGTAGGCATTCAGCTTGGTACCTTGGAGAAATTTGCTTCACAGAGGGCAATTGATACTTGCTTCCATGTCAAGTTAGTTAATCGATTATTTGCCATCTATGGATATCATAGACAATTATAAACGCAAACTAATGCTTTAAATTTCGAATGCACTATATATACGTACATAGCCGAATTTTCGATAGAAAATATTCTTGTTTATTTCTATTCACCTTTTATAACCCCTTTTCTCTTGGAGATTTGCTGCTTACTCCAGGTAATATAACCATGTTCAAGGTTGTGAAGTATATATACTATTGACACAACTTGAAAGAATATTGTTGGAATACCTAAATATACTAGCTGAAACAACTCAGCGTAATATAATCTAAAAAAGGGCATGCCGTCGATATATTTGTTACTGTTGTAGATCTCCCGTTCTTTAGACTTTACATCAACCAATCAGAATCAATCGTTTTTAGTTATTCTAATTCTTTATTTCATTAAATACCTACGTAATATGTGTATACATATTTAACTATTGTCAATCCAACAATGGGGATATTCCTCCGCAATACCCGAGATCCTGTTCCTTTTTTGACCTACTAGTCCTGACAAGATGAGACTGACGCTGTGGGAACGACTCATCCTGTATATATCCCACGTATTCTAATCCATCGATTAGAATACGTACTCAACTTCTAACAACAACAACTTTTTACCAATAGACATATGATACCCTCACTCGTGTTGCATGCAACATCCTTGTCCATCCAACAGACGCTCCGGCACATGGTATGTCCAATTGTCCTTGTTTCTACTGAAAGTTGCTAACATAATAACAGGTTCAGCGCTTAGTCTTAAGAAGTCTAGTAACTTCTTCATGAATGTTACTCAATCAGTTTAGCACTCTAGTAGATGGTATATTTAGTGGTCCCAATCCTCGCCGAAAGGTGCTAATAATATAATAGGCTAAGTGACCAGGCCTAATACAAGCTTCCATTGGAATGCTATCTACTCTATTGGTCTGATTCAGATTGTCTCTATGAGATGTGGGGGGGAATAGGGGGATGGATGGGAAGCCAACACGGCTGCTACTCGGAGGATTATCATTTGGCTTCGGACAGAAGCCTCATGATATTGTGCTGACATAGAGCTAAAAATCAACAACCTCTTTGTTCACACAGTGCTTATGATGTTTCCTAAAATAACGCCTTACAGACTTTTTTAATAATTGCGTATAATCTGTTTCTCGCCATTCTACGAAGTATATTGGGCCCAAACTACCTTAGGTTAGGTACATAATCTTCCATCAAGCATATGGCTGTATCCATAGGCGACTGCCTCTAAAAAAATTGGTTGCTACAGTCACTGTTTTTACTAGTGACAGACCTTCAGCTTTAAGGTCCACAGTCACTAGTTTTACTAGGGACAGACCTCCAGCTGTAAGGTGGTCTATGCCTCAGATATGAAAGATATATAAACATAGCCTCCCTCCCACATTTTCGAACTTTCTCTTCCCATCTTCTCCTACTCTTAAGTGCTCAGTTATCAAAGTCTCTCTTATATATACTAAGGTACAACAACATAACATCCTCAAAACAATCCATCATAACCCATTCATCATCCACCATCTGTCTCACACTCTCCATCGCCATGTTTAAACTAGCATCCTCTTTCTTCAGCATGGCACTGGCGCCGGTACCGGCACCAGCTTCGGACCGGGTCTTCGCCGTGCCCGAACTACTTGAAGCTATCCTATCGCAGGTCGACAAAACTGATCTTCTGGTCAATATGCAACGGGTATCAAAACATTGGAAAAAAGTCATCGAGGGATCGCCTAAGTTTCAGAAGGCCTTATTCTTTCTTGCAAGCTCCGGATCTCCGACTCCACACAAGAGATACCTCAAGAATCTCAGGTTGGCATCTGTCGTCCAGCCATTCTTTAGTGTAGACCTTCTTGCGGGCGGTTTATCCGATGACAAAAGGTTCAGTCACATTTGGATGAGAGATATTGTCTGGCACCTCGACTCTGATATCAAACCAAAATGGCTGGTAGAAGACGCTTCTTGGCGCAACATGTATGTATCTCAACCACCGATCAAGAGGCTTCATTGGCAGATCCAAAGAGAGGACCAGGAAAGCTACGGACTATCATTGCCTGGAACCGTAGCAGAGCTTGAATTCCCAGGAGGATTACGGATGGGTGACTACTACGACCTCATCCTTGGCACTAGGGGCACCCACAAAGTCATATGGCCTAGTCCGACTGGGAAGGTCCATGCCGGTGACGACATGGACGATGAGGCTCGGTGGCTATATTATGAGCGCCGCAGAGCACACGAGCAGCACGCGATCATGATCAAACAGCTTGTCTCTCCAGAAGAGGATAACCCGGATCCCAGACGGGATGACTACTGGAACCCTCAAGACCTCCAGAGGTATCATAAAAACCTTCGGATGGTGAAGGGGCTGGATGTCAAGATGACGGATGGGGATGTTTCTTGGAGATACAACTGGCTCGGAAATGACAGCGCTTCGGGTATGCGCCTATTCCTTCATGCGGCACAAAAATTCATCCCCGACGATGTATATTATTACTAAAGACGCTCTCACGCCATATGGTATGTCTTAATAGTCCTGGTCTTCATCGAAACATACTAACTGACCAATAACAGTACCACGTGATTTGCCCCGAGAGAGTTTACCATAATGCTCCTCGGTGAACCCAACTTCCTTAGCTTACCATGATAGGAAAAGGGTGCTGGTCTTCGCATAGGCGTGGTTTGGTGTGGAGGAACTTAGTATGTAAAGAGCACTTTGTCTAGCTACTACGCAGAGAAGTGAGGATGGTTCTGGCTTGGTATGGGAAAATATGGTTCGTTTTTCCTTGAAAGGATAACGGAATTTGGAAGGGACGGGAACTCATTGTCAGATGGACAACATACCAACTTACCGACCTAAAATTGGTCGAGAATTAATCTTTTTGTTACCCACACGATGCTGTGTTTCTCCGCGAAGATCCGAGATTGTGATGAATGTATATGTGCATGAAATAAACCTTTGGGTAATGGGTTTAGTGTAACTTCTTCTGTTCGTAAACTTGGTAGTATTCCAAAGTAGGAAGTAGGTTTTATATGTCTAGTCGCTACATGTAATTTGCTCATTATGATCATATGTTTATTAATATATTGCCGATGAACCCTCTATCAATTTCTATATTAGAATGTACCTATTGAGAAGAAATGTGTACCAAAAATTCTAAAGCCGACTCCCCTTCATAACCATGCATGATACCTAAAGGATAAAATATTTACTTATAGTTAGATATAAAAAGCAAGAGTTAAAGCAAAGCTAATATATCACAACTGGTATAATGTTCCTACCGCTGTTACATTGAGGCGGCGGGATCAAACAGCGGGAAGTTGGGTTCGCACACGGTTCCAGCCGCGGGTAGCTTGCCTTCAAGGAAGTAGTTTTGAATAATGGAGTTTGTGCAGTTTGATGGCTGTGTGAGAGATAAGTGCTGCATGAAAAGGTTAGTTCCCAGTCTACAAAGCATAAAATAGGGGCTAAGAAGATAAAGGAGAAAGAAAAAAGGTTACTCACGCCGTGGCCGTTATGCGTAAGAAGAACGCTTCCCTCGAAGCCCGAGCTCATGTTCTTAGCCGAGGCCAGAGGAGTAACGGGGTCGAAGCTGTTGCCGATGAATAGCACTGGGTTCTTAGTCTTAACCTGGAAATCACCCTCATACCGCTCTTTGGCCTCAAATCCCCATTGCGCACAGGGCATTACATAGTATCCCCAAGCCCAATCCCAGAACCACTTGCTGGTCTTGTGATACTGCTCAAATACAGGGTTAAGATCAGATAGCTTATTCGTCCGCAGCTTCTTATCACCGCAGCGGATTCCTAGGATTGCTTGGTCTTGAGATGGGATCGAGAATGCCAAGACCCGGTTCACGAACGTCTCCAGGTTGCCCTCTAGCACATCCTCGAGCGCCTGGGCCAGGCTGGGCCAGCTCGATGGTGAATATAGCGTGCTGAAGATGTGGGCCTTGAATAAATCGTAAGCGAACACGACCGTCCCGTTGAAGACGGGTGGGTTGTCCCGGACGGTGTCGAAGAGCTCAGCCATGGCTGCTTCTAACTCATCATAGGTCCTGTTTTTTGCCAAGGCGCAGTTTTCGGGCATTGCGATACACCCGCGCATGAATTCCTCCCAGGTAGCGTCTGTTGATGCTACCATCTCAGGTTCGCCGCTGGATTTAACTTGTTAGTTGGATTTTGTGGGACGTTATACTGAGAAAAGGGGGTACATACAAAGAGTTATAGTACTCATGCGCATTCATCACACCATCGAGAACAACACTCTCTACTCTATCAGGGAACATCGCGACAACGGTAGCTCCTAGAGTAGTACCACCGGAAATTCCTAAGAAGGACCAGTTAGCTTACCAGTGCGTTAACCTTTAGCTTGCGATCGAGACCACACTCACCCCAGTATCGAAGCATGCCATCTTCGTTCAGGGCGTCGACGATTGACATCATGTCCCTTGCAACGAATGCCATGCCGACAAATTGACCGGTCTCCTTCTGCTGGTCGTGGCATTGGGTCGCAATAATGTTGCCTTCGGCCCAGAGTTTACCTACTGCCGTGTCCGCACTACCAGCCAGGCTATTTCCCATAGCGGCGTAATAACCCGTGGTATCGTCGGGCCAGCATGAGAACCGGAGAGTTTTACCCGTTCCTCTATACAACATTGTTAGTCCATACGATGATATGGGGCATAGTGAGGGAAAAGACTTACCTAGGGTCCCAACTTATGAGATCGTGGTAACCCCCAGTAGTCCTATTGAGATATAAGTGTTAGCCAAGCCTTTTTCATGTTATATCGAACTGGGGGTCTCGGGGATAGTAAACTAGTATATCACATACGGGCCCATCAGCTCTGCATAAGCAAGCATGCTTTCTAGACCGTCTTGGCCCGGACCGCCGAAGTTGAGGAGAATGCTACCGCGCTTCGGCTGCTTCTGAGCCGGGTACTTGATCAGATCGAGATTGAGAATATCGCTACGATTCTTGTCGGTGTAGTCGAGCGGAACGGGCAGTTGGGCGCATTGCACTGGGAGTGTGGTATTTAGTTTGCATGGTCCCCATTTGATCTCCGTATTATTATTGCGGCGGACGGTTACCGCTTTGCTGGCATGGGGCGCGAGCGAAAGGAGTAACGGAAGGAGTGTCTTCGAAGATACCATCTTGGATTCAGTTACTTGTGAAGCTGAGATGTCATGTAAAATTCGATTGCTCTAGTCGAAGCATTTCGATTCGTCTTATATATTTACAAAAGTAACCTCATGACAGGCACGAATTAACATTGCCATCCTCCTATGTCATGATGCGGTATTACAGCCTCTATTTACAGCCGCAAGTGCCATCGACGTAAATCTGGAGAAGATTATTCCTATATGGCGAATCAATTCAATTCTTCCTTTGCTTCTGAATACGTTAGCCAATCAGAGTCTCTGTTCTATAAGATTCATACGGCTCTTGGCAAATCGAGAATACGCCGTATCTGTACCCGGGACCCTTGCGTTGTTAATCCTTCCTATTGCGGCCTATCCCAGCCCTACGCCTTAGCCCGCTGGATCTTGGCATCAGAGCTGAGCGCTGCTTACGATTACACTTTTGTACAGCCAAGGCTTGGCAAAGGGATAGCTGTCAGATTCCGTAGAACCTATGATCATTGGACTCTATGCGTCATCTATTAGCTACCTTATATATACGGCGTATATGTCTCTAATATTACGTAAAGAAAGAGGCTTGAGAATTTATAGCTTTCTCGATGATCTTTTTTTTTCATCTCTTGGGGTTCAACTTAGACTAAATGCTATGGATTGATTAACTTCTGCTTAAGATGTCAACCATCTTAGGGTAGAATGCATCTCGCTCTTTATCTAGTATTTTTTATATCTTTCTCTTCGTAGAAATCTTAGTCTATGGTTACTGATACCTTATAGCTTTGGTTTTCATTAGCAAAACGGGCACATTTATGCTAAGTCGAATCCGATTTTACTTACGACGAGTACTTGGTCTAAGTCATATCTGCCGCCACAGCTGAGTTGCGGGACCTGAGAGTAGTTCCTCGCTAGTTCCTCTCTGGTATTCTGGAGGACCTAAATAATCTCATTGTTAGCATTTGATTATCCTGGATTTAGTCACAAGACGTACGTTTATATATGACTGTTCAGGGTTCTCTCTCAGAGTCCTAAGAAGTGCCCAAGACATGGCGCCGGTCGGTGCCCCGGCGATGGATGTATCCGCAGAGGTCTGATCGTCAGCGCATCCGGAGAACATCCAGACATCTTTACCTTCTGTCTCCCAATGTTCCTCGAAATTCTCAACGGCGAGTCCATCCTCATCGACATCCTCGTTCCGACGATGATGCAGTCCATTAAAGAAGTCAGTCGCACCTCCGAGTAGCATCTTAGCGTCCTCTACTTTAGACATAGAAAAGCCGCTTTCGAAAAGCCCCTCGGCCGCGCGAATCAGCCCGATTCCTTTCTTGATCGTGTCAACCATATTAACATTGCCATCTTCGTCAGGTCGATAGACATAAGGCAATTCGCAGGCCGAGCCGGAATGACAGCAATCAAAGAGTATGGTAAGACGGCACTGGGGATTCATTGGAGATACGATCGATCGATGCAACTAGGCAGCGTATTATATTAGTATTAAATTTTGGAGAAGTAATATCAAGGCTGCGGAAGTTGTTTGAGAACTCACTATTTCGCTTGAAATTTGTCCGTTTTCTGCAAAGTCGACCGGACATATTGTATCATCGAAGCTGGTTCATATCAGGGGTTAAAATTCCTAGACTGTTTACTTACCCTCACAAACTTACCCTGAAGGTCGATCCCTAGCATCACTTCTAACTTGGGCTATACGTTAGGTAGGTAGGTACATATTAGCCCTCGCTACACACATACTTGTTATTAAATAGCTAACCTCCATGACCAGAGTAGCTCAACCAAAGGATATCACCAGGTTGGTTTCTGGTAACCAGCCAATTGATTGCTGCCAGGATATTGGCGCCTGTTGGAAAAAAGGGGGTACCATCATTTTCAGGAATATCCGACAACATGACCATGTCGTGAGCGCTGGGTGAGAAGCCCCTCTCCTCGACGAGGAAGTTCCTGATGTTTTCCGCGTCATTAATACAGCCATTTAATTCATGCTCGGATCCGAAGTAGTTGATGCCAATAAGAAGAGCTTTCTTGCGGGCCATGATGCAACTTAAGTTAGACGTAAATAATTATCTAGGGAGGTAAAATCAGTGAAATATGGATGTTAAGAATGCGCATTTGAAAAGATGAATATGTAAGTATCGATCTAATCTAAATATGCCGTATTTCCGAGCTTGATATCAGTGAAATGGCGGTCTCAATGATTTACTATGTTAGGTACCTTATAAGGTAACACTACTTCGTACATACAGGTACAGACCCTACAGATGCGAGTTTTAGTGGGGCATGGGTATGGGTATGGGTACCTAACCTATATACTATACCAGTTAATAATTACGTAATATCACCACAGTACCTACCTGTTCCCTAACGTTAAAAGTACCTGTTAGTTAATTTATCCCTACTATAATTTGGGCTATGAAATGCTCTAGCATAATTTCTCGACCATCTACTAATTAGGGGTTCTTCCTACTGTAACCTTCTTATACGATGCGCACCCTTTCATTGGCTAGATCGCACATCACTTGCCTGGCAATATCTTTACACTATACGAACCTTTGATACAGCCTCATATGACAATGATTGAATTCAATCAATATAACAATGATTTAAGGCCTATATATCCCTTTAATATGCAATATTATACTAATTTTAATCGGTTATATGCATCGAAAAATAGACAACGGCATCAGACCTGATCATTTAAGGTCTTATATGTTAAAAACGAGGTCTTCTTTAAATCCTATATTGAGTGCCTAGTAGTCGTATTCTACGAGGCTATTTGAAAGTTTAGAAGGTTTCAGAAAAGTTAGCATACTTTAGGTACCCAAGTAATATCAAAATTGTTTTAATAGTAAATAGCAACAACGATGTTAAAAATACCTTCACTTAATAAGCATCTAAAAGTAAACATGAAACCACAAACGATAAATGACTTCATAGCTTAAAGTACTAGGGTGTCACAGGCTATATATGTAAGCAAAGCATAGCTTAAGTATACAAATAACCCCTAAGATTACGGATCTGTACCGGGAATAAATAATATATACAAGGATCCTCCCCTTAACCGAAAGCGAACTCAATACCTCTGCATCATGAAATCCTCCCAGCTCGCCCTAAGCCTTTAGCTGAATGCCTTTACTTCTACGGATGCGAATCCGATTACATAGCCACGTGGCACAGTAGAATAGAATTGTCCATCATCATTATGTCTGAATATAAAGTGCTAAGATTTCCGACTATTATGGAAAGCCAGACTTTTTCAATCCGGCTCAACCAAGATAAATCTATTTAGTCTCAAAATGTACTTTAGAGGGAATCCCCTAGGTAGCCTAGTCTTCGCCACCTTGAAGGAGCCTAATAATACTGTGAAGACAAGCAGCGGAATAGTCCATGGCGGCCAATGCAGCACAACCAGCGTAAATTACTTCCACTCGATTCCGTACGCGAAACCGCCTCTAGGAGAACTACGCTTTGCACCTCCTGAGCCATACAATAATTCGCTCGGTGTGATCAACGCTACAACACCGGCACCAGCATGCATTCAATTCTCGGGGTTGTTCGATGAGAAGACTGCGACAAGCGAAGATTGGTGAGTAGCTCTGCGCGGTTGTCAGGTACCTTGAGTGGCTCTTCACTAACTCATGTGAAATATATAGTCTTTTCCTGGATGTCTGGGCTCCATCCTCTGCTAATTCCGAGTCAAAACTTCCCGTGAAGGTATGGCTATACGGAGGAAGCAATGAAGGCGGTGGAATTTCAGATCCGACATATAATGGCTGTTTCTCTGCTGTGGACTCCATTGTTGTCTCTATCAACTACCGCCTCGGTCCTTTGGGATTCTTAGCGTTGTCGGATCTTGGCCTCACCGGAAACTATGGCATCATGGATCAACTTCTTGGCCTACGCTGGGTCCAGGAGAACATCGTAGGGTTTGGCGGTGATCCGGTAGGTCTATACCCTCGTCACGTTGAAGAATACCTACCTACCTAGGTACCTATGCATCACAGAGCAATCAAAGTTAATAACAAATCTATTTTAGAGCAAAGTCCTACTCTTTGGACAATCCGCCGGCGCTATTGACTCTTTCGTTCTTGCTACATTACCCGAGGCACCCGAATTAATGAAAGCTGCTGCCTTAGAGTCTGGAGGTGGGAGAGATATAGCAACAGTGGACGACGCGAAAGTATGGTATTCAGAGTTCCTTGACGCGATGAACTGCACGAAACATGACGTATGTGCCGAGCTCCAATCTCTATTAATTTATTCAGAATGCTTATCAGTATTTAGTTATCATGTCTTCGAAGCGCTCATGTCGATGGAATCCGAGCCGCAACGGCAGCAATGCCAAGTACTAGCATAATGACTGTTAATACGGCCCTCGTCAATAATGGCACAAGGTCTTCTTGGACCCCCGTGGTAGATGGAAAGGTAATCAAAGAGCAACCATCAACTATAGGAGTTAGGGTCCCTTCAATAGTAGGGTCCACTGCCAGAGAGGGCTCTATATCCGTCTTAGCTTCCTACGTCACAACTTGGAAGGGAAAAGCTCCTAGCCTATCGGACTACGATGATTTCCTAGCCCTTAACTTTGGGCCACTAGCGACACGAGTAAATGAGACGTTTCCATTAGCCTCTACATTTAACGGTTCAACACTTACCGCTATGGAGGTTATTGTCACCCAGGTATCATACCAGTGTCCATCATACCGAGCTCTACAAATGGCGGAAAAGAAAGGAATTCCTGTATGGAGCTATCGATTTGCTCACGAGCCTAGTTGTGCCTGGTATAGCGCGATAGAGGCGGATTGGATACCTCGTTTAGGGGCAACGCATACGAGCGAGATCCCATTCGTCTTCAACTTTACCGGTTCGCCACCCCCTAATGGTAATTGCACCTTCTCGAAAGCAGAGCAAACAATGGCCCATGATATGAGTCGTGCGTGGACAAATATGGCACAGATAGGGGTACCGGGTGACAAGAGTATTTGGCCTGCTTGGACATCGGACGAAAGCCAAGGTGTAGTATTCAGTGATGCAATGGATGTTGGTGTGGTTGATTATGCTTCTTGTGATTTCTGGGGGGAGATTAATGAGGATCTTAATAAGTATCGGAGGTCGCAATCAAGCATGCATGATACTATCTCTATATAGTATAGTTAAGCTAATTTTCGTTTCTTACCCCTCGGCATTATTGAGGATTAGGGGCTCAGCAGAATAGAACACTTGTCTGAGATAAAGTATTTTGTCCATAGAATCAACCGCCGTGCTCTAATTTATTCCGCCACATACTTTAATACGATAATCTGGCACCGGTATAAGTTACTATTCATTGTGTCGATGGCCCATCCTCTTGAAGATCTCGTATGCTCGAGCTGCACAACCAATGCCTCCCAGTGTTAGCATTACCCCATTAAATAGAATCAATATACCATAGCTCGTCCCATAACTTCGTGGCCACCAAAGCGTTTTATCTGTACCATTAGCTATCAGCACCTCACTGATAGGCCCGCTTACGATGCTACCAACACCTCTTGCCGCAGCGGCAAATCCCCACAGTACGCCTAAATCGGCATGGGGAGCTCGCTTCTGTATCTCAAGACCTATGCCGACCCACGTTGAGCTCCAGCCGCCAGCGAAAACGCCATAGAAGAAAGCAAAAGCGCACAGAGCCCCAAAGTTAGCTGCGAACCCCCAGGCGAAGAAGACGGTAATAGCAGCACCTAGAGATAGAAGAAGTAGCGATATGGAGACATGGTAACGGTCAACTAAGTATCCTGTGCCGATGGCACCGATAACCGTTGCAGCGTTGTAGAGCGATAGCATGCCAGCTGCATCTAATGGTGATGCGCCAAAGCGCTGAGCGAATGCTATGTTATACGTTAGTTCACTCAAGTCGAGAATAGCCACGAACAATGAACAGTGTTGTGCACATACACGGCAGGTGAATACCAGGCAAAAAGTTGCCGAGGGCTTGGAAAATGTTACCGGCTTGAAGTATGGCGAATATCGGCGTGATAATAAATCCCAAAGTCCCGAATCCGGAAGACACAGCAACACGTGGTGGCTTAACCCGCGGCCGAAGGAAGTAAATCGATGGGATAGATAAAGTTGTGACGGCGATGAACCAAGCTATCAGCATAGTCCGGTGTCCGTACTTTTCGAGGCCCCATGTCATCAGCACACTGTGCACATCGTTAGCCGTAGAATATGAATGCCCATCACGCGTCAACATACGGAACGATGATCCCACCCATACCCGCGCCACTCTCCTGGATTCCAAAGGCGAGTCCTTTACGTTCGATAAACCACTCATTCAGAAACTGTATCGTCACCGTATTCACAACGCTAGCTCCGAGTCCGTACAAGATGCCCTGCGTCAGAAGTAAATGCCAAACCTCGGAAGCAAACGCGGACGCAAGTATAGCGAGACACGTGACAGCCGATCCGGCAACGAGGGCTGGCCGCCTGTACGCCTGGTATCGCTGCAAGATGATAAAAGACGGAGGCGACGTCAAGTATAGGATTCCCTAAGAATCAACGTTAAGGGGGGGTGTCTTATAGAAAGATGGAGTGGAGTTGCTCCTGCGGATGAGAGTGTCCACGTACCAGCGCAGTGGTACCAACTGCAGGCAAACCCTCGGGATGGTCAGAAAAGGGCGGGTGGGAGGATAAGTAACTCTGGAAGACGCCGTATGAGAATGGAAATCCCCACGTCAGCGCGATCATCAGAAAACAGCCAACCCAAAGAAAAAGCCACGCGTGTTTACCGCGATCCGGTTCTGGATAGGCGTGAGCTGGTGTTCTATCTTGGCCCTCTCCTACATGGCCAAATTCAATTAATTCCGAGCTTGGGTCTTCAACCAGAGCCAAATCTTGGCGGTCCATTGGTTTTTTTTTTCGTTACCCTAAATATTTATATATTTGAGCTTTTCTATGTAGGTTAGGTAGGTAGTTGTTATAATCAAGTTTATTTGAGGTTTTAGTCTGCTATATATATCTTATACGTAATGAGGGAAGTTCATATCAACCGCATCTTCAAAGCCTACAGATCAGCTTGTAGTTTATTTTGACTAGCTTGGCACGCCCTAAACCCCCCGTATACCGGGGGTTTACATGCTGTCGTTAGAACTAACTTAGACCGTGATCGGAAAAGCTTCCCAAGAGGGGACATAAAGGGGTGGGGTATTGCATGTGTATTTCGTAATAAGCTATCTTTATTATGTATAGTTATATAGTATTATCATTGCTAATCTTGGCTTGTGATGAAAGTTACGTGATTGAAGCTCCCCGTCTCTAGCCTTAGGTAGTCTAGTACCTTGGCCGAGTAGCCGCTAAAGATTATATTCAAACAGAATTTTATAAGTCTTACATTAGTTTAGGTAGTTAAATGTCAATGCCTAACCTCTATAGTCTAGTTTTAGTTTGAGGTGAATGATTTCAGTGGGTTTCTTTGGTAAAATGCCAAATATTCAAAATTTAGAAGTAAACAATAGATGTAAAGTGCTGGGTAATGAGCGCTTAATTTCTAATTATATTATCCAAATGCGATAGGTCTAATTCTGATGTCTTATGCTGTTCTAAGAGACTCCTAGAATACCACGTCCTCAGTGTTGTCATAGTTTACCAAGCTTTTCGTTTTCCCTCATAAGTCCATAACTTGCCACCTGACTCTCTGGTAGCCTCATTAATCACCTTGAAGGTACCGTCACAAGAATCCTTTATAGTGACAAGGGCTTCGTCTAGGTCAACTGATCTCGCTGCTGTATTTCCCATATCGGTTTGGGTCCATCTATAAGGAAAAGTCAGTAAAGTCTATTCCAGAGAGAATAGTATTTTGTCACCCACCCGGGATCTATCACAAATGCGATGATGTGTTCCTCTTCCTCATTGATGCTCTTTGTAATCCAGTGTACAGCAGCCTTTGAAGGGCCGTAAACAGCGTTCGGATATGAATACATTTCCTAAATGATAGATATATTAGCATATCTAGCTGCTGTTGAAGTAAGTATACGAATCTTCTTACCTCTATAGATCCAGCACCGGACCCAATAGTCACAAACTTAGGAGCGGCGGCCTTGTGAAGTAGTGGCAGGGTAGCCTGAAATAGTCGTAGCACGCCGAAGACATTAACATCCATAGTCTGATACATGTCCTCAACCTTTGCATCGGCAACTTTAGTGAAACCGAGCGAGATGGCGGCGTTAGCGATTACGATATCTAAGTGATCGATTCCCTGCTTCTGGAGTTCCTTTACAGCATCTGCAGCGTCTGTGTTGCTCGTAGCTTCGACCTTCACGATAATGAGGCTGCTTCCAGGGGCTTTAGGTAGGTTGGTCAGCTCCTTAGACGTGGGATGCTCCGGGTTGCGGTTAGCAGCAATCACTTTATGATTAGGTAGGGCCAGATAGCGCTCAGCAAGGCCCTTACCAATACCTCGATTGGCACCAGTGATAAGAACAATAGTAGAAGCCATTGCTCTTGCGTTAAGGTATGAAGTAATTAAGAAATGTGTCTCTAAGAATTTATTCTAAGCATACATCTACTAGATTATTTCTTTTAGTTATATAACTATGGAAAGACTACTTTAAATATCAAGGAAATCTTAGGTTACACTCATGCAAAAGTGAAATTTAGCGGTGCATGCGGTAATTGTCATCACGGAAAGTTGGCAAGCCAGAATCAGGATACGACATAGTAACATTACAAATTGACGGATGAAATAAGCAGGTCAGATGGGGTAATATCACCCAAATAAAGTTAGTATAAAAATAATCGTTTAAATATTTGGCCGAGATCATGTAGGTGCGGGTGCCGGAAGAGCTTCCACAGAAAGACACCCTTATGTAATACATCCGGACCCATCAGCTCCCGTACCCGTACCCGCACCGATAGGCGCCGTTTATCGGTCTCCCGCTACCCGCTCCCGAGTTTTTGTCATTCTCCTTATCTGATAACTTCTGAATAGAAACTCAGCTTTACTTTTAGTCTTCTTAGCACTCCGACAGTTCAAGATCTATCTTAATTTATGGGAATTTACCAAACAGCCTAGATCTCTATTAATACCAATAGCAGCCTTTATTACCTCACAGAGATCATTTGAGAAAAATCTATCATCATCATCTTTACGCCTAAATCAATCGGCGCGTAGCCACTTTACCATGCCTATACGTCCCCTAGCAACCAGCACTACTTACTTTGATTTCGCGCACTCCAATATCTGATCATATTGCTGTGTAAGATAATATCGGTGTGGGTTGTGCTAGTTTTGCTTTGAAGACACGCTGGTCCGTTACTGCATGCGCATTGCTCGTGGCGCAGTCTATCATCTCGAGATGACGCCCAATAATTTCATAGCCTACCACCAGATGCGTCAAAATAATCGGCGCACCTCCAGAAAAAATCATGATATTAAGATGCGCCCCCTTTTTGGGCGTCCTTCTACCCCTTTTAGGTGGAGCTACGCTTACCGCGAATAGCTTAGTCACTATGAATCATAATGAATCATTCCGACATGGTTTCACGTGACTATAGGGACTCGAAAGTTGCTATAGTCATATAAGCTGGCAAAATAACGTCAAAAAAGGGGTGAATTCGTCAGTATAGTTGTTAAGAGAGTACAATAGTTATTCTGAGGTTATTCCGATTATTCTGGATATTTTGATTGGTTACAAACTACGGAACTTGTTCCCCCTTTATCATCATCCGCCATGGCCACATCTCTTAAGCCCTCCGAAACCATGGACTTCTACGACATTGCCATGAGCCCACCAGCGTCAGTGAACCCCTGGAAGGCTCGATTGGCGCTGAACTTCAAACATATTGCGTACAAGACTATATGGGTCCCCCTTCCCGATATTGGGAAAGTTCGTCGGAGTCTTGGCGTGCCCGCTTGTCGCAAACTTGCCGATGGCAATGACTTCTTTACACTTCCTATCTTGGTTGACCCTAATACCAACTCCAAAATTGGGGACTCGTTCGATATTGCTGTCTATCTGCAAAAGACGTACCCGGATTCAGGTGCCGGCGATTTATTCCCCCCTCAGGAGATCAACTATACCTTTGATCAAGACCCTCCCCCTTGGGCACCGCCACTATCAGCACGGAAACAGGGTGAGTATGACGAGTACTCCAAATTCAATATGCATATCGACAGAGCATTCAGCGCTTATGTTGGCCTCATGGGGTTTTTCCTCCCCTTCGACTCACAAGCGAGCAAGGATGAGCTCGTTCGCCGTGCTGGTGTAAAATCATGGGATGATTTCGAGATAAAAGGCGAAGCGCGGGAGAAAATGAAAGAGTCTTTCCGTATGATGCTTGGGGACCTTGCAAAGCTATTTTCAAAGAATACCACGGGGCCTTTCATTCTAGGTAAACAGGCTAACTACGCCGACCTAATCGTTGGCGGGTGGGTATACATGATGCATGGGACTCTCCCAGACAATGAATGGCAGGAGGCCAGGAGTTGGCACGGAGGTATTTTCGGAAATTTGTATGATGGGTTACAAAAGTATGCAGAAGTGAAGTAGGCTCTACTATTATGCGACAGAGCCTGACGCAGCTACATATTATCAGTAGATATCAAATGAGCTTTGAAATATTTCAAGTTTACTTATATTGCTTTTATAAAACATATGGTAACGTAGAAATACGATCAGTCATATGAGGTACTAGAGATCTAAGTATATATTGTCAAAGTACCCCTTGATGGATGTCATACATAGAGCAAATGTTAGAAGTAGCTGTGTCGTAGTATATATATATATTGACACCTAACCTTATATCCTCTTACGAGGGCGCACATCGCCCTTATATATCTCTTTCATATAAATCTATACTTAATTTATACTAGTATTATTTATACTCTGACATATCATATCAGGGGTGAGATGGGGGTTCAGCTCCGGATTTGATAGAAAATGAGGCGTAGTAACTGCTATACTAAAATCGCATAATTTTCTATTGATAATCTGGTCAGCCTTAATGTCGAGGCCAAAGATTCCAAGCGTTTATAGCTTAATAACGTCTTGAAATATTTTTCTATAAGATCCACCTGCAAGTCCTCGGCGTCTTGCTGACTGAAACATTTGACGAGTCCCCGGATAGGCGGGACCCTACCATCCTTTCCTAGAAAGCGCGTACATAACTCTGGGTCTTCGCCCCAATTAACATCCCCGCTGAAGACAAGCTCAAGATCGTCGAAATTAGTCATCATGGCCTGCTCGTTCGCCTCATCTAATAACATATAGCCGAAACACTTGAGAGCTAGCTCCTCATTGCCAGTTTCTTAGAGTCTACCATAGGCGCGACACTCACACCTGAACGGCTCTGCGTAGTTGTAAAAGGCGCTCAACGACTCACGATCGGGATCAGCGTCCAAATAACCCGGACCCATCCAATAAAAGCCAGGGACGAATTTAAACTATAGACATTCAAGTCAATTCGAAGCTCTCTCGCCAAAAATTTCATATATAGGACATCTCCACCTACCAGTTTTAGTGCGTAAATCTGCCCCAAGATTTTGACCTTGAAGACGTATGAATGTGAACCATCTCCGATGCATTCGAGAAATTCGATTTCTTGAGGACCCTGAAAATCGAACGGTTTCAGCTTAGGACCATCGCATTGTGGTAGTGGTACTAGATCGACATCAGACTCAGGCCACTCGGGATACCAGAAGTCTTTGATATATCAAAATCAACAAAGAAAACCTAACATCACCCGTCCTGCCGTAACATAGAAAAGCTTTCCCTCTCAGATCTTGTACCTACCTAAGTTATATCGTCTAGCTGAGACACTTTTGACTAATTAGTGAAGTTACCCACATGTTCCAAATAATACCATCTAGAAGGAAATAACCAAACCATTTAAATAACTTGATATGTTTAGTCTGGCAATATCCACCTCAAGGAGATCGGATTATACCTCTGAGTAGTATATTTAATTAGTACTACCAGAACTGATAGCTCCGTGGTGATATGCTATTTGCGTCAACAGCTATACCATCTACGAAGCTGCGGTAATAAATTGATATCGTTGACTGCCTTGGTAAGGCTAAATAAGGTAATTATGATATACTTCCAAAAGGTAAGGCTGTCTCGAGATCTTACGATAATGAAGTTTGCATTAGGGTTAACAACTGATCCCCAAAGAAGTGGAGGGGAGGTGAATTAATGAGCAAAATTAAATCAATTCGTACGGCCTAGAGCACTTCCAGCCTAATGCAAACGTGTCCCTGCCAATTAACCGACCGTGATGCCAAATTATGATACAAGGTGAGGTTCTTCACGAACCGTATCGTTAGAGCCGAGAATTTTCTTCCCCTTCATAAAAACCCTGTGCGCACACGCGAACAATATACCATATGAAGGCTCGTAGCTAAACCTGCATTATCTAACTCCTAAATAGAGCAAGAATAAAGACGAATCTTTCAACAAGTATGCCTAGGGTGGACGTTGAACGAGGCTGAGTCTTGGATATAGACAGCGATGGACCATGGGAGCAATGCATACTAAATACAGCATGCTACATATGAGTAACTGCGACGTTGGCATGTGTTATAGAGAGGGCTTTGTCTCTCGGTCGATTGCAGCGCCAACTTGCTGGGCTGTCGAAGAGCTGGGGCCATTGGCGCCACCAGCAGTTAGAATCTATTGTATTTGTTAGATATTATGTATTCGTCAAGTCTACGCGATATTATCATAGGAACCTTACCTCTCCACCCATCTCACGCATCTTCATTTCCTTTTCCATTTCCATTACTTGTTGCTCTTCAGCCCACGCGAGAGCCCACGGGACGCCTAGAATTAGCGCAGAGGTGCTAATCACCCAGAGAGTCTTGCCGCCGAAGGAAAAGAAGCTTGAGACTGCGCTAGTTGTTGCGTTGACCTTGTTGGCAATCGAGGTTCGGGTCTGAGGTGGAATGATGTCGCGAAGCGCATACAGGCGCTCGGTAAGAGTTTCGCTAGAAGGGTCATAGTCCGACTCGGTTGAGATTTCAGACTCTATATAGATTCATGATTAGGTAGCTGTAAAATTAAGACATAAGACAAAGGCGCGCAGTGACCACAGATTTAATATAAAAGCTAGATCACTACAAGTCAGTGACGTACCAGTATCAGTGAAATCTTCGTCCTCCTCAGGACCAGCCTGGTCCTCTTGGAAGTGTTCATCGACGACCTCTGTAAGTTGGACCATTGCGACTCTCGGATGGTTTCCGTTGACGGTGAATAACAATCGTAGGTCGAGTTGTGGAATCGGGGTTTGAGCTGGAATAACGGGAGAATTGGGAGGAGCAAGAAGAAAATCTTCAGAATCCGATAAAGAATCCATGGCTATCGGCTAGCAGGGGTGTCTTTAAAGCTTTGTTTTTATTGGAGCATTGTGACTCAGGTCGGCGTTATTTTGACAGTCATTAGGATGAATTTTTACTGTGTATAGAAAAATGTAATAATCCGAAGCGAAAGTTTGTGTTCCAGGCATTAGAAGTCTAGCTAATCATGTGTTATATACATATACATGCATATATCCGACTCATTACCATAGAGCCCCTCTGAGCCCCTCTAAGCGACCGTCTTAATACGTTAACTCCTGTAACCCCTCGGCTGCACACCTCAACTTGGGTACCTGTGAGTGACGTCATTGGTTAAGAAACCGTACAAGAGGCCTGCTTTGTACAAGTCAGTTCATATATTATTCAGAGGTAGGTCTATGTAAATTTATGAAAAAAGTCTTTGAGGTAGTTTATTGGAAGATTGTCAATAAATAATAATTATATTGTAACTGCCATCCATGCGTACCTCATTGTACCTCATAGTAAATGGTAAATAAATGATTGGTGTTTCGATCCCGACATAAAGCTGATTAGAAACATATAGCAATAAATATATTAACACTGATGTATTAAGACGTCCTACTTTAGACGAAAAAAATATTTACTCTATCTCATAAAAGCTATTGTGCTTACTTTTCGCTATACCAATTCAGCATACGTCATGACCTAAAACAAAACCAAATAATATCTCATGAAGCGTGTGCCTCAGCCCTTGTTGGGAGGGGAGTCTGCGAATCTTATCCCTCGTCTTGTGGGGGGTACTCTAGGGGTATCATCGTCTTCACTGTCACTGTCTTCAACCCCACCACCGTCTACACCTAACGCAGCCTCCCTTCTTCTCCTCTCCGCAGGAGTCTCCCCTAGATCATTATCCTCGCGGACGCTAGCGAAAGCTGCTAATCGTCGCCTTCTCTCAACGGCTGTTTCCGGTGTATTTGATGTCAGAGGTTGCTCTGAGTCTGTCGTTGGGCTACGTCCACGAGGGGGCTCTGGGCGAGAAGGAGACTTGCTCGCATCCTGAGTGCTATCGCTTGCTTGAGTCACACTAATCTGAGGGTGGACTAGGGCCTGGGCTTGGGGTTGGGCTGTGCTTGCGATAGGTGCTTCCCTTGCCATCGATTTCACTGCTGGATCCGCATTGGATTGGTCTACCACCTCGCGGCGGGTTTTAGCATCCAACTTTCGCACTTCTCTGAGGAAATCATCCTTGGTCATGCGTTGTCCAACGCCACCGATCGTGAATCGGATACCTCGATCATCTTCTACGCTCATTTCAGCAGGAGCAGTAGCATCCTTCCTCCTCTGTTCAGCAGCACCTCCACGACTGAAGCCTGGCCACACTCCGGTTTTCGTCCTAGCCACGGGTTTGATACTGCTGGTCTGGGTAGGCTCTTGTTCGGACGACGCTTCGACATTGGGTGCTGTCTTATCAGTTGGCTTAACGAGACCACCCATTCCCATGTATTTCAAACTAGTAGCTACATAGTCTCTACCGTCATTTCGCTCGGTAGGAAGATCGTACTTCCTCACGACTTCTCCATCTTCGTCTTCCACAATGATCTGCAAAGGGTTAGCTGAGTTTCTTACAACTCGAATAAGGGATTGTACTTACCGTGTTACCAAACTGGTATGCTCTGGCTGGCTCATGCTTTCGTTCAATCTTTGCCTTGTCTTTACGTTTCTGGGCCTCCTCATCACGCCATTTTCCAATGCTCTTCTTGAGTGACTCGTAAGTCCATCCCGGCTTTTGAGTTTCGGCTTTGGCTTTCTCCTTGACTTCGTGCAGATCTTGAGCCGGTTGATGCCCTGTTTCCTCAACCGCCAGAACTTGACCATCGTGATCTTCAATTATGATATGGTCGCCCTCATCAAAGACTTCTAGTTCGTCGTGTTGTTCGCCTCTGGATGGTTGCTCACGGCCCCTTCCACGTTCCGACCCGCGTTCCTTTGTCACATGCACTGTTTTCTCGACGTCCTTTTCGCTATCTTTTTCGAGCAGATCCTCCGATGGCGAGCTGGGGCTTTCTTGTCTTGGTGAGACAGGCGGTACAGAATCAGATGGCGACATAGGCTCTATTTCACTTGCGCTCCTTTTCTGGGGGAAGATGGCCGACTGGCTTACGGGCCCACCAGGTCCAATACCATCATCCCACCTTTTCCTACTACGGCGCCTCGAAGAAGCGCGGCTTCCCGCTCTACTAGGGTTCTCCTCCTCGCGCTGTCGACGTAAGAACTGCCCAGGCACTCCAGTTGGTGGCAACGTGCCAGGTGGAAATTCAGGTAGTTTCATCTCCTCAAAGTCGGTATCTGACATTGTTCGGGCTTGTGATCGCGACTGAGATGTGATCCGTGGCAAGCGGCTCATCCAAGCAGGGCCTTCTTCTGTAGCAGTGGTAAATGACATGGTGAGTGATAAAGTGTTAATGCGCTTTCCTAAAGTGAACACGGCCACTGAAGAACCATGGACGATAATGGAGGAAATCACCATGAATGTAACAATAGGCCACACGAGGAGAATAACATTGTAGAACTCAGTACCTTTCTCCGGCAGTTCTGGTTCAGGAATCGTGTGCTCACTCTCCAACTCGGCACGAGCAAGTAGGGCAACAAAAATAGCACCTACACCGATTGGACCAAAATGCCCGGCAAAAAGAGCTTCTCGCCAAGTCTTAACATCAGGAATCAACGGTTTGAGAAGCATCATAACCGGAATCCGGCGGAAAAGGATCACAAAGATGGCCATGACAACCAGTCTCCAAGCAGAAAGGCCAATATCCACGTTGTTATACTGCTCCCAGGGAATAATAGTGCCAAGATAGACGAAGTAGGCCAAATTAATTAGTAGATCGATAACGTTTGACACATGCGATTCCTCTGTCTTCTCGCTGAACCAACCATCGTTTGAAAAGCCTACACCGGCAGCAAATCCGACAAGTAGGTCGTCCGTGCCTAGAATACTGCCCGATCCAGCGCAGAATAGAGCCAAGGTAAAGTAGAAGACGAGAAAACTTTCACGGTCGATCAAGTCGTGCCTTTCAGCGTATTTGATGCCATGTCGTGCAATATACCCAACTAGAAACCCGTACACAGCGCCGAAAATACACTCGTAAAGGACAGTATATACAAGCCAATGGTACGTGGTCTGTTTGGCGTCTAAGTGCTCCTGTAGTAGGTACAGAGAAAGGTAGATGAAAGGGAAGGCCATGCCATCGTTGCAACCGGACTCGGCAGAGAGTAGATCTCTCAAGTGCTTCGGTACTCGTTTCGCAAACTTGCCCTTACCAACAACTGATGAAGCAAGAACGGGATCGGTAGCAGTGACGCAAGCTGCAACAACTAAACTCTCGAGCCAAGATAGTATCGGGAACATCCACCAGACGATCAAACTTGTAATCAACCACCCAAAGGTCATGACGGGAAGCAGCAAGAATACCACAGATTTCCAATGCCTCTCCATGTAGTATTTAGGCAATTCTACTCCGACGGCAAAACATTGAACGACCAAGACAATTCGAGAAAATTCAAGAGTAATCTCGTCGACATTTCCCCACGATACGGGATCAATTAGATTCGCGGCATGAGGGCCGAAGATAACACCGCAGAGAGTGGCGACAGTCGCTTCGCCAATATACATACGCTCCTTAATAACGGAAGAACAGAGCATAAAAAGCGAAGTAAACCCTCCTAAGATGATATACACCAAATGGGGTTTGGTAATCGAGAGGTGATCCCACGCCATTGTTTATAGCAGCGTCCCCTGGACGACTCGTACGGGGCGGGGCGTCCGCAAGGCAAGAGATATAGAGAAGACTGCAGCTTACTAGTCGAGGTTCAGGGAGGACGTTGGTCGGAAGAGGGCGTGTATATTGGTTTCTTTGCGGATAGCGAAAAGACTCCAGGAGGCGAGGCAGGATTTGCGACTCCCCAACTTATGAATACGGTTCTAGGGAATTTCTGATCTAGATGCATTCAGGATGATGGTTTGCATGCCAAGTAACTGGCAGACTAGCTATACGATGAACCAAGACGTAATTGTAAGTAAAATCAAACCCGAGATAGCCGCTAACTGCGATATTCTGAAGATCGCTAGTTCATTTGATATTTTTTTTGTTTACGCGTAGGGGATCCGCTCATGAGAGGGGGGGGGATGCGCCGCGGCAGCACGAGCATTAAGCAAATGGAAGATGCAGGGGCAAGATCAGGTTATTGTCCCTTGATGCCCAGCTAAGGAAATGAGACAATAAAAATAAAAAATAAAAATAAAAAAGACCCGATGAAGGGGGATGTTGTAGTACAAGAAGCAACGACACGGAGTGACAGAAAATACTGGCAACTTCGAAGTTTTTGTACTTTCTAATAAAAAAAAATATACAATCCTGAGCAGTAGCTCCTGTCGACCTTTCGTAATGATGAATTTGGGGTTTTAATGGACCCGACTCAATAATCCTAGTCATTCCCTAGTTAGTACCCTAGTAAATTTAGTGGAGACTTTGGGCAAAACGTGCATGGGTCTCATGCGTGCCGGCTGGGTACTTACGGGATTCTGATAGGTCTTATGGCGGTGAGTACCTGTCATGTATTTTACAAGTATCTAAATCCTTGCTGCTTTTACGTATTTCAATATTCTTAGTACACACACGTCCTCAACACGGATGACCTGAATATGGTCCGGCTTACCACCAAAGTAGCTTTGCAGAAGAGTAACTAACCAATAATTTATTACAATTGAGGCTCAACCGAAAAAAAGGGTGATCGCGAGCGGGGGATTAGAAATTCTAGATGGAAAATGCGGAGTGTCGAAGATTGCGGGGGTACACTAGACTAAGACATCGGCGAAGCTCGCCTTTGTTTGCATGCGTATAAAGTCTATAATTCATAATCCATATAAATCTAAGCCGACTCCCGGCACGCAACTTCGAAATGAACCGGCGGAATGTTGTCGACGGCTGATGTCTCCGATGTTGTGGAACTCGTCCTGTCATTCCACACAGTCTACGCCGTCGAGCTCCTACCTGCTTGATAGGTTAGGTATCTATTTCAGTCAGTTCAAGAATACCTTTGGAGATGCCTCGTTTGTGCCGAGATGCCGTGTACTCCCGGATGATATTTTCGGAATCAAGGCTCTGCGGGAGATGATGCCATTACAGATCAACGTGCATTTTATATATACCCAGGTAGGCATGTGATTGTTAACCCAGAGATAAGTAAAAGATAGACAAGAGATAAACGAATTGCAATAGATGATCCTCGTAGATCCCACCTACTTTTATTAAATTGCTGCATTCTAACATACGATGATTAGATCTTCTAAAGTGACGACTTAGTCAAGATAAGTAAAAGATAGGCTATGTTAAAGCTACTAAAGTCGCTAAAGTTGCAAAAAAAGTAGTTGAAAAGATAAAGCAGCATGGCGCTAAACTTGAGCCGGAAACCCGACTTCTTACAAGTGTACAAGACTAGTACTTGGATGTTTCAACTTCCACGAGGAATACCACGGTCTAAGACTGTTTTGTCTCCAATTCAATTGTTTCTTCAATAGGTTATTCGACGTTTTCATCACCTTATTCCGAAAATTTCTCTCGATTACTACCAAAATGATTGGACCATTTACATGAACAACCTTCATTCGCCTATCATTGTATTGTATTACTTAGATCTCACTTCGAGACCAATCTTTTAATCTATGCCCTCCTGCTTCTAACTTACCTAAGGTATTAATCCGTAACAGTGGCGCAACTAAAATGTGTAGGTAGGCAGGCAGATAAGAAAAAAAAAAAAAAGAGAGGAAAAAAAGAAGGTCGTGGCGTACCATGCCCATGTCCAACGTGACATTAAACCCTCTTGGCGGCTCTTAAAAGACTCCAATCGTCCCCATCACATGACGTCGTTTTACTCGCTTACATGACTCCGCCGCTCCGTATCAGCCAACTTGCGTACCGGCTTAGCAATGCCCAAGGCCTGCTTGCGGACTCGGCGTTCTGGGCATCCAAGACCCAAGACATTGGCAAACAGAATCTGTTCTTCGTGACCAGTTTGCCTGTTTTTTGTTTTTTTTTTGAGAGGGCGAAAGACGTCGTAGCAAGCTTTTCTCAGAGTATGCCGAGGTTTTTACCCCTATGACAAGCTATGACAAGCTATGAGATCCCAGATGCCAATACGTAAGAGAAAGTGTAGCACTACCGAGTTCATCTCAGTTCACCGTTTCCCCGACGTGCTCTTTCGGCCATGCCGGTATCCGGATGTCTCACCGGGGCGCACGTGGGGGCGCTGTCGAACTTATGTTTCACCACACAGGCTGATGCTTTTGAGCTGCGCAAGCACAGCAGGAGATCGGGTCACGAGACTATTTGAACGTCCGTCTGCGGCGCGAAAGATCCAGACCCAACCCATACCTTAAGTACCCATACCCATATGTAATTCTTATCACCGCACGGCTTGCTGCAGTGTTAGGTGCGCATGCGGTTCCCAAGTTCCGGGATTACGGTCCCCCTAATTCAACGACTCAACATTCAGTGTTAATTCGTTGAGAATCTCGACGACAGCGAGCCTCACTCAACCTTTCGGCTTCACGGAAACTATTTCTATGAATTAAGATCCACATAACTAATTTCAATACTACAATTAATATACCCGAATGTTGTTTCCAGAAATTTTTCCATTTTAAGTTCGCGCTCGCGAGAGGGGTACGCGTCTTCTTTGTACACTATTTCACGGTTACCCGCAGGGTCCACTGATGGATGACGCGATACAGTATTTTCACTTATATTTCCAGAAGCCTTTCGGCCTTAGTTTAGTATCTTTCTTGACCGAGATTCAGCTTCTTGACAGCTGGTCTGGTAGTCCCGCTATTGTTACTAAATGTGGTCTGTAGTTCAATGGATCTTTGTATGACAATACGAAAACTTACGAACTACGGCTCGTAACCTTTGGTAAGAATTATCCAGATCCTTCCATAATACCTGCTAAGGGGTTAGTCTGTAGACATCGTTAAAGCTAGTCTTAGCGCCTTGAAATAGGAATATGTAGATAACTAGCATAACGAAACTACTTTCACGTGCAGACATATACACTCGAAGATGCAGCCTTTTATAAGCATAGTAGCATCCCAAGCGCATCAATTGCGACGGGTCATATGAACTACTAGTTATGTAGGTTAACCGTACCGGGTTCAGCCTTTAGTAAAGATGAGATCTGGAAGTTAAAATTTCCCCAGTTTCTCACTAACTCTAATTAAAAGCTGGCGATATTTAATAATTGCGATCGGTTTCGATCGCTGCTTTCTTCTAATACCTAGGTTTTCTTTTAAAAGGGAAATCTCGAGGAAAACCCAAAACTTCCTAGCTACCTACCTATTAATCAGAACAAACGCTCGGGTAGGCTACTCATCTTCCTTCATATGGATTGAGTTGCATCAAGAGATCGTTACGGGATTTGTTAATAGATCATTGGGCGGTTAGACAATAGACTCGAACAACTCATATGAATGGTACCAATGCCAGCGAATCTTTCTTGTTCCAATTATCTGCCATGCGTATGCCAACCATCCGGATGATATCCTTAAATACCTTCAAATAACCCTTATACACGAGCCGCAAGGCCCTCTAACTTAACCGGGATACCCTCTGCCTTCGCAGCAATGGCATCTCCAAACTCCTCGCGGCCATTAGCAAACACCTTCTCAAAGTCGTACTCACTCCAGCGGATATCGGGATTGAGACCAGCAAACTTCCAGACACCGTCAACCTTGCGGTACCAATGGACGTTGGTAGAATGAGCGTGACCCTTAACAGCGACCTGGCTGCGCGTCGGGTCTGTGTACCGCTGGTGCGGCACGCGCAGCTGATGTGTGCCTATGACCTCTGTGTCCGATACCTTCTCCCATTTGGAGCCACCAATAAAGTGCTGTGTCTTGAGCAGCGGATCCCCTAGCACTGCCGGGGACGAAATCATAGTCACGAATTCCTCGGCCGGCATCGCCTCCCAGAGCTTGTCTAGGAACGAACGGTAGTCAATCTATCAAAAGTTAGGCCACAACGGAAACCCCTGGCTTGAAGATAGGATATAATTAACGCACGCGCAGAGTAGGCGCTATACACTCTCGTAGTCTATTCCAGTCCTTGGTGTCGTAGCTGTCCGCCCACTCGACTAAGCAGGCCTGTAGACCGAGGTAGTCTAATTATCATCAGTATGCACAATCTAATGTTTGATGCAACCTATGCTAGGCTCTAGCAAGGATGTATTTGCCATACCCTCGAAACTAATATTTCCGGTAGTCATCTTGTGGATCTTTTGAGAGCCGCGATTGTAGATTGTGGGGTATTCAGATTAAATTATATGCAGTGAGAGAACCCTCATACTTTTATTTCAGCCTTAAGAGTAATTCGTATATGGCCTCTTCTTAACTTATATTTGTAAACGGATCCCCCACACGTCCGATATTTAATTAGGGATGTCCGCCTTAGCTGACTGGAATTTTGCGTAACCCGACTGTATGGGAAAGCCTTTGAACGTAGTCCGCGCCGGAGTTCCCCACCTACTATTATATTCTAAATCGGGAGCTTAGGATTTAGTTATTACAACTCAGACAACATTATAAAGTGCCCCTTTCCCATGCGCCGTGGCTAATATTTTCTGTCAGACTTACTCCCTTAATAGGATGTTTGCGACAGCTGAGTCTGAGTCCTTGGAATGTTATAGTGTAGTGCTTGGTTCATATGTAGGGCGATCAATATCGAGATCGGAGCTTACCTTTACATACCTACCTAGGTACCTTAGGTACCTACATGTATGTAGATACCCGCCGGAGCCGGCAGTTACCATCATTTGCATTAGTCCCCGCACGGCTCGCAGCATTAGGGTGATACAGCAGAACAAGTTGCCCGAAAGCTATCATATCATGTGTAGCTAATCGCGTGGCTAGTATAATTCAAGTGTTACTAACTAATGCGACATAATTTGAAAGCGGTGAACATAACAAATAACATGTCTTGCGCCATATGCAATGGTTGTTCCACAGTAGACGAGATTATCATGCAAAGTAATCGAAGTAAGGACCTAACATTCTACAAATGTCACGTAATATACATCATCATCAAAAGGGTTAGGTAGACGAATAAAAGGTGACATGGTAAAAATATACCTAGGTATCTTATAAGTAAGCCTGGAGAAGAAACGCTCAATACTTGTATATCTTTAATTTGCTACATATTCTTTTATAGGGATACCTATAAAGAAGATAGTCCTCTATATCTGCATACCATCGTCTAAATGTAATATCTCTAGCTAGGTTACCCAGGTGGAATTATTAACTACATACTTCGGACTTAAGCTACCTTGCAAATAGTAACTTTCAACTTTGGATGTAGACTAACTACACTGCTTGGTAAGGTACGTATAGTCACTGGTGCAAATACTGAACTCCGCAAAGGAGTCATCTGGATCCTCTTTCATAAGAACGTGACTGTCTAGATAATGGTGCGCAAGTCTATCTGCGAAGCATCTCCCTTCTCTACGGGGAATCTGGAGCTTCTACACCTCGATTTTGGTGATTTGACCACCATCAAAAAAAGTCGGCCAAGACATTCCTTTCTAAGGAATAGCGCTTGGACGTCTTATTTAACACGAGCTACAGACAGAGACCAACAACCTAGGGCCGTTTCTTTTCACTCATTGAAACTAATCGAAACGATAAAGGTACCTAGGTATTTCTGGAGAGCACTGCCCGCGTCGTCTGGATATTCTCTTCATCAGGCGAGCGCATGATCCTCGTAAAGGGCGACGTCGACATGGATAACCTAGATTACAAGAAGGACATATTCTGTGTGTATAAGCATGGCATTAGCAAGGTGGGTAATTACTATCATGCGACTGAGTACCTAACGCCCGACGATATCGAAAGGATGGCATTCCTAGTGCCGTATGCTTTCCGAAATTAGACCCTATCGTGCATCGACCAACTTATGGCCTTAGTGATCCTGGGGTGAACAAGAGCTAGAACGCTCTGATAGAATTGCAGGCATTAGATCCGGGTGCTTTCAAAACAGACATTTCAATGCACTCGAGATGCTCTACAGGAAGGATATCGTAGAACCTGTGATTCTTGGGGTGTATGCGGAATTGTTCGCTGGCCTCTCAGATAAAGTAATATTCGGACAGTCGGGTGATTGGTATAAGTTTTCTTTCCTTTCCTTTCCTTCTTCTATTTTCGTCGATTGCTTCCCTCCTTTTCCGTGGGTACATACGGAATACAAGGTGCTGACATGATCCGTCTTCAGTCGTTCCATGGGGTCGGTTTGGCAAGATTCAAAAGGATCTACTCCATAGATCAAGACCCTAGTTGGAGGGAAGCACCGGGCTTGCTCCAAAGTTTCGGGACTGGACGGAGCAGCAGGTAAAACCTTACGTGTGATTATAATCTGAATATCCTTCGATTATTTGACGAGAGCAATGGACCGGAGATGTTGCATGCATTTATGTATCTGTGGTGGGGGATCTGGTTGAACTCGAATCCTACCGAAAATTTTCGACGGTAGGCTATGTATGTATCTCAGGGGTCAACTTTTTTTATGTACGCATTACATAGGTACTAGAGACAGTTATCATCCCATACTTCGGATGTTCAACCCCTGCTTTCCCGTTTTTTATTCTCACAAATAATAACAGGGCTCTGTCAATTCTACATAACAGGAAGGATCTTTCAAATTTCTTAATTGCCCCAAGTCTTGCAGCTAGCTAAGTTAGGCTAAGTATCACTTCGGGACACATACCTAGGGAGAGTGTTACTATGTAGTCTAGACCCAAAGACACTTGCATACTTCCCCCTTTTCATATTATAGTAACACAAGCCTTGCTTATACATTAAGTTGTAAGCTATAAAATATTTCACTCCCCCAACCCGTCCCGTTGATGTCATCGCAAGTGCCGTAAACTATCTCCAAGTTCAAGTCCCTAGCGCCTACTTATTAGAGGGCCGCGCCGAGGTTATGCAGAGAATCATTTCTATAAGAGTTTAGCCGATGCTAGATGTTACATACCCGACCACTTTTGACATAACTACCGAAAGGGCGCATTGCGCTTACCCTGCACTTTTTAGTATCCAACTAGTAAGATCTATAGAAACGGGCGCCTTCCGTTTGTCGGTAAACCCCTATCCAAATAAACTCAGATAAATCTAGATAAAGCGACTATACTTTAAATACACAATTAAGATATAGGCACATCTTAACTACAATCAAGCACTCCTTCAAGTCTTCAGCAGTTAAATTACCTTACCCACAATCCCAATATATAAATTAGTTAGTATATTGAGCGAGGCAATGAATTCGGATAAGGAGTGCTCCATAGCTGTTACAGCCTCACCACCTAGTGAGAATGAGACCACTCCGGTTGTAGGTCCTATCGATGTCGCACCACCACCCGATGGTGGTGCCGGATGGATTCAAGTTTTTGTTGGACAGTAAGAGTTTCATTTGCCTTTTTCACTATCATAACGATAATAGTTCTAATGAAACTGCTTAAAGTCTTGCCCTATTCAACACATTTGGGTGGTTCAATAGCTATGGTATCTTCCAGGACTACTACACGGAAGAGCTAAACCTACCGCTATCAGCCGTTTCTTGGACGGGCAGCGTGCAAGTCTTCCTGTTAGCCTGCATAGGAATGTTCTCAGGTCGACTCTTTGACGCAGGTTACTTCCGCTCGTTGATCATGATCGGTTCTATTCTACAGATTCTTGCTGTATTCATGGCGTCCATTGCTACCGAGTATTGGCAGCTCTTCCTAGCTCAAGGCGTCTGTGGTGGGCTCGGCGCCGGCATCCTGTACTGCCCTATAATCGCATGTGTGTCTACTTATTTTGCTCGAAAGCGAGCACTTGCGATTGCCCTTGTCACAAGTGGTGGCGCTACAGGCGGACTGGTATTTCCTATCATTGCGCAGCAACTTCCAGACAAGATTGGATTTCCTTGGACTATGAGGATCATGGGATTTGTAGTCATGTTTAATGCATCCGTAATGTTAATATTTGCCCGCACACGACTGCCACCGCGACCAAGGGGGCCAGTTGTCGAATGGACTGCATTCAAGGAGTTGCCCTATTCACTCTATACAGCCGGCGCTTTCTGTGTCTTGTGGAGCGTGTATCTAATATATAATTACGTGAGTATAATTCTAATTTCTATATTCCTGTAGCATTCTGAGTTATCTTTATCATAAACACAAGCTGACGATTTCGCTAGATAAATCACTATGGGAGGACAATATTACATATGGAGCCTACAACTTCGCTTAATACTCTCTTCATCGCCAACGCAGTTGGTGTGCCAGGGAGAATAATACCAGCACTTATCTCCGATGCGTACCTTGGCCCATTTCGGACACTAGTGCCGCTTGCTATCAGTGCGAGCGTACTCTATTTCGGCTGGATTGGCGTGCGGGATCCAACCGCCCTCTATGTCTTTGCCGTTCTATCTGGTATTATTAACGGCGGCGTCCAGACTATCGCCATGGCCGGCCTACCGTCGTTGACAAAAGATTTAAGTAAAGTAGGTACCCGGTCCGGTATGATCATGACCGTTGGTTCCTTCGCTTGCTTAACGGGACCACCAATTGCCGGCGCGCTGATCGACGTTGCAGATGGGCGATACTTGTATATGCAAATATGGGCTGGCTGTATTATGCTGTTAAGTGCCTTCTTTGTTGCGGCTTCGTGGTATGCACGTTCAAAGCAGGGTTCATAGTAGACTACTAGAGCACTCCACTAGCGTCATAATTACGTTCATTGCCTTATAGAATGTAATAGATATAGCGATGCAAAATTACTGGCTTTGCTGAGTCCCTTTGATGTCTCTTATAAGCCGTATGCGTGCGTTCATTATCGTCTTATAAGAGGCATTCTGCTCATTGACAAACAGGTTATTTCTATTGTTTGGCTCAGTCATAGCTCAATAGAGTATTTACGATAAGATGTTTATCCACAGGGTTCCAGAAGGGATGAAATATAAAAATAGGTAGGAAATAATTAAAAAGGAACAACTGATACTCATTCTCATGATACATAAATACTCTAGTCTTCCTTTTTCTGAAGGGAGCCTCATAATTACTTAGGTTATAGCCTTGCATCTAGTACTAGTCAAGAGAGATGATGTCCAAGTAAAAGCCAGCATCGAGGTGCCCATAGACAGCCCTTGAAGAGGATGGGAATTAGAACATCAAGCAACTGGAAAAGCCCCACAAGGAACGCCAACACCTGTCCGACATCGAATATATCGTCTACACCGCTGAGATTATTCTCTCTTATTACGTACTCAGTCGACATTATGGACAATATGACCATGGCCAACGAGAGAAGCATGAGTGTAATCTCGGTTTGAGGTCGACAGAAACGGTATCGTGACTTTTCTCCAACTCCTTTTTTAATGTAAGCAGTGGCAGCCCACGCAAGCAGTCCGATTATGATAACAAGGCTAATGATCGAGATCACTTTTCCGAACGTTTGAAACCAACCATCTAATGTAGATTTACCGAAGAATACGATCTGCATACACGGAGTTCCTTGCATGGTGTCCTGGCCAACAAAGAAGAACCAGCAGCCGTACGCCGACAGAGCGGCGTAGAATAGGAGCCGGCAAGTACCTGTAAAGAAATTGATATCGGTTACGCAGCTTACAGTCAAGCTCGACAGTGCGCCTACAAGCATCCAGAAGACTATGATAACTTCGAAGGCGTGAATAGTACCTTCATGTGTAGAGAGAAGCGTGCCGGCAAAGATGGCTAGTTGCAGGAGTAAGTTGATGGTTCTGTTCACAGCTTCTTCTTCCTGCACAAATAGTGTGACAAATAGCGTCGTCACCGATTGTGCATAGAGGCCGAGTCTAATTCCAATTCCATAGATGTCAGCATTGCCGTCTATTTCGCAATCCCCGGAAGATTTCATTTTTAGGGGCAGCTCAAGGGCCTTTTAGCTAACCATAACTTGAGCATTAATAAATTTTGGTTCAATATTAACTTGAAACGTCATACTCTGTGTATTATTCTCCGAGGAGCTGTATATTCTCATAAGGTAGAGAGACAGCGTCACGGGGCGTTTTAGCGAATCATGCTGCCTGGCAACCGGGGGGGGGGGGGGGGGGGGGGGGGGGGGGAGTTGGATAAGAAACTTTATAAACAACCAGATGTGCCTAGTTGCAGCCTTAGCGTGTTGCTATACCATTGCTGTGGAAGTTCTAGACCATTCTGCCTATGATCGAAACCGTTACCTTAGCTGCAAGCGAGAACGTTGGTTGGAGCCTGAAGTGATAGGCACACAACTTAAAGAGGGGTTTGTGAAAGGTCAATTGTTTGCTCCCCGAAAACAATCGCCAACATAACTTTTATTATATACTGCAACCATGGCGGAAAATAATTCAGGTTGTCCGATCCAAGGTAAACCAGACCTGTACGGGTTAGTTCAGTACTTGATTCTATATTGTTCTTGACATATATTGACATATACTAAACCTATTATTTACCTAGGCTTGGTGTACGCCTTGGTCTTTACCTACAATTCATCGCTATCGTGCTCGCGAGACCATCATTGAAACACGCTTTCAAAGCCATCACTAGCTCAACTATAGCCTTCGTCCTTGCTAATTTCATCGTACTCGTCAAAGAGAGTGCATCGAGGACTCTATTTGCTCCGGAGGCATACCTCCTTTTCTTCCTCCTCATTCCACAGCTCATGGTGAACGTTATAAACATTGATGTATCGAGGGAACATGTAAATATCCGTAGTACCATCACCCTCCTCTTGTGGGGATCATTTTGCTTCTATTTCAGCTGGTTCTGGTGGGTAGGACTAGACGTCTTACCGATTTCCGGTTGCGAAGATGAATTTGGGTTCTTCTTCACCAAGATCAGCCTCCGGGGTTGGTTCAGAACTTTTAACAAGATCCTTTGGACAATATCAGATATTGGATTTTTCATAATGATTTCATCGACTGCGATTCAGGCCTTGGTGACATATTTCAGTAAGTTACATATAAACTACAACTAAAGATATACTTGGGTAGTTAGGGTTAAGGGTAGCCTGAGGAGAAGAAGGAGGTGGTAGAGGACCAATCTCATCCCCCGATTTCCATCACTAATAAACTTTCCGTAGATCCAAGAGTCGAAAGGCCTACCAACGAAAAAAACACCGTCCACAACACAATTCAACATATTTTTCTGCAGGGTTGGAGTTTTTTCCCGTTTGCTATATTTGTCTCTGGTGCTGAAATAACACTTCAGTACAATAATATCCGGGGTGTTAACACCGTAAACACAGCCAGTCAGCTCGTACCTTTAGTCCTTGCCCTTGGCTTATTGGTGCACGTCATTGGAAATACGTTAATGGGACTAGCCTATGGGTTCCGACATGCTTTCGACGAGGATGTAGCAGGTTCGTGAACCGTCAAACCCCGCTAATCCTTCGTATAGACTTCTGACATCTGAAACTAGGCGGGCTGAATAATGACAACGATGATAATAATAATTCAACACGAAGCGACCTCAGATGCGAGCTGCGGGAAGAGCGGGGGTGGCTAGGCATTATTGGCCGCCTTCTTTTCCGACTTAATTGTGCATTTACTGTAGGATACAATCAGGAAGAAGTGAGGCCGAGGCATCCAAGTAAGCTAAATTCCTATTCGAGTAGAATTCGGCGACTTACCTACGTTCAGATTCCGGCACGGGTTGCCCAAAGAGGAGTCATTGTACAGAATTAGACATCGAGTTGGAAGGTGGTCCGCGACCTTAAATCGGACCGCAATTATTGGCCCCCAATATCTAAGATGAATACGATCAAGTGGAGCGAGGGAGTATTACGAATACTAACTACATTAGATTAGACGCAAGGATGATGATAGATCACCTTAACAATACAAGATATAGATACTTGGTTTTTACTACAGTACCGCGATGCTTTGATGTTCAGTTCAACGTTACATACGTGCAATACTGCGATACTGCGATACTGCGATACCTAATTCCGCTTTTCCAGCCTGGTTCAGCAAAGCAGACGGACACTAGAGTGTTACCCACTGTGTAATTTAAACTAATGCCGTTAAGTGGAAGAGAAGTACGACTGTATCGCACAAGTAAGCACAACTGCTGTCAACCTGCTACGTAGCATACCTATAGGCGATTCATTTCAAGTTACTCATATTAATACACCATATAGAAACGCCATCAATAATCAAAGCCTACTTCAGAAGAGCCTGCTGATCAAGTTGTCTATGAGTTTGTAGGATTGTCGTTGCAGTGAGGCGACTGCTATTGCATGAGCATAGGACCAATAAGCATAGCCCATGTGGTCACGCTACATGATTACATGCATTAAGTGAAGTGAGGATTTCTTGATTTCGGGACGATAGCCTATCGAACCTGAGGCTCTTGTGTTTGAAGGTTACACTACTTATAACTCTATACTCGAGACAAATGATACAAAACTGGGCTCTGGTGGCGCGGGCTCTGTCCCGCGACTTCTTCCCTCTTCAGTATTCCAAGACCTATATACAAGTAGGGGACTCAACTTAATGGCTGAATCTGACATAGAAAGCGGTGCTGAGGACGTAAGTTGTATAATTAGGATGGAGTGAAATCATAAGCTAACTCATTCCTAGTCTCCGGGACAGCAGCTTCACAACATGTTGGAAACAAGTATTGCAGACTGGTCGGAGCTTGGCTCAGATGCCTCCGCCACTGAAGACGATATTCTAAGCAGCGACGGCCCTGGGCAGCTCTGTAATGTCAAGACATTGTACGAGGGCGAATCCAAATGTACTTGTTGCATGAATTGGGTAGAGGAGCTGCCAAAAGATATAGGGCCGTCGGCGGAAGAAGAGAATGAAAGCAGGCGCCACGCACTTCTAATCCGCATGCAAAGAAATCATAACGATGGAAAACCGATGGTTCTCCATTCCATCGTTATCCAGAGTTCTTACCTGAAGTCGATGCTGGGTGAATTATTCGAAGAGTACTCAGGAATAACTACGACGCTCAAGAAGTTGGTATTTAGGGCACCGTTTCACTGCTTCTTTTATGAATGGAACCGTCTCGAGAAGATCGTCCGTGAGATAGAAGACCCCGTCAGCAAGAGTCATGCGCGTCTACTACGGCGGGTTCTTAGGTCGGAATTGAGAGAGACTATTTCGCAAAGCAACGATTTGAATCAGAACGGAGTCATCACTTTCGACTATCTGTGGTCAATTTTCAAACCTGGTATTGATGTCTACGCTTTGGAAGATGGGTATGATCGCATTTACAAGCTTCAACGGGCTCAATACATCACAGGTCTCGGTGGCCAATTCTTCCAGGTGACAGTCAACGAGATTGATTATGATGGAGATACTTCTGGCTATATGTCGAAGGCCCTCCTCATTTTCAACTTTCCAGGCACGATGAAAGTCAGCGATCTTGATGTTTTCCCTGCTTCTTACCATCCAAGATTGGGCGAGGTTAAGGAAACTCTTAGAAAGCGAGGCGAGAAGTTTAGGGATATTCACCTTAAGCCGTATTACTACGGTGCGTACAAAGGTATAGTTGTAGATGGAAAGCAAAAGCGCAACGTGAGTGTTTATTCGCAATGGTATTCGAAAAGAGGAAATCTAATAAACATACTTATACAGGTTGACGGAAGAATTGTGGTTGATCCCTCCTCGTATGCAACCTTTACCGACGGCTGTATCGATTTGATACCATTAGATTCCAGTCTCTTGAAACCAGGAATGATGGTATCCGATCAAGCACACAAGCCTATCCCTCCTTATCCAGGCCCTCCCGGAAGGCTGAATGTAAATACTACAGTGAAATCCGCATTATATGATAACCAGAAGAAGTTTGAAGTTAATAATAGATACCTAGGGACCAACAATTCCTCCTCCACAGCCCCCACCACCTCTTCCTATAATTCATAGGGCCGGACCGAGGCGGGTAATTAAGCATTGTAAGCAATAATGCAAAGTTAGACTGGGAGGGTAACTAAACTAGAATATCACAGCACGAACGCAAGAACTGACTGACGACCTGCTGCATTTATGCACCGGTTATGTACGAGGATACTGCTTTAAGATTAAGAAGTGGGGTGAGTATTCCTAGTGAAAGAGTTGATTATTGCATCCGTTGCTTATTACATCCTATAGTCATATTCCATATCGACAATATCCAAGATATCCAATGGCGCGATGACGCATTTGACAGTCTCGTACTGGCTGGTGGGTACAAGAACCTGATCATGACATTTGTTGAGAGTCATGTCGAGAACAAGGATAGATTCGATGATGTAATCGAAGGAAAAGGTATTGGGGCTCTCCATCTTAACTCGTTCATGGAATTGAAGCTGATGCTTGAATAACGTATAGGGCAGGGCATCAGTATGCTTCTTGAAGGACCTCCAGGTGTTGGCAAAACTCTTACGGCAGAAGCTGGTAAGTATCTATTTTGAAGAGACACTTTAAACTTATAGTTTCTAACATACTCTCTTAACAACTATGTAGTGTCGGAAAAGTTGAGACGCCCCCTTTACCAATTGGGCGCTGGGGAACTCGGGGCCGAACCTGATACGGTAGAAGAGAACCTCAAGATGATTCTCGAAACAGCCGCTAAGTGGGATGCGGTTCTACTCCTTGACGAGTGCGACGTTATCCTCGCCGAGCGCAGCAACGATAGTCTTGGTCGAAATAGCATTGTTGCTATCTTCTTGCGTTTGCTTGAGTATTATCGCGGCATGCTATTTATGACTACCAACAGAGTCGAAGCCATGGACCCGGCATTCCAGAGTAGAATCCATCTGACTATCCACTACCCCGTTCTAGATGTACCGGCGCGCCGACAGATTTGGGAACGATTTATCCAGAATTCTCATCAGAAGTCGACATTGCTTCCACATAACTTCCTCGAATTGCAGTCTATCCCTATCAATGGGCGCGAGATTAAGAATGTGATCAAGACTGCTCAATTACTAGCAAGCCACGAAAGGGGTCCTTTAACTATGGAGCACATTCGTACTGCATTGGGCGTGTCGCGGGTTGGTTATAAGCCTAGAGCCGAGATAATTCATTGCGAATGAATGAATCTGGTCTATTATGCGATGCTTGTCGGTCGTTTTATAGAGACTTGGAACACCGGGGCATCTGATGACATCTATCTTGATTCTGAATGTTACAGCTTCATACGAGGGTCTGAGGCGGGTTTTTCTCTTTATCTTAGTTATTAGGGCTACATTAGAAATGCTGCGTCAAAACAGGTCTAAAATGCCCCGCGATAAGTCGTATAGGACTGAGCTATCTTTTTATGCTTTGATTCTGCCCCTGAACTTGTGGGTGCTATGATCCCGGTGACGGGAAGTCGCGTAAAGATCATTTAGTGGTTGTAGTTCTTCGCTAGTACCTAGGCTTCCTGGGGCGTGCATGTTGGGCATGTTGGGCATGTTGGTTCTTATTACCCCTGTCAAATCGGTGCTGATTCCTCGAGGAAAACTGCGGGGAAGATGATCATCGTCTGCCATGATGGAAAATAAACCATCACTAATTCAATGTACCATGTAGTCCTTGGGAGCGATCGTGCGGAATAACTTCAATTTTCATTACCTCCACCTCCGTATTACCCATCCGAGGAAGCTGACGCCTGTGATCCAATGGCCCATAGCTTTAAACCTCAGCTTGTCGCCCCCATTTAACCAGACTACCAACCCATCCCCAAACCTCACCAGAGATAGAACGGCTGCGAACGTAGTGACGGCGGCTGAATTTCCCTGCCATTCCAAAGCAACCAGGGTCAGGCCATAGCTCATCTCACGAATACCCTTAAAATACATGAGCGGCGATGTAAAGCTAATGCCAGAATCATCGTACTGATCCGTCGGGAAAGGGCCGTCATCATGAATGTCAAACGGCAGGCCGATGTTATTATATTCCTTCTCTGGCGAGAATATAGCCATAAGACCACGGGCAAAGCATGCCGTGCCAAGCATGTACGAAGAAAAGGGCGAAAACGCAGCCATTTTGAGGGGGACTTCCTATTATAGACTATAGTAGGTAATGCGGAACTAGACTCATGATGTTAATTTTTAGAAAAAAATAGTTGTTTTTTACATTAATACATCGATGTAGTTCTCTCGTATAGGGTTAGCTGGATCTATATTGGATTAAAGAGAGACAAGCGAGTGCAGTCCATTCGCCGTCTCTTATCTGCTTACGTAACCTGTAATACGTGTTTTTAGTTTACTGGACCCATAATAAAAACCTCACTTATCCGTACGTCTCGTCTTTAAGATAGTGATCTCTTTAGCTGGGAATATCCTAGCCTAGTGCATATGGTCCACCATTCTAAAACAACAGTGGAAGTGCCGAAGCCTTGGAAAATTTCTGTAGATACCTCTTAATTGATAATTTTTTTCTAGTGAAAGTCGTTGTTGAGTCCGAACTCAACTCCGTCTAAGCAGATGTGTACGATACTTAATACTTTTTTATTTCCTTTCAAATGCTTGCGACGGCAACCCTTAGGTATTTGATACTACGATAATGCGCTTGGTTTCGATTCAGCTTCTAGCATCTGGTATCTCGGCGGCTTACGTCCAATGGCAACATTGCGATGATTACACACCCGATGCGAGCAGACTCATCCCGGAGAGTCTATCTGCTAGTTTAATACATACCAATGACACTCATGACCAGCTTTCTCTAAGTGTTGTGCGCTGGTCGAGGGACAGCGAATGTGATGGATGGGCTGCAGAGATAACGTCCATGGATGTCACTCTTAATATGTTTGGCCACATGAGTTCTCACCATCCCAAGACCAACACAATTTGTCGGCAACTATCATCAACCAACAATCAATATAGCTTGCGCTTTGACGTGGTTATTGATACAATAAGATTCCATTCCCTTTCTACCTTTCACACTACAATTCATCTAATTGGCCTTGATACAAATGAGAAGGGCTGCCTACAGGCTAACATTACCCCTGAGATTAATTCTTCTTTGCGAGCGGCGCTACGATATGTACCAATAAGTGTTCTCTTTTTCGTCCTATTTATCGGCATTGCTAGGTATGTCTGTGACACCTCTCAACAGGCAGAGGGTTCACTTCGAGCCATTCTCCCAGGGTTTGCCGACTGCTTGCAGTACCTCCAGTTCATCTTCCTCACGGGAAGCTTAAGCCTTTTTTATCCTGGTTTCTACCAACCAGCGGTTGGTCGTCTGGGATGGATGTCGCTCTTTGCGGATGGTTTAATTCCTCACGAGTTTACTTATGCTAGTATCAATGATGGCATCTACGAGATAAACGGTACATACGGTGGCACGTTCGGCCTCGAGTTAATGACTCAAATTGTCGGCGCACCTACGACAATGGGTACATGGCTGAATATGGTCATACTCATCGTTGTCATCGCAGCTCTATCTGCCATATGCATAGAAACTTTCTGGCTCTTGAACCGACCCGTTGGTTCAGATACTGGTCTGCGTCGCACTTTCAATCGTACCTTACACGTTGTTTTATCCTACTTTATGTTACCTTTAATAGCACTATCGTGTTACCAGCTTGACAATGCGTCACATCTGCCATCTTGGCATATTTTTCTTGCTTCTGTTTTTATATTGAGTATTCTTAGTGCATTTGCCTGGCTGTTCTTGCAGATACCGACGCGAAGTCTAGGTATTCTGATATTCAACGGACGCAGGCAATACCATCAGATATCTTCATCAGATGTGTTGACTCAACAACATAAATCATTCGTCGTTGTTCTTTTCGTATTGGTATTCATCCGTGGTGTCGCTATTGGTGGGCTTCAGATATCGGGACAAGCACAGTTGGCAGTCCTTGGATCATGCGAACCTCTCTTACTAGCATGCGTCATTCAGTTCCAGGCGTATAACTTGCTCTCGATTGAGACGGTGTCTGCGGTCGCCCGGCTTGTGGTGCTTTTATGTATGGTGGCCTTTGTGCCCGGAGTCGCATCGGATGATGCAAAGAGTGCTATAGGGTACCTGATCCTTCTTGTACATGCATGTATACTCTTCTTTGGATTTTTCATTCCAGCCGTGATGCAGTTTGGGCAGTTATGTTATCAACAGCCGAGCGATTCGGCTCCTTCGGTACGTCAACTAGATGCCAATAAAATAACATGCATAATACGGGAACTAACAAGATATATTACTTACCAGGTTTATGGTCTTCGCCAGCTTCATCGACGGGAGGTTCTAAGAACTAACTTACCAGACCGCCCTGGACTTTCTCCTTCCCCAGACAATGATATCTCTTATCGAGATAGTACCGTGTATCATGAATCTATATATCATTCGGATAGCGGCAGCAGCTCTCACCATGACCCTACTTCAGTTTCAGGTCGGGGCTACTACCGGCCCCCGCGGCATAGTCGCTTCCCCCCCCAGCATTCTATGGATCTCTTTCAGGAGCATAATCCATCACAGAACACACACCCAGATGATCAATATGCGGACCTCAATTCTACAAGCCACTCAGGGACATCGTACGAATCTAGTTCCTCAGGTTCTTCAGGGACCGGTATATCATCTGCTGAGGGACCTACTAATACTGGCACGAAGTCTTTGCATCCGCGGTGGGGTGATTATTCCTTCCGTGAATCGGATCTATATTACGGCACGCCAAGACCGGTACCGGCAGAAGGTACTACGATTGAAGCTCCTGGAGCTACGGATTCGAGCCCTTCAATGCACCCCCTTTCCCTACAACGGTTATGGGCGAGAATATCCAGAGGATCGAGTACGACGGAAAGGGGTTTCTCTGTCGCCAGACCTCCTCGACCTCCTGACCTTCCATCTTAAATTAGTGTAATTGTAATTATATTTCGAGGAGTCCTTCGACGTAGCTAATCCACAAGCTTACCTAGGTATTATTGTAGCTTATCTTATTCTGAATAAGGGCACTTCCAGTGTCTTTGATACTCGAGTCGATTAAAACCTCCTAGATCTTGTAACCTATCGTTGGGATACCCCACTGGCATGTTGCGGGAGTTTTACCGCGGCCTATCTCCTATCGTTGCTAATAAAGCCGACGGGATACGAGCGTGAATATTCTTCCGAGATTAAATAATACTCATAATAGAAACGCTCAACGCGGGCGGGTCTAAGCATTTTATCCAGTGGGAGTCAACAAAGTCCGAAAAGGTGACAGAAATAAATGCAACTTATTTATGACAACGTGGAATTTACATTCTATGTTTTTTTAGTTACCTATAATGCTCTCTACTATATTAAAGAAGACAACGACTTGAGAACCTATGGTCTAACTTCAAAGCGTTTAATACATGCATATCAATCCACCTTTACGATCAATCTCTACCATCTCCTTTAGTCATCGTCCTCTTCGTCAGTTGTCTCTTCTTCGTCGTCATCATCTTCGTCATGCTGTGCCTCGATATCAAATCTTTCCTTCGCGTCGTTTAGTGTATAGTCCGCAAAAGACACCCCCGACAACAATAGATACGCATCTTCAAATTTGAAGAAATACTTATCCAACTTTCCCCCCTTTCCTTTCTTGCCGTCCATCACGTAGACCCATAGTAACCCGCCGTCTTCCTTCCAGTCTTTCTTTGTCACTACGACAAAGGCCTTCGGATAGACAGATATATCTCCTTTGGAGCCGCGACCTTTCCCTTTATGAGGCTTGACCCCTTTATCCGCGGCGACATGAGCGGCGACCACATCGCTGAGCGTCTTACCCGCAAAATCAGCCTCGGGTTGTGCGATTTTGATTATGGGTGTCTCATTGTCTTCCTCGAACCACTCTTCTTGCAGGCCGGCGGCGACCTCAGTTAAGTTGACACCGGGGATGAGGTTGTAAAGATAGAAAACAGCGTCGCCCCAGTGGTATTTTCCGTATGTGGTGAGTTCGGGCGCAGCTTCTGGAAGAGTCAGGTCTAGGGATGTAGACGCCATGTTAAAATTATGAGTGGGATTGATTTTGTAGTTATTTGAGAATTGAAAGTATAAGGTTGATTTTAGGTATTTTGTAGGTATTGGAACCCCGCGCAGGAATCGCGATTGCTGAAGAGAAAGGAAGCTTTTATGGCTGGTTTACTTAAGCATGGGCAAATTACGAGGTACCTAAAAATGGTTACTTATAGGGGTACATCGACCACTTTATGTGTTACCAACGGCTTTTATTTACGGCGTAAAATAAAGGATTGTCATCGCTGTAACCTCACCTGCAAGACATACCAGGAGAGAGGGGTTCATTAAATTCAGGTACTGAGAGCCTCATTACTTTATCAAATTTTGCTCAATCGTGTCGTATAAAAATTGACGTGGACCATCTCTGTTTCTGGCTTTTATCATTTTATTCCTCCACCTTTCGTGTAAGGTACCTACCTCTTAGGCTGCTTAAGAACTTTTATTTATATGCCAGCTGAAGAGTTGACTACATCCTAGCTGACTAGTGGGGCTTGTAGGGCTAATCGACCTTCTAGTTTAAGCTATAACATTAGATAGGTACCTAAGGTACCTGCTATATATAGCAGTGTGTAGCCCTATAAGCTGCATTCCCCTGAACGTCTTGGCGATGGATGCTACCCTCCACTGCAGCATACGCACGCCAAGCGATACTAATCGAAAGGACCAAACTACCCAATTTCGCCTAAGAGAAACTCTGAACATCATATTTCCCGAGATACAACGTATGCTGACGTCCTTATTCTTAATTTATACAGTAGTTAATTACATAAAAAAGAAACCACTATTGATCAGGGGGTATATAATATCGCATAGTTTGAGAGAGACTTGAACGATATGAATTGCCTACTACGAGCCAGCCTAGCTTTAAAATAGGCATAGAATCTTAAAGCACCTTAGTAGGATCTGTACCATCTGGAATCTAAGCCTCTATCGACAACTAAAGTACCGATCTTTAATCATATGTTGGTGAGATTAATGAAACGGCCAAGCTACTAAGAATTAGACGACTTCACGAACTACCTGACATGGTAAAGCCTTCCCCATGTTGTTGTATCTGTAACGTTTATTTAAAAGTCTTGCCGATTAATGGGGTGCCTTTCGTCAGCCGCGTAGGCCAATCCACTAGCACAAGATACAATATCAAATAGCCTGGTGGATGTACTTACCACTGAGAGCTAGATACATTCGAAAAGCACACGATGGACTTCGCTACGCCTTCCTTTTTGAAACGAATCATTCCAATGGATGTCAGCCCTACGCCTCCATCTAGATAGATTAGGAGGCACACTAGCATCTTTTTATGAGTCCAACACCGAAAGGGTCGAGGTCTTGAGCCTATAAAGCGTCATGTATTCCCAATGCAGTCGTAGAGTATAGCTAGAGAATCAAAAAAAATATTCAATTCATTCATTTAGTCAATCTTTCTATTTCTTTTCATTTCTTTCTCACTTGTTCTGTCTTGTAAATATATCATTATGAAGGCATCTTGGATCCTCGCACTGGTTGCGGCAAGTCCCGCGGTCCTCGCCCTAGGCCAGGAGCCTTCTACCGGCGCAGAGCTGGTTGACCGGGCGGTTAAGAAGAAGGTTTTAACCTTCGACTGTGACAGGATGCCGGAGGTCTGTCATAACATGTGCTACGGTATGAATTAACTATACGACATCTATCCCTTTATCCTTCATCCTGGGCCTACATATGCTAATTCTCTTGTGTAACTAGCCACACACTGCAAGAACAAGCCTAAGCAACTCACTTGGGACAAACCTCGCACTAGTATTGAGGGTAAACGCAGGCGAACAGCAGGTTGTGGTAGCAATAACCGCTGTAGCAAGAAGAAACTTGGGAAGACAGGGTTTAACTGCGACGAGTACCCCTTTGCCTCGACTAGAAATGCAGATAGGGGTGGCCAGATCAACCGCTGCGTGCCAGAAAGGGAAAACAGCCGTAAGCTATACTTTAGATACCCAATCACTTAACAAATTTAGTAGACTAATTGTTTCTTATTATCTACAGGCCAAGGTTCAGCTCTTAACCAGTTCTACCACTCCCGAGGCAAGTTTAGGGCCACTGGATGCAAGAGTAAGAAGAACTGCAGTTTCACTGTCGCCTTCAAGGGCACCAATACCAAGACCATCGGTCCCTGCAAGAAGAAGCCCGACTGCAAGAACGACGGCAACCAGTGGACCAAGACCGGCCCCATCAAGCGCGAGGAACCCCAAGAGTCCCAAAACGTGGCAGAGTACAAGCTCCGCCGCAGCGGTGACACTATTATCTCGTCTGAAGACTTGCAGCCTGGTGATCTTGTATACCACATCGTGGAGCGTAACGCCACGCTGGCCGAGGAACACCACATGGGCCACGTTTTTAACGAGTTCGCCGGGGTTGAGCAATATGACTACATGTCGGATAACATGGACATGGAAGAGGATGAGATTCTTGCGAGGATCTGATGCAAGATTTCATATATAGGGGTTAGGCTCATATAGAGTCTAGGTTTGGAAAACGTTGAGACACTTCTTGTATATTTTGCATTTACACACCGACTGTGTCGGGGGTATATATCTTACATACTTCCTGTATATAAATTAGATGATGTATATCGTATTAGGAATGGGTTGAATACCTTTAGACCAGGTAGCTTATAGACCACCGTTCCATATAAGGAGAATCCGAGCCCGAATCTCTTCAATGCGGCCCCGAGTCTCTTCTCGCTCCGCGTTGAGGCGCTCCAACATTCGTAGATTTTCCCGTTGCATCTTTTCACGCGTATCCCGAAGATGACAGTGTTCCTCCTCCAGCTTTTCGTCGTACCAGGTACATTCGCTAAAGAGTCTAGCAATTATAACAATAATAGTGACGAAGGCTGCAGCTTGAACAAGCCAGAGAAAGCCCGAGAGGATCCAACACTCGTATGATGCCGTAGTATTCATGAGAAAGCGGCAGGTGGTAAGGGATAACAAGAGCCAAGCGGTCAAAGAGCATCCTTGTCTATAGCATTTCCAACACGTCTTGGTATTCGCCATCTTGCCTAATCCAAGCGATCTGAGAGAAGGTTGATGTTAACTGATATTTCCAGCTTGCGGTGGTTTGAATGGTGGTTGATATATAGTGTGAGGAAATGCTTCGGTTCTTAGGTAGGTAGTAAGTGAGGTGGTAAATTGACAAATTGCAGAAGGTCTTGTTTATATATTCTGAAGAAGATATTATGAAATATACATCTAAGTATATATTTCAACCGGGCCAAATTTAAGTTGAGCGGGCTACGCGCGAGGGAAATAATACCATTCAGTATGAAATACAAAAGGGGTCTTTTCTCGCGAACGAGCACATTAGAGCCATACTAGTCGCGAAGTAAACCTCCCGCATTTTGCAATTAGATTTACTTATAGCTCCCATTGAGGCCTCGGACGTTAAACTTAGTATTTTATTAAGAAATGGATGAGTCACTTGAATTTGAAATATAATCGCAAAATACTGTGTTTATCACCACTACCACACTTCGTTGGTTCTATACTTGCAAAGACCTCCAAGTCTGAATTCCTTCGCACAGAGTGTCTGTACAACGATTTAATCTTCTTAATAGAACAAAACTAATTAAAATGGCTAGTGTGCTGAATTGCGTTCTTTAGAGTCTGAAATAAATAATTACCTAATATTTAGTTGCAAGCCGGCATGTAGATGCGGACAGACAGCATACTAGTATTGCTTAGCAAGAAAGGAGGGGGAAACCTTCTCAACTCTCAGACCCTAGATATGCTTCCAAAAATGCCCTGGACCCCGGCAAACGAGAGTTCTTTGAGATTCTCGTTCCAGAATCGTGTAACTATTGGTTATAGAATCTAGGTGAAAGATAGAAAGATCGCGATATGTTTATACAAAGCCAACCTGCTAATTAGGCCTGTTATGACCATACTTAATTTAGCTTTTTACACGTTAATGAATCTTTATATAAGTAAGCTTGTCAGCTCCGAAGTAGAAGAGGCCATAGATTAACAATATTAGTGAGATATTGTGTGACGATTAGATTAGCTACCTACCGGAGGACCGGTGTATGTTGTTCCACCTGCCTAGCATAGTAACTAATATAAGACATGCTCATTCCACTCTGATTCGATTATATCTATAGGTAGGTGGTCTTCATTCGTCTGCCTAGAGAGTTCACAAGTCGAAGGAAAAAGTAGGCTATGATGAGCACTGAGGGATTGTGGGGCACAGCCACAACGCATAAAAAGGATTCAGGGGTAAATAAGCGCGCATCATAGCATCGTATTTCTACGATATGATAACAACGACTAAGCACAAACGAGAAATTTAAAGCAGTCCCATAAAACTTTAGAAGTGCATTTTTCTCTTAGGTAACGATGGACATGAATGAAAGACGGAGATAATAAATATTTCGAGAGTGAATGTAATAAATTTGAGTCAGTGCGGCCTGGCTATAGGCTTGTTGCGAATTGGTTTTATACCTTTTACAACAAGTAATACTATAGATGCGATATCTAAACTTTATTGATAGCGCATATACTACTAAGATAATCATAACTGCCGTGTATCTAGATCCAAAGCCGCCGAAGTGTAGACCCGCTAAGCCCCGGCCCGGAAATGCTAGGCCATGTGCTGATTAAATACCCGGAATCGGAAACACCTGCGTGAGAAACTCCAGAGGTTTAGTGACAATTGAATGGTAACTAGTTTAAATCCGGAACACCTAAGCCAATTCGAAAGTTACAAGAAGAACTATGGACCTAATTCCTCATACATCACATCTAACCTAGGTGATTGATCAAGAGTCTCCGAGCGTACTGACTAAAGAGATAGGGCCAATTTGTCATCGTGAACTAAGTAAAAGCCATGGGAGCTAAATAATTCGGTCTACTAAATAAGTTAATTTGTAATAGCGCTCCCAAAGCAAGATTGTCCCCATGATAGTAAGCTAAGGCTGCGAATACTTCGATCAAAAAGTAGAAATATTAAAAGTGTAAAAATATTTACAAACTAGGAGGCTGAGATAAAGGTTATTTACAGGAGACTGTTGGAGTCAAGACAATTCAAACCTATCATATGTATAAGGGTGGTAGCTTATGCTTTGTTACTTCGAGATACTTTAGAAAGACCGATTATTCCTTTGTCTATTTTGCGGTCGTAATTATATTCATTGTTTTCAAAGTTAGGCATGATTTCAAGTTATGAGTCTCGTTAGCCTGAGTGTTCCTACAATAATTCTTTCTCTATTTAAGGACTATCTAGAAACATCAGGTTACTGGGTAGTGATACACCTGTTATCTATTCTGAAATGGTCTTTTATCCTTACACTTATATATTATTAATGATCATTTAATTGTCCTATCATAATATCTCTCTTAGTGACGTTATTTTGCTTTGAATCAAGTTCGTCATTGATTGGTATGTTGTGCAGACTCGATTGGCCCCTATTGGCTTGCGTGTACGACGAAATAGATAGGAACACTCAGTTAAGAAACAGGTGTGGCATATCATCTTGGCACATCCACCTGGTTCCTCGCGTAGCTTTTACTATTTACCAGCACGTAAATAATGGATACATACCTCTCTTGCCAAATATGTGCCTATCAAAATTGAAAAATCCAGAGGCAGCCATCTTAAATCCGACTAACACTTACTTATTAGCTTTCCACTGATATTGATATCATAGCTGATTGGTTTCGTCACGTTAGGCAAACCAGAGAGCCTTAACGTTTTATGTTAGATGGGATCAGCGTGCGTGCGGGCAGGCAGCAGTATATTGAATACCTATAGAAAGGGTTGATCAAATTAAGCCACCAAGTGCTAGTCTATTCTCCCCTCAACACGTAATGGTAAGGCAAGTTTGTCTTTGAATTTTAGTATAGGGTCGGGGAAAATACTCCAATCTTCGAAGCACGCAGATCGCTTAGGCATAATAGGGGTTTGTAGTAGAAGGCAGTGCAGCTCACAGCCTTATCGTATACCAACATTATTCCATATCATATCCATAACCCACGTTGTGTAATTAAATCCGAATTTAACAGGAACGGATATATAAATCAGACTTCGTCTTTCACTCATGAAGAAGCCTAGTTGCTTAATCAAGTCACTCATATTGTTCATATACCGTATATTTCACTAGTTTCTTCCCTATTACAAACACCGTCAACACAATCCCCCTCAGCATCAATATGTCTAGTGTATCATGCACCAATTGGTTGTGCTTCCGAGACGCTCATTGGGAAAAGAAGATGCAAAGAATCAGCGATGAAGAATACTACCATCACTTACTTAAGCACTTAACTGGAGAGACACATGAAAACGAACATTGCACGGCGGACGATCGTGGATTGGCCAATACGGACCCATTTGGCTACGAAGTTCAGCGCGTGTCCAGAGAGATTGATCATTCCCAGGGTGAGCATATTTAAAATTTGACTTCAAAGTAGGCTCTCGTCCCCCTAATGATATTTGATACTTAGATCTGGCAACTTTTGAAAGAGTCTTCGAGGCGTATCGCACCGGCAGTCTAGAAGACGTCATAGCTGAGCATGACAGCTTCGACGAGAAATACACTAAACATATCCGTCGGCTGTTAGCCATGCGATCATTACGTGATAGGCGAGCCGATATCCTGCGTTTCTGCCTCAAATTGGCCGGATTCGAATACGACTTTGCATTTAAGTGGGAAGCGAATCTTGTGACAAAGGATGACCATCCAAAAACCTTTGAAGCACTAGAGGAATCGCCATTCAGAAAAGTCCATCCGCGAAGTCTCCCCCCTTGGGAAATGTTTGATAATGGCGGCCCTTTCGCGGTAGACTGGTGAAGGAATGTAGGGTGCCAACGCTTTTTAGCATATGAGTACGTATCTACCTAGATATCTATCTAAGGTAGATAATATATATGAATTGCATAATATTGCTGAGCTGTTTAAGTATCCTTCTAGTAGAATAGCGATAGAGTAAAAGTCAACGTCAAATATATCATTATAAAGCCCCTTTACTCGATTTTGACCAACATCTTCGCGATCGAATATGCACTAGATTATTAAAACTTATTAGTACCCAATATTTTCCTAATGCCATTTTATATTGCTTATTTTGACGGAAAAACATATATTCCACGAGTATTTGACGAATTCAACTATTCTACAGCTCATAATATGTCAAGGTGTCCGAAATTATCGCGGCATTAACAAAGTGGTATCATTTTATAACTAAGAAAAGAAATATTTTAAATCAAGGTCCAAGTAGTGCTTCCTGATAATATATATCCTGGATTCTCTTTTCTCTGGAGTTCAATTTTCCGACCCGGGTGGATATCCTATTATGTTCTGAAACCATTGCAATCCCAATTCTAAGCCGAAAAATTCTTATACATAAACGTCAAGTAACTAACCATTATCAGTCGAGATGTCCTCATATTCATGATGCAGTCTTGGGGGTGATATGCCGCCCACGCGTCAAGAAAAGCGAACAGATTGTGTAAAGTGCACCGGCCGCGATAATCATTGCCCATACGTCACCGATGACAGACACAATGACATCAATGCATTGAGCCCGGATTTCGGGAGAAGCATTTGTCAAGACTTCACTCCTGGCTCCAGCAATGGCAGCCTGAATTTCACTCCTCGTGTAGCCTGGTCCTAGCACCTGTTGGATTCCATCAAATGCCTTAGTCTGGAATATCGCGCTAGCTATCGCTAATCCAATAAGACCACTGGCACCTTGGGAGATATTGAGGAACTGAATGACGTCGGATGCTCTGCTTGGATCTACTAGGACATTGCCTACGGCGTAGACGGCTTGACTTGTCGTCATACCCAAGCCGACGAGAACCGTATAACCAGCGATATTCGCGTTTGACGTGTCGACTGTTACTGTAAACATTGTTGCTCCGCCGGCAGTCATAAGGAGACCGCTGACAGTAAACCAGACCATATGATAACCAACCTTTCTCATGGCTGCACCGCAGAGGAGGATCGAAAACACATAGCAGCAAACGTACGGGAGCAGTCTCACAGCAGCCCCAGTACCGGTAAGCCCATAGACAAACAAGTAGTACAGCGGGATGTAGTAAACGGCAACGAATACAGCCGCTCCACCACAAGCCATGATGATGAAGAGAAGAACAAGCTGAGGATTTCGTAAGAAATCACAGGGGAATAGTCGGTCAGTCTTGGTCGTGAAGATTGCGCGGGCTTGAGATACGCCGAAAGCAATACCGCACACACCAAAAACGACGAACAAGGCGATGATACGACCATCGCTCCACTCCCATATAGCACCACCGAAGGTAAAGGCAACTGTAAAGCAGCAATACATGCCAGCGTTGAGAATGATTCCCAACCAATCCAAAGTCTTCACTTTGTCTGATAGGGGTGTCTCTGGCTTGCGTGGAATGGATGGCAGCAGAAAGAGGTAGATCGGAGCCATGACGGCGAAGATGCATAGATTAAGATAGAATGCCTAGATCTGCATTAGCAATGTATACTAAATTAATCATTATCATCAGGAATTATGCTTCTTACCCATCGCCAAGTGGCAGGGCTGTCGGCTAGAAGACCGCCAACAATAGGCCCAAGGATACATCCAACACCATAGACGAAGCCAATGAGCCCTACGTAGAAACCGTGCTCCTTTGGCGAGCTCAAGGCGGTACAGATGTTCAATGTTCTACGTAATCATTAGTAAGTTGATCTGATTCGACTTGATGAGTATATCCTTACCCAAGGTACATGCCCGCTCCACCAGCACCAGCCCAAACACGGCCTATGATCATAGCATTCATGTTCGGGGCACCTCCACACAGGGCACTAGCCGCAGCAAAGTTGGTCAGACAGCCAATGAAAATCCACTTATTATCGAAAAGGCCGTAGGCCTTTCCGAGTGGTAGGATCATAACAGCCGAACCGAGTGTAAAACCAACACCGAGCCATCCCAGCTGCGCAACATTGCTGTAAGTTTCCGAGACCGCACCCTGGATATCGGCAACGATGGTGGAGTCAAGACCATAGAGGATATTTGCCGAAAAGATGGCGATGCAGATGAGAAGCCATCGTATACCTCGAATAGTGCGTTCTTGTACCTCCCCACTGCCCTCGCTGTCGCTCGAGTTGGACGAGGGCTCCAGCTGTTCCTTAGTATCGATCTCGGCACTGCTGCGCTTCTCGATGTCTTGGCTGTAGTCCGCCATTGGTGCGAGAGTAAGGCACCGAAGGTGGCTGAGTATAATAAGGCTTGCCGGATGGAACTAGTGTCGGACACACGGTGGTGGAACGAGAGGAATTACAATTCAGGACCCGGTGCTAAATAGTCTTTTATTCTCAGCTCGAAATATTTTGATATCATGATTGTCACCCTGAACTTGATCCGTCTATTTCGGGCTTAAGGAGTTACTTCAAAGTTTCTTTCTATTATTATGCTGCAATTCAGATTTCGTGATGTGTAACCATCAGTTATTTCCTTGGCGCGTCGTTAAACTGTCCGTATTTCGTCTCTAAATGGACTGTGTCTAAGGCTGTCATGCTTGCTTATGCCATGGATCCTTTACCAAAAGGAGACAGAGTAGGTTTCTGATTGGTCCGATGAAAGAGGCGTGGCCGGAGTCCTCCTTTTAGATGCTGACTTAAGTAACTTGAAGCGGTAAATATCCCATATCTCCTTTTGGAAAAGGTATCAAACTTATGCCTAATGTTTCTCAGCTCTGACTCCTTGAATGAAAATGACAGAAAATTTCGAGAAGCTCCAGATCCTTCTTATGATATCATGATAAACTCCATAGGCATTTCGGCGTTAAGCTTATAGCCTTGCATCAATACGTATTAATCATACCCTCAACGTTACTTCGACCTCACTTCTCAGCTCGCATAGCTGCAGATCGCTCGCTTCCATGAGGAATTCTCTTGCCATTCGTCCATATGTTCGGAGTAGCTCAGCTCCGCCAACTCATTTTGTTTTCTTAAAAAAAAAAAAAAAGATTACCTGCCTATTTCCTCCTTGTAGACATAGATAAAAACATCCGCCTACCTCCTCTACTTTTAAAATTCAAACTACCTACATATACACATATTAGCTCACGACATGTAAATACCTAATGTATTCCAGGTCCTAGAATCCCAAATTAGGGACCCGGAGTGACTCCACTAAGCCAAGCCCGGCTACCCGCCGCCACTAAGTCTTTAGATCTGATCCTGTGAGTAGCTTATCTTCTACGGCTGATCCTAAATTGATAGAATTTTAATGGAGAAGTGCTTAAACATTTTTCTTCCGATATGTTATCCGTATGGGGCCGCGTAAGCGCTAAAAACAAGATCCTAGTTTAAAGGCTTTCGAGATAACTGAGACTATATCTTTCCCAAAATCCTTCAACTAGGCGGTCCTATTGTAAAGGCGCAGGGAAAGCTCCCCCTTCCCACCCCCCTGACCATCGAGCAGGCCTATGCGACAGGGGAAACTGTTCCTAAATCAGCTTACATGGCTAAAGGTCGAGCGTAGGCGTTTAATCAAGTCATGCGATACAAATGGAGGGAATTCGTCATCGTCGCTACCATGTCTACCGGGACTAACATACATAGTCGCCGATTTTTTTTTCACGGCGAATAGCTCTCTCGCCGACGGCGACAACAACAAAGATGAGGGATGATCCTTCGCCTATACACTAAATGCTGTTCGTACCACGTGGGTATATCAAAGGATCAGACACTTTTTGTGCACTTTACTACTTTACTACGCCGGTCTAGCTTCTGTCATAGCGTCTTCTCATCTCCAGAAACCAAGTACGAAATACATCACATCATCTTACGGAACATCCTGCGCTACGGGACGAAGCGGCGGCCCGCATACCCGTGGGCGTAGACGTGGCTCAGTACGTTGCTGATTACGTATATTTCTATGAAAATGTTGATAGGCATTCAACTTGATGCGGAATGCGGAATGCGGAATGCGGACGGGAAACGATAGCGGTGTATGGCCTTGGCAGCATTGATCGCCTTGGATTCTATCCGAATGCCGGACGATAGTCGTTTCATCCGAGTCCGATGGAGAGCGAGACAAAATTTCGGTGTCCACAAGAATACCGATTTGACAGCTTGGCTTGAGACTATCTAAGGTATCTAAGGTACCGACACATGCGAGATGCGGCAGAATATGGGGCCGCTAAATTAGCAGCGGCTATGGCGCTGTTCAAAGACAAGGATCCCCCAGACAATTACTCTTACGACGTATAATCGTATACGTTGATATTGTTATAGCGAGTTTCATCGGATTCTGTTTCGTTGTCACCAAATATCGCTAATGAGATCCTCTTTTCAGCACGCTAAATGAGCTTCCAATTAGGAAGAAATACCTAAATATCTCATTTTACGAAATTAACTATTGAGATTGTCGCCTTTAGTGCCTACTAGAAGTCTCGAGATATTTCAAACGAGAGCTTTGCCGAGCACTCATTTAATCGCGTGTCTATGGTAACAACAAATATACTGATAAAACGTGATAGGAGAAAATAGAAAAACAAGTTGGCCCCTAAAATATTCCAAAAGACGAGTATATCGTGAGTTTCATGACATGAATAATTCGGTATTATAAACTTATATACTCCAGGCATAATTCTCATGTTCTAATGCGTAGGTACTTACGTATATCAAATGAAATACGGAACCCCAAACAACACCTGCATATGACATTCTCTTCATTTTCTTTCAAGGGTTCAACCGGCCCCGAAATTGTACCCCCACTCATCCGGCACATTGCCCATGGCAGACCAGAACATCTCCAAGCCGGTGGAGGAGTCTATGGAAAATGCCGTGTCCATTGCCATTACATTTTGCATCGCCACGTGGTCTTCGTTTGTATGCATCATAGGACCACTGCCCTCTATGAGCCCTGCTCCCACCACGTGGTCGGGTACCTGCATATGGCCGTCAGCCGTTCTAGACGCGAGGAAGTCAGCTTTCGTTGTGAGATCCCGCATCACAGCCGCCGCACTGTTAGCAGCCGCGAAACTGCGCCCGAATATTTCAAACACAGCCACGGCGCGCTCCACAGCCTGGCGCACAGTACCCGCGATGTTAGAATTTGGATGCGCGAGAAGGTATCCGGTCATTGTGACAGCGGCATTCCATTGCCATTGGAAAGCTTCGAGCCAGCCACATAGAATATCAGTCTCCGATAGTATCTGATGCATGATGTGCGTTATTGCCATACCATGGTTGACGGCTGAGTTAGCATGTGACTGGGTCACCGGTATTGGGGGCGGTGGTGAGGAGGATGGAGTTGGGGTTGTGGATGGGAATGCTATAAACGGCCGGTAGAGGTTCATAGAAAGATGGTGATATAATAACTCTAAGAGTAAGCGCTGTCGCTGTAGCCAGAGAGGAGCAAACCGTTCAACAATCAGTGGGGAATGGTCTGTCGACAAAGCGACGCCAGCCCCGATACGTTTCGTCTTAAGCGCATCGGGAACAGCAGCGGCCCAGGTATCCAATGTTTTCATTATTGTTGCGAGATAATCGGCATATCGTTCTAGAGCTTCAAGGTCATCATAGATGATAGTACCTTTCTCACCAGTATAGATATCCGAATACTTATCGTACAGTGCTGTATGAACCGCACGTGCGGCTAGGATCAGCTTCGTGTTGTATAGATTATAGCTGAGCCACGTGACGTTCTCTCCAAGCGGTGCAAAGTCGGATCCCGCTAGCATTGCAACATTATGGTCATCGCTAGGTAGACTGCATAGGGTCGTAGATAAACTTAGCGAGAAAGGACGGCCTAGTTTCATGCCAGTCTTACTCTCAGCCATGTAAAGCGACCAATAAAGACGCTTGCGCATTTCTCTTTCAGCAAGTGGCAGGGTCTCAGGCGGCTCAAAATGCAGTCCAAGCATCTGGGCAGTACGAACAGCGAGAGCAAGGGTACTATGCGCCATGTTCTGGAATGAGGCACAGCATAGATAAACGACAGAGAGAAGCTGACATTGTAGCGTGCTTATCGTCGGACTTTCCAACTCGCTAGTCAAAAGGCTCTGACATCTCCGATAATACCAACGACCAGCGATAGTCGGGTCATCGGCGTCCACGTCAGATGAGACCCTTGTACCGCGTGGTATCCCCGCCACTATGAAGTTATAGGGTAAGCAACTATTACTATATCTAGCATAAATAGGACGATGGGCTAAGGCGATAAGATTCTTGGGTAGGATTCGTATCTACGCCCAATATGACAGGGGGGATGTGATTAAGGACTGGTGAAAACCACTTACTACCATATTGCATACACAATGCGATGACAATATCCACTAGGGCTGAAGGTTTCCGGGGTTTACCGGGGGTTACCCATAATGACTTGTAGTGTTTTTTGAAATCGAGCTCATTGAGGACGAGCAGGGAGCTGTGAAAAGATTGCCAAAATAGGTCCAGAAAATACTCCTCTTGGGTTGGTGTAAGAAATTCTCCAGAAGATGTTCCCTTGTTAGGCTCCTGAGATGACAGCTCTTGGTCGTCCGATGGATTGCTACAATTAGGAGTCGGAAATGATTTAGCGACCGAATTGAGTTGAATCTGTTCGTCCAGATGTAGCTGCTGAAATACCGCTGTAAGGTAACTGTTCATACGGCTAATAAAGTAGAAGAGCGACGACGGCCCGTACCACGTTTTCTGACGCGAATGGGCTGTGCTAGTTTCGATACCATCCCAAGACTTCTTCGTACTTGTGGATTCCCACATATAATTAAGATCCACAGGCGACGATGCTTTTGTTGAAGATGAGCGACTAGCATTGTTGGCAGTATTATTTTCCTCCTTGAGCTGTTCTTCCAACTCGGTGACTTGTTGCTTTAGTCGGTCAATCTCACTATCAAATCTCAGCATCTCATCATCCAAGCATTCTCGGGATTCAACATAAGTGGCACAGCCAGGCAGACTTACCGATAAGCGTGTGCTAAAGTGCGGGCCTCATTTGAGGCTTTGTTGCTACATTGCCATCCTCTGCTTCGGCAATTCTTGCATGGGAGGTTATTGTCGCACTTGACTCGGTGTACTCGACACCTGTTTGATATCCATTAGGAGATATTGAACTTGGATAAGATAGATACCTTAGATACCTTGGGTACCTAGGTAGGTAGATATCTAGGCATGTTGGTGCAACTTCAAACGTAGCACAGAAAAGGATAGAATAAAATAAAATAAGATAATAGGATTTAGGTACTTACCAGTCGCAAGCCCGTGCAACTTGTGGTCTCTTTGGCCTGGGTGGAGCACGAACCGAGGTCTCGGCCGGTTCGGACGAGGGTGACACTAAGGTTCCTCCCGTATGCCCACTCTTGTTACTCCCAGTTAATGACTGAGGCGTTCCCACGAATGTGGTAAACATTAAGTGTAGACTCTCCGTTGTTGGTTTTTTTATGATCTTATTGTTAATAATCCAATCGGTATTTTACCCTGGACCAATTCAGGTACCAGTATTCAGTCAGCTGACGGAGATTTTCCGTTATTGACTACACTTTGATTATAGGTACTATGTAAAGAATTGTAAAGGGAATCAACTTGCTATGGGAAAAATAGACAAGTGGGGACTCCGAATTGGACTCCGAAGGTTCAAAGTGAGGTTTGGTGGAAGAACATGTCATGTACCCAAATGAGGAGCGAGTCACGGTATTTGCAAAAACTGTGAACCGGAGGCTATGGCCATCAGTTACCACGGTATTCGGTTTACTAAGTTAGTACATGTAAGATAAAAGAAATCCTTACCGTGCTTATTTATGCACGTAGGCGGCGTTGAAGAAAAAAGAAAAGAAAAGAGGAAAACTAATACCGCCTCGTTATAGTGAATTTTCGATTTGATTAATAATTATTGTTTAGTTAAAATTATTTTATTTTCTATTTTATTTTTTCCAAGACTTAAAGAAGTTATTCCCACAATTATTCAGTTGATGATTGAAAAGCTTAAGTGAGCCGCATTATCAATTAAAACACCCGTATATGAAGGTAGCTGGGGTAGTTCAGGTAGGTTAGGTACTTAGATATTTATAAAGGTATAATACAATGCATAAAACCGCATCGTCAGCTCCTCACTGCAGATATGCCCTACCGGTAGGTAAGACCCAGGCTGTTGGTTGCACGGCATTTTCAGCTTGCTTACGGTTCTTTATCAATTTTATCGCACATCACACACCCCCCCACGCACGTAAGATCCTTTTGCAGGGCCTCTGCAGGGTCTTTGCAGGACCTGACGTCGTTCCTAGATAGCTCGGGAATATAAGCTGTACCTCTATCGATCATCTATAATTACCCATGGAACGGATCTGCCATAATCCTTGAATAGCACAGTAAGTATTAGAGTCAACTATCTGACATCAGTTACGATGGTAAGCGAGATAACTTTCCAAGACGACGCCGCTTCGGAACCTCCTTTTGGACTTTATTCGATATCAACGTTCGAAATCAAACGATATAGCCATGATCGCGTTGACTAGAGCTCACCAAAGCTGAATCCTTCCGAGTGAAGGATCCAGGGGAAGTTATGACTTCTCGGTAATCTAGATCACGGTTGCGCGAGAGAATACGTGCGCCTGGCCATAGCCTACCATATGGAGTATCGAGTATGGCTATGGCGTTGTTAGCTCCAGTCTGGGTAGGCTTCCAAAACATATAAAACAAGCCGATGATGTCGATCCCATCGCAAAAAATTTAGAAGCTAGTCTCGCCAGCAAGCTCTTCGCCGATCCTCGATTCCCCCAGCTTCGACTGCTTGCCTTGTCTATCTAGTCATCTTTTAATTTCATATACCAAACCGCGATGGCTTGGGCAGCGAAGACGGCATGTGCCGTCGTGGCTTTGGCTGCTATTGCACAGACCACACCTCTAGATAAACATATCCAAGCTCGCCGTCTATTGGGTTCTTCCTTTGGTATGCCAGGTGATGATGCTACTTATGACTACGTTGTTGTTGGAGGTGGAAACGCCGGTTTAGCTCTTGCTACGCGCCTCGTCGAACAGAAGGCTGGTACGGTTGCAGTTATCGAAGCTGGGTCATTTTTTGAGATCGACAACAGCAACCTTAGTCAAGTACCAGCTCAAGCAGGTGCTTTTGCTGGGAAGGGTGACCACGATTGGCAACCTTTGATCGACTGGGGCTACATGACAGCTCCTCAAGCTGTAAGTTCCAGCGATTGCCTCTTTGATATTTCCTCACGCTAACGAGTCATAGGGTGCAAATAATGATTCGATTCATTATGCTCGTGGTAAAGGACTTGGTGGTTGCTCATCCAGGAACTACAGTACGTATCTCAATAAATGACCAGTAGACACCTATTCACTAACTTAATCTTAAACAGTGGTATACCAGAGAGGAACCAAGTCATCCTATAGCATGTGGGCCGACCAAGTAGGAGATGATAGTTACCAGTGGGACAACTTCTTGCCGTACTTCCAGAAGAGCGTTAACTTCACTGCCCCGAACATGGAATTGAGGTCTTCCAACTCAACACCCGAGTATGATATAAATGCTTTCAGCACTAGCGATGGACCACTTTCTGTGACTTTCGCCAATTATGCGCAAGCCTTTGGAACTTGGGCGCAGAAGGGCCTCGAACAGATCGGTCTCTCTGTGATCCCCGGTTTCCAAAGCGGTTCTCTCCTCGGCCAATCATACAGCATGTTCACTATCAACCCACAAACCGGGGTGAGAGACTCGTCCGAGACATCTTTCCTTCAGAAGGCACTTAATTACCCCGAATACATAGTATATCAGTCAGCTATGGCTAAGAAGATTGTTTTTGACGGTACTACGGCGACAGGTGTACTCGTCGACACAGAAGGCTTCGAATATACCATATCTGCCAGGAAAGAAGTCATCCTTTCGGCCGGTGTATTCGGTTCGCCTCAACTATTACAAGCTTCCGGAGTTGGCCCTGAAGACCTCCTTAAAGAGCTTGGCATTCCAGTTGTAGCTAACCGACCAGGTGTTGGCGAGAATATGCAGGACCACCTCTACTTTGGTCTTACTCACGCAGTTAATGCTCCTACAATTTCCAGTCTCTCCAACCCGGCTTTTGCTGCCGCCGCTGCCGCTGAGTTCAACGAGCGCGGAGGCGGTATGTACTCCAATCCCACAACTGACACTTTCGGATGGGAAAAGGTCCCTGAGCCTCTCCGCTCTGAAATTTCTAACGGCACCCTGGGCGTTTTAAACAGCTACCCTGAAGACTGGCCTGAGCTGGAATATGTTTCCCTCGGTGCTTATATTGGTGACCAAGAAGACTCCCGACACGGTGCCCCTACCGATGGCCGCAACTATGGTTCAATGGTTGTCGTACTCATCACACCACAGTCCCGAGGTACCGTCAAGATCACTTCACCCGATACCAGCGTTCAGCCGGAAATCAACCCGAACTTCCTTGTCAACCGCGCAGATCAGGAGGTGGTAATCGCAGGATTCAAGCGCGCCCGTGAATTCTGGAACACAGATGCCATGTCCAACTTTTCTATCGCTGATGAGGTATACCCTGGTCTCGACGTTAAGACGGACAGCCAGATCCTAGAAGCTATTAAGAAGAGCTACAACACCATCTATCACGGATCATGCACTTGCGCCATGGGTCCCAAGGACAACGAGATGTCGGTCGTAGATAATACGGCAAAGGTTATCGGTGTTCAAAACTTGCGAGTTGTTGATGCATCCGCTTTCCCTCTTCTGCCTCCCGGTCACCCTATGGCGACAATCTGTAAGTTATAACTATTTGCAAACAGTGTTGTGAAGTTGAATTAGTGCTAACAGTCCACTAGATGCCCTCGCTGAAAAGATCGCCTGTGACATATCAGGCAACTGCTGATAGCAGCAACACTACAACCTAATACTTAGGACAACTGTATTACAACTTCATTTGTACTCAAATTCACTTCGCTGTATATCTAGATAGATATTAGATATTTAGACTTAGAATGTTCACACGTTGAAAAAAATAGGAAAGCTATAAGAATGGGAAATCTCTTCGCTATAAATGCGCTAGTGACCGATATCAATTTGTGGATAATAGTAATTAATTTGCCGACATTAAGAGTATTTTCAAGGAACTCAAAGATATTTAGATCTCATTGTATTATTATATTATCATAGTTGCTTCAAGGGGATATATATTGGTCTGGTATTTGGCACTAGTAGTACTTACTACAGTTGGTTGTATTTTAAATAACTATTGAAGTAACCTCTAAGCCTATATTCACTAGAGTTTTTGTTAGTTACATATTATCCCCGAATTTGAATGTTTTTCTGTAGTTTCTAATCGTAATTATTATAATTTTGACTCCAATCGTGGCTTACGCGGGGGGTTGGTAGTAATTCCTGCAAGGGACATACCGTATGACTGCATTCACTTACCACGTGCTATTCAAGAACCAGTTGCAGTCTTACTTCTTACATAGTACATGAGCATATGCAGTCATACTACGATACTATTTTGATATGAGATGAGATAAGAATCCTAGCATGTATAGTTAAAGGTGATCTGACTAATAAAATTGCGATAATGTAGGTAATTTACCAAGGTAGGTAGTTATTCGCAACGTGTTTCCCTTTTTATGTAGGATGGGAATTTTACATGCAAATAAGAATATGATCTCATATGATAGCTGGAGATAGATAGTAGCAAGAGTCAAATGACAGAATATAATAGTTTACAATGAGATCTTGCTTGACCACAGTACATATCTCATCAAATACAGACATAGAAAGGACGCTTTAGGTTTTATTTATCCCAGGTCTAGAATGATAAATGTCAAGAAAGTACGAGAAAAGATATTAGTAGATAGAATATTAGCCTTGCTTTCACTGTCAGGCTTATAGGTAGGTAACTTGTATTAAAACTTTGATAGGTTTTACATACGACTTGTCCCTGAACCTCAAGCATGCATAGATACATAAGTACCTACCTCTTATAAGAAAAGTTTATTAATATGCAATAAGTACAGTCAGGGGGAGGGAGGGGGTAAGATAGATACAACCCATTTACAGAAGATCGTTATGCCCTTCAGCCATTTCAGGCAACCCGCAAGCGAGTTAGTGGGGGTTGGTGCTTCTTATTAGCCATATATATGACTTTTCCAGGTTTCCGTCTGCGATTACATTTTAGTTTAGACATGGCTACTCAAAGTACAAGTGTGGCCGAAAGTCGCCAAGGTGAGTCTGGATTTCTGCTCTGCATCTACCCCGACAAAGACTAACTGTCTAGAGGAGGAGATCAACATCGTGTGTGGGGAACCGACTGGTAAAGCCGAGAACGGCGAGGAAAGCCGTCGTGACTCTCACTGTTTTCCGCCAGAGAAGGAAACCTATATCCAAAAGAACAAGAAAACCAAACGTATCGACGGATGGCGTCAGACGCATCACACCGCCTATGCTGTTCGCAACGCTACTCACATCTACAAGTTGTCACGAGATTCACCACACAGCGCTACGTACGAGTCTCTTACGAACCGCCAAGAGCGCATTGACTTTCTCAAACGGCACGGCATTATTCAGCGCCGCTGAGATGCTTGAGAGATAATATGGATATCATAACTCCTGCACTTTTGACTCGTATATTTATCCGTAATGGGATGGTTATATGAATCAAACGTGCTTAGCAACTCCGGAGATGCGACCTGGCTACGGAGGAACCCCCGCTCATTCGGAAACCGGCCAAGGATCCGGGCATACTCATCAAGAAAAGCTTATCGTATCAGCCAATTAGGTTCTATATAACATTAAAGGGTTTACTCTGCCAGTTCACACCCCAGGGGATACTAGCAATCAGGCGGAGTTAACCGGCTTTACCAACATCGCGACTTATAAGTCTGCATATAGGGGATGTTGGTAAGTAACACAGGTAGAAAGAAAAGGGACTAGTATTACAAAATTCTCATAAAATGTATCAACTCAAGTACAACTATAGCTCCGGAATAGAATTGAGCATATAAAATTGCTTGTAACTATAAGGCTATGTGGGATAACTAGTCTTTATTCGATATTCTAAAAGTTCATGCATAATTGTACGTTCTAGCTGAATAGACGTTAAATATTCTCTATAAGAGAGTATAGTGTAACTTTAAATAGTAGGAAGCTTATAAATATCTACGGTAACATCACGAATCTCAACTCCTTGGTCTGTAGTGTTATGCGAGCCGCTAAACACACTATCCAGCCACTTCAATGCTCTATCTTGACCTTGTACAATCTCAGAAATATGACCACCAGCCATATTGCGTTCATACAGGATAGAGACTTTATACCGTTTGTAGTGAGCGATGTGATCGTCCGTGTCAGAAATAGGCGTAAACTCATCCTGGATTGCCTTATAAACGAAGAGAGGGATCTCCGGGGCACCATGGAAACCAAGGGTCCACTCAACCTTTTTGATCCTACGCAAAGCTTCTGATTCCTCAAAGTCGGCCTGACCACCAATAAAAAAGCCCCAGATATCCTGGTTGGGGTATGCTAGAAAAGCCTGCATTGAATCCATCTCGCGGCCCTTAAGAAAGGCAGCGGCATTTTGCGGTCCGTCAGTCTTAAGGCGGCTACGGAGATATGTATCAACCTCGGGATATTCGTTCATAATACCTAGTAAAATCAAGACTAGATTTCCCATAAAGGGCATTTTGTTGGTGAAACTGAACACACGCCCTACATCGCTTACCAAGCCACCTAACGCGGCACCCACGAAGCCGGTTTTCAGCTCAGGGGCATATTGGACTTGTAGCTCAGCGGCCTTCTCGGAGGCGAGCGAGCCGCCACTATATCCCCACATCGCATACTTGAACTTGTCTGCGCTGGTAGGTAAGAGCAAAAATTCGGAATTGCCACACAGAGAAAGAACAGCGCGAATGCCATCGAGAGTAGCATGGCCGGCTTGGACAGTGGCGCCGAAGGCAGCGCGGGGTCCTTCGAAGTCGGGAATGGCAACAAACCAACCACGACCTAGCATTGTATCAACATTTTCATGATTGGTAGGGATGCCAAACGTGCTCACGGGTGGTGGCTGGAAGATACGGTATGATGGTCCGAAATCGATGCTCGGCGAGTTATACGCAAGCTGATGAGAAAGCAGGGCATTGAATCCGGATGGTGAGACGTAGGGCTTCTTGGGGATGATCAGAGATCTAGTTAATGGTTAGTTGGTTAGATACCTACCTAGGTACTTCAATGAAGACTAATGGACTAAATTATACTGAATAAGAAACTTGGGCTACTTACGTCACTGCCCAGGTTGGCTGGTATCGCGAGCCAGTAGAACGGTATAGAATATGAAAGGCTGCAGAGGCATTGCTGAAGACAGCCGGACCACCCGGGACAGCTCGAACCCGGAGCACAGTTCCAGGAGTAGAGGCTTCAAAGTCGGGCGGAGCCGTATACCACGGATCCTGGCTCGGAAGAAGCAATCCGTCCGGGCTGTCGCCAGGGGTGGCTGTTGATAATACCATACTGTATATAATCGTACTACAATAAACCAGCCCTGCTAATCTAAGTTAAATAATGTTTGCAGAGAGCGTTACATTCATAGATTACTGATCATATCTTGTTGGTGGGGTACATATATGTAGAGGGTCCGGGGTTTATGAGAATCTCCGGACCCAATAGTATCTGAAAAGGGGAGGTAAATGGTCCGGTGTACTGTCACGATGAGGCACAGTTATGGCGATCTTCGGGCTTACATAAGTGAATAACGTATACCTTTATTTCATATTCGGGTCATCTTTTACTTACTCATGAGTTGAAAGGTCCTAGGGGTATTTGACAAGCTCAATGAATAGGTAGTAACTGTTAACTTAATACCTATGAAGGTTTCTTATTCTTAACAATTATAAGCTTTAGACACTTCTTTATAAAACCATAAGTTTCTTATAACACAGGGTGTTAGAGAATATTGAACAATTTAAACATATTTTACGAATGGCCCTTTCCCCTTTGTGATGGATACTAAGTTAATCGAACTTGTAAACCATAGTATTAACCAGTTCTGTTTAACTTCACTACAATATGCCATAGCTCCATAAACCAAATTACATTTTCACATATAGTTACCAAGTCTCCTTCACTGCCAGTGATAGTTAAAATGGCGCTGGCGGGGCTTTCCTTCCCCCTATTATCGTTTCTATCCCATAAGCCAATTCTAGCAGTGTTTGCTCCTGATACTCCAAACCGATTAACTCCATACCAACCGGAAGGCCGTCTTCTGTGAACCCAGCTGGCACTGAGATGGCCGGATGGCGTGTTACGCTGGCGAGATATGTATTGGTTGGGAAATCTTCCTCTCCATTCTTCATAAATCTGCCGTTTGCAGCATCTTCGAATCGCGGAGGGGGAACTCGGACATCTGGTAAAGTGAGCGCATCAAGGCCGAGTGATGCAATGAGACAGTCCACTTTACGCTTGAATTCGTCCCGTACCAGAATTCGATCAAGGTAAGTCGGATCGCTCCTAGGATCCTTCGGGCCATGCGCTACAGCGCATAGAGTACTCATATAAGGGGTATCCGATTTTTCTGGAAGAATGTCCGCAATGTCCTGTGGAAGATGTGGCTTCGTTGCTAAGAAGCTGTTGATATCGCTGCGTGACCTTTGGAGATATGTCAGCGGGTAAATCATATAATGGTCTAGGTTCTCGATATATACGTCGACAAATGTTGTGCCGCTGCTCTGAAGTTTGTCAATTGCTGCCAGGATCACTCTGTTCACTGCTTTGCAATATGGATCAGAGTCTGGGCCAAATTTTTGTCTGACAACCCCTATCTTTGCCTTCTTAATCTTGCCTAGACCATCTCGAAGGAAAGCTGCGTAGCTACCGCCCTTTGGTAGGCCAAGGGCGGCCGCAGTAGCTGCGAAACCCGTAAATTCATCTCTGGGGTCAAATCCCACCATGCAGTCTAACATAAGCGCGCAGTCAGTAACCGTTCGTGCCATCGGCCCCGGTGTATCTTGCACTTTTATCAGGGGACAGAAGCCTGTTCGCGAGATAAGGCCAGGAGTTGGACGAAGACCAACGATATTGCAGAAGGACGATGGGACCCTAATAGAGCCACCTGTATCTTCTCCCACAGCTAAGATAGCGAAATTTGCAGCCACAGCGGCACCAGAGCCTCCGGATGATGCTCCGACATCATATACAAGGTTATAAGGATTCTTAGTGAACTCGTAATCTGTCGCACCGTTCGCACTAAACCAAACCGTAGCCCATTCTGCGAGTGTGGTCTTGCCTAGAATCACAGCGCCAGCTTCTTTTAACTTGGTAACCACAAATGCGTCCTCGTCGGGGATATTGTGCCTTGCAACAGCTGAACCGTATGTAGTGACCATTCCTTTCGTGTCCGCCTACAGGAAACGTTTTAATTAGCTCAATATCTCATGACCTCTCAAGAATGTCCGTACTTGGTCTTTAATCAATACTGGAATTCCGTGAAGTCTTCCCATTAATTTCCCATGCTCCTTTAAATAATAATCAAGAGCTTCCGCCTCTTCCAGTGCCGTCACTGACATAGCCATCGTCGAATTAATCCGAGGACCGGCCTTATCCCACTTTGCGATACGTTCAAGAAAGGCGCTGGCGAGCTCCTTGGCGGTGAATTTACCAGTCTTGAATCCATCATGTGCTATTTCTATTGTTATCTCACGAACTTCGAGCATGTCTACGGTTTGGTATAAACTTTGAGTGACGATAAATTCAATATCTTCTAGTTGTACTGTGTAGGCTGAGACATCTTATCAAGAACCCCACGTCGCTTTTGGAGATATATCCGCCGACCAAATATGCCCACCTAGGTAAGTAGTACTACATACAAGTGCGAACAAGGTAAACTTGGGCATAAAACACTTTTTCGAAATCGAAGGCGTATTCAAGCAAAGTTATTACCCAACTATCTACTAGTAAGGCAGTGATCAAGGCTTTCAGCATAGTTATTCTAGATTTTAGAAAGAATTATTAGACTATACCTCTGTGGTTGCCACGTGTCTTTTTACGCCCAGTACAAGCCAGTCGTTGATAAGAATATGATCTATAAAGGCGGGGGGAAAGGGAATATGTAGTAGAAAATATTACACGGATACACTGTAATCGTATATGCGTGGATACTGTACATCTCCAAGCATGTTATCCATATCCAATGACTGCATAGCATACTTATTATCAAACCAGTTATTATGGGTTGTTTACAGTGGCATGTTGAGTATTATCATAACATTTGTAAAGCGCTGGATATGGATTCAGGGGTTAGATGAATCGTTGAGCTTCAACTTCGAATGGTTCACAAAGCTTCTTCGAAATATACCTACCTACCCGAAGTAAGAAAGAAAGTTCAAGTAAAATTGCAATAGCTTTATTACCTAAGTTACCGTAGGTAAATATCAACACATGAATCATTATATAACCCCATCATATAATGTACCTAGAGAATGAACTAGACTGATCATTTAGAACTCACATTTTCGGTGTTGCTCCCATCTATTCCCATACGCGTCTAGATTCTACAGTCATTTTATCAATCATATAACAGCGATTGAGGTTCGTACAACTTGAATATAATAGGTGCCTAGAGGTACCTAGGTAATCAGCAACTTGGTTGAATGATATGATAATCGGTTCTAGATCTTTCCCAGTCGACATTCATATTTATTAGCGCTGCGCTTTAATTAAAGATTGATCCGGGATACTTCTAAAAGCACTGTAATTTTACACGAACATAAGTATTTTCAAACTTCCATAAAATTTCATAAATCTCTTGCCTTTGCTAATAATTTCCAAGCCTCAACATGTCGTTCTATTGGTTCGGACCAATTGTTAATTACTAGCCTTTTCCTTAATTAAAGCACAGCGCCCGAAAGGCACGACAACTCGATAGACAGCACTAATACATGACGAGTCAAGTCCACCGTGTCTATTGGATGTCATGTGAAGATTAATCATTCGAAGGTCAGTTTCTCAAGTGAAATTAATTTAACGCTTGCAGAATAGAACACCTAGAACATTTATGTGGCGAGATATGCATATCAATGCAATAGAAGTGATCAAGTAAAGTCTGCAGCTTCTAGGTTCATAGGTTCATAGTGTTACCCTCCGGAGTAACCATAGTACGCCATGCAGCCTTTGCCACGGCTATAGCAGCCATGTCCGACGTGATAGAATGCATATGATACATCAATTGCGTCCAAAGCTACATTATATTCGGTCGTTAGTATTCCAATCACATGCGAAGCCCAACCAAAAATTCGGAAATGCAATATTTCCAACCACCTGACGTATGCTGGCATGGCAGACCATATTCGCACTCGAGATTAGAAAACCGACCCATCTTGTAACACGGCATCCAAGTCTTGAAGTGCGAGTTTGCTAGGAATATTATGGACTTGTTGTTTCTTGTTCATAACTATTGGATGGTTAGCAAGGGATCTGAATGGTCAATGGTGGGATGCCAAGAGGTGGATATGATGGAATATTTACATACATATTTAAAAAGTGATAGGGAATTCCCTATGTCATAAATGGGACAACATATATAAGACATAAGTCGCTGCTATTGAGTAGTTAAGTGAATATGACGATTATATATATTACTGCTATAGCAAGACATATTTAGATGAAGGTATATCGTCATTGTCAGGTTAGAATTCAATTAGAATTACATAGATAGGTTATAGGTCTTACTACATAAACAACTAATAAGATATAGATGCCAAGTTCTTATTTATGAATTTGGTTGGTCATAATTTAGGGGATCGCCGGAAATCGCCTCCCGCTAGACGAGGTCTAGACAATTGCCTCAAGAAAACCCAGAAAAACCCAGGATTCCCCAGATGATTAGTAGCCCGGTTAAATTATGTAATTGACGGTGCGTGGCTTGTTTGCGAATTCATCGTGCTTTCGCAGGCGACCGGTTTGTCCCGATCGTACGATCGTCAACTCATTGGTTCAAAAAACAGACCATTTGCACCCACTTTCAATTATTATGCACATCGGGAAGCATTCAAATGCATCACAAATGACTTTGAAACTCTCTATAGTTTTCTTGTGAGACGAGAATGGCTCGGTGTCCATAGTTTGATCGTTAAACTCTCTCAGCCCACCTATCGGCATGAACTGGGGATCTTGATCACTCGATCTAGATAATTCAAGTATATAATCAGATCAATCTAATCATAGATAGAACCTTTTTCTTCTATCCAGCACATCTACCAACAAGCCAATATCTTCAATATAATACCATCAATAGTCATATATATATATATATCAACAAGTATTATCACACACATACAAAACCAATCCCTACCTACCTAAGATATGGAGCAAAAGACCAATTACACTACACAAACTAAGCCCATCGCTATTCCGGCGCCAAGCAGAAAGAACACATCACAAGACATTCAAACATTCTCATTTGAAGTCGGAAGCCCAGCCCTCAGCGATTGCGAATCAGCCTTAGACGAAGACGAAAACGCCTACGACATGTACCATATTCCCTCCCACCACCGAAGGAATGCGCTGAGCTTCGAGGACGGCTTTGAGTTTCCCGTCTTTCTCCACAGACGAATGTCGGCATAGCTCCGATCGACTCTAGGGTGATAGAACTCGGCGTTTCAATTATACCCGGAACGCAGCAGAAGAGGACGCATATATGCGCTCCTCGGTACACCCATGCCGCCGCAAGTGTTGTTAGACAAGCACTTGTGGAAACATCGCGCGCGAACGGGTCGAATGGGTTGAAGCAGGAGGATATCAACACGATGCCGTCGCAACACTGTGCCTCGGTTGTTGATAAACAGGTCCCGGCTTCGAGGATATATAAAAAAATATGGACAGGGCGAAACATATCGCCGATTGATATAGGAAAATGGGTTGCTTACATTACGGCGTTTTGAGGGGGGAAAATTCAGGAAGGCTATCTGATTAGGAATGTTCGGATACCCTTGGCGTTATCCCGGGACAATAGCTTCACTTTTGGTTTTAAGGATGTATCTATTTAGTATTGCTTACCCGTCTGGGGCAGCTTGTGTATGAGTATGTGGATATATACTACCTCTGAGCGCGATAGCGAATGGGAAAATCATCAATCTAGACAATGGCTTCATATCTATACTTTAAATGTTGAAATATTACCTCCAACAAGACTCTCCTATTCTTATCTCCATTCCATGCAGCAAGAGTAACATGCAACTATTCCGGGGTTATCTAATATTACGCCCACTAATTCCGAATCCTCCATCGATACATATAAACCAAAGCTAAGCTATAGGACTTTCGGAGATATCAATCGTTAGTAGAATACAAGCCTAAGAAGTATGGCAAAGGCAATATAGCTGATTGGGCCTAAGACTTCTTCTTTCCTAAGACATGTTTATTTTAACAGCCTATATCCCCGATTGCTATTACCCAGGTGTTAGCTATAAACTCCGTTAAGACCACCCAACACAACACGATAGGCTATTCTAATGAACCACTATGAATGGAGGCCGCGGGCAAGCATAATGATCTTCCTCAACCTTGCTAGGAATATGCGTGTTGGTTAAATCAAATAGAAAGTTTAAGAATATAAATAAGAAGCAAATTCGAGACGAGAGGCTACTAATAGCAATTCTGAATAACCGTGAATTGGTATCATATCGACTTTTTGAAAGACTTATTCGAAATCAACGTAATAGACGAATCTTACGTCAAAATGACTACTACAACCCATCCCGAATTCAACGATCATACAGAGGCGTTGGATGTTGCGAAGGCCTTTGCTGGGGAGATTCGTGGTAAAACAGTACTCGTGACGGGTGTAAATGCTGCTGGTATTGGATTTACAACCGTACAAGCTTTTGTAGGTATCCTTCTCACTTGTCTCTCTATACTCTAACATATTATATAGGCCTCTCAATCTCCTGCTCACATAATCCTCGCCAGCCGTACTCCATCCAAGATTCAAGAGTGCATCGACAAGCTCAAGGCTGAATTCCCTAATGTAGACTACCGCTCTCTTATTCTCGACCTTTCCACACAGAGAACTGTTAGGGCCGCTGCCGGCGAACTTCTATCATGGTCTGATATACCTACTATTGATATCATCGTCAATAGTGCCGCCATCTCCAATATCCCCGAACGCACGATCAACGAGGATGGAATTGAGATACAATTTGCCACTAATCACGTCGGACATTTTCTGTTCACTTGCTTGACCATGCCGAAACTTCTTAAGGCGGCAGAGCGCAACCCGAAAGGGGCAACTCGGATTATCAACGTTTCTTCGCTTTCTCCAGTATCGGCTCGTATGCGATGGAGTGATATGAATTTCGAAAAGAAGAGTGAAGAGCTCCCCGAAGACGAACAGCCCCCTTACGAGATGCATAGGCGGTGGGGAGGGGTGGATGCCGAAAACAAATCGTACCTACCACTTGAAGGTTACAATCAGAGCAAGGTTGCGAATGTACTGTTCAGTATAGCATTAAACAAGAGGCTTTATGAGAAGTACGGGATCTTGAGCATATCCCTGCATCCCGGAGTAATCAGCACAGAGCTATCCAGAGATGCCACACAAAGCACGAAAGATCTAATCGACAGTTGGGAGAAGTCGGGGAATCTTTACTTCAAAACACTAGGAGCAGGATCAGCAACAAGCCTTGTTGCTGCACTGGATCCGAAGCTGGGCCTTCCTGAGACCAAGGGTGATAAGGAGAACCACGGGGTTTACCTTATAGATTGCCAGATTTCTGACAAAGCGAACTCCTACTCGACCTCAAGCGAGGGGGCTGAAAGGCTATGGAAGCGATCCGAAGACTTGGTCAAAGAAAAGTTCGCTTGGTGAGTAAAAAGGGGTTTGCGCTGTTGGATCTGCTGATGGAGGATTATGCACCTCCTATTGTTGGGCATAGGATGCAGGACAAAAAAGACTCCTCTCTTTAATAGCACTCAGAGCGCTACAAACATTACTCTCATTCTGTAGAGAATACACTCCCTTCAAGATATAAATATATTTATGAATCGCGAATGAGATTACATGAACGAGCCTGATCGAGAGATTTGAACTAATGTTTTATGTTCAGCAGGTTGCTACCTTACAGGTAATGGATATATAGGAGCTTCGTATCTAAGTCTTCCATATCAAAAGGCATATATACTAACATCATCTTAATCATCCCTAAGACAGGGTCGTCTTGCGGCTTTACTCATTTCTACCGCACTTGACCAGAACTATTATATCATAGTGCTAATTATTCAATTGTAACAACATATATGGGGTTCATGGCCTAATGGTAAGGCGTCAGATTTCGGTTCCATCAATGGTCTTCCACTCTCTGAAGATTGCAGGTTCGATCCCTGCTGAGCTCGTTCTGCCTTTTTTCTTTTTTCCTTTTAGCAACTATTTGCCTAGTCTAAGTCGGGGGTTTAGTCCATAATTATCAGACGCTAATGATTATCCGCACAGCGCGACACTCGGGTGGATATTCTGACAAATTTGACCAACCACCTAGCACCAACTCGTTGATATAATGAATCTTAGGGCTAGACGCTGCGGATCTCTTGTGTCGGTGACTACCTCTTACTAGGTTCTAGTTTGATTGTTAATATATAACAAATAATGTTTTAAGAGGTTAAGATAACGTGGTAGTTAAGCGGCAGTGGTACAATTAGCTTAGCCATAGCCAACTTGGAAACCACTAGGTATGGAGATGTCTAGTTTGCTTAACAATCTACCAGGTACCGAGGCATACAATTTAGTATAGTCATCTTGGTGAAGCCTTACCAAAAGAACTCTTGAAATATCTCTATAAGTAATTTATGCATGTTTACGAATAAAAAGAAAGATATAGAAACCCCTTTCTTATATTCTCAACAAGTGATACTCAGACACTATAGTCCAGTATGATACATTCTGTTGTACTGAGGTGGCCTTTTACCTATTAAAGTAGCTTTATCTATTTAATTAAGTAAAATCAGGCCTTGAATACTAAAGTTGTAGCTCATAATAACCCCCAAATACCCCTGATACGAAATCTCCCACTACCATGAAGCGTAAATGTCCTCACAAAACACACTTTATATCTCCAATATCTTCTTAATTCTGTGATAAAATACGCTCATACAATGGATTCCTAAACCATGTGCGTTCGTATACGTACTCCAGTATAGAGCAGGCATTTAAGAAGGAATAAAAGGTGACAACATGTTAGCCCAGCCTTCTACTTTCTGGCTGACATAGTCCCAATTCTTTTGAGCCGGCAAGAATTCACGAACACCAGCAACTTCGTTAAAGTTACATGGGCCCATGTGTAGCACATTGTGTTCGGGGACTTTTCCGTCGCTCGTCGGAATTTGGAGCGCAATTGACTCGGTGATACCCGGGTATTGGGTACGATGTCCTTTTCGGCTGACAGCTGCTGTATCGGCAGCGAAGACGAGGCTAAATTGACCTCCATTTATAAATGCACTAGTATCTCTATCATCGGGCAGCGTAATGTATGCCAACCCTGTAGTGAAATAAACCCACCTAATCGAGCAACTTGCATTAGTACCAGGTACCTAGACTGCCTCTTATATGATGCAGCTTTCGGGGTAGAAAAGGCCTTACTGTGCATATGGCGCATTGTGTAAGCCACCGTCTTACTGGGACGGGAGGATAGAGTAGGTCACATTTGAGACATTTCTCAGAGTCGTCACAAAGCCTCCAGCTGTTCCGGGATCGACAGATGTTTTGAACGGTACGTTCATTTGCCAACATTCGAGTGTCGAGGAGCCGTCCCTTGCCCCAACTGCTGTTACATTAAGTTGCAAAGAGGCGGCATCTTGCAACAATAACGCGAACGCTAAACGAGCAATCAAATTTCTCATTTCGGGCATGGTGCTCCTAGGGTCGGTGTTGAAGAGTTGGTGTTGACGGCTGTGTTTATTTCTGAAGAGACAGATACCCCTCCGCCTTTTTGTAGAGAGTCGAACAAGGAGAGGTATCCGAGGTGCATTTTATTGGAGATGAGCAAGATCAATAGCGGTATGAGGGGGAAGGCCGAGGGTTATGCCGTCCCGCTACGCCAACTCGATGATTCGATAGACGACATGAGTCTCAGCCAAAGCCGAAGCCTCTATCAATTTTACTGGGATGATAGGTGCTGTGTCTCTCATGATAGTATTCTGTATGGCCTTCTCATTGGCAAGAATGTGCATTAGGTCAAGCTAGTACTTTCTTAACTAGGTGATATTCGGGGTAGTCTGATTAGCGTAAAGGGGGCAATATTTCTTGGTTGGTTGGGTACTATCTAGCTTTACATATTACGGCCTTCGACATCGGAGCATAGTGGCGGCGATAGTATACAGGATGTTCGGATAGCTACATGGGTCGCCATCTTCTTCATCCGATCAGCTATTCCGGTCTTTTATATTCGCATAACTTTCATTATGGTAGTTCCGAGGCCGACTTTCCGATAGACTACACAAACTACCGTTATCACATGGGGGAACAGCACTGGAGTTTTCTATACCGAATCTGCAGCAAGAGCAAGGCATAGAGATAGTAACAACAGCGGATCCTAGGAGACGGAGCTTGAAATAACTTTGACGTCCTAAGTAAGTTTAGTGGTAACTAGAGTCTAAATTATTAGCATGGGAAAACTACTCGAGATCTAGCAGTTCCAAGATACAATATTATGTATCTCCTCCATACACTCAATACCCATACCTTAGGTACCTGATCCTTAGACTGTTGGAGCAAGATCTATGTTGCCTTCATGAAGGATATCTATTAATCTAGGACGGTGATGTTAAGGAGTCTATAAAACTGATCGAGTGTATAAAAATCACATGGCCATACCATACCTCCCTAGGTATCGGGCTTCAAGAGAATCAGGTTGCTCTGCACGCTGACCGTGTGTTCCTGATGAAATAGACCGATTTACCCTCGACGATGGCGGCCCACTGGCTGACACGACCACTGATACCCCCGAGTTATTATATGCGCCAGTGCTATTCCCTTTCGGTGTATCTAGAGGTCCAGTATGGAATTGTGAGAAATCATCAGATCCTCCTCCAAAGGACCCATTACCACCGGTAATCCCGCCGTTAGCAAGATGCTTGAATTCGTTCAGAACTACAAATTCTATCTGTAGCTTGAAAGCGTAAATAAACGAGTGTATGACGGCTTTAAGAGTGAAGTAGTTACAGTAGTCGAGCACGATGACGGGTATGTCGGCCAGAACCACAGCTACCTGGACGATGATAAGAAATGCTAATGTATTCTTAGCCTTGGCGTTGAGTGATAACTTGAACATCTGCATCGTTCCCCAGATATAGATGGAAGAGATGATAGCCTCCTGCACCGAAAATGCTAAGACTTGAACACGCTCCATCACGTTCATGTAGGGAAGATATTTCTCATGCGTCGCCGCGTTCGACATAAAGTACTGAAATATAACGGTTGGCACGTGAAATAGGAAGCCGTCGATGATGATCATGGCGAGTACGATACGCAGGATCGGTGTGCCCGGCGAAATCACGAGGTGCAGCCGGGACCACAAGACAATACTAAAACCGGTCACCATCATGACCCAACCAACTTCAGATAGCACATATGTCAATATCCAGTTCGCCTCCGGCACGCAGAACTTGAGTAGGAAACCGATGGCGCGGATCGTCAAACCCCATGTCGTAGCGAGGACGGACCAGAAATAAATCCCGCTCCATCGCTCAAAAGCATAGAGGACCCAGGCGGTCAGCTCGACGGTCATCCAGATTGGGAGAGATGTGAAGACGGCGAGAAGACACCTATGATCTATTAGTTAACCCTTATCAAATAGCCATGTTGGTATGCCTCGTGGGTTTTTGGGTCTGACTTATTACATACCAGACCGTGAGGTTCCAGGGCAGCGGGCCGGTGCGTGCGAAGGACCAATCGAACTCGTCTAACGGTACCCATGGAACCGTAATATTTCGAACGCCAGACATGATTATGACCCGAGGATGTGGATAGAAGGAAACTCTAGAGACTTGCTGGTACTAGTTATGTAGTTGCACATATGTATTGTTTACGGCAGAATAATTATTGTCATATTTCTTGTCTAGACTCAGCTCTGATATACATAATATGACAGCAACTCTATGACTAGGGTCCGCTTGTTATATATGTAAGTTGAGCCATGGCGCAGATATCTTACGGAGCCTCTTTACGGTCTAGCTTGCACACCAGGTATTCGGTCAGACTACACCTGTAGATTACACATGTATGTATGTACATGACGAGGGTTCTATCTCGCTTGTCAGTTTTCATGAGTCTCTCATCCTAGCGGCTTTTTCTTCGGCATTTATATTTATATTTAGATAGATATGTCAAAATTCGGGGCAGGCCGATTAGCGTTGTATCGATGTGGGGGGTTATATGAATGTATTATTACCGACCCATTGGTTGTAGATGGGGGATAGGGGATAACAAACCTGGTTTAGCCTCAAGGTGACATGCGCGGAAATGCGGAAATAGAGTTAAGATACGAATTCATACCTCTAATAGAATAATTGGTAAGGCTTTCAATCCTAGTAGCCCAATATTTTCATCCACTCTTAGATGATATTTTTGGTTAACCCTGTTATGGTAGCGAATCCAACCGGAGCTCGCGTGGTTTAGACGCATCTAAGGTTGTAATCGTATCACGTAAGAACTTCGCGTGAATGAAAGAAATAGAAAATTCGACTCCACGTAGGTCGTACGCTTACGCAACGCCACAATCACGTCCCTCGGTTCATACCTTACAAGTTAGATTGATACCTAGACATAGTTAGATACCCCCATTCTTCCCCGTTTAAACATCGACATTTTCATTCCTTATAACGTCACACAGCATATAACCCCCATTTACGAAGTGACAATCCAGCATTTATTTACATTTTTCGTATGAACAGAACCTAGAAATTAATAAACATATAAGAAATTTTATCCGTGGAGCCTGCCACCTAAGTTAATGCCATGGAATATATAGTAACTATCCGATGCAATGTAAGTCCCTGCTTCGTCCCTCTAACCTAGCATCTCATCAATGTCCATGTTCGCCCCCATTTCCATGACCTCGCCTAAACCACCTTCGTATCGCAGCTGGCGTGCTCATCGGGTAAGCGTTCGTGGTCGTCGCACCTGTGCCAAGAGGAGCAGTACCCATAGAATACGTGCTAGCGATAAACGGTTCGGCTGTGCTTGTCACAGTGACTCGTGCAACTGTTTGAGTGACAGTCACGGTCGAGGGTACACACTCGCACGTGCCCGACTTCTCAGGAGATTGTGTCTGGAACACGGTACGAGTATCCGTGGTGGGGGAGGTTACCGTTGTTAGATCATTATCGACATGCGAGGACTCACCAGGTGCATTCTTAGGGGCGGTCTGAGACGATGCTACGGGGTAGCTAATAGGAACGACCATCAGTTTACAAGTCCTCCGAATGTTTGAATGAAAATTGCGCAAATAACCAAGAAAAAACAAGACGGAGAAACTGACCTTGAGGCCGAGCTAACAGCAACCGGGACCGAAGTGGTGGCTGTTCCTACGGTGCTAGAGGATTCACTCATCTGATAGCTCGAAACGTCGGTAGATGCTTGGGATGCTGTGTAGTAGCTAGTAGGAGTAGCTCCAGACGATACAGAGGCAGGGGCCTCGGGAGTGATCGTGTCATACTCGATTACAGTCGTGAAGTAGTTACCGAGGGTCACAGTTGTGCCTGGTTTGGTTATATTGGGATATGCGCCAGGCGCACTAGACGCGATAGCATCAGTCCCTGCAGTGTTAGACGTGCCAATCCCTTGAGTTGGGTAATACGAAGTTGGCGCAGGTGTATCGATAAAGCTGACAGTCGTTGTTATTACAATAACCGAACCACTCACGGTATCACTTAACGTGATAGCAGTGGTTGTGTATTGGGATGCCACGGCAGAGACGGTAGTTCCCGGTGTGTCTTTTGAATTGTCCGCTACGGGGCAAACCGTGGTAGATACAGCAATAATTTCCGTTGTCACTGCGCCATTAGTAGGACAGTTAGTCACGCCCGGCGCGCAAGACGTGACAGTGTAAACATTCGTCGAGTATATGGTCGACGTTGTGTATGATGCAGGTTCTGTCCCAAATTGCGCAGACGTTGCATAGGAAGACGCAGCTTGACTAGTACTAGACTCGACTAGAGGTCCAGACTCAGTAGACATCGAATAAGACGGTACGTCTTGAGTAACACTTGACTGGATTGGGGCAGATACACTTGAGCTAGGAATAGCCCCAGCCGACGTGGAGTTTCTCATTGTAGCGTACGAGGAAATCGTCTGACCTGGCGCGGAAGTCTGTGTAGCAACCGGAAGTACCGAAGAACTTCCGTCGATCGTGGTTTGCGACTCGGTAACCGGACATACAGTCGTATACAGAGAGATGAGATCTGTCGTGACCTGTCCCAACTGAGCAGGACAGTTCGTGACTCCAGGCGCACAGGAAGTTATAGTATAAATATTTGTTGAGTAAACTGTTGAGGTGGTCATACTAGTTTCAGTGCTCGAGGCCGGAATAGACGAAGCTGGATAGGTTTGAGATGATCCTTCGAAGGTGCTCTCGGAGGTGGATATCGTTGAGTTTTGGAAGATAATACTCGAACTGATTATCGAAGAACTGGATCCGACAGAGATTCCCGAACTAGCTGTAGGATAAATATTACTAGAGCCGAGCACCGAAGAGCTTATTATTGCTGAACTTATCACGCTGGTTGTAGGGTAGAGGCTACTAGAGCCTGATAACGACACCGATTCAACTGGCTTTAAGCTTGAAGAGCTCGCTGGGTAGGCAGATGATGATGGCGGCGGTAAAGCGGTGGCCTCTGTCCCTTGCACTATACCATAAGTTATACCATCAAGGATAGTTTGCGTGACTGGGCAAATAGTAGTGTACGCGGAGATCGTCTCGGTGGTGACTTGGCCTACTGGACAATTCGTTACAGAGGCAGCACATGAGGTGATAGTAACAACATTCGTTGAGTAGACCGTTGATAGTATCGACTTAGTAATTTCACTGCTAACGCTGTACGTACTTGGTAATGTTTGCGAAAATAACGGGCCTCCGGAAGTTGGATAAGTAAAATATGAAATGCCTGATTCGGTCGTAGGTAATACCGCCGACCCGCTTGAGATCGTCATATATGAGCTGGCTACGGAGGAGACATCTGCGGACGAAATAGTGGCTGATGATACAGTTGCAGATGAGATAGCCACGTATGAACTAGGCTGCGTCTCTACACTAGTATCGCTAAGAGTACTAGATGTAATTGGTTGAGACTGGCTGACAGGGTATGTCGTTGTCGATACTGAAACCGACTCTGTGGTAACCTTCCCGACAGGGCAATTAGTTACTGTCGGCGCGCAGGACGTGACAGTGTAAATGGTCGACGAATATATTGTAGAAATAGTGTTGCTACTTCCGCCTATCGTACTCGAGGAGGCACTTCCAACCGATTCAGAATAAGAGACGATAGTGCCGCTGGCTATGCTCGAAGTACCGGGTTGTGTTACTGAAGATAATGACCCGGGAATGGACGAAACCGAAGCGGATGAGGCTGAAGGGGATGAAGCCAGGTAGCTAGAACCGGATGCCTGTGAGCTTAAAGAAGCACTGGAACTGGCCGCGTCAACACTTGAGCTAGCAATTTGGACAGAGCTCGATTCAGTCAGCTCAGTGGTAGAAGTAGACCCAGTAACTATACTAGAGTCGGTCTGGGTCGACACACTGCTACTGGTGGTAGTGCCCAAGAATAGTGAGCTTAGACTACTTAAGATTCCACTACTGGTAGTCAGTGAGCTCACTGGATACCCTCCGGGAGCCGTTGTAGCCGATGTCTGTGTCGATACAGTCCCGGATTCAGTTAGCGGTTGGGTAGGATATCCATCAACCGTCGACGAGGACGGTACCCCAGCAGAAGAAAGACTCAAGCTACTAGCTGATGATACACTCGCAGACGATACACTCGCCGATGGTACGCTTGCTGACGGTGGGCTTAAGGCGGGATATGTCTCGAAAGTCTCAGCGAGTGAGGAGGCAGATGAAGAGACTACAACAGATGATGATCCAGCCGGAGACGTGGGATAACCGGATGCAACAGAACTCGATAATTGGACGCTAGAAGTCTCCACCTCACCTGTAGGATATCCTACCAACGAAGAAATCGATTGATCACTAGTTGAAGGTAAGCTAGCCGAGTACGTGGGATATTCGACGGGAGAAGAAGTAGATAAGTCATCGCTACTAGACAGCAAACTAGTCGGATACGTATCGAGGGGTTGGGAAGAAGATGTAGTAGGTAACTGGCTAGTAGAAGGCGAGCTAGCATCATATGTAGGGTAATTGGCAGGAGTAGAGGATCCTACTTCGCTAGCCACTGACTCTGGCGAACTGACAGGATAGTTATTCGCAGCAGGATCCCTCTTAGCCATTTTCACGAGTTCAGGGTTACAGCCGTTTTCTAATTTTTCGATGGAAGCTTGCTTCCCACTCTGTAAGTCGTTAGTAAGACTGTCGTAACCTATAAGTAATTGACATACCTTATCCTTATATCTGTACTGGCAAGCAGGATATTTATTTGTTATGTTTACACTCTTCACATACATAGTATAAGGAGCGCCTTTCATGTCGACCTCACCTCCAGCCCATTGAATAGTCCAGTGATTGTTATTAGGGTCTCCACCTCCCCATACACCAAGTTGAAGCTTCATCGGAGACTGGGGAAAGGCGAAACCTTTAGGAGTATCCTTGGCTAGAATACTTCGGACGACCTTATCATCAACATACCAGTTCATGTAGTCTTCATCCCACTCTACCGAATACTTATGGAACTGCTCTGCTGGCTTGTATAAATCTTTCTGGTAAGTAGCTGCGCCATCCCACATCTTTCCTTGCGCGAAAACGTTGGTCTCAAAAGCCCACATCCCATCCCGAGGCGGGAAAGGCGTCTGGCCAAATTGATTACCGGAAAATTCAAAATCGATTTCATCCTGAGTGTCTGACCATAAAGCTGCGCTGCTAATCACTCCCTGGCCCGGAGCAATTTTCATCTCGACATCATACCGGCCGCCAAGCATATAGAAATCGGTCCACATATTCGGTGCATCCCCCTTTTTGGCATAAGACAACTCGGCTCCGTTGGAAGTGAAGTCGACGACCTCGGAATTCGCAATCGTCCAGTCTGAAGGGGGGCCCTTTTGCTTAGTGAAATCAATATAATAATTCTCCTCGGGCCAAGCCTTCTTTGATGGGCAATCCGTGTGGAGCGGATTGCAATCGGGTTGAAGCTGGCCATTGGCAAATTGAGCTGTCCAGCTCAATGCTGTAAGGAAGCCAATAATTCCTCTCTTTGACATTATGATGACCTTGAAAATGGTCTATAGTAATTTTAGAATTAGATAAATGGTTAGTAGGAAAATAGAATATCTCCACAGGGGTTATCCACGAGGATTCTGCGCTGCCCATATTAATACTTAGAGAATAAAGCATCATTGTTGTTTACTCATTGCCATCCAAGCAACAATGCCAAATCAGAGATTAAAAGCGACCTCGACCGGCTTCCTATTCCGGGAGACAATCCCCCTTGTTCCGCGCTTAACGGATAATCAACTCGTTATCAACTCGGAACACTTCCTTTCGCCATATCTTGAAGGAAGTTCAGTCGTGGCCACTGCCGCAGCAACAATGAAACCTACTCTTGCGAACCGTATAAATATACTAATCCTTTGAAGACCACGGAGCCTTTCATACGTAACAAAAAGTTGAATCTACCTAAGAACCTCGCTCATTAAGGTCATTGTCAGATGATTATTGACAGCGACAAGAGCTCGTTGCCCTTGCTTTATCATATTCTCGAGCATCCCCGCGCGTGAGATTTATACTGATACTGATACCGTCACTAATCAGAGTATTCTCCTCTGTCGTTTGTAAGATGTATAAGGGGAGTATTAAAATCAAGGATAACATATAGAATTAAAGATCTTGATATGTATTTGCCTATCCCGGAATGCAGAAAAGATGGCGTCTATTTTACCTAACTTACGCAGTATAACTAGGTAGATATTTTGTAATTAGCCAAAGGAAGAGAAGTTCGTTATATAAATAAGGAATATATGATATATCCAAGTTAGTTAAACGATGAATAAGTATTTAATAGGTTTCTTCAAACGAGGCACGTGCCTAGTAATTATTGGTAACTGGAGGCTAATGTACCTACGTAATGAGGCGGGGACAAATGTCTTACTACCATGTACCAGTACCGTAATTGTCCGATGCAAGGCAACCAAGTCGCCAAGCTTTCGGGTGGGCTACCCTGGCATAGGCCATCATAGGTAGTTCCCGTTCAGCCCGCTTCAGCACAGAACCTTCTTTAATTCTCACGTTAAAAGTTCAGGTTATCAATAAAAGTGGGTATAGTACCTAGGTACCTAAATAGTTGGAAAAGCCGATTCCGCCTCATACCTAATTTGTACTTGCACTTGCACTTGCACCTGCACCTGTCATTCTAGGACTTTGGGGGGCTCACCTACCTCATGAATAATCAATCAAAATCAGTCCATCTTTTTTTTCTGCTTGTCCTCGTTGCCTAGGTACCTACATATTAGTTACACCCTTCTTTTTCCGCATTCTTTCAACTTGATTGCGTATGCCCACATTCATTTGTGCATTGCGTTAGTTCTCATGGCCTAGTCACTCACTCGCATTCGCATTTTATATGGTACATATATGCGTATACGCCTAGATTCAGTATCAATATCCTCAGTATCCTCAGTATCCTCAGTATCTTCAGTATCTTCAGATCGTTATTCTTCGACCTATATTCCTTTAGATTATCCCCGTTCATAACAACGCCCTCGCCTGCGCCACCGTTTAGAAGCTATGGGCATCTTCAACCAGAAATCTCGGCTGAAGGCAGCGCCTCAGGAGATCCGTGTTGAAAAAGTCGTCGTTCCCACCAAGCCGCGACCCAGCCTAACCGTAAATCCTCCCCGCGTGTCTTCAAGCCATTACTCTGCGTCTCCCCGCCTCTCGCCAAATCCGCGCCTCTCACGAACCAAAAGCGCGTCGCCGTATCCTTCCTCCTCTGACGAGAAGCGCGCTATTATACGGAAGCGCAAAGCTATAGCCAGTACCCCACGAGACTCCCCCGCCTTCGGGAACGATTCGGAATCGGAGGATGATGATAGCGATCCTTTCCGAAAGCGACTGCGGCGTAGCGAATCAAGGTCGGTGGATCTAAATCGCAAGCTGCGCCATAAGAAGGCATTCGGCGATGAGATCAGAGACCCACGCATCATCCACGCGGCGGATATTGCATCGGTCGCCACAAAGTGTCCGCCTATCCAGGGCGCGAAACCAGAAGAAGTTGCGATAGAGCTGCAATATCCGTCTCGATGTAAGCGTGAAAGGTAAGGGTATCAACTCCAAAGGCATCACAGGGCGCACTAACATAAGACAAGATACGAGCTAGTATGGCAGAAAGATAAGATCGACGCTATTAAAGACATTCTTTTAGTCGTGGAGCACGTGGCCGAGACATATCTCACCGACGACGAAGCGAAGCCTTTCATCGACCACAACGCAAGTTTCAGAAGACAGATGGAACGCGCAATAAGCGAGAAATATAGAGATGTGCCAGTCTTCAGAGCAGCACTTAAAAACTACAACGACAAACTATTAGAATTGGTTGAGAATGGTACGATAGCGAAGAACATAGAACAACAGCACCATCTTCCGCCCAGTCTGGTATCGTTTATCCTCACGCAAGTATACGATCGCACGGTTGCGCCGAAAGTAGAGATGCTCACGAAATACGAGATGGGAAGCGACAACGTCTACGGAGAGCTGCTGCACCCTTTCATCACGAAACTGCTTGTCGAGCAGACGAAAATGACTTCCGACCAGGTTTTCATAGACCTTGGTTCTGGGGTAGGTAATGTCGTACTTCAAGCGGCCCTTGAAATCGGTTGTCGGAGTTACGGTTGCGAGATGATGGAGAATGCCTGCAATCTCGCCGAAGCTCAGGAGAAGGAGTTCAGATCCAGATGTCACCTTTGGGGTGTCGCGCATGGGCGGGTTCATCTTGAGAGGGGTGACTTTCGCACCAACGCTAAGATCTTGGAAAAGTTGAAGGAGGCGGACGTAATACTCGTCAATAACAAAGCCTTCACTTCCACTCTTAACGATGCCCTTATTAACATGTTTTTGGATTTGAAGAAGGGCTGCAAGATCATATCGCTAAAGTCCTTCGTCCACGAAAACAAAACCGCTATTAACGATGTCGCAAACAGTATCCTCGACGTCCAGCATTACCGCTACCACGAGAACTGGGTCAGTTGGGCCGCTGCGGAAGGCGACTACTATATCTCCATCAGGAAATAATGATGCCGACCAGTCTATATGGGAAAGAGACGTCAGCAATATTTCCAATGTATAGAATTCAGAGAACGGGTAGGTGAGAACGCGCGTTAGGATACCACATTCGCATAGATAAACATGATTCGAGGGATACCAAGGAATGCGATCAAATGGTAAGGACTTACAATACCGTTATTAGGTTATATAAATAGAACACATCAATACAATAAATCTCAAAATGGCATCCATGAGCAGTATGCTAGTTTTTCACCTCACCTCCGATTCTTACTACTTGGTGATTCGTTTTCTAGGTTCATGGCGTCTGCCTCGTGCTTCATCCGATCCATCCATCTCTTAATTAGATCCTTATTATCAGCTGCGACCTTAGCTGCTTTCTGCTCGGTGACATCGAGTTGTATATTTAACGTCAGGTTCTCATCCTGAATATCCTGTTGCTACGCATTAGTCCCCAGCCAAATATACATACCTACATCTACACCATCCTTTATTCGTACCTTGAGCATCTTGTTCTTGCCAGCCAGCTCTTCATTGCGGTCCTTAAGTTTCGCCGTGAGTGCGTTACGCTCGGCGGTCAAATCGTTAATACGCTTAGTATCGACTTTCGCTTTTGACCTCAGCTTCTGGAGTTCATCTTCGGCAGTTTTTAGTCTGCTCTGCAGCTGGCCTTTAGACCGGAGCGCTTCGGCTAGGTCTAACCGTAGTTGGGCGATGCTCTGATCCGCACCACTATCTGTCGTGCCAGTTGTCGCAATGCCTTTTCCCGACGGGTTTTCTGATGACGTTGGGGGGTTCGTTGAGGTTTGCCAGACTACCTTTTCGGCTTCGAGGGCGGCTACGCGATCGGCGAGTTGGGAGCCTAGAGGTGAGATTTATTAGGAATGGTCGGTAGGTAAGTGGAACACAAGAAATGCTACTCACAAGCCTCGACGAGGTCCTTGTTCACAGGATTGTTCCGCTCTGCTTCTTGCAGGGAAGTAAGATATTCAGATCGCCAGTCAGTCATGGTGGTCGAATTCTACATATTAGTATCATCTGAGATATTGAAAAATGTATAGTTATAGAATTATTTCTATGCACAAGATAAAGTTGCTTGTTCTGCTCGGCGCTCAGCGATAGGTTTTTTGGCATTTAAGGGCAGGAGGGGTACCTCTACATAAGCTTCGTAGGGTCCATAAATACCCGCCTACTAGTGCCAATAAATTCATATCGATTACATATATTAAGTACCTAATCTTAGATCTGAGTTATTATTTATATTCATTCCATTGGTTTAACCATTGTTATACTTGAGTATCAAAGAATTGCTATATATCCAATTTTATACAAGGGCCATTTCTCCTCATAGCTATGAATAATTATGAGACTCCAAAAAAATCATATACTTCTTGAAAAACAAATCTACCTAGGATACAAGTAGATAACTCAGTCACTCATCCCATATAATATGCGATATGCCCTGGCCGTCAGGTAACGTATCTTCCGTGGTCCAAGTCACCAGGGGCCACTGATCATCTATAACACCCGTCCCGGAATCCCTCGAGAACACAACTAGCCGGCCCGGAACGCTATATTGATTCGCAGCCGCAAATAGCGTCCCGTCCTTGCTAATAGCAAATGACCGCGGCCACAGACCTCCCGACGCCGTAAGCCCCACAAGCGCAAGATCGCCGGTATCAAGATCAACGCTATACGAAGCGATACTGTCACTACGCTCGCCACGGTACACGCTTCGCCCTTCATCGCGCGTAGAAAGCACGATATGCCTACCGTTTTCCGCCGCCGCAATCTCCGCCGGTATCGCAACCCCCGCGGCATCGCCAAACCCAGTCTGGTACGCGCTGTCCTTGTAGAACTGCTTGAAACCCAGGGTCCCGTCTTTCCCGTACACTACTTCGAACCCGTGCAGCGAATTGGTAAGCTCACCGAGCACGTAGAAGAACGTCTTGCTACTATTGCTTTTGACAAAGACGCCGTGGCGTGGCCCGTTCCCAGGCTCGATGTAGTGCGCGCCTAGTTCAACTAGCCGGTCATCCCATCCTACCGCGTATGTCCGCAGGGCATCTGCACCGCGGTCGAGCACCACCACGAATTTTCCGGTGGGGTCGGCGACGATGCCGTGGGGATACGGCTTATCTTGCAGCGTTGAGTTAGGACCAGATTTATCCATGAAGTAGTGGAAGCTCTGAAGCTCGACCAAGTTGCTCGGATCCGAAGTATCAATCTAATGTATGCAAACATTTCGTATCAGCTTTACGATACTACAATTCTAGAATCTTTGGCGTTATTTTTTTTTTGATTGGGTTGAAATGATAGGGCTATCACACTTACTACTAAACGTTAGCCACTGTATACCTTACGAAGGCGGTTTCGAGACTATTATAGAAAGGGGGTTTCAAAATAACAAGCATAGAGTATTTTTGATACATACCGACGGAGACCGCACCTCCCGAGTAGTGAGCCAACCCCAAGCGATTAGGAGCATAAAATGTCGACTGTACTGGCCCATAATCGGTGGTGATGTTGCCTAGTATTAAAAGAGACTCTTTAGAGAATGACGCCACCGAGCCAGCGTTGGTGGTCGTATAAGCTTCATTTGCGCAGAATAGCGTGCCTGTTACTGGATCAAGTTCCAACCATCCCGGATTACGACCACATTCCAACGTCGACCCGACCTCCCGTAACGAATGGCTCCCATCGACGTTGCTAGTGAAGGTCAGACGGTACACAAGTCCAGCGTAACTAGCTACATAGATGTCCCTCGCAACGGCGATGCTGACGCCAGCGGATACCGTTGCGGAAAGGATATTATACTTCATAGCCGTCCAACAATACTCGAGGTGAGGTAAGTAAATAATGGACGGAAACAATATGAATAAATAAGAGCAACTCTTATCTATCAATACTAAGTTAGGTTAGGTTAGGTTTTGAAAGCGCCCGAGACCATAAGAATATGATTTTCCGTGATGATTATCACACCGCTTTTCACTTGGCATCTTACCTATATATTGCAGCGGGATTACAGAAGGTAATTGTAACTATTAAAGTTCCATAGGAATAATTCTATTGTCGCACAGTCATTTATTGGTACCTGAGCGTCATCTCGCCTATCCCTATAGGAAAGAGATATCTAACTCAGTGAGGGATATACCACAACTATCCTCTCATGTATCACCCTTTCATACAAAGACATAACATTTGTATGTTCTAACCTTATTAATCTCTGCTTGCTAGTCTCCCTCAACATGCTACTCCATTCGTAATCCGGCTTAACGGGTTCTCTTGGGCAGGTTCTTTCTTCCTGGATTAGGTGACCAGTGTAATTATTTCCTTCTATAGGCCATACATACATATACCAAGCCCCTGACAAAGGAAATACTCCGTTGGTACAAGATTGCCAATCTGAAATCGAAACGTGCTTTTAGCGCAATCTTCGATTTTCCTCACTCATTCGTCTGAATAGTTCCTCCCTGCTTATAGCCCGTCATTTCCAGGTATATAAGCTCTAATCCCTCCTATTTACTCTTCGGAGTACTTTCCTCAACCGTAACAGAGTGCAGCATAAGCTTCGTCTGGATCTCCTGGCTATTCGCGGCACACCCCTTACTCCAATCATACCCGAGCGCGTACGCAAACAGGCTGCCGTCGTGGTTAAACGCCGTCGTTGTAATGGGGCTGCCGGTCGATGGATATGCCTGCAGCCGAGCGTGCGCGATGCGATCCCAGAAGTGAAACGTGCCATCGGAGCCAGCTGTGACTAGGACTGTGTGCTGGACTGGATGGAATCGTACGTCATTGACGGACCATACCTTGGTAATTTTCGTCTTAAGTTCAGGCGGTCCACGGTGGCAGCGAAATTTAAAGTTGATTTTGCTATATTCATTCAACATCAGTAAACATTTATTACGATCATATTAGTGCTCGGTGACGCGCGCGAAAGATCGGATAAGAAAAAGGATAGTAATACCGATCTTCTTCTTTGTCTACAGCGTTAAAACTGCATTTTCCCTCGATGCTTGCTGTCGCCCAGCCCTTGCCGTCTGGGAATACGTCGACGACCTTGGTCTGATGCTTGAGCGGCGATTCCAGAGTTCGGGAAATGACAGTTGGGCGTCGGAGGTTGATAAGATGGATATGGCGTTCTGCGGTAGCGACCACAAAAAGAAGAGACTTAGCATCCATCGAGTAGACACGGTCCTCGCACATGATGGTAGTGACCGGACTCTGCTGACGAAGATCCCATAATTTGACTGTCTTGTCCCAGGACCCGGACGCCACGATGTGAGTATTCGATTCCGGGATTTCGACGAAACGCACGCTGCGAATGGGCTTTTCGTGCGAGCTGAGAGTAGCTTGCTGGCCTGTCGGTAGATGTAGAATATGAAGCGACTTATCAGCTCCTCCAGCTGCGATTATTGTCCCGTCCTGATTTCCCGCATCAATACCCACCCCATCGACTCCAGCCTATATCACAACATTCCCACTTACCTATTTTAATTCCCACATTGGTTTTATTTCTTTTTTTCACGCTGTAGGGTTAGAAGAAACTCAAAAACTTACCTTGGCCCAGTCGCAGCCGAGAACGGGGCCGACCGCGTTAAACATAGCTGTTCCATTCGCGGTTCTGTTGTTGGCGTTGACGTCGTAGACACGTATTTTGCCATCCCAAGATGCTGCTGCCAGGTGGTTGGAAACAGGCGACCATGAGACGGACGAGATGGTGTCTTGGGCGTCATCTGGTAAGCTGACATCGTTGGATAGAGAACCCAAACTCAAAGTGGAGAGAGTCGTAGGAGTTTTCTTAGTGGAAGACATTTCGAACGATAATTTTGACGACGCGACAAATATAAATTATATGAGAGTAACTAAGTTATAGATGAAATAGAATAAGCAGGCTGAAGTGATACTTATAAGCACGAGCCTTGTTTACAAGGATGTATGTACATTAGGTATACCTGTTATTCGGTATATTGTACTCGATGGAAGGAACGAGGCAACTACACCTTAGAAATAAGGTTAACATCACATCTCTCAAGTAATTTCAAGCAGGTGTGATCCATGGATATAAATACGTACCTACCTACATAGGTACCTAAAGTACCTACATGTAAGCACCTAAAATAATCAATAATAAAATCGAAGACTACAACTTGACACTCTTGACCAAGCCCGGCTTGATACCAGTAAGCTCGCCTCCATATCCACCACGACCTTCGCCGCCCCCGTATACCGGTTTCATGCTCTTCAACTTCTTTTGCTTCTCTGCATATGCCTTTCGCTTCTTTACTCTCGGATTTCTCACGTCCTTCTTACGTCTCGGCGCAAGTCCCTTGTTCTTTTGTATCTGATAAGTAATCTTACGCTTTCCATCCTCGCCGACCTCCTCTGTCTCCACGATACGGTCATTCTTGCTAGCCGCTGCAAGAGCTGCTGCTCGGGCTGCTTTATCTCCCTTCTTCTTGCTTGTTGCTGCAGCAATCATATCGTAGTATTCATCCTCGTCATCTCTAACTGCAGTAGCAACTCGCTCGTCCTCTTCATCGCTAGCATCTCCAAGATCAGCACCCATCTTTGAGCTCTTCTGACCACGCTTCTCTGCTTCGGCATTGAGGCGTGCTTGTCTATCCTTCAGGCGTTCCCTGTAAGGAATATCCATGTCGCCACCTGCATCCCTGCCTCCGGCTGCTCGGCGGTTGGCTTTCTGTACGATCTGAGAGGTATAGAACCTAAGACTCTTCTTCCGAGCTGCCTTTTCAGCAGCCGATTTGGCATCAAGAGCCTCCTCTTCACCAAAATCTGAGTCACTGTCTCTTGCCGTAATATCAACGGTTGACTTCTTCGGTTTCTTCTTAGTAATAACGAGCGCATCGAGATCAGCAAGTGACTCTTCAATGGCCTTCGCTTTCTTCTTCTCCGCCTTGGCCTTGACCTTGGCCTCTTTGCTTAATTTCTTTGAAGATTTAGTTTCCACTTGTATTTTCTCCTCGGTGGCTAGTAGCTCCTCTTCCGGTGGTGATGGTATGCTATTAGTTACGTGTGTATGATCCGATATCTTCAGGTGCTCTACTGTCTTCCATGCATCTCGGCACTCTAACAGAGTTCCCATCACTTCATGATCACGTAGTTCTGCGGGATCCAACGCTTTTGCAGCTCCGTTGGCAACATCCCTAGCTGGTGATGCTAAGGTAGCGAAGTACATAGCAAGCGTGGCGACGTAGCAGCCTAGGATTCGGTATTTGACTACCGGCAATGACTTAGGCAGCTGCCCTTCTGCCTGTTTTTGTATAGTCACAAGTAGAGGTTGAAGTTGCTGGAGCTCATCTGCTAAGTAATCGAACTCGGGGTATCTTGTCCGTAGAATTCGGTATCTTTCCTCGGGGCTCATATCAGCGGGAATCTCGACATCCTTTAAGACTTCAGTAACAACGTCATCTTGTTCCGCATCCTCGCCCTCCGGAGCGAGCCACTCGGTTTCGTCGAAAATGAAATCGCTCTCAGACATCTTTGCCAGCTTTTTCTTCTGTAGTCTCCGGGCTTCCTGCTCCTCTTCTAAAGCGTCGGCCTCCGTCTCGGGATTGTCGGCATTGTAATATTCTTTCCTCGATGAACCCCACCAGCCGGAATCGCCTTCCTCTTGTCCAGATTCAGATCCATTGTCAGCCTTCCCCTTGGCAGATTTCGTAGGTTTACGAGCGTATCCGTCTTGGTCATCGCCGTCCTCCTCATCATCGGAGTCCTCGTCATCATAGGCAAGGGCCTCTTCGTCAGAATTCTCTAAGAATTCTTCTTCCTCTTCTTGCCGCTTTTGCTTTTTGGGCTTTCGGTCATCTTCAAAAAGAATTTGCTCCTTGTCCATGAAGTGTTCCTCCTCTGAGTCGGCTATATCTTCGAAGGTATTAATAGGACCCAATCTCGCATCAGCAGGGTTATATTCGCGAGGACCCTTTGGCTCCGAAAGGCCACTGGATGCCTTTCTTTTCTTTGCCATATTGATAATGTTTCTGATAATGCAAAAAATATAAAAGTACAAGCTGGCGTGAGTGGTCGCAAGCTTGGTTATAAACTTTTTTAGTGTTCACGTTTAGAACTTTTTTTTTTCCTTTTCCCCACGCAAAATGCTAAGCTTGATCTCTTATCGTTATCAATAGCTGCTCCACAAGGAAGCGCCGCAGGTGGGCCATCAAAGGTAAGTGGCTCCACCTATTATGCACAATAGCGGAGTGCATAAACAGTCCCCTGGTTCCATTTTGAAGTTATCCTCAAAAAAGGGCCGTGACAGCTTCAGCTAATCCTACGCTACTCTTCCTTATTTCACACTCTCACTCCACACGTACACAATGCAGTAATTGCATTCCACCAATATCCTAACCCTATGTACTCTTCCAAGGTCTCGATTGTTGTATATAATTTCCTATCTCTTCAATAGCCTTGATCTTCGATTGTCTATAAATTGACACTACAATCGTCCTTGTATAATTATAATACTTTCTACTTCCGTAATGGGTGTCTCTTGGAGCAACCAAATGCCCGTGGAGGGCAAGGTATGTCATGTCAACAGGACCACCCGAATTGTCTCTTTTTTGGGCATATCTAACAAGTGTTTTCGCCCTGTTTATAGACCGTCTTGATCACGGGAGCCTCGGAGGGGCTGGGCAGAAGCGCAGCTCGACAATTGGCCGAGAAAGGCGCAAACGTCATCCTCGTCTCACGAAGCGCCAGCAAACTCGAGACTGCAATGGCCGAAGCCAAGGCCGCCGCCCGCGACCCCGAAACCCAAAGGTTCCACTTCATCTCGGCCGACGTTGCGAAACCCGATTATGCCCCTCCCTTGCTTGCTGAAGCCGTAGCCTGGAATAATGACCAACCCATTGATATCGTGTGGTGCATAGCAGGCATGTCTGCCCCGGATTTCTGGCTCGAGGTACCCCTATCTCAGACGCGAAGCCAGATGGATATCAACTTCTGGGGAGCGGCCGAGATAGCCCACGCTGTACTGAGGCTATGGTGTGCACCCGACGCGCCGGTCGTGCCGGAACCGAAACACTTAATCTTCACGTCTTCTGTCTTAGCTCTTTTCCCAGTAGTTGGGTACGGGCCATATACACCTGCGAAGAGCGCGTTACGTGGATTGGCCGACACCCTAGTGCAGGAGGTAGAGGCGTATCCACAGAACGTGAAAGTCCACGTTGTGTACCCGGCCTCGATTGGTAGCCCGGGTTTCGAACGCGAGAACAAGACGAAACCGGGTGTTACAAAGATGCTCGAGGAGGGAGACCCGGTACAGAGTCCCGATACTGTAGCTTCGGGCGCGATCCGAGGGCTCGAAAGGGGGCAGTACTTCATAACAACGGCCTTGTACGGATATGTTTTCAAATGGAGTACATTGGGAGGCTCGCCGAGGAACAATTGGTTTATTGATACAATCATGTGCTGTCTCATTCCATTGATATGGATATTTGTGCTCCCGGACATATTTTCTAAAATCAGGAAGTACCGTAAGACGCATGGGCACCCTGCAAGTTATCGAGCTAAAGCCATAGAAGACCATCAGAGCTCTTAGTTTACCTACTGCATACCTCCTATATTATACCCGTGTCCAAGACACATACGCACTAATGGTTTCTATAATATCAGGTTCTCAGATGAATGCAATATTGTTTAATCTGATCTTAACATCAAAGCAATGTAAATCTTGACTTCTAAATCTAAGCTTATCAGGAGCTTCCTTTCTAAAAGAAAAAAACTATTGCGGCTTTAACTACCTTAAATCAGATATCTGAGATCCTAAGATGTGATTTATCATAATCTGCCGTCTAACAAAGTGGCAGTTCTTGGGTGGGTAGTCTTTGTGCTAGACATATATGGGGTTTGAAATACCTCCTGCAAGGCCGAGGCCGAAGGCATATCTTAGTTTATTGTTCAGTTAATTGTCATATCATTATTATTCATACTTCAACGCTCTGTTTACATTCAATCTTAGTCTCATGGAGCCTAGGGTATACTGAAGAGCAAATAAGAAAAAAAAAATTTGAGGCTCTGGAATTTTTTCACACCAAGCTTAAACAGACTTCAACTAATCTAATAACTATATAGCCAAGTGGGTAGGTATCTATAAGTGACGCGCATCATTACTATAATTACTATCATCAACGCCACAGTCAAACGTAGAAGATAAGACAATTCAGTCATCATGAGCGAGTTTATTGAAAACTTCGTAGACCCTCCGTGACCATGCTAGACTACGGCGAGACAGACAACCTCCTCCTTTCCCGGATATTTTCGTAAATAAGAAAAAACACACTCAACCTAAACTCCGTGCGTTTCCATATAGCGCGCATCGACTCATGCATGACTAAAACCAACTAGCATGGCAAAAAAAGAATGTTCCAAGTTCCTCTTATAGACATCTTAGAGTTTGACCAATTATTTTGACCCGGGAGGCTACTCCTCCTCCACTTAGAAATTGCCTTGAACATTTTCCTCAATGATTTGAGGATTCAATCGCATTGAATCCTGCCAGCAGGTCAAATTGAGGAGTACCATTCTCCTGATGCCTACCCGGCTGCTAACCGCTTTGCTGGGTTTGTCTCGCGTCGTTAGTGGGGTGGCCATCCTAAGGTGCATCTTGCTCATTCACGACGGACTGGGAAGCTCCATGAGGGCCGGTTTGAGGACCAGCTTGACCAGCCTGGCCAGCTTGGTTCTGCTGCTCACGAACAGCCTCCTCGTACAGGCAAATCTGGTAGGCTAGCTGCTTCGTAGTTGCATCGATCATGATCATAAGCCTGTTTGCGCGATCTGCTCCGCGGACCTGGGCCAATGCTTGCTCTATCGTATAGCGCACAACAGGATCAGTAGAAGCAGGAATCGAAGCAAAGTTGAACGGAGTCATGCTTGAGGGTGGCGGTGGAGCGGCCATGGGATAGGCGAAATTGTCACCACCAATCTGACTTCCGTGAGCCTGGGGATTGCGAGTCTCTATGTATATGGTTAGCCTATCAATACTTATTTATACGTGTATTTTGAAAGGATTAAGGTAAATGGCATACCATGAAAGGAGCATCGAGCACCAGATGCGTTGAACCAGCAATTGGCACAACTGCCGCACATCTGACCGTCGATGATTACGCAGCTAGTCCAAGGCCCGTGGCCTTTGTGGCAGTTCTTGCATGGCTGGGGTGCCTCCTCGCCAGCAATATGTGCGAAGAGAGCTTCGACGTTGCTACGCCGGACTAGATTCAATTTCTGTCCGGTACGTCGCTGTTGGGCAAGACGCATGCCAGGGTCGCGGGCCAGTCTCTTTGCCAAAGCGCTCTCAATGTTGATATCGAGATATCCGGACTGGTGAGCAAGCTCCTCTGTAGTATGAACCCCAGCATCATCACCTCCCATAAGATGACCGCTAAGGTCAGGATGCTGATCATTGGGATTCTGAACGCTGTTAGCTAGAATGCTAGCTGCGGTGAGTTCCACCTGCTGGTGGTGATGGTGATGCTGCTGAGCGGCGGCGGCGGCGGCAGCAGCAGCCGCCGCCTCAGGATCGAAAGTGGTATCATTGTCGAAATCCTCATCAGTAGTAGCATCTTGTTGCTCAAGGTCGGGATCTTGATTTGCAAGTCCGTCAACAGCGCCGATTCGACGATTGACTCTTGCGCGCGGAGCGCCGACCGGCTTGGTGACCTTGCTCGGCCGGCCACCTCGGGATGAATGCATGACGCCTTTCATGGTGGGCCAGGTGATCAAGAAAAAGCCGCCTGCTGGCTGACAGTTGGTAGTCCGATTGATGATGTCTTATGGAAGAATGAGAGTTTTCAGCTGTCGGCAGCTGTGTGAAATGATGTAGGATGAAATAATCTTTCGGAAAAGCCCGTAACTAAAAAGCTTAACTCAAACCGTAATTTCGCCGGGCGGTGTAGAAGGTACATAGGTACATACCTAACGTGCTATGGAGGTACGTACATATCTAAGTACATAAGTGTCAGGAGATCCCCGCATATAGGTATCCACGTACCTAACTTGAATACCATGACTTAGTTACATGTAGATAGACAACTCCATTGCAACTACTTAAGAGGTACCTATTCATGTAGGTGATTCAAAAACAAACCTAAGGGGAAATTATACTGGAAATACATAAGTACCTAAGTATGTGACTAAGTACATGCCCTAAAATACCGAAAAGTTGGATATGGAAGTGGGCAGGAACAAGATGAGAACCTTATATCAGAAGGTTGAAACGGGATATGTTGATGAGTAAGAAGCGTATATATACATCCAAGATGATCATACATTTTGCATTGTAAAAAGAAAATTTTTGCGTTGTAAGATTCGGTTATCCCTCAATGGTATGGAAGGAACCTTTTTTTCAATAATCAGATCTTGTAATATATACCTTACGCCGGTACCTAGGCAAGCAAATTTGTCTTCTAGAAGAGAAATCGACCGACAATTATGTTATTAGCTGAATATCAATATCATAACAGGCAAACACAAATTCACCAATGAAACACCCAGAATTTTCAAACATATATAGAAGGACATCACTTTTTAACATCATATCAAAGCCTTTATACTGTACAATTAAATGCCACCTAGTTAACGCGACACGATCTATAGCCACTCAATTCATCGAACGCCAACTGCAAGATAACAGTTTTCAGAGGGTATACAGATTAGAATAATGGGATGGGCTTTTATTGATCTTTTTTACAGATCCAACCAATTGTTCAGGATCTGCCTTTCCACGCTTTCCCCCCCTTATTGGTATAGCTTCATCAGTCATCCTCTCCTTACTGTGTAAAGAGGCAACTGCCTACGATCCACCTCCCGGCCGGATTTCAGCCATCCACTAAGGCACTCATTACGCCTTAGATTAAAAAAAATACGAAAAGCAAAGGAAATGGAAAGGAACCGGCGTAACCGCGAATTCGTTATTAAACAAGGTATGTAATCCGCCGTGACTTTAGATGCAAACGTCCTCCTTCCTGTCACTACTTCCGGATCGTGCGATCAACGGTGTCCTGAATCTTCGCGCAAGGCTGGTAGGGGCCGTACCAAAGAGTATAAAGGGAGTATGTGAGACAAAAATGGGCGCAAAACAAACACACGGAAGGAGATCGTTGGCCAGTTCATGGTAAGGGCGCAGGTCAAGTCGTTAGCCAGATTTATGACATTACTAGCAGCCGTCGAGTATGCGGTACCGAAAGGGGGGTATTGGGTGAGCTGGTGCTCTATAATAGATTTTGCGCTTGTGTTACTCTTATTCTTAATCAGATAAGGCCGCATAGACGCAGGTTCTCTTGGATGATTATGTCTTAAAATAGTGTTAGCATAGACATTGACAATTAGCAAGGTAAATTATATTACATACCGTTAACGGCAGCCATAACGAAGCGAATTTGTGTCGTATCTGTTGCACATGTAAAATGTGTGTAGATCTGTTTCGTTTCGTGCTGGTTCAAACTGACGAATCGGTTAAGGATGTAGTCGCAAGCGGCAGCGTAGTCGTCGCCACCTTCGTAGTCGGGGAAGTAGTTCTTCATTGGGCTGACGGGAAGCTTCTCCTTGAATCGATCGATCTTGTTTAGGAAGAGGATAATAGAGGTCTTAATAAACCATCGGGAGTTGCAGATCGAGTCGAATAGGGTCAAAGCTTCCTGCATACGGTTTACTGTCTCATCTTCAAAGAGCAACTGATCGTATTCAGAGATAGCGACCAAGAACAGAATGGTGGTGACGTTCTCGAAGCAGTGAATCCACTTCTTACGTTCTGATCGCTGGCCACCAACGTCGAACATTCGGTAAGTTAGATCACCAATGATGAAGGTTGTCTCAGTGATACCGGTTGTCTTGACACGAGATCGAAGGACATCCTGATCATTAGGCATGTAGTCAGGTGCAGCAATTCGAGCAATGTTGTCGAAGTAACTGCGATGGTTAGATGGTCCAGGAGTGGGAGATTAAACAGTGATCCACGTACTATCTTGCAGAGTCGTTCAATTGATACTCACGCGACCGCTTGAAACAGTCTTGGACACCACGGTCTTTCCATAGAGTTTCAATTGCGTTGCCAACCTCAGGAGGCAGCACGTCACCCTCGATCTGAGCGGGTTGCATGAAGATCGTCTGGACGTGATACTCCATTCGCTGATCTTCTAATGGAAGCTCTAGGGATTCCATAGCTTCGAGGATGACGCGCATTGACTGAACAGTGTTGCTGAAGATGATTTCCTTGAATGATTCTCGCTCGTCGCGCGAGTAACCACCCTCGTTGATGATCTTCATCTGCTTCAAGATTGTCGACTTTCCAGATTCACCAGCACCTTCGGCTATTAGATCGATTGCCGCGGTTGAGGGGAGATGTTCTTAGTACTCACCCAGAAGAAGCATCTTGATTTCGTTGCGCTGCATCATCTTATCACGCTTAAGCTGATTCTCAATCTCCTCGTTGCGGGCCTTGCCCTCCTTCTCCTCCGTACTCATTCCGCAACCCATCTTGACTAATTAAAGGAGTCTGGACTAAATGTTATAACGAATGTAAACTCGGCGTCTATCGCGAAAATAATATACGTCGAGTGATGACTGTTAAAACAATGGTGTCAGTAGGTAATAATACTAGAAAAAATAGAAGACAGCAGCCGAAGTGATGGGACGCTCTCTTCATCCAAGGGCGCAGATAACAAGACCAGCCAACCGCTTGCGCCGGTTTAGACGCAGTTGTAGGCCGTCGTTCCGCGTAGATGATTTCGATAGACACCAGTAAATAGACAAGACAAGAACATACCGGAAAATGTCAATTGAACTGACGAAGAGACACACACGATAGATAAGAAATGGGGATAAATTCGCCGAAGGAAAGAAACGGCGAATGTGATGAGAAAAGCTGACAGTGGAAAGGAAGAGTGTAAAAAAAAGGGTGGTCGCGAGAGATTGTGACGGGGCGAGATGGATGACCAAGTGGAGCACCTTTGCCTTTGAAAGTGCAGCTTTGGTTTGTTGCCGGACGACCCCCTGTCCTAAGGAATTGGTTTGAGAAGGGGAAAAACGAAAGGGTGAGAGAATCAATTCGGAAATGGGGTGGTAAAAATCGTGCCGGGGCTGGCAGTAACTGAGGGGACTATGACCGAATATAGTTAGATCAATCACAGTTTATGCGAGGAACAAAGCCAACGCTAATCCTAATAGTCTCTAGTTAATAGAATGCCTGTGGGTACCTCCTATTGCCCAGCATCGTAGATGGATTAGGTACATCGATGCTCAGTATTTAATATTGAAAATTTTAACTGTACAAAGAACTTTGGAAATTTTGTCTTATTTATATCTAGCCACTTACTTTTCCGTATATTAAACACTTTCCCGACTTAAGATAATAATATCCTTTTTTACAATGATTTAAAGTTATACAACGAAACCCGTTACCAGTAAACTTAAGTCCTAGGTAAAGTTAATACCGCATGAAATATCAATTCTCAAATATATCCCATAGTTCAAATGTACTTTGAAACGTTTGCTTACATAATGTAAGGTTTTGATGCAATTTGTCCACGCCGCCGTAGTACATTAGATATGTACCTGGTAGTGGATCTAGAATATATTATGTACATGTACGTACATATGCATACATCATCCACACAGCCATCTATCTATTAGTGCTTCAAAGCACTAAGTGCAAATATCGAAGTCACGTCAGCAATAAGAACTCTAGGTTACATACAATGATGTATTGATAATTCTAAATGCAGCAACAAAATTACCACAAAAAATTGCCAGCTGGTCAGATTAGAAAAGTCTTAACCATGGGAATGGATGCATTTTTATCAGCGCTGGAGATGACCGAAGAACTGGTAACCATACAAACCACAAAAAACACGGGGGAGAACCACTACTTCGCATCACATACAGTAGCTGATTAGTATACTGTATGGATGTATAGAAATACCTATCGCAGATCGGGGAGAAGCAGTATCGAGCCTTGTCAAATACCCGGATTTACCGCAGTATATTTAAACATTACATCCAATCATATACATAATTTCATCAAATAGGACTAGGAAATAGTTTGTTATTCCGTAGTTATTTTCCTGCCTAGCGATAAACGAACAAACGAAAGCGGCATACCTATATCACTGGGTAGTAACTATTACTAAATGGCCAGATTGATTACAATGGCACATTAGGATGCTTTGGATGCTCGAGACCCCTGTTCACAACCTGACTGCAGGTCCATCCACTGCTACCCACCTATCTGCAGGTCTGCCTAGGTCTGCCTAGGTCTGCCAGGCTTCGGAGCGAATAGATTGCCTCCATCTCGAATTACACATGCATCGACACATCCGTAGGACAATGTAATTGTATGCAGCAACAATTCGCCTTACGTGAGCACTGAAACAAACGCGTAACTAAGACAAGTTTTCGGCCTTTCTAATCGGCCTTGATATAGGTAAACTGATAAATTGCTAGGAACTGCATTAGGTACCTAGGTAATGCTTCTAGAAGTATACAAGATAAAAGTCGAGCCGTTTCCCCAGGATCCTCATATAAGCAAGCGGGTTGACTCCACCAGATCGTCTGTTTCGCGCAAAGAAAAAGATGTAAATAGCAACGTGCATAATATGATCTGACATGTTATGTAGGACAAGCCTTGTCATCTTAACGTGTGATTCATGGGCTGAAACGTGATCAAGTATACGTAAGAGCTAACTCGGAATAAATAGTTGCGTCTTTAGCATCTTTGACATTAATCGCTACCTGGGTTATACTATTAGGTATCTCTTGATTCAAATAGTATCTTGCCCTTTGAAGATCAGCTTAGTTACCTCTAATCCGGACTAATCGAATCCAATATGCACTTGACCCGGTTAGCCCGTCGCTTTGGTATCAATATTTTAAATGACCCGCCTTGGACCGTGCGCAGTATAAAGACTAATAACGAAAAGCAAGAACATTCAGTTCAGCATCGACATTAATAACTTTAAAATCATAATAAAATATGACAACGTTTGAATATAGCTTCAGTAAGTATAGGTAGACATAAGTAATAAGTAATATAAGCATTATAATCTCATTAGAACAACTTAAGATCACCTCTTCCACGATACTACATATAAAAGGGGCAATATTACGCTTAGGCCCCTTCTAAACAGTAGGATCATTCTAAGTTTCAAAACGCATCACATCTTCCATTCAACCCTCTGAAACTTCTCAAACAATAACAATGATATATCTCCAGTACTGATATATCTCGACCTGGTGATATGAACCATGCCGACCACGCGAGAAGTCGATCCATCTGATCAGGTAGATAGGTAATAGCCCCCCTGACACCAATCCACATCTGTCCATGGTCCGTCCATGTTGGAAATTTTGTTAAGTTCGCATTAATGAGTTATCACTTCTACGCTAAGATGTACATAAATGATGTATCGGGGTAATGGGTGGTACATTCGCACGATGGGAAGATTTACCCATCCACAACATATTTCCCCCCCAAAAGAGGCTCGGTGTACCATGTAGGTTGGTAGGCTGACAAGGTGTAATACCTACCTCTCATTTGTATAATGAACCAATGTCGTCCCTGCTTATTCGGAACAATTTCCCCTATTCTCAAATAATCTTGGATGAAGCCCAGACCAGCCATACCAACCCAGACCTACTCCATTGCCACGAGGTCGCTAGGTTACAATTTGCGCCATTGCGGCTAGATGACGCTATTCTGGCTCAGCGATTTTTTCGTGTTCAATCGGAGTCTAGGCCGAGACGGAGATTTTGGCTTCAATTTTTTTTAATAACTACAAGTTTATTCTTGTAAGAGAAGCGCGCAGCTTTGTTTTAGATCAAGTTCAGCTCAGCTACTTAATATAAACAGAAACTTCCATTCGGTCCCAAAGTGACTAATGATATGAGACTTAAGCAAAAATCTACTATATGGATGGACATGAGCCATCTACATAGATCCACTCGGTATATTTACCAGAATTTGCCTCAGCTGAACTTGATCTATGCGCAGCGCATGTGGTACATAGCATACATCCGAGTTTCAAGACATCGTACAAGGCTGTTCTGATCCCCCAGGTTTAAGAAGGATCATGCCTGAATGCATGAACAAAGAAGCCTTCTGGAAGCCAACAGTATCGAAACATCTGTACTGCTTTAACCTTAAGGTTGTATTTCCCTATAAGCTGAGCCGCCCCATACTGCCAGGGGCATGCAATCTGCGCCGGATTGATACATTAGATAGTACCGAAGCCTACAATCCTTCAACCATCCTGCAGGAGGTTTAAGCAGTAGATTAACCTAGAAAGATGTCTCGTTATTAATTTGGTGGCCTAACTCGGTGATAGGCCGTCTTCTACATATAGTTCCCCGAGTAAAGAAAGACTAGGTATAGGCCAACTCTCAAATACCAAGAATTACCAAAATGTTTACCTATTGCATAGATATTTTTTATAGGAGAGGCATGTACCTAATCAGAACTTGTTTCTTCTATGGCATCCATTTTTTCGAGACCCGCGAATCAGGTTTTAGGTAAATTTTTAGATACGCGACACGTAAAACAAAAAGAAGTCAACCTTTTCCCAGCCACCAACGGTAACGGTACCTAACGTAGCCGGCTTGGGAACAGATGAGCTGCAGATCGCGTACGCCCTACTTTGCATTATTAGCTCAATCAAGTTTTTATTTACAAAAAGTAAAATTACCTGTTAATTATTAGTTATCCCTTTTTTTAACTTGAGGCTCAAGCGTTCGCTGTCGCCGATACGTGCAAGTGCCCAAGCTTAGACCGCCTATACACACCGAGCTTCTGATTGCATCGTTTTCCCTCCCTCGCCGCGATATACAACTAGCATAATGGCCATTCCCCTAACGCGATTAGGAGGCGGAGGTATGTATACATTGCATAGTTACTACATGAATATGTATATCACCATATCATAGCAATTCTATCCCCTGTCTACCGTCCCAAGTGACGCAACATCCCCCACGTCGGGCTTCAATCACCATATACACCCCCAAGTCCAATCGTACCTAGTTTATCAATTCACAAGCTTACATACCATCGGCATTTCCGCTGCAGCCTTCAACCATAGTCCGAGCAATGACGCCGAAGCCGAATATGACCGGCTCCGAGACTTGGCGCGGGCGGAAGCCGCGAAACGGAACAGCTGTTTCGACCGGGTATGTACCTACATTTCATATACCTATCATACCTATCTATACCCGCTGTCTATACCTATACTTATACATACTTCATTCCTTACTTATATAATGTTCTTACCCACCCACACGTCCACCCCTCCTCCCTACCGTAGATATACGCATAAGCATCCTACCTTCACCGAGATGACACCGAAGGATTTTACGTACGCCACACTAACCGCCTGCCCCAAATGCACAGGCGCACCAGGCATACGAGCGCGGCGACGGCGCCGAGGCCAAGGAGCTGAGCAACGAGGGCAAGCGGCACGCCGCTAAGATGGACGAGTACAACCGCCAGGCCAGCGAGTACATCTTCCGGGAGAACAACGCCACGGACCGCGTCACCGACGACACCATCGACCTGCACGGTCAGTTCGTCGAGGAGGCCGAGGACATCCTTGAGCGCCGCATCCGCTATGCTCAGCAGCACGGGCAGACGCATCTCCACGTGTACGTGTGCCCTTCTCTTTCCACAAGACCCAACTTTACTCCTTTCCTTTTCCGTCCCTTCTCCCTTGATATCCACTTAAGGGAGAAAAGGAGAAAGGATAAGTACAAGTAAAATAACCCCTTAGAAACCCAAAGCTAAGAGCCACCACAGCATCGTGGGCAAGGGGAACCACAGCACCGACCACGTGCAGAAGCTCAAGCCCCGCGTGGAGCAGGTGTGCCGCGAGCTAGGGTTGCAGTACGCGACGGAGGAGAATGCGGGTCGTATCTACGGTACGTAACGCCCCGATCAGTCATCGCAAATCTACCCCTAGACTCAATTTCAAATTCGCGGTACCGATATATATATATATACCTACATGTTTACTCACACAAAAACAGTCAACCTTCAAGGCGGCGAGGCCGTAATGCCACCGCTCCCCCAACAGCCGTCGGCCCAGCACGGCGATCACGGGCACGGCGGTGGACAGCCACAACATCACCAGGGGGGTCGGCCGCAGCACCATTCCCAGCAGCAGCAGCATCACCAGGAACAGGAACAGCCCGACGAACTGGAGCGGCTGCTGTCGAAGTTTGTGCGCAAGCTGGGAGATTGTTGCGTTGTTATGTGAGAGATTTGGCAAGTCAAGTTTTACCCTCAGTTAAGGACCTAGAATCAGGAATGGCACTCTGGGTGCTATGTTCCGGGCGGTTCAGGCACGTACCTTGATGTGAAAAGAGGGAGAATGATACAGGTTTTGTAGGGAGGTTGGTTTAAGGGTGGGTATTAACGCGCTTCATGACGGTTCTCCAGGTCTGATTTATGATTCTATGAAATACTTAAGTTGCTATATTAGTAGATTCTTGAGATATTATGGATAAGGTTTCTTGAGGACTTGTCGTATTGTCGATGGCTTGCTATCAATTAATCAACGTATGACAAACACCGCCCTATTTAAATCAAGAAATTTAAACCCGAATACCACTGGGGTATTCTCTATTTCCCCACGAAAAATCCTATACATATTAAAGGGGTTGGTTATTCTTGTGTTTCTCCTCTAACTACCTACCTAAGGTAGTTATCCTTGGATTAAATGCTTCTATACAGTGCTCTATGTCTCAGTATACCACGGGAATATATGCTCATTTAGTTTTACTTCCGGCCTTATTTTCAAGTTGTCGTATATCGAATTTAATTTCCTATATAATCTTAGATTCAAAAAGACTATAATGATGATTCGATAAACGAAAGGAGAGCTCTACGTTATAGATGTAATCTCCCTATAGCCATTATTTCGTCGTTACTAGCTAGTCTTTGAGAATGAAAGATATCCAACAGTAAGTACTATTGAAAACATATCACTAAATGCATCTTGTCTATAAAAGGCCGCTTATGCAAGGCTCGATGTTATTACACTAGACAACCTAACTTTTGTCGTTCGTCTCCCAATTCGCAATATTCTCCCTATACTCTGTCATCTCTCTCCACTTTCGCGCGAAATCCCGCATTCCGCCCTCTCCGGCCAAGCTTGCATCTACGACATCCTTTGGCAGTTTGTGCGCCGAGTACTGCGGCGAGCTGAAGTTGAACGCAGCAGGGTCCTCTTTTTCGATAAGTCGTAGCTCTGGTATGAAGTCGTCTTCATCGTCATCCCCCGACGTCTCGTCCGTATCTTCTTCCTCTGCCTCTTCTTCGGCCCCCCCGACTACTCCAAGCATTGGGCTGGGCACCTCCATATCCAATAACTCCTTCCAATCGAAGAGAAGGCTGTCTGTGTGTGGAGCCCAGGCGTTGATATCGATAAGTCGTGCCCTACTTAGTGGCTCGTCCTCGCCTTCTGGAATATACACATCAAACGTGAAGTTGCCGTCCGGGAACGTGTATCGTAGTTTATGGTTAAATAACTGGCTGATCCGTCCAACGATGTCGGGTCGTAACGACTTCAGGAACTCGTAGAAGTGTAAATCGCGCTGTGAGATGGCTATCAGGTTCCTATGCTTCACGAAACAGCGGAATTCCATGGCTGTGTGAGGATTGAAGTATGAGCGTAGCACAAGCACGGGCTTGAAAGCTGGTGTGTTGCCTGTAGAAGTATTGCTTGTGGATGTGCAGTCATCAAAAGCGTGCTCCAAGTCGTAAGTGATAAAATTCGAACTCTTCAACAGTAGATATATGTCGTTAGGACTTGTACACTTGATAGTGTTCTGGTGGGGTGATATCCAAGCCGCATCTTTTGGTGCGGTCCAGTTCAATTTCGGTGCTACCGCACCGCCTAGCTCTGCGATCTTGTCTTTGATCACTTGGTGTAACTCAGGAAATCTCTGATTCGGCGGTAGTCTAGGTTCCTCATCTTCATCCTCATCGCTATCAGAGTCCGAGTCAACTTCCTCGACGGGTGGCCGGAAGCTTGATGGTGCCGATTCCCATTCGTCGTCCTCTGGCTCAGCTCCATCATCATCGGCAAGGATAATACCGTCCTCGCGGATATACTCTATAAATTCGGGTGAGAGGGGTATGATACGTGATTTGATGCATGACATGCGATATCTATTAGTTTGTAAGTTATATGCATTCGTTAAGCTGTAAGTTCATATTATTGTCTACTCACTTGGGGAACCAAGAATCATAGGAACAATTGATTATATGATCCCTTGTAATGGGTGGGAACTGCAGTGCCGAGCTTGCAGTCCCCGATGAAGATTGTGCGGTAGTAGGTGCAGGCATAGTTTATGTTTTTGAAATAACAGGTACCTAACTAGTTAAACTCCTTAAAGATATTTCTTTGGTTGGATCTGTAAACTTTGGAAGATGAACAGAATTTTTTAACAGGAAAGTGATGTCAATTATAAATTAGAAACAATCGCCTTCCTATAGGTACCTAACCTAATGTATCTGAGTATTTATATCTTTAAGCTCATGGTTGGTTGACAGTTCCTTTGCGACGACTCATACTATGCATGTTAGACTCATACTTATGGTGGGGCATCATATAGCGGGGCAAAGTTGTGACCCTCAGGGTAGCTCTTAACTTAGATGGTAAATGAACCCCCCACCATTCCGTTTCCGCCACTCTTTACCGCCTTCCTAGCTTCTTTGCTCTAGCTCACCAAGCTACGTACCTATGTACCTATTCACCTTCAATTACCTTAACTATATCATCTCTACCTATTTGACCTTTTAACAAACCAACGGAATCATGTCTGACAATGTTGGACTCTCGACACCCAGAGGAAGTGGGACATCTGGATATGTCCAACGAAACCTAGCACACCTCAAGCCGCGCGATCGAGCAGCCCCCTACAATACCAAAGACCTCGATAGCTTCAAGCATCGGCAACGACAACCGGACAAGGAGATTCTGGAGCACGATCGCAAGCGCGAAGTCGAAGTAAAGGTCTTCGAACTGCGCGACCAGTTAGAAGACGAAGGGTATGTTTGATCAATCGCGCGTCCAGTTTGCCTTTGAGCTGTTACCCGACTAATGCGGTATACGTAGAGTTGACGAGGATGAGATTGATAAACGTTGCGATGTCTTACGAAAAGAACTGCAAGCCAAGATGAACAAGGGAGATAGGGGTGCGGCACCGAGGAAACCACTCAAGGCGCATCAAGTTCACGAACTAGCCGATGCGAAGATCAAGGAGAGTGAGCGGTTACGAAATGCATTGAAGATAAGCAAGGACTACGAGGAAGGAAGCCACTGGAAGCGGCAAGAGGAAAGGCTAAGGAAAGCCGCGGAAAGGGACTCCTCTACTCAGAACAACAGAGATTAGAATATTTGGGCTTGGATAATTAGTGTTGCTCTACACTTCATTAGGTTGCGCAAAGGCGTTCGGGGCGGCTGAGCTTTATTAATAGGCCTCGGGAGTTTATGACTTATGTATGATTTTATGCCGGTTAAGCAATTGCTGTGCACATAATTCGCAAAAATAGGTCGAGAGAAAGTCACGTTTCTTTTACCATCGCTGTCTATTCTATTCCCACGGGTATCAAGGTTTAATTTGCCGCCAGAATTTCCGCCGCATCGAAAGGAGGGGCGTGATCTTCCCTTCCTAGACTGTTCCTGAGTCTTTCAGTATGCCGAGCCTTTTCCTCTGCTTCCCTCCGCCTCTCATGTTTAACATATGTTGCGTATCGCAGAGTCCCTAGAGTTAACACCGCCATGAAAATTATACCCAAGACGGATCGCCGAATTAGCACCCAGCGTAGCCCCTCAATGTCCGATCTGGAATCACTGTTGAGAGTCACGCTAATTTTCAGGTTGAGCTGTTGGATCTTTAGAAGGCGATGATTAGCAGGTGTTCCAGCGAGTTCTAGATAGAGGAAGACAAACCACGCTCTCCATCGTCCTCTGTTCTTCTCTCACATTCATCCGGCGGTCGTTGAACATGCCCTTGACATCATCCTTTAGTGTCATGAGATCCTGGGTCATCCGTTGGCTTAGAATATCAACTTCGTGCTGCAACTGGGTTCGCTGCTGACGTGTTGTTTCGTCGGCAGCCCTCTTATTGTTCTTTACCTCAGCACTGAGTTCCGAGCACGCAGCGCGAAACAAATACGTCTCCTATACATATCTATTAGCAGCCAGCGTGAGATAGAGTTAGAAACTTGCGCCTACATTATCCACGTCGCTTTTGCTCACTAGTCCATCTTGGGCAACGTCTAGATTCTGAGCTAGTAGTCCTCTAATAGCTTTCATGACTGTAGTAGCTTGCGCCGTGCTATACCCACCTTCCTCTAACTGCTTCACAAGAGTGTAAGTGTCGAAGTGATGAACGTAAGGGGAAGCTGATAGATGGGGATGGTGATATGTTTCGGGAGGAGGCATATGTAACACTGCTTCCATCGGACCGCTTTCTTGCATCTTGGCCTCTGTTGCAGCTTGCTGAGGACTCGAAGATAAGGAGGCGGAGACTGTAGACGCCCCTGGTGGAGGAACCTCAGCATCACCGGGTTCTTTTGCTACTTTCTCCTCTGGCGTTTGATGTTCTTGAGCTGCTTTCTTTCCCTTGTTTGCATCCTCCTTGCTAGGCGGCTCCGCATTCGAGAAGCTCGATAGTTTCGCGGGATCTGCGCCTGGCGCAGGGAGGTTTACAACGTCGGGCGTGACGGGCAACGGCTCGATGGCTTTACCATGCCTCTCAAAGACAGCCTGTCTTGAGGGAGTGGAAGATGAGAATGCCACCATGCGCGGGTTATTATTCGAAGACTTGCGACATCGGATCTTTGCTCCGTGAGCTGAAGACTCGCCGAAGCGGGCTGCCCGAAATAAATGCGGGTAGAGGAACGGTAACCGAACGGTCGACATGGTTCCTAGCTATGGGTAGGTATTTGAGAAGTATTTGTGCAAAAGAAACATATTGTCGGCGGACTAAAGGAGGTTGAGGAGAACAACTGCAAGTGACACAAATTAAGCTTGAATAAGAAAGGTCGGTTCCACGTGGAACCGTTAAGCTTGTAATCTGGATTGGATCTCTTCGGGTACCTGATAATTCTCTAGTTGGGCCGAGCTGTGCGGGCAGGCGGGCTGGCGGGCTGGTATAGTGGATCCTATAGGTATAACTGTGAAACGGTAAATCTCGAGCCCGTTGTTCCGTACCTATGACGGAGGTAGTTGATCTGTACAAAGTACATATGTACATGTAACTTTGTTACATGCCGTTACCAGATTACGAGAGTGGAGACGAAGAAGTTGGGATTAGGAAGCAAGGAAGGCAGGGGTTTTTGCTCGTCACCCCGCAACCCGACGGTGAAAACAACGCAGGGCCAGCTGAGGGCGGGAGCTTTCCCCAATTCCCTGCCAGCAAATAATTTACATAATTTACATAGTTATCTGCAGTGCCATGTCACTAAAGCCATCCAACCTCTCAAGATGTCTCTTTCGTGATTAGGTAGTTTTCCTTCACAGAGAGTAACCTTTTTTTCTTTTCCCTTTAAAAACATTTTCGGCTTGAAGTGCTTTTTCGGCCTACGATACAACGTATGAGAAGGATAGGACTAATTTTAGCTATTCATATACCGCTATAACTCACCGCTTCATACCCAAGTTCGAACAGATTTGTCCCGACATTCTGGGTAGCTTGTAACCATACATTCCGAAATCCTTAAGAATCTGGCATTCCGCATTCCTACCGATTTTTCCTCGTGGTGTCTCTAGGTTCGTTATCTGAACTGTTCGTCCACGAGCATTTTCGCGGCCATGGCGTCGGCCGATGCGCTATCGGCGCCCGGGTCGGCGACCTATGCGTCGGACACGATGGTGGTAGGAGACGGGACTTGGGACTTTACCAAGAATACTTTCCTGCTGCCGAACCTGGCCGGGCTAAACTTCGAAACTATGCGATTTAATGGTAAACCGATACTCCTCCCTACCATAATATCTAACAAAATCTGAACTTCTATTAGGCATGGGCAACCGTTTTGCAACAGTAGAACAATACCATCAATTGGTAACAGGCCACGGTATTCTTGCCGTTATAACCTTCCTCTTCATCGTGCCGGCTGCGGTTATGTACGCGCGATTTAGGCCATATGGCTCTCTTATTCGGCTGCACGCATATTTAAACATTCTTGCTGTCGGTCTCAGTACGGTCGTATTCGTGCTTGGGTGGTTTGCCGTGGGCCCGAGTCGAAGCTTAACGAACCCTCATCATGGAATTGGACTTGCTATATATGTCATGATTCTGGTTCAAATGATTGGGGGTCGTATAGTGAAGAATATTCGAAGAAAGTCGTTTAAACTCATGCTTCATCGCTGGCTAGGTCGAGCGATTGCGATCTTGGGAATCGTTCAAATTCCCCTTGGACTTACGCTTTATGGGTCTCCCTTGTTTACCTTCGTTCTATATGCCGTGTGGATGGCATTCTTGTTCCTGACATACTTCATCCTCAGTTGGCGACACGAAAGCAACCGCGACCGGGAGGACCTGATGATTCACGGCGGGCGTTCTGAAGGTGGGTTTACGGAATCGGAACGCAAGTCCGGACGAGGAATGGGATGGTTGGGGCCGCTAGCGGCAGGAGCTGGCCTTTGGGCACTTTTGCGAGGGAGAAAGGATCGCGAAATAGACGAAGAACGAAGTACTAGCATATCGCAGCCACGAAGTCGTCCACCTGAGGTGATCCCATCTCAAAGAGGCTCTGCGAGCTACTTCGAGGATGAAAAGGTGTCTGATAGGTCCGATCGCCGTGAAGGAGGTAAATCGAATTGGTTGGCTGGCTTAGCTGGGCTTCTTGGGGCCGGCGCGCTGGTTAAAGGTACTCGAGATAAAAGAGAAAAGCGAAGATACGGCGACGAAGAATATTCTGCTGTCGCGACCGACACGCCCAGTCGATTTAGCCGTCCAAGCCGGGTCCGGAAGAGTGCTACTGACGGGTATACCGAGAGTGAATTTAGCGAAGATCGGACAGAGCTCCACGCCCGCCCAAGACCGCACACTCCGCTACTACCGGGCCCTGGTCGTCCTACTGCTACTACAGTTCTAAGTGGTGGTACCGAGCCTATGACACCACGCGCATCCCATCCGCGACCACCGATTACAGAGAGCAGTTACATTTCAGACTATTCGTCATACGTTAGTCCGTCGAGGCGAGCTATCGATGACGAGGAGAGTAAGGCAGGGAAAGGCATTCTTGCTGCTATCGGGTTAGGTTGGTTGGCTAAGAAGATGAGGGGAGATGGCCAAACGGATGAGGAACGACGGAAAATGGAGGACGAGAGACGGGGCGGACATCGCGGGTCAAAATACACAGGCGATGGATACAGTACGCCAACAAAATCAACACAACGCCGGGTACCACCTACCGCTCCAACCGCCACAACCTTGACATACGACACAGAATCGTCAATGTTTGAAGATCGTCCTCCGGGAACAAGTGTTAGCGGGCCACCAATGCCACCCTATGGTGCGCGAGGTGGTCCACCTCCAGTACCAGTGCCAGTACCAGTACCAGTTTCTGTTCCCGGCTCCCATTCGAATCCGCACTCCCGCTCACAATCGCACTCGCACCACTCGCACTCTCACTCGCATTCCCACTCCCGGTCAAGGTCGAGATCCAAGAGTGTTATTACTGACCCAGTTTCGATGCCGTCAATGCCACCAGACCCTCACGGAGTTCTTCATCCGCTGCATCCAGGATCAGGCACCGAGTCTTACTCATCTGCTGGAAATGGGACACATAGACGGGATGAATCCCGTCGTCGTAGAGACGCCGAAGAAGCTGCCATGGCGGCTGCTGCTAGCGCTGCGGGTCTCGCCGCAGAGGAAGAAAATCGACACCAAAGGGACCGTAGTCAAGTTTCCAGTCAGCCAGTAAGCGTGAAAGTGAAATATCACGATGATAGGGATAGGAACATCACATTACGACGTATCACACAAGAAGAAGCGGCGGCGCAAAACCGACGTAGCCATAGAGGTAGATCGGATTCCATTAGTACTTTCTCGGAGAGCGAAGCACCTCCCAGCCGTCAACGATATCGACGCGATTCTAGTTCACACAGGACTGCAGAAGAGGCTGCAGCGGAGGGATTAGTTTCCGAATCAATGTCGCCACCAACGCCTGTATTTGCTGGAGGAAAACGAGGAGGAAAAGATTCGGCCTATTATTCTGGCCAGCCAGGTCCTTCTGGCGGACCGCCCCCAGCTGCACCGACCGTTTCCAGTTTGGAGACTCCGGCGGCAAGTCGTGCGACGTGGAGTGCGATAACCCCTTCTCCAGCAGGCCCATCAGATTCGATAGCTCCATCAGCTGCAGACCGAAGACGAAGAAGACGCCAAGAACGAAGAGACCAAAGGCCTACGGATACCGTAGAATTTGACTAGTATCCTAGGGATTCTTCATGATCTCTTCTTACACTCATTGTTCGGAGTTTTGGCGTCTACTTTGATGATTCAACTGGTCTATGAAAATGCATGTATTTCAAGGGGCAGCATATAATGGCTGGTTTCTGCCCTCGGGAGATAATGATGTTTAGAGAGAATTAGGGCTCATGATAGTGTGGGTAATGTTTTGCATGATATCCCACGATATCCGATCCATTATTTTCTATTTTATGTGTTAGTGTACTGTACTGTAGTGGACGAGCCTTACAGAATGACAATATGTATGACCCCGAATAGAATGAAATGGACTTTCATCGTTTATAATATTTTAACATGCAAATTTGTGATTAAAATTTAGAGGTAAAGGTTAACGAGATGCTGCGAGGGCAATTCATAACGATTCATAACAGCGTAAATCGATACACGTGCGGTCGCGACGTATCGATAAGCTACCGCAACCCAAAATCGCGGTTCACAGATAGAATCGCGCGTATCTAATCAGTATTATTAAACTTATTAAACTTAGCATCATATTTAATTATTTTCATGTGATCCAATCCCCATCCTTCATACCTACCTACATAAGGACAAGTCCTATACCATTGCACGCCAACGTATCAAACCATAGGCTAACTAGCAGACAAATTGTCTCAACAACTAAGCTGCAATCACCGCAATGGCAGCAGTAGCAAGCGGACAAGAAACAACAGCAGCTTCTCAGCAAGCGCCGGCATCCCCCCCGCTACCGGCGAGACACACGGCGCTGACTCCGGGGTTGCGGGCGTCGCGGTTCCAACAGGTGCTGGACTCAAGCTTGTCGCATACGCTATCCAAGATCGGCTGGGACAACTTTGCAGCCTGCTACCCGACCATCGCCGCGCAGGCGCCTGCCGTGCTGCGCGCCGTCCAGAAGCAGATGGTGGATCGCTTGGGCGCGCTGTGTAAGGTGAGTCGCTACGATTTGTTTACTCCCGCCGTAGTATTAGGTAGGGATAGGGGGGTGCATATTTACCTATTTTCCCTTTGCGCGAAAGACACAAATATCCAATGTCATGGTCTTTTTAAGTTCTTATAAACAGACGGAAAGAAATAAGGAAAGCCGTGAGAATATATATATATATGCTTACATCTGCCAACAGAAAGAATTCGATTCCGTCCTGCAGGGCCGTAACGTGGTGGCTAAGCTTAACGAGCTCGAGAGCCTGGTCAGCGAGGCCGAGCGCAGGAGGGACGACGCCGGCGTGGTTGGGTCGGAGGCGCCTATTCCGTAAGTGGATATTCTACTTTCTCGTTTGTTATGTATATAAGTCGCAATTAGACTGTATTCTTTCACGTACGACCATAGGATCTGGAAAACTCGGGATCCCGTCCGCTCTCCCATAGATAAGCCAGATACCGCCAGATTAGTAGTTGGGTCGGTGACGACCAGCGAATCCCTGGTGTTGTACGTTTTCTTTTTGACTTTTTGATTTCTTTTTGGTTTTTTTTTTCATCGCTATTTTTTAGTTTATTCTATTTTTATTACTCCTTCTATTTATTAGTAATTGGTAAAACATTGGCTAACTTGCAAAGACCGCACATGCTACCTCCGGACCAGATTTTGGCAGCACATCTAGCGCCGCATCTGGCACAGCAACAATCGCAACTTAACGCAAAATTGCAAACAGTACAAGCGCATAACGCAAAACTATTTAACGATATCCAAAAGCAGCGCACCGAGATGCAGTCTCTCATGGCGCTCTTACAGAAGGTCTTCGAGGACATCGACGGTGCTAACAGCCAGATGGATGATGTTGTAGATGATCTTGCCAAGGAGACGAGGACGGTGGAAGCTGAGATGGCCGAGCCGTGAAGAGCATTATTATACACTCGTAAATTTTATTAATACTAGTGTTGGTACAGGCTCTACATTCTGAGTCTACGAGTCCTGAGGAATGGGATGATGATGCATATACATGGTGTTCTGGCGTATAAGACGACTGGTTTATACCGGCTCGAATCAACTTAATATTTGGGTCCTTTATACATAACCGCTATACGTACATAAGATATCATTTTACAATCAGTAGCAGCAAATTCAGCATACTTTTCCATATTTGCAGACCTATTTATTATAGCTAATATTATGATCTCATTTCTTGTGATTGCATCTCTGTCTTTCTATATTCTTAGGAAATAGGATATCACTGTTTTATATCTCTTTGAGCTACCTAACCAGACATATTTCTGGTTTTTTTTTTTTATAAAAAAAAAAGAAGTACTTATCATTTGGACGAATGAACCAAGAGTCTGTAACCAACAGCTAAACCTACTAAGTTCTACATTGCAACCGAACTAATAGCAGAAAGCGAAAACTGGGCTAATCTATATGCGCCCATAACATGGCATTCCGGTATGACAAATTAGATGCGGTTGGACGCGTATACGCGCCCGAGGGACAAAGCAGGGTAGCTAACTAAGGATCTGCGTAATTTCGGCAACCTGCGTACTGCCGCATGCAACAAGACGGGACAAGCGAGTAGGCCTGGGTGTCGAAGCTACATGTATCCATCTAGCTGATCTAGATCTTACATTCCAACAGCCTCCTTCGAGATTATCCACCTATCACGGCTCGTGAGGCTACCCGTTGAATTGACCATTGTGGAACAAGCGTTTGAAATTGAACGGGATTATACAAATATGGAGATCAGATAACTTTTTATTGATGCCAAACAATGGCATAACTCGTCTTAATAGAAACCTCTTAGCTTGTAGATACATATTCGGCACCGACACATAACTAAGGTATGAAAGACGCAAGATCAATACCGCCATTGACACCAGTAGTCCAGTCATAGCATTACATTAGGTAGTACACAGTCTTTTTTCAAGAAAAAGAAGTCTTTTCACTTTGCCCCTATTGTACAACTGTACAAATCTGGCCCCTTGAATTTCCCAATATCACCCATTCACTCCTCCCATGCAGATGAATGCCAACTTTTCCAGCCTTCCATCAATGTACAAACCCCCTCTCCAAGCAGAAGAGGGAAGAATTAGCTAAAGGGATGATGGTGCAATGATATATGCGTGCTCAAATTAAAACCAACTCGAATACGCCTCCAAGAGACACCCGTGTAGGCTCGAGTCCAAGTCATAAACCACCCCACCTCTAAACTCCAAAATCCTGCGTCTAACGCTTTTTCCAAGGCATGGTAGCGACGACTTCTGGTTCCGTAGGAGTTCCGAGTCCACATACACGCCTTGCCTACTTAAATTTCGTAAGACCTCGTACCGTAATACTAGGACGCTCATGCATTCGTAGCTTGCGAGGCACCTCGGCCTCGAGGCGCACCGCCGCCACCTCTACCACGACCCTGTCCTCCAAAGTTACCTCGTCCACCCTGACTGCCAGACCGCCCTTCAAATCCTCCGCGTCCCCCCGGGCGATTCTGTAAATTTCCCCGCCCTGAATTGTAGTTACTACCACCATAAGCGCCTGCTTTGGGGCGGCGGGGCTCCACGACGATGCTCTCTCCGTCAATCACGTGAGGATTCGCAGCTACAGCAGCTTGGTACCCTGCGTGCGTGGCGAATTCCACGAAGGCACAGTTCTACAAAATGTTAGACTATATATCACAGTTGAACATGGTATAGTGACTTACCTTCTGGCGATTGATGTCGAAGTAGACTAGTTCACCATGCTGTGCTAATGACGCCCTTAATTCGTCCTTATTTACCTTCTCCGTGACGTACTTGACATATCCCATGGTGCCATCCTTGTCAGTCTGGGGTCCGGAAATCGACTGGGGTCTATTCTGTCGCTTCGAGTCGTTGCCAGCTGTCTGCCACTCCGTAGATGTCTCTTTGCTAGGCGTAGCGGGGGTCGCAGTCTCGGAGCTTTGGGACGGAGCGGGAGCTTGGGCTGTTGCTGACTGGGTGGGTGCGGCCGGGCGTGATTGCGGCGCTGTTGCAGGGGCTGCAGGGGCTGCAGGAGTTGCCGGCTTCGTCGGAAGAGGCACTACAGGTCGGGGACCCGCGCCGGCAGCTACTCGGCTGGCCCAGGTCATGGGCTTAGGTGGCTGAGTCGGAACCGGAGCCGCAGGCGCTGCTGTAGTGGTTGCGGGGGGTTGGCGTACTTGAGCAGGGGTCGGGCTTGGGTCGGCAGGCTTCTCTGGCTCTGGCTCCTTAATCTCTTCTTCCACGATCTCTTGGGTCGTCTCTTCAGGCTCAGGTGCAGTAGTCTTAGCTTCCGGCTCTTTAGCGAGCTCTGGGGCCGCTGGCGTTTCACTGGCGGCCGTCTCGGCTGCTACGTCACCATTGGTCGGAGTGCTGTCTTCGGGAGTCGCGCTCACATCCTCCAATTTCTTGTCGACAGCGCCCGCATCAAACGACGCAGGCTCCTCAGTAGGTGCCGCGGGCTGTGCTTCTGGCTCCTCCTTGGTTGCCGGGGCAGCCTGGGTCGCAGGTTCTACTTGCTCCTCCTGGGCAGTTTCAGCCGGCTCCTCGTCACCTTCCTCGTCTATGTATCGAAGAATATCGTTCAAGACGAAGTATCCGGATGGCTGCTGGGCAAGGACGAAAGTCTGAACGAACTTCTTGGGGTCGCCGGCTTTGTTGGAAGTCTCACCAATTACCTGAATGACGATATTGTCGTACGAGGCCTGAGAGTCGACGTTGGAGACACGAACCTTGCAGTCTTGAAAATCTAGCTGCTTGATGCGCTCCTGGATGTTCTATGAAAGCGCGTTAGTACGGAACAAAATCAGTAGGCATAGCGTAGCTGTTGAAAAAACATACCGGTCTACCAACAGAAACGTTGGCGACCTCAGCCTCTAGGCCATAGACGAACTGAGAGCGCTTTGAATAGAAAAGCTAGGTAGATAAATTAGTAAACCTTGTTCTAATAAATGTAGCATGCGTTCGAGACTTACGTGAAGCTTCTCCGGATTTTTGCTGAGGGTGGTGTAGTACTGCTCGACGAAGAACCAGGCAACTTCATCCTTTCCAAGATTGTTGTTGGAGCTGGTAGTACTTGTTTGGTCAACAGAAGGAGCAACGCCTCCGGAAGTTGTGGCAGTAGGACCTCCCGAGAATTGGTCGGTATGGGTGACGTTGCCGTTTGTCGCCATGGTTGCGCTAGGTTGTGAAGAAATTTGCGCGCCTGGTTGGGTAGAAGCGATCTTATCGACAAGGTCAAGAAGAGGGGTGCTCAATAATGAAAAAGCTGCCTCTTATTAGAGATGCTGCTAATTCTACGAGCGACTTATACGGTTAAGCGGAACCTGAAGACTTTGTACCTGCTTCAGTGGCGCGATAGAAAATTTCGGGACGAAACGTTGTGTCTCGCAAGGGACAAAGCAGGAAAGAGTCCGGATTAGGTGGGAGGAGAAATCGAATTAAATCGATAGTGCTAGGTGAAGGTAGAGGGGAGAGGTAGTTTTTTTTTGTTTTTGTTTTTTTTTATCTCTTGAATGTGAATGGCGGGGAAGGAAAGGTGTTCGTCAATACCTAAGGAAAGATTTGTAAAAGTGTAGGTATGTAGAAGTGGGTGATGGATAAAATGGAGGAAGGTTTATTAGAGTTGTGGTGGAGAAATGTTTGTTGGATGCGATTGTGATTTGGAGATTTGTTTAGACGGGTTCGGAGAAGGTAGGTACGAAGTGGGTAATAGGTAGGTAGTAGGTAGTAGACACCTAGTGGGAGGACGGCGGGCAGCACCTGCAATACTGCAATACTAATAATTATGTATTACTGTTATTGCCTTCTGTACCTCTGTAGAACACAGCGGCACGCTAACGTAATCGGGTATCGAGACGGACTAAGACGGGCGGGGAGAAAGATCTAAGTCCGCGCGGGAAAGTACGAGGGTCGAGGGTCGATAATGATGACGAATATGATGAAATATGAACAGTGTTAAGTTTTATAGAATGAAAGAAAGCTTGGGTGGCGACAGAATAAATTTCTGTTAGGTACCTAAGGTAGTGTAGACCTTAGAAATAATAAGGTATAGAGATGGAGTCTGAGAGTTTAGGTTGAACTACTAAATTGGACTGACTACTGGTAGACTGATGAGATTGGGGATGACTGACTGGAACGCCAGATTTTGTTTTTTTTTTCTTTTCTTTTCTTTTTTTGCCGTGGGTGGGCATGTACCTAATCTATGTAGGTAGGTAAGTACCTAGAGGTAGTCTTCACCAATTCTCGAGAGAAATGGGCTCCATCTAATTAGAAATTTGCCAAACAATTGGAAGTTGCAATACCGTATCGGATATTTATCGGCCTTTCCTTTTTTCCCTTCTTTTTCCCCTCCCTTCCTAGATAATATCCTCATTAGGTTAGATTTCGAATCTAATCCCCACAAGGCTCACAAGTTTTCCATCTGAGATCCAAGCTTAGGCCACATAAAAGTCTATGCATACTGGGTACGGCTAGGTACGTGGTACGTAGGTACCTAACCATAAGCCTTTTCTTTGACTTAGTCATCATTACATATCTTTCAACTCCAAACTTCTTCTATCGATAAAGAAATTGTAGATATGAAATACTTCATTAGATAACTTGCTTTTCCATTTATAAAATGTGGTTATATAACTCTATGTATTAGTAGTAATTTCTTCAAATACGCTTCCTATATTATTCAATTGCTCTAATATTTTATTATTGATGAAATGCCAGGCATACGAAGGCATCTAACACAAGGACCTAGGTACTTAGATAGGTCTGGGGATCAATCAAACGACATAGTTCAAGCATGTAAAATACCTACCAAGAACCCTGTTGGCTAAAGGAATGTGTACATAATATTTATAAAAAAAGATAAGTTAGGTACTATGTGATTCGTGCGAAATTGGGTAATTAAGGTCCATGCTTTGCAAGTTTGCTAGCTTTAGGGGCTGTTACTGAAGGTAGCATCCATTTGGCAGTCCATCATCAATTTTGTTATCTGTAATTGGAAGTAGTCTGAAAATAAACCCGCGCATCGAGGAAGACTTAAGCGAGTCTTGCCATCTCATGTATTACATCCTCAATACGTAGCCCTCCGTCTGGTCGGTTGGGTAGCCTGCCTAACTAACCTCTTTACAATCCTCCCAAAAGATTTCTTTTCTCAAACTTCACCATCTTCATGCTACCCTCTGCTTTCCAAGCATAATAACAACCCATAATTCCTACCAAGGTAGAAGCAACATACAAGACATCATGGATAATGAGAAGACCTATTACAGTCCATGCGACTCGCCTGCTCCGCCAGACTTCTACTGTACTACAGATACTACTTGCATCGTCCTTGCAGCCAATACAACAGTTTTATGCTGCCCAAAGGAAAGCAGTGGAAATTGTCAAGAAATCAATGTCATCGCTTGCGACCTGGAACAACAGGGCCCCTTTTCGAGTGTCCAAACCACAGTCAAGGAGGGAAAGCTACCGAAATGTGGCACAGGCTGCTGTCCTTGGGGTTACCATTGCGGGTCCGATGACTTTTGTTACATGGACGAAGATCAGAGCAAGCCACCGCCGATATTGCAAAGCACGACCAACGTGATAATTAATCATCCATCTACTGGCATTTCATCCTCTTTGCAGTCTATTCCGACGACTTTCGACACGTCAGTCACTTCACAGAAACCTTCGTCACCTTCATCGTATGCCGCTCTAGTGACACTCGCACCCTCTTCCGGGGACCCAAGCACCACCGTGAATGCCGACCCAACTGATTCATCAGGCGTAACTCTGAGCACCGGCGAGATAGTAGGGATAAGCCTAGGGGGTTTCTTCAGTATCGCACTGGTAGCCCTAGTCGTATGCTTCATGCGTCGTACGCGAAAATCTACTGAGCCTTCAGGTGACGATGAGCAAAGCCAGGATACAGGAATGCTAGATAATAAGGATATGGAGAAGCTACATGATCTCCACCGAGAGCTTCACGGCACTCCAGTCTTCGAGCTACCTGGTTAAATAAAGCACAGATGATAATGATGATGATGATGATGATATAACCAAATGACCTTCCTAATCGGACAACACAGAACTGTGATATTCAAGTAAGTGCTTAATATTCTATTTTGATATCTATTATTATCAAAGCGTAACTGCAGGTCCTAATAGAATATAGGCACACAACCCGCTTTTGCGTATACCGGGTGAAATTAGTTAGCACTTCACTTATGATGGGCTTGATATCCATATCGGCTCTTCGAAGACTCGCGGCTTAGGTCTCGCGAGAAAGGAGCTCTGATACCGTCTGCTAGAATACTAGTCAGGACAATACGGCAAGGGCAAACATGATGAACCCCCGATGCGCTATTAGTTAAATACCTACCTAGGGTAGCTAGTATAACGATCACGTTGATTTTAAAGCTGTGCGAGGTCTAATTTCGAACCCCCAAGATATCTACTTGAGCTGTAGCATTATAGAACGTTGATATGATATTCTGTCGTATTAGGCTAATAGTTACCTCTCAATCAAATTTGATAAATTTGCTGGCAGCCTTTCCAGTACACTCTACTTTTGATTTGACCCCGATTGTGGAGTCGATGATAACCCTTCTATAAAAGTGCTTGCATAGGAAACTATAGCATATATTTATGAACTAAGCTATATATCTGAGTCTACAACCATATGTTTATTAAGGAGGGAGAGGGGGTAATGACAATAATATATCGTAATTTTAGACATAGAACTTAACGGCAAGTATCAGAAACGAGTATCTGCCTCCTAACCTGGAGTATTTCTAGAATCCTAGCCTCGCGTTAACAGCCAACATTGCCCAAGCTAAATCCCTAAGGATATAAGACCGATTTGGCTTAATGCTTATAATCATTTCCCCGGAAAGTCGAAAGCCCCTGGATTCTTGGGATGTCGAGGCGCTGAACCAATTAGAATCTTTTCTCGGGTTCCTTGTGGCATTATGTGAGGTACCTGAGAATCCCTGTAGCTGTACAGCTTCGGGAATCCACAATGCCGGCCCTATCGAAGTCAAGTATGGTACTCATATTGATACTCAATATGTACGATATACCATGCCGAAGGTTCTAAAAAGACTTTGAATGCTACTTGCAAGGGTCCCTACTTCTTATGCCTTGAACGCGAGAGCTCATCGGGTTTCGTCAACCTGAGGCGAGACCCAGTGGGGGTACACCGTTAGATTATATGAACCAGATCTTTCTCTGGATCCTACGATCTATAAACCCCCCGAGCTTCCTGCGAATAATTCCCTATCAACCTATCTCTTCTAGGTGTACGGAAATCATGACTTCCTACGTCTTGTTGTTGTCACTTCTTCACGTCGCCACCGCTTGTGACAAGGTTTACCATCTATCTGCCCAGCAGTGGAATGGAAGTGTATCCTCAGAACTACAATCGGTTCAAGGTGGACTAGGCGCTTTCGACCAACAAAAGATCCTACCTTATCCTAATAGTACAAGTTTTGACTGGTGAGAACACTACACGACGAGGCCTACTATAACGTGTTACTTATTCGTTTTAGGTGGTACTTTGATGCGTTATCGACTTCTTCGGACAATGAGTCTATTGTTATTAATTTCCTAGAGGCCGGAGACTATGCTGTGACACCGCAAATAAGTGGCAGTCTGATCATCTCGATCGTAGGAACATTCGAGAATGGAACAAGCTACTCATATGGTGGACTCGCATTATATGGGGCGAACATCACTACGAATGATGAGAGTATTACGAGCCAATGGAAGGGACCCGGCATGAATATGGCTTTCGAGGGGTATCTAGACCTAAAATATAACAGGATATCTTATAACGTGACGCTCGATTACCCTGCTGTGGGAATTTCCGGTTCGCTGCTATTACTTGCCGTAAGCTCACTCCTCATCATTGCCGACCCCTGGATATTTCTCTGACTATATATCTTCTCAACAGAGAGCTCCCCCACGATATCCTTGCGATCCTAACGTCCCCGGTGTAACGGAAGAAGTTTCCCCTGGCTTGGGTTGGGCCAATGTGGTTCCTGATGCCGATGCTACACTAGACTTGACTATAGGAGGAGAGCACATACGGTTTACCGGAAATGGGTACCATGATAAAAACTGGGCTGACCGCCCGTTTACGGAACTACTGGATTTCTGGTACTGGGGACGTGCCCGCGTAGGTCCTTATTCTTTAGTCTGGTTTGATCTGAAAGCGCCAGATGGGGGACATCACCAGTCAGGATATATATCGAATGACGGTGAGGATATTTCTATCAGCTGCACAGATGCTTCGGCAAAAGCCATTCCATGGGGCAATAACAGCGAATACCCTCCTAAGCCAATTACCGGTCCACCAGAAGGTATTATCGTCTCATTCGATATGGGCGAGAAGGGTACTTTCGTTGCCAACATCACCACTCAGCTACTGTTGGCAGACTTCCACACCTACCAAAGATATATAGGTCCAGCGACCGGTGGATTTAAGGATGGAGAGACCTTTACTGGGAAAGCTTTATATGAAATAATGCATCTGGCCTAATTAGACGTTGGGGTGGGTTCGAATTATTCATATTGGTCTAGTACCACCCTAAATTTGGTATGACTGTATACAGCCTCAAAGCCATTCTAGGGTTACGCTTCTTTAATGTTCTAGATTCGATTCTTTATTGATGATGTTATCTAAATTTTGAAACATATTTGGAAATTGACGAGTTAATTCAAATGAAGGAAGTGTGAAAGCGAAGAGTCAATGATTTAAGTCAAAGTAACTAGTTTAAGAATCATTGTTTATTATTGCTTTAAGATAAATCAAGTGTCTTTCTCCAGTTAATACTAGTTAGTGAATAATCTAGAATACTCCTCCTCCAGGAATGAAGTGATATAAATGTAAACTAAATGAGTTTACTCGTTATTTCTCAGTCGTATCTGAGCCTTCGCGTCTTTCCTTTACTCCGGTAAACACCCCAGTTAGAAGTTTTATTCCATTTGCTTTTGGTTCCTGTCCGCGAAGAAGGATACCGATCTCGCTAGGATGATACCAATTCATCCAAAGCATTGCTATTAGAATCAATGCGGCATCAAAGACGTATAAATATACCTCCGATCTGACTAAAGTTCCATCGGTGCCTTGGAGGTACTCTATAACTCGAAACAGACTCCGCACCCAGATCATAACACCTGTTACGTATAGTGTAACCAGGTAATGCTTCCAGCGAACTTCGGGGGCACTTGCTTGAGCTGTAGGTGCGTTACTCATTCGGCGATGGAACATGCCCGCGAAGACGACGAAGGCTCCAAAGAAGCCAAGCTGCACAAATAGACCGATGATGATTAAATATTTGCCAATGTTGCTGGCAGTACCGCCTATAACCATCAAACCGCCTCCTATAATATGGTTAACGAGTTATTTTTACCGAAGGATTGTGATGAAAGTCTCATACCAGATGATTGGAAGAACAGTGATATGACGTCGCCGCCGACGAAAACTTTGGTAAGCCATCGTCGTCGAATGGGAATGTATGACTCTCCATTCGTCAACTCAACGATACGGCCAAGAATCATATAGATCGATGCGGCCATGAGTGTCGGTGCGATAAGAATGAGGCAGCTTTGTATGATATAAGGACTGAGGCTCCAGCATCCGGGATCTTCTAGGCCACTCTTAATTCGGCTAATGTAACCAATGAATTCACCTGCGATTAGGAGGTTAGCGAAGAAATAGGCTAAAGTAAGGTGCTTGGAACCGCATACATATACAGCCGATGACGAGTGCAAGAAGATACCAAGTCCTCGTTATATATAGTTGTGCGACATGGATGGCAAGAGTGATGCCAAAGAGCACACTGAAAATAGCTGCCGCCGTTGCTGAAGGCTCATATCGATAAAATGCCCATTTCGCGTCCTGCCAGTTAGGGTCGCCGCAAGTAGCCATCGTGGGCGATATGATGTTTTGGTCAGAGATGTTGATCCGAGTATATAAGAAGCCCAGTATAGAGCGGTAGAATACGATTAAGAGTATAATAAATGATTGAGATTATTTCGTAAGTGAAAGTTAGAGTGAAGTTTATTGTTAGAGTTATAGAATACATATTTGCAAAAGTTTGTTTATATATTCCTTCCATTGGACTATTCATATTCCTTTCGTAGTATCTCGCAACTCTTTTCGTAAGTTTCGGTTGACACAGCCCATTTAGAAGTGGAGAATGCCCGCGTTTCTAGTTTCTAAAGAACAAAGTTTGTTAGATAACTGTCAATCTGTCATGCTAGACCTTCTAGACTTATCTGTTTTAGATCTTAAACATACACTTGCGACTTAGTTTAGGAGATTAGGAGATAGATCTGAATAGGGGATCTGCCTAGTTTCAAGATAAGGTGGAACATAACTCGGATAACTCGGACTTCTCGTATATCTACAAATATTTTATCCAATGAGAAGCGCTTTTTCGAGTCGCATTCGGCATAATTCGTATAATTCGTATTTTTATCAAAACTTACGACGAGTTACATTTTCTTACCATCTATTTTTCATTATCCTCGCTCGCGTAACTGCATTAATAGTCGTACTCGGTACCTCAATATGGCTACAAGACGAAGTCATCCGAAGTCTCGTAACGGCTGTATTATCTGCAAGCAGAGAAAAATCAAGGTACATCCATTGACTTATACCTAGCCACGTACACACAGTACCCGCTCATATTAATATTCTATTCTACCTAGTGCGACGAGTCGCGTCCAACCTGTGCTAATTGCCTACGATACGGCGCCAGCTGCAGCTTTACGCCTCCTAAAGTTGCTTCTCTCCCCGTGATAGCTCGTACTCGTCTGCCCATCGGAGACTTATCCTCTCAATTACCAGATGATACAAACTCTCTAGGCACCGACTTGCAAACAACTTTTACTAATCTTGGCATATTGGCCAACCCCAGCTCCACATTATCAATCCCATCTGGACACGACGAATGTCGAGATTTTGAACTATTGCACCACTATTGTACTTTTACAGCCGATTCATTATCTCAACGTCTAGATAGACGTCACATCTGGAAAGTTGTCCTACCACAAGTCGGTTACGAACATGACTTCGTTAGGCATGGCGTTCTCGCCCTCTCAGCCATACATAAAGCGTATTTGAACCCGAGCCAACGGCAGATCTACTTAGTTCTTGCAGCGCACTATCAATCCCAAGGCTTAAGCGGTTTCAGAGCCATATTGCCCCGCATTACATACAACAATTGGAGAGCTGTCTTCTGCTTTGCTACTATCGTGATAGTTTATGTTTACTCACTGCCATTAAGGATAGATGATCTGAGGCTTGAGAATCCTGTTCACAACTTATTGGAACTGTTTACGGTTGTTCGAGGGCTGCGCGCTACTCTCGAACCCTTCACTCATCTAATAGCAAAAACTGAATTTGCACCAGTAGTTCATGGCATATGGATTCCTGAAGAAGAGAAAAGGTATCTATACATTCGTTTCTTAGCCACCATAGCGTTGGTTAATCTTGCGATAGCGTCCCATCTCTTGAGCATACCCTGCTTCCTCCAGAAACATTTTCTGTTCTATCTTCTCTACGACCACTGATTCAAGGGAAATTACCTCTTCCCAAGACACACCACTATGAGCGTGCTATCGATGGGTTGGAAACATGTACTAAAATTGTAGCATATGCCGGTTCATATGTTGAGCCTGGCATGGTAATATGGTGGTCATGCATACTCGACGAAACAATTATTAAGGACGTGGAATCATCTGATCCGCACGCTTTAATCCTCTTGGCACATTTCCTAGTGCTCATGAGCATCACAGAGAGGGTTAACTGGTCCGTGAAAGGATGGGCGAAACCGGTACTTGAAGATATTGAAAGACGTTTACGTGATCGGCCCAGATTTATAGGTCATCTTCACTGGCCGAAGGCTCAAATAAATCTATAGTCCTTTGGAAAAGAGATTCGACAATATTTTCCAATTGTATTTGGTTGGATAAAAATTTAACTGCTTAGTCGGTCGCATCTATCAAAGCCGAAGATTACGATTCATACGAAGAAGTTTTTTCTTTTTCTTTTTCTGTAACCCTCCATTGACATTTCCAGGTTTATGACTCGGGTGCCTCGAGCTTACTTTTTAGAGCGTCCTGTTCAGCTTTAAACTTTCGCTCTATCTTGCGAAGTATCTTAGCAGGGTTCCCAGCCGCGCAGTGATAAGCGGGAACATCCTATATAGAGATAATTATTCACGGTTAGACCGTCTATAAGCTATTGGTAGTAACAAGCTTAGGCTTTACTCACCTTGGTCACAACACTTCCTGCACCAATTGTACACCCAGCCCCGATCGTCACACCGGGGAGTATTATCACATTCCCGCCTAACCAGCAGTCGTTACCGATGGTAATCGGCTTACCGAATTCTGGTCCGTTGGTGCCGTTGCGTAGGTCCGGATCCAGGGGGTGTCCCCCGCTAAAAAGGGATACGTTCGGCCCAAAGAGAGTTCGTGACCCAATCGACACCATACAGGTATCAATTATAGTACAGTTAACATTTATGAATACATTACTTCCGACTTTAACATTGGTACCATAATCCATTCTAATCGGTCGTTCAATCCAAGGATATTCGTGAAGGATCGCATCCTCTTCTTCATCTGTTGTTGCGGGAGGAGGAAGAGGGCGATCGTCCTTGGTTATTCTGCCTAAAAGGTCAGTGTGCTATTCTAGCAGCCTAACTATTAAATGGCGTTTTTGAAAACCCGCTTACTCTTTCCAGTATTCCGCGATCTCGCGGCGGCTTAACTCTCCAGCGCTGTTGAGTCGGCCAAGTATGCGTGTGCATCGTTGTCGCTCAGCTATCAGTTGCGGAGTGAAGCAATAATAAAGCTCCCCGCGTTCCATGCGAGCGAGGTTCTCGCCTTCGTCGACTTTTGGCACCATAGTAGAGAAAATCTAGAAGTTTTTGGGCGAAAGGATAGGACGGAGAAGTAAACGAGGGGCGATGTCAGCTTAAAACTATTTACGTGTGTGAAAACGGGCTGTGAAATGTACCAATGCTCTCTTGTGAGGTATTGGGTTAGTTTTGAATACGAGCTGCTATATGAGTGGCTACCTATAGGTGGTATATGTGGTATATGTGGATAAATATTTACCTAAGGTACCTATGCATATTTACATAATATACCAAGGCCATTAATAATACGGCTAGTCTGCAGCGCCAAATCGACTTCCAGGACTATTTAGTAGCTAAGAGTTCGGATTCGCGGTTTGAACTTGTTACTATTTGAATTTGAACGTTGCGAAATTAACTTATGTTAAGCTCAGCCTAGTAAGCCTTTTAATGTTCAAGTGTAGTATAGTAGCTGTTAAGAGCTTAGTGAAATAATAACAAAAGCAATACTATAATCTTGCTACTCAACCTCCCCCAATCACATTATATAAACTATATGAACTATGTAGTTCGTAAGCATCCCATAATTATGACGAGAATTGTGTAGCGTTTGAACAAGTACACTCTATGGAAAGTCTTTGACTAACGCCCCTTTTCTAAATAGTAATATTACAGACCTCATGGTAATCATTTAATATTGGTACCATGTAACGGGCGGGCCAACACATAATAAAGATCATAAGCTTGAGATCCAGACCAAGCGCGTCGATGATCATAGAATCGAGTTATACTATAAAGTTGGTTACCTCCAAGAGGCAGACGTTAAGAAACTCAAAGCATCAGCTCAGGGCATAACACCAAAGTTTTGCCAAAGGTGAATAGTTGACGTTTTCAAGGACCTCGAAAGAAAGTCTCTTGTATCGAGTGGCACTGGTGATGCATGATATCAGAACATGGAAGCTGACCCGTATTCACATGATGTACTTCCTCTTAAGTTGCTTCTAGAATCCCATCCCAAATAAATTCTTAATACCCTGACCATCTCATATAAGAGTTTCGCAGACTTGATCTAGCCTGTCACTCTATATGTATTTTATTATGATTTGAACGCGGCCTAATTATTCATTTGGGTAGGTATACATATATTTACCAAAATTGTAAATTCCAGCTATAGTACCTATAATTCAGCTGAAGACTACCTACCATATATAGACGTTCGGCTGACTAAGTAGTACAGATACTTAGGGCTGGATCTATGACGGAAGTAGTATTTTAACTTAGAAATTACAGCTGGAAACTTAATGCAACACCTTACCACCTTCTAACTACCTCATCACGACTTTATTATAAGCAAACAGGTAGGTACATAAACTAAACCTACTTTGTGATAATCAAATGGGGTATATTCAATATATTCAATATATTCAATATATTGAAAACACAAACAATTTCTTTCACACGTGGAACCTCTTTATAGACGTCTCACAATCAATCTATCCTTAGAAATCCTAATGTAAAACAATAGATCAAGCTTTAGTTTTACTATTAGTTTATTATAAATTCCAAGGCATAAAACCTTAAGGCCCACGCTCCCGCATGCGCCAACTGTCATACACTGGCCTGGCATTCATAAGGAAATAAATACATACCGACTCGAAAGTCGAGAGACCATGGGTTCAGAAATCACACCTGGCACTAGCCGTTCGTCACCTTTTATTGTCGAGCCTACGTCAAATCATACCCACAGCTTCATCCTTCTCCACGGACTTGGTTCAAATGGACGTAAATTTGGGGAAGAATTACTTGAGACTGGTGTCATATCTGGTGGCAAAAAGCTGACAGAAGTATTCCCTGGTGCACGGTTTATATTTCCTACAGCTAAGCGCCGTAAATCAAGCATGATAAGACACGCAAAGTTGATACAGTGGTTCGATATCGCCTCTCTGGATGACCTCTTCTTCAAGCCACATACCCAAACCAGGGGGCTTGTGGAGTCCCATGGTGAAATAACCCATCTGATCAAAGACGAATGTCAAAAGGTTTCCCATCAAAACGTCATATTAGGTGGTCTCAGTCATGGTTGTGCAATGGCACTATTCTGCCTTTTTACATCTTGGTTTCCTCTCGGAGGGTTCGTGGGGATGAGCGGATGGCTACCATTTCAGCCCGACATCGATAGCCTCATAGGAAGCGAAGGCGACACATTCGTCTTCGGCAACGACGCTAAATCTATCGATGAAGATCCCTTTTTCTTAACCGAGGTATATGCCCAAGCAGAAGAGAATCCAATTGCCCCAGTGATCGAGTTTTACGATGATTTACTGGATTCCAGTGGCATTCCTGATATCAACAGCAGAGGGACATCACTTTCAACGCCGGTATTTCTCGGACATGGTGCGGCCGATGAAAAGATCGGATTGTCTAATGGGGAGGCGGCCCAAAGAATCCTCAAATCAGTAGGCTTTGACGTTTCATGGAAAGTCTACCAGAGGCAAGGGCATTGGTATAAAATTCCAGATGAGATAGATGACATAGTCAATTTTCTCCAGGGAAAATGCGGCATGTGACTCTGTTCTGTTGGATGCAAAACTACACAGGCAATCAGACAGTTTCGTATATAATAATCATAAGACCCTGCATTTGCTGAAGATACAATATATTACGGGGCTCTGCGCCTGACAGAAGACCTGAGGTGAGTGTTAAGAGCCGAATTAGAATAATAATATTATAAGAATAGTGAATTTTTAACTATTGTAAGGTCTTCATTCATGCCAAAGTAAAGTAGAAAAGCGTGCTATTGGCATAGAAGATGATAGGTCGGGAGTACGAGCATGAAAAGGGGACATATCTTAAATTAAGAATATACTAACTCATGTGTAACAAGGATAAGATCATTTACTAATATGTGTCTGAGTGATATACTCGTTTTTAGGCTGGCATAAGGAGGTACTCTTTGTATGACATAAGACAAATAACAAGCAAAGGATACATATATTCCACAAGCACCTACTCTCTATCCGCCCCTAGTTTGCCAGTGTGCCTTTCAGACCAACTTACTTGTTTAGAAGGAACCTACTGGCTTGTTGTGAGACACCGCTATATTTTGCTTTGCTATCATACCGTGTTAAATCCGATGGCTATATCCTCAGATTTAGAGCTCATATATGGGCGAAGGCCGTCTTTATACCATTTCCCCGTTCTTCCACATAAGACTGATACTACATCTCTTACAACCGTCAGTAACTTCATAACTGACTACTAGTATAGCTTGGTGGGTTTCTGATGTACACAGGTCAGTATATTAAAAAGACTATGCTTATAATATAATAACTAATGAATACAACGACGACAATTTTTGACAATACTTCCATCGTGTTCGGGCCTCCTAATTTGACGCCAGATGGGACATTACTAAAGAACATAATGATGCACCAAAAGCTGCGGGCATTGCTCCTACCACCTGCTATTATTGAACAAATCTTGATAGAACCAAACAGGATTAACTTCTTTAAGAATCTAGATTTTCTCGCATATGGAGGAGCACCTTTTAATCATGCAATCGGTGCCAGGCTCTTGAAAGTCGTTGAACTAATCTCTCCTTTTGGGTCTACGGAAACGCACCCAATACCACAGCTGGCTCTTCTACGGGGTGACTAGGCCTGGATAGAATTCAATCCCTTCATCAAACACAAAATACAGTTATTTGACCCCGACGAAGGCACATATGAGCTTGTTCTCTTCACAGGTGAGACTAATAAAGACACCGCCGCTATCTATCATAATCTACCCGGCGTCAGCGAGTTTCATACCAAGGACCTATTCACGCATCACCCCAGCTCTTCAAATACTATGGGCACAAAGACGATATTATCGTTTTGAGTAGCGGTGAAAAATTCAACCCCATTCCGTTTGAACTCAGCATGCAAAGTCATCCTGCTGTTAAGGGCGCCTTGGTAATTAGGGACCATAGGACACAGGCAGTGTTGCTTTTAGAACCAGAAGAAATCACTCTTAACGAAGAGAATATAAACGAGCTCTTAGACAGGCTGTGGCCACAT